CAACCCGCCCTGATATAAACTTCTGTTGTCATTTAGCGTTGGCGAGACATGCGTGGTACCTCGAATTGACAGCGATGAGATTTTTGGTCACCTCAACTGCAACAATTGGATGCTGTTCAATTTGTTCAACAAGATGCTCATATGGCTGATATAACCCATTCAAACCGATTGTTTTACTGTCTCGGAAATCCGGTAGGCCCGTCGTTGTCTGCTGCCCGCAAAACACTCATAGACCTGGGGCGCCTTGGTCCAATTTGGTAAGGGTCTTCGTTGTTCCGGCTTTGTCCCTCCTTCGTACCGAGAATTCTCAAAGTGCGCGTTCCATCACCGGCCCAACCCCCCAGCTGGTGGTCGTCGTTGTGCTTCACCCATGAATCATGGTCCACCGCCAAGCGCGTCCCTCCGACTGTAAAAGCCTCAGGCCTGAAAGTCTTCCCAGGCTTCGTAGAGCAATCACAGTGCAGCATTGTTGAAGTCAACTCCACCCGATTTCCTCCGAGGGCTAAACAGCCCGTGTAGAGCTCGATCCCCTGGCCTAATTGGCACCCGTGATATCATCCCCATTCCCATCGTTTTTCAGCGGTCTTGTGCTGCTCAGCAGCTTTCTTGTTGCCGAAATTTGTAGATATCTCACTCAGCTCTGGTTAGTGATTGTGCCACTATTCTCACCTGGGTTTCATGTAAAAACGTCTCGTTTGGATTGATCGTTGTTCCTCTTCTTCCCAGGCGTTGCCCCGGCTGACATCCTCACACCCCCTGGTAATATCCACCCGTGTGGGCCCACCTATCCTCACTTTCTTCCCGGCTCCAGACGCTTTCTCTCTTCCCTTTTCCTTTTCCCACTACCGCCCTGTCTCGTGCTGAGCTCCGTATCTCTTTTCTTTAAACCTCCATCAGCCTCTCCCTCTTTCAACCATCAACCATCTCCCCTCACACATCAATCACAATGGCCTCTTCTCGTGTCTTCGCCTCTCGCCTGGCCTCCCAGATGGCCGTCAAGGCCGCTCGCCCTGCTGTCCGCGCCAACGTCGCTGCTGCCAGCAAGCGAACCATCTCTGGTAAGTTTTTGATGCGGCAAAATTTTTCTTGAGCTCAATTGAGCTCGGTGCCGAACCCGACTCGATCGAATCTCGCCCATCACGATGAACAATTCACTCACAATCGATTCAAGGCGTCAGCCCCCTCCAGGCCATGAAGCGTCAGACTCTTCTCCAGGCCACCACCCGCAACGCCTTCCAGGTCCAGCGCCGTGCCTACTCCTCCGAGATCGCCCAGGCCATGGTTGAGGTCTCCAAGAACTTGGGTATGGGTGCCGCCGCCATCGGTCTTACCGGTGCCGGTATTGGTATCGGTCTCGTCTTCGCCGCTCTCCTCAACGGTGTTGCCCGCAACCCTGCCCTCCGTGGTCAGCTCTTCTCTTACGCCATTCTGGGTTTCGCTTTCGTCGAGGCCATCGGTCTTTTCGATCTGATGGTTGCCCTCATGGCCAAGTTCGTAAGTCAAACCGAGATTCCAAGAAGTCCGTGCGATCGAATGTGTACTAACCCCTCCTTCAGACTTAAGTTATTACCCGGCCAATTGGGTAGGCTCGTGCCGAATGATCGAGTCAACGAGACGGAGGAGGCTGCTGAGCGCCGTGCATTATGCTGTGTCTTGAAAAACTTGACACGGGTGCACTTGTTGCCAGCTTGCACGATAGAGGGGAGGTTGTCTTGTAATAGACGGGATAGAGAACTGGGATGGACATTGATCATAGACACTTTCCTATGATTAGAGTTGGGGAAATTCTGGCATAATTCCTCCCAGGGATCGACTTGTAAAATAAAAAGCCTCATTCATCCCGCTTCTTCCAATGCATTAGGATATTTCCTTGTTTCATCACTCAATGAATTGTCTTGCATATGAAAAATGGTTTCATCTCAGGGTCTTTGATTGACGTCTCAATAGACTTTCGAAATGATGACATCGTTTCGAGTAGCTCCTCTTGATGCATGAAAGCTTCCATAAACATGAGGCATTTGCTATGCCTGAGCTCCCGTGGGCCGGTGCCGGGGTTTATCGACATGCTAACCGGTCAGGCTGGCAGACACTCGTCTTGCCAGCTTAGCCGAATTAACCCGGACGTATTCAAGGTCGGTCGCACATGGCGGTCTCCCCTCTGTTACTGGATGCCTGTGTTTCAAGGCATGATGCTGAAGTTTCTTCTGTGATGCAAAACCTAGGCCCCACACGGTGCAAAAGTCGTGGTTGTTAGCGCGAGTCGCTAGCTGTAGCGCCCTCACACAAGCCAATTGTGAGTCGTGAACGAGTCGTTGAAGTGGGTTGAGTGAAGATTCAGTGTCCCAGGGAATTGATAGTGGAGCTGCCTTGAGGGTATGTAAAGACTCGCAAATCCACCTGATAATATTGAGTCGAGCTGATCTGGAGTAGTCGCAGCTGTCGAGTATGTGCCAAATCCCAAATCGAAATGCAATGGCTTCGAATCCGCGCCAGACCAGGCAATCGATATCGCAGTTTCAAGTTACCACATCTAGTGGTCTTTAATGATTATCGGCAATCATAGTCGATCATGCCCGTTATTGTCAGCATCACAATATATCGTATACCTTATACGCAATATGTCAGCAGCCCGAACGAAGCGAACGAACCTACGGACAACGAGGTACTCTGAACAGTGCTGTAGCTCGGATCGATTTGTCTTGAATATGAGCCCTGCAATCCCTTCCACAGGATATCGCGGCATGTTCAAGTGAGCATGAATGCGTGATGGTGTGGATTTTGCCCTTCGACAGTAGCAAATCATCTTGCCAGCATCAAGCAAATCGTTTTCGTACGATTGATGAAGTGGCATCCTGTGTTAGCAGAGATGCAGTGTTCGGCTGGATCGACAGACTCCAGGCGAGAAAGAGAACAAGCGTGGAACCAATAGGCCAGACATCGAAGGATATCGCAAGTGAACAAAAGCATGGGGCAACTTCAGACGTGGACAACATCGGACATACTTCGAGGCCCATCATCGATGTCTTCTCGTTGCCCCTCAGAAGCTCCGAAGAAGCGTATAGGAGGACATGAACATTGGCGTCGTATGTTCATGTCTGTTCCAGATCTGCTAAGCAACGAAAGAGGTGGCAGGCTAAACTTTGAAAGGAGAAGATGAGAGACTCGGGGACGCAAACCTGAGCACTGGCTCATATCCATGTTGTGCCTTCATCGAGGATATTGATTCTAGTTCCGCATTAGTATACTGTTCTGTTCTGGACTGCACTGATTCTTGTCGAGACTGGACTGTGTTCACTTACTCGGTAGATCGTCGTGCGGTTGAATCAGGTCCACCCTACTCCACAGTGGTAGAAGCGTTGGCGTCGTTTTGCTTGTGTAAGTCGATTCGAAAGCTGCAACGAAATCGGGATCCGAGACTTTTGTCAATCAACAGGACGACACCTACAATAGAGGGGAGGAGGAGAAACAAAATGAACAAGAAGGCCTCATCTTGGGTTTCATCCCATCTCTTTCCCCTCACTTGAATCACATGACCCAAGACTCTTGCCTGGCAACCCGCCCCTTCTGTTCGAGCCATTGTGTCACATCACCAAGGAAACCCAGGATCAAGGCATTGTATATGCAATGCAGAGCATGGCGGTACAGCCGGTGACCGTTGAGGGTGGGAGAGACACTCTAAATCCTTGCCTGGCATGCATCGTATTTTTGGAACGCAAGGCAAGACTTTGATCGATGGATGTCGGTTAGGAGAGGATATAGAGACAGGTAAGAAACGATATCATAAAAGAAGAAGAATGGGAAGGGAAAAGAGGTGAGGTTACAAACAGGGAAAAGGAGTCGTTATTGATCAAGCCAAGTTTTGAGTAATGGCACAGGGACAGAGTAAGATTATCCGAGTCACAAAGAGAGAAAGTGAGGGGAAGACACCGCCGTGGCTGCCGTGCAAGTGAATGAAGGGGGCAATCAGCCGAATTGAGGCTTCTGCATTTGGTAGGAACGGCCTGTTGGATGGCACCTTCCCATTCTCTGCGATTGGTTATGCCAGCCATCCACGCCGCGTGCCTTGGATATTTGGGTGGTATCCAAGCCGTCAGCAAAACCCAAATGGCTGCGTAGTGGTTGTGATTCGTCAAAGCGCAAGGGGAAAGCGACAATTTGACTTTCCAGGCTACAGTTGCCTGTTTTTAATCGTTGGCTCGTGATAGCATCAGTTACGTCTTTTGTTATTGAAATGCAAAGCATATATTTTTCTCTATCATCACGCGACAACTATAAGCATTATTTGTTTTCATCAAGGTCGGTAGTTCTTCAGTTCAGAGACCAGGCCATTGAAAGCGGGGAAGGTCAGAAAATCCGGGGTAATTAGGGTACGGGGAGCTCTTGCTTCCCTTCCGTAGTGGAGCTGCATTATCCTATCGTCTCTCCGCGGGCTGGTATTGGACGGCTCTCGGGTTTCACAGGGAGGAAGTCTTGACCCCATCATTCGATTCCTATGTCCGGGTGTTTCGATGGCCATCATCTCCTGTTCTTCCGTGCATTCAAGTCTTATGCCTTAATGTCGGAGTATTTACCCTGTTAGATGCCCGATGCACCCTGAAAATCATATCACGATAATTACAGTACTACGCCTGCCTCCACGACTCGGCAATCTGGAGCCTGCCTTTGAATGATTGTAAAGTAAAGCTAGTAGAGACTAGAGGCTGGGCATTGTAAAGCAATAAAGGGAAGCGAGTTAGTTTATTCGACGACAGGGTGGTCTTTGTGCCATATCCAATTTACATATTCGTTCGCTATCGTACACTCTGTCCGATTTGTTTCCACATACCATGAGGTTATAACAAATACAAATTAACATCCACTGCAACAGGAATAATAGTGAAACAAAAGACACGAACATAAGGATATTAGCTGCATATCTATCTTGTGCCGTAGTCTAAACCCGCAAACTCCTGGTTTCGCCATGATTATCCAGTATCCCCGCAACACTAACTACCCCATCCTTATTTTTTGAACGTGGCGCTTCGCTCACCTCTAACAGGAGGTGCCTTGCGAGCTCCCTTGATATCCGTGTCTGCAGACTTCGAGTAAGGGTCGAAGAACTTCTTCTTGGGCTTGACATCTGCTTGCCCGTTGGCTTCCTTCTTGGCGTGAAGCACCGATGTAGCTGTGCTATAGTCGAAAGGTACTGCATCGAACTTCTTGGCCGTGACCTTGTCATCCTCCTTCTTTTGCTTCTTCTGAGCTTTGCGGGCCTGCTTAGCCTCTTGCCGTCGGAGCCGTTCCTCCTTGGCCTTCTTCTCTTCTGCCTTGCGCTGCTTACGACGAGCGTTTCTGTTTGCTGCGCGATCAGGCTCATCCTCGATAGAAATAACTCCGTTGTTATCTTGCATCTCCTCATCACTATCTGAATCCGCCGCTTCAGATTCTTCGTCACTGGAGTCGGATTCTTCCACCGCCTGTGACTTTCGCTTCTGACCTCTCTTCAGCGTAAATTCCTCATCTTCCTCTTCAACTTGAGCCCTGTCCGCTGTATTTTCCACGTGACTGGGGTGTTCAGGAGCTGCAGCCGGCTCGGTGGTGGTAGTGTGTTGGACGTCTCCCTCAATAGTGCCTTGCTGAACAAACTTCTGCCAAGGGAAGGGAATAAGGTCGTCATCAGTTTCATGACGGGGCGTGGAAACATCCCATTTAGTGCTGACTGGAATGTCTCCAAATAACTGCGACTTGGTCAGCCTACTGACCGTGACCTCTCCATCAAGGTCTGGCAACTTTGTAGTCTTTCTGGCTGTGGTAGGGAGGCGATTCCTCATAATGCCTTCCGGCGCCATCGAAGTGAAGAAGTGGAGCAGGCTCTGGCCACCCTTGGCCTTTGTCTCCTTGATCTGTTCCCAGATCTCGTTGAAGCGTGGCCTGGCCAGTGAGGCATTGAGAGGTAATAAGCTATGAAGGGCCTTTGCGTCTGGCGGGTTAATCCGGGCAATCTCTGTTATGTCCCTGGTGCTGAGAACAAAGTTGATGCCCTCATCCTCCTTCCTGGCCATGTCGTCCCTCCACCTCCACAAGGCCCTGAAGACGGCAAACTGCTCACTGTCGAAAGACAAATGAGAGTTCTTAAGAACGTACGAGTACCATCCGCGAGAACCTTCACCAGTTGCTTCATCGTAACCGGGGTACTCGAAGCGGGACAGAGACTGCTCCCTCGATTTCTCAAGAGCTCGACCGATGAGATCTTTATTGGGATCATTTTTGTCTGAGGCTGCAACAAGTTCATTGCGCATTCGGTCGTAGATGTAGAGCAGATAATGGGTATCAGACCGAGCGTAGTACAACATCTCCTCGGGCAGCGGTCTTATTCTCCAATCTGCCAACTGATATTGCTTGTCCGCATCAAAATTGACAAACTTGGAGAGTAGATACGCAAGGCTCTTTGCCGGGTAATGAAGTTGGTCACAAGCGAAAAACGTGTCAAAGAGACCGTTTACGTAAAGCCCCAGATCTCGTTGCAGCCATACCATGTCCATATATGCACCGTGGAAGACCTGTCGTTATTAGTAAAACCCACGGTGTTAAGCTCAGAATACATACCTTGACGATCTTAGGATCGGTAAACACTTCGTTGAGAACTTCGAGTTTGTGGCGCCAGGGCTGCAGAGTATCCACGATCCAGTCTTGCTCTCGTGTGCTGACTTGCATCAGAGACACAAGTCCGACATAGGTTCTGTGGTCGTGATGTTCCAAGTCTACTGCAATCTCCTTCGCCTTCTTGAGCTCTTCCAGCATCTCCAGAACGCCCTCATATGTATCGACAAAAATTGCTTTGGTCGATTCGATAGGCTGGTACATGATGGGCTCGGCTTCTTTGAGAACTCGTTTCGGGTATGCCATGCGTACAATCTCGTGCTCGTAAGGGTGCTGATATCTGTAGATGGACAGTCAGTAATTGTTATTGCCCAGTGTCACCTGGATATGCGACCAGGGGTATAGGGGACGTACTGCGGCACGCCGTTTTCGTTAGGCACAACCTTGAGACTTTCTTCCAGAGGAATCGTGGCATTAGGTTTGGACGTAAGCATTGGCTTCCAAGGTGGAGGCTCAAAGTTGTCGGGCTTTCGCTCAAAGTGAAGCTGAGGTTTGGAAATGTTGGCGTTTCGGATGACCTTGTTCGTTGACTTGGGTTTCTTGTTCTGTTGACAAAAAGTATTAGTAAAAGAAGTCTGGCAGGAGTACGGTTGGCATACAGATTCCGAAGCAGGGGGCTCCTTTCTCTTGATCAGTCCCGTATATTCATCCAACGCTGTATCGGCCTTCTCGAGCGTAGAATCGACTACATCAACCACACCCTTCCAGTTCAGCTCGATATCTTCCACATCCTCAAGCTTAGGCGCTTTGACACCACATGCTTTACCGGCCGACTGGAGTAGACGTGTAGACAGTCCGAGAATTCGTGAGGTTCGATCTTCGAGTTGTTGGCCCACGCTAGGATTGACTGTGCGCTGAAAGCTCAAGTCGTCGGCCGCAATCCGGTTCACCGTCTTGATTGTCGAGATAAGTGATTTCTGGACAGTATCCTGGAGCGATTTGAAATCCTGGGACTGCTCCATGGTTGCGACAAAAGGATGCGCGTTGCGCGTGCAGTTGATAATTATGCGTAGTGGTCGCGATGCAGTATTGATTCTAGAAAAATTACAGGCTCTGCTTTGTTGCGCTTATCGATAAGATTAGATGATATGGGTCACCCCAGCACCTCTTATTACCTTAGGATGGAGGTAGATACAGTAAATTATCTGTACTTGAAAAAGGCATCTATCATCAGTCCTTTGATCCTTAGTCCAGCTTCATGAGAGTATTTCTTTTATAAGAATCAACTAAATCTCCATCGTGGCTGCTATGCTTAGATCAAGAGCGACCTCCATCAAGTGATAGAAATTGGACATTCACATCGGGAAATCATTGGACGAGCGACAAATTGAAGGTACAGCATGATCTTGTTCACAAGTACTTTCTTTTATAATGAATTCAATCCAAGAGATGCATCGAATTGGTTTGGTCACGGCTTCCGGGCCGACGGGTATGTACTTCTCAACTATTTGAGACTGGTAGCAGGGAGTGTTGCAGCCCAGTCAAATTACCGGTATAAATTACTAAGGTAGAGCTGAGGATAAATGTGACTCCGAAGTTCTATCACCAGTTTCATCATTCTCGGACTTTCCTTATTGCTCTTTTGCAGATGGCAGATACTCAGGACATTCTGGTCCGGCCAACAAGCCTGAGCAAGACACAAACATGGTCGTGCCCTTGTTGTCAATTGGCTGATTGGCTTTTGCGTGATATCAAAGTCCACTTGGGATATGTAAAATTATCTGACGGTCTAGTCTAGTACAAGTTGGGCTTTGCAACATAGAAGACAGAAGAAGAGAAGCTTGTCCTGCATGCGTCACTATTGGATCAGATGTTTGAGATCAAGCTTTGAATCACGCATGTGGAGACTAGCTCTTTCTTGACCGGTTTTTGTCAAGTTGCCCGTCATTTTAGCCTCTGTACCTTATTAAAAATAGGTAGTAGGCAGACCGCAAAAATCAATGCCCGTGAGGTCCCGTTATAGTGGCCGATGAATCGATCCCGTCTCCGGAAACACCTCCGGACTGTCCTCCGGAACAAATCTTGGGAGCTGCAAGATAGCCCCAGCGCCAATACAATTGGACGTACAGAAGTGGAGAGAAATTGTTCGCATCTGGATCTTTCTGACTGCTACTGCCGATGAATGTACATCACCTCGTGGCCGGGTGACAGGCGTCTGATGGTGTTTGGCATTTGCATTATGTGGTGTCGTTCTTCTGGTGATTATGGCCCGGGCCGTATAAATGCCTCCCCCTCCACTCGCCAGGTTGAAGAAAAAGGCCCGGATCTCGATGTTCAGCGAATAGACGTCAACCGGGAAACGGAAGGTATCGGCTTGCGGGATAATACTGTCGCGAGTTGAGGCAAAAGAAATCACGAGAGAGGACCATTGTGCTCGTTGTTAAGAGATTAAATCAGATCAGAACAGGTGCATATGGGCAGTAACTGTAAGAGGCTCGTTAGGCGTCGCTTTAGATATCAGGTTAGGTGCTTAGCGTAGTGTATTGTTTTTTGTCTATATCGCCCTGAAACCATCAACGGCTTTTGAAGAACAAGGTACATGTGAATATTGTTACACCTTGTTTGGTAAGGTACGACTGGTTGCGGGCACCTAAAATGTCAAAAAATGCCCCTCACTTGCCGTTTTTTCTTATCCCCTCAGACCCATCCTTGTCCTTGTCTGTACAGTACTTGCCTGTTTCTTTCTGTCCAGCTTCTGTCTCGTTCCGTCCATTACCTTTTATAAGACCTCACCAGTCTCTCCCTTTCCACATTGTTCCTTCTTTTTCTCGAAACTGTCATATTACTCGTGTCTTATCATCAAATAAATCTGACTGATAGACACCAATCAATCTTGATTCTTCAAATACTCGACTGTAGGTCTCCGCTCACCACGCTCTTCTCCAATTAATCGACTGACCTTACGCGCGATAGCGTCATCGTTCCGCTGCTCAACAACCCAAAGCTCCTTACACTAAATTCAAAACCCCACTGTCTACTGGGGATCTACGCCTCTCGGCTTTGCGCCAGCTGCCAGGTCAATTCCCTGCCCCTCCACAGACCATCGCATCGAATCGACCATCGACAAAGAGCCGCGACGACACCGATCACACCGAAGTCGAGCCTTTTCTTTCTCTCTCATATTTTTTCTTTCTTGACATTTTCATCTTCCAAAGCTTCATCTTTGAATCCCTTCTTCCAGTACAGCCAAAATGCCAGAGACCGTTGGAGAGAACGGCAACGCCGCCCCAGGCCGCCTGTTACTGCTTTCTAACCGTCTGCCCATCACCATTAAGCGATCTGAAGATGGCAGCTATTCATTTTCCATGTCTTCTGGTGGTCTTGTCACTGGACTGAGCGGTCTCAGCAAGACCACCAGCTTCCAGTGGTACGGTTGGCCTGGTCTTGAGGTCCCTGACAACGAAGTCGAGGGCATGAAGCAACGACTAAAGGACGAGTACGGCGCGCACCCTGTCTTTATCGACGACGAACTTGCCGACAGACATTACAATGGTTTCTCAAGTAAGTGGTGGCTTTCTGATCCCTAATCATATTTACCTAACAGAATTCCTTCAGACTCGATCCTCTGGCCTCTTTTCCATTACCACCCTGGTGAGATCACATTCGACGAGTCCGCCTGGGCCGCATATCAAGAAGTCAACCGCCTCTTCGCCAAGACCGTTATCAAAGATGTTCAGGACGGTGACCTTATTTGGGTTCACGACTACCATCTGATGTTGCTCCCTCAAATGCTCCGAGAGGAAATTGGCAACTCAAAGAAGAACGTCAAGATTGGTTTCTTCCTTCACACACCATTCCCCAGCAGTGAGATCTACCGAATTCTTCCCGTACGAGAGGCGCTCCTTACCGGTCTACTCGACTGTGATCTTATCGGTTTCCACACATACGACTATGCTCGCCACTTCCTTAGCAGTTGCTCTCGCATCCTCGAGTGTCCTACGACCCCCAACGGCGTTGACTGGAACGGCCGCTTTGTGACGGTCGGCGCTTTCCCTATTGGAATCGACCCTGAGAACTTTGTCGAGGGACTGAAGAAGCCGAAGGTGCAGGAACGTATTGCCGCTCTCAGCCGCAAGTTCGAGGGTGTCAAGCTCGTTGTTGGTGTCGATCGCTTGGATTACATCAAGGGTGTTCCTCAGAAGCTGCACGCTCTTGAGGTGTTCCTCACCGAGCACCCAGAATGGATCGGCAAGATTGTTCTGGTTCAGGTCGCCGTGCCTTCGCGACAAGACGTCGAGGAGTACCAGAACCTTCGTGCTGTTGTCAACGAGCTGGTTGGTCGCATCAACGGAAAGTTCGGCACCATCGAGTTTATGCCCATCCACTTCCTCCACCAGTCCGTCAACTTCGATGAGCTCACTGCCCTGTACGCCGTTTCTGATGTCTGCCTGGTCTCATCTACTCGTGACGGCATGAACCTTGTTTCTTACGAGTACATCGCAACACAACAAAAGAACCACGGTGTTATGATTCTCAGTGAATTCACTGGTGCTGCTCAATCTCTCAATGGTAGTCTTATCGTCAACCCCTGGAACACAGAGGAGCTTGCCAACGCCCTTCACGACGCCGTCACGATGAGCCCCGAACAACGAGAAGCCAACTACAAGAAGCTCGAGCGTTACGTCTTCAAGTACACAAGTGCTTGGTGGGGTGCCAGTTTCGTTGCTGAGATGACTCGCCTTAGTGCTGAGGGCTCTCAGCCCAAGACTCTGCGCAACGTTTCTGGCGCAGTGATTGGGTTGGAGCAAAAAGCACAGGAGGTCGTTGCCGGACTCGAGAAGAAGGCGGACGAACTATTGTCGAGCAATGGGAACAAGGAGAACGAGACAAGCGAGGAGACTTCCCAATAAAACGGTGTTATTAGCAATGGGGCATGGGTATGAAAGGACGAGTTCACGAGTTTGGGTTTAAGCGGTCATGATTTGGCATCTCTTTTAAGTGTTCTATTTACTATGTAAACAAAATTCAACGACTTTGTCGTCCTCTAATCCGTGTTTGACTGTACGTTTCCTGTATTATGTTGACACCAGCTGCTTTTCCAACGTCTGCAAGACACTCAAGCGGAAGTCTTGCACCTTTTAGCAACCATCCTTTCCTGCCAACATCCCACAAGGTGAGTCTAGGTTCTATCACTAGTGGTAGAGAAAGGCGAAGTGAAGAAAATAAACTGAATTGTTTGCGATGCTTGAAGCATCTGCATCTGGTATCTAAAAAAGAAACAAGAGGGTTTAGGTGACCCTATGCCTTGCAAATCCCAAAATTCCACATAACTCCCTTGATCAAACTCTTGCTGCGCATGTACTTGCCACGTCCCTAATCACCCCATTTAATAGGGTGCGTTGACAATATCGTCTTTACCCAACTTGTATCTGCCACTATCATGATTTCCAATACGCGATGAACCCCTGCGCGAATCGCCTAGTCGGATATTACCAATGATGCTCTCACGGGTTGGCTTCTTGAGACTCTGCTTCGCGACCATGTTAACTTCGTTAGGCAATGCGACGATGACATTCTTGTCTGAGCCGAATTTGAAGTCATCAGCCTTGACTTCCTCCTCGTAACGCTTGATCTTGTACGCAGCCTTCATGCCGCGGAGGATTCGCTTCAAGTTCCATTCAATGATATAAGGACCTGTGGCGGTGATGATACTTGTTTCTTCAGCGCCTTCACCAGTGTTAAACTTCGCAGGAGTGAAGTCAACGGGCTTGCCAGTTTCATGGTAAAACTGAGCAACGTGCTCAGGGGTCAGTGCAAGTCGTCGAGGATGAGGCTTATCCGTGGCCGCGAACGCCTTCTCGAATCCGAGCTTGCCTTCGTTCTTGCCAGATTTTTGCTGAGCATCAACAAGGAGAATGTAGTTCTTAGTGGTGCCCAGAATCCATCGGCCGTCAGCAGAGACGTCAATGCCGGTAATCGGGTCACCCAGAGCAGGAAGTTGGGTCTTAGCTCGAATGCCAAGACGATCAAAGAGTCGGATATCTCCCTTGTTGCTAGCGACAGCAATGTAGCCCTTTTCGGTTGTCGCAAGGGCTGAGAAGTCATTCTTGGATGCGTACTGTTTCATCTCTGCATCTACAAGTTTGTTTCCTGACAGTCGAGGATCAACGCGGTACAGGGCGTTGTTTGAGACACCCAGGAAGGTCTGCTCAGACGTCATTTGTGCAAACTTGTTCTCGGGTGCGAATGTAACGACAGGAATATCGTCATGGACGTTCCACTCGTCGACGACCTTTCCATATTCCAAATCCATGCGGTAAAGCTTGTTGGGGTCAATCTCGTTTTGCAAAATGAGATCGCGATCTTCGCTGTGCAACATGACCTTCTTGGGATTCATCAGTTTACCTGATGGAGTGGTGACCTTCGAAATGTTGGTAGAAAATTCAAGGTGATTGTTAGGCGTGTGCTTGAAAACACCAATCTTAGAGCCGCGCACAACAAACGAGCGGTCGTGCTTGTAACCAACTGCCAGTTGGGAGTTGACCTCGCCGTCAGCATTCTTGGGGAAGCTGCTGTCGTTTTCTTCATCGCTGTCGTATTGTTCGTCTCGGGCACGGTCGTCTTCGAGTTCCTCCTCCTCCTCTTCCTCCTCTTCCTCCTCTTCTTCTTCCTCGGTTTCAGGGGCGTCTTCCATTGTCAGGTCGCCAAAGGCATCGAGAACGTATTCGCGCTCCTTATCTTGCATCTTTTGCCACTTGGTCTCGTTGAGCTTCTCCCAGATAGCTTGCATGATAGCTTCCTGGAACTTCTCAAGTGTGGGCTGGTCCTTGAACCGGAGCAGCCAGGATCGTGCGGTTCCATCGTTGCTGAAGTGGTTGAAAACAAACGAGAGGTATTCGAAATCAAATACAGGGTTGAAGTCGGCGACAACAGGAGTACCCAGGTACGCCTTGGCGCTGGACTCGATCTGGAGCCAATACTGCCACTTTCCAATTTCCGAGACCTGAGCAATAACAGAATCATCGACAAGAGCGAAATGCCCAGGCTGGGGATCAAACACATGAAGCTCTGCAGTGACAGCAGCATAGATCTCTAAAGCCTCAGGGGGGTTGTTTGCATCGGGTCCGGTCAAGACCTGTGGCTCGATCTCCTGTTCAGGAACAACTTCCGGAGCGACCTCCGGGGCACGCTTTGCAGCAGAATTGGCGGTGGTCTTAGACAACATATCGTCGACAGACTCGATAGATCGAGCAAGTGTGGGACTGTGAAGGGGGCTTGCGGGTGGAATAGGGTCCTCCTCCTCAAATTCGAATTGCTCGAGGTCGGCCTCTGTAGCAGTAGAGCTTGCTTTGCGGTACTTGCGTTCGTATTGACACTCTTGAGCGACTCGGACGAACTGCTGAACTTGCGCAGAGGTCACAGATGAGTCGCAAACAAACTGGAAGAGATCACCGGTATCGCCGCTGAGGTCCTTCCAGGCAAGAACCTTATCACCAGTCTCTCGAATCTCGAAACGGAAGGATAGAGCTTCGTCTAGAAGGAAAGTCTTCTCGTCTTTCTCGGATGCAAGGGCGTCGATCTCTGCGTCTTCACCTTCCTCCTCAGCAAGAAGTTCAGCTTCACCCTCCTCAAAGACACGCTGTACAACGAGTTGGTATTGGAATTCTTGGTTGGTGCGACGGATGCGAATGGCTGAATCTCGAAAGATGAGTTCGGAGTAGCCCTTGGGCGATAGAGGTCGAACGAGGTAGAGCTGGCCTTGGGGAAGCTCGATCAAGGTCTCTTGTGCGCTTGAGCCAAAGATAAGCTTGCCGACTAGAAGCAGGAGAACGTTAGTCGGTCTAGGGTTTTATATGAGAAGTTGGAAAAGAGAAGATGGTGTGAACAAGGAAGTGACAGGCTGAAACCCAATATCCAAACACTCTGGTCTTTGAGCTGAAGGTGTAGTTTGTTGGTTCGGTTGGAGGCAGGAGAGGTAGGGATGCTGCGGGGCAATTACTTACTTCCTCGTAGGGCGAACATGCTGATCCTGGCCTTTGAAGGCAGAAGAAAGAAACGGAGAAAGAGAAGGTTGCAAGTTCGTGGTTCAACACTTGGGCAGTCGTTGGGCTCTGAATCCGAAGCTTCAGCGCGGATGCGATTTCCCTAACTTTGAAGATGGAGAAAAGATAAGTGAAAGTGGGAAAGTCGACGATGCTATATCGGTGCACGACGAACTAATAAAAAGCTGTGACGTGACGATAAGACACCAGGGCAGGAGCGGGTAGAATCAGGCAGGTAGGCAGTAGGCAGTCAGGCTCCTTCTCGTTCGCTACTGGCTCTTTCCTTTAGTCTTCTGCTTGTCTTGTGACAGGCCGATAGAAGGGAAAGTGCAGCTTTGACAGCACCTAACGTCAGATTTGACTGGTCCAACAGCTTAGGGGCAAGATCAACCGAGAGCGTGTGCAAAGGGAACAAACTGCGTCATAACATGGAAGGAAGTACTGTTAGGAAAAAAGACTGTTGTTTCACACCTTTTTTCTCTTTGTGTACTTTTCTTTAGCCTTGGTTGGAGGGGTGAAGGAGGGGTCGTTTTTGCCACGATTGGCATGCGCCACAACCAAGCTGTCGTGTAGGTTAAGGTTCAAAAAATACGACGGACAGGCTTACCACAAAGCCAACTAATTATTCGCCTATCTCCGCCCAGCTTTTCTTTCACCTTCACAATCTAGAGAGAGGCTAAGGCGTACGGCAGTGGGGAAACTTGGTGACGGTTTCTGATGTGGAGATTGCTTCACTTTCGTTGTCTATTCAACAAGATTCTTTCGTCCAGATGACAATGTCGAGTGATCAGTCTTAAATCCAGCAACATACTAACTGTTTAAGGCTCAACAATAGATACGTCAATTAGAATAGTTGACAAAACATGCAGTTTCCCTATCATATATCTTATACGTAGCATATGGCTTTAAATAATAAACGATCGTGAGATATAGTGACAATACCCAAAAAGCAAGAGTAATGAGAGAACAAAGAAATTGAGAGAACAAAGAAATAAAACGATCCTAGATCAGCAGCAATTAGAGCTCATTATCAGCCTGGACTTTCATACCTTCCACCTCTTGCTCCAAGGGCCCCTTATCATCAACAGCAACAAAGGTGTCGTCTGGGTGAGAGATCCCAGCAAATTTGTCAATAACAAGTCGAGCCACGTTTCTACCCATCAAAGCGCTGGTCTCCATGCATGATATGAAGCTCTCAATACCAGAAGTGTAGTATACACCCTTACCAATGACAGGATCCTCAAATGTGACACGAGGAAGCTCAATGGGATAAGAGTAGAATGAGTGAGGATAATACCACGAGATGGGTCCAGACATATCCTGTTCCTTACCAGAGACGATTGACTCAGGAACCTCAGTGCCCAAGATACGGGTGAGAAAGTCAGCGGTGACGGCCTTGGGCGAGAAGATCTTATAGATACGTTCCTTCTGACCAGTCTTAGGGTTGACGAGGTACTTCAGCGTGCTGATAGAGTAGAAGCCGGTACGACCAACGCCATCTGCTCCCTGTTCTGCTTCCTCACCCTCAGCCAGGGTCGTGTAGACAGTGGCGGGTGCCTTGCTTCCAGGCTTGAGGCCAAAAAATTCAGGGTTCAGTTCCAAAGACGATGCAAACAAGGTGACATGAAGCTTGGTATAAGGGATCTCATCGATTTCGCGATCAAGAACACCTTCTCCAGCCTTGATATTGCTAAATTGCCATGGGTTGGCGATGATGATGTTATCGAACTCAACACCATAATGTTCAGCAGCAGCATCCTTTGAGTGAGCATCGGCAGTTGCAATGACGTATTTGGATGGCGAGGATAACTGTGTGTCTTTCTTGGATTTCTCGATAGAGGCCACTGTCACATTACGGTAGACAGCAGCTCCACTGTCCAAAATCATTTCCTCGAAGATACGCCAATTACCTGATTCAACAGACATAGCATTGTCTGTCGCTAATGAAACCTATTTTTCAATTAGTATTAAGGCTAGAGAGAAATAAAGTGCGATCCTACCAGAGTCTCCAATCCATGGATGTAAGCCAAGTTGGAGGCATAGTTGACTCGCGTGGCAACCTGTAAGATTTCACGGGCGAAACGGGGGTCAATGTTCTACGCCATCATTAGCTGTTGACAATTGACAATCCAAAACGAATACACTTACAGCTTCTTTCAGGACCTGCTCTCCTGTAAGAGCTGTCATTCGGTTCAAGCCCAACTGCTCCGATCGTTGCGAAAGTGATCTGAAAGGGAAGTATGGGTCTTCATAGAGCTTCAGGAACTCTCCGATCATGCCATCCACAAGTTTCTTGACCTTGTAAGGTGATAGGCCATATCTCCAAAACATCTTGGCCAGGTCCCATCCTCCCCAAGACCCCTCAGTTGTTTGGAATACGAAACTGTCACCATCCCAGATGGCTGTCATGTCGTCGTCCTCAAGTCGGTGGGGCTCACTAACTGGGAGCTGGAAGCGTCTGGTCGCATTGACGAGGATGGGATTGGCACCGACAAAGATGGATGCTCCTAACTCTATAGGCAAAGAAGGATCATTGTAGGCAGAGACCGTCAACGATCGACCTCCAATACGGTCCGTCTTCTCAAAGACGGTAATATTAATAGCAACCCCCTCTCTCAGAGCATATTCCTGTAAGTGAAATGCTGCCGAGGACCCTGCAGCACCAGCTCCTGTATTTTCAGGTTAGTTTATGTCAAATCTCAAAAGAACAGGGTTGACCAGTAACACCCCGACAAGTTGTAGAAGCATGTTGGTCTAGAACCTGTCCTCCACGGTTGAGTCAAGGTACGAACCAATGATAGCAACATTCTTTGCAGCTTCAGCTCTGCATGACACACTCAACAACGCTCCGAGCAGAGCGGATCTTAGGGTCGTCGAAAGATACATCCTCATTCGTGATAGGCAGACCAGAGACGGATGGGTGGTTGCGTATCACGTCAGCTTAGACTGGCATGGAGGGACGTTGGGTGAGTATCTGTTCACGTGACATATCAAGAGCATGGTCTCACAAGCAGAACGCAGATCACAAGTTTCGGCATTAATTATTATGCAAAATTGAATTCACTATAAAAGGCTTCGAGTCGGTATACTCATATCTGAAGCTTAAGAGGTACGTGCATGTTGGTTCGTCAAATCGACGTTTATTAGGTCTCATCGTAGGATGCATACATCACGGGTAATGAACCACTACAACAATGAAGAAAAGAAGATAGTGTTTGAACTGTAAATTTGGTATCTTGATATATAAAACTGGGAGCCACAAGTATTTCATCCTTATTGAATCCAGAAAAACTGTTACCCAGGCCTGCGCTATTTTGCAACCCTTCATCTCATAACAAAGATTACCCAGGGAATCATGATCCTTCCTCTCTAAACGCCAAGCTAAATGCGAGTTATGCAACCTTCCCTTAAAAACAGAGATTCATAGTCATTCTTTGACTGTATACAAATATGTGAAGAAAAAATATTTTTTCGTTCCATACGCAACCCCGTAACCCCAAGTAAAAATCGTGAAATATAGAATAAATGTTATAAACATATTGGATAAGTGTGATATTAGGAGCTTTCGTCACTACTGCTGTAGCCGCTCTCGGCAGCGCCAGCAGTAGCAACAGAACTATTATCGTCGTGTGATAGCGCCGGGTTTGCGCTGTTACTCTTGCTTGCACCCCTGGCAGTGCCGGCAGCCGCAGCAGCACTACTGGTACGGCGGGCGGCTTGTCGAGGACGGTTGGGCAATGCCTTTGGGTCCCGAGTGACTGCGTAAATGTTCTGGTTGGGCGAGTCATCGGGCTCATCACCCTCTTCGTCCCCACTGCTAAGATCAACGCCATCAGGATAACCATCAGACTGATGTTGCAATGTTCGCTGACCCATAAGATCCCTCAGTGACTGAGACATATCAAGATCATCCGAAACATCATCGTCATCGTCGGCGGTGGACTCGCTAGGACTGAATGGTGGGAAGAAAATGGCAGGAGGTGGCAGGGAGACCGGTGTCAGTCGCTTGATGCGGCCTGACATGTACTCGATCTCAACAGGAAGGGGACCAGCAACGGGCATGGTTTTCGAAACGCCCAGCTTTGGAGAAGATGTTGTCATGGTTTCCATACGGCGAACAACCGCATCTGTGTTCTCACTAGTTCTGCCAATGGCAGCCGAAGACAATTCATCTTGCTTGGGTCTCTTCGTGGAAACAACCACCATGAAGTGATCTTCTGGAAGAACTCCTCCCAAGCCGCAAGGCTCAAGAGGGTAATGCTGCATGTATTGCGCATTGTTGCTCCAGGTGAAGTCCAAATCAATCTCGCTGGCGTCGTCGGTATCGTCTGTCAGACTTGGTGGGTCTTCGCTGTCGATTTCCATGGCTGAGCTTTGCTGGTTAGACAAAACCCCACGATCAGTCAATGGCCGGTAGTTAAGAAATGATCCAGAGTCTGTTCGTCGGAGGGGCGAAGGAGGAACCTTGAAGTTATCCTTGTCCGTTTCTGTTTGACCAGCCCTCATCTGTGTAGTGGGTGACATGTCGCCAGGATCTCCAGAGAGATCTGTGCAGAATGGAGCACCACTGTAATAGATGATAGCACCATCATGGCGACGCTTCTTACGACCGGACGCACCGGAGCCGCTAAGTCCCCATCTTGATTCGCCAACGTTGCTTTCCTCAGGGGGACCAAACGACGAAACAGTCTCGTCAAGCGAAGTCTGGCCACCTGATGATTCTTGTTGCGCGAACAAAGGCTTGTAGTGGAAGCTTTCGGAAGGAGCACAAAGTTGCGGGTCGTACTTGAGACCGTTCTTGCTTGAGCTCCCTGACTGAAACTCATCGCCTGTAGAGCGACCTGTTTTCTGACGCTTATGCTTGTTTTCCGATCCGTCTTCGGTGTCGTCTGTTGAGGGGCTCTTCTGAGAGTTGTATCCAGAGCTGTCGCTACTGAACCTGGTTCCCTCAGTTCCACCACGCCATCGAATTTTTCGGCCATCAGGTGACAATTGGAATTTCGTGCTCATGCCAGTGACAGCAGATCGAACGAAATCAGGTGTGACATTAATCATATGCAGCTGAGCCAGATTGCACAGCAAATTCAGGTAAACCCATCCCTCGGCGTCAGGATGAACATCATGGCTGTGCTGCTCCGCTAACAATTCTGGTGGCACTAAACCGAGATGACGGATATAATCCATGTTCTCAGCCGGCACTTGGGCACGGTCGGGATCTAAATCTCGGGGTCGTGTGGGCCGTTGCTCGGGTAGGGTTGTCATTGGAGGGGAGGGGTTTGTGCCTGAACCAGTGCTGTTGCCATTACCGCCAGATTCGGTGTTGTCTCCATTGGAATTTGATGCAGAGCCGTTATCAGCAGATCTGCTCTTTTTACCAGAGTGACCGGATTGCTGTTCGGTAGGGAGAATTCGAGCCTCTCTTGTTGCTTCTTTGCCGCCGGTTTGCAACATAGGAGGTTCGTGAACCAAAGAAATCGAAGCATTAAGAGCGTTTGGTTGTGTGTCCGCAACAACAGGCGCTAGAGCAGCAGAACTGCCACTAGGCTGCACAGGCTGCTTCTTCACCACGTGGCGTCCGCCAATCTTGCCTGTAAACAACTGTTCCAATCGACGAACAACGAGCTTCTTTCTTTCTTTGTCGGTCATGATCATATGTCGTGGATATAATCCCTCGGGAATATCGCGCAAATAACTCTCGACTGCCTCTGACGACTTGGCCTGCGAACCCATGCTGGGACGACTCAAAGAGGTTCCCGACGACTTGGCGCCGGTGGACATAGAGGCGTAGGCCGAGTCGGCTGGGCGAAAGTTGGAGCCTGAAGACGACGATGCATGCTTGGATCCGGACCCTGAGTACATATTATCGCGGTTAGCATGGCGAGATTTCTTCTTGTTCTGTGTCGACGATGCATCAGGAGATCCATCGAGACTGGCCGCAAAATCTCGAAGCGTAGCCTCTAGTTCTCTCTTCTTCTTTTTGGGAAGGCCATGACACTTGATCTCGAACAATTTCTCTTTTCGAAGCATATCTGGACCTGTGTTCTTGTAACGCTTAAGCTCCTCTCGAAGTTTTTGAATCTCTACCGTGAGGTCATCGATGACGCTTCGGTAATCATCTGCACTGCTGCTGTGAGCTGCTGTGAGCTTGGGGGGTGCAAGCTGATGGTGGTTGTAATATGGTTTATCTTCATTTGAAGAGTCGGATTCTTTTTGGAAGAAAGGGGGATCGACTGTCGATGGAGTCAATATGCGTTTGTTCCCTTTCTGTGATTTTATTGCTTACCTTCCATAACATTGCTATCGAATGTGGCTGTTGGGTTCTGGTTCGATTGATCAAACCATGTGTTGGGATCGCTTTGGCCGGTCTCGTTGCTGTCACCTGATGAATTACGACGAGGTGATGTTGTTGTTGTCGTCTTGACAGCGGGCCCTGAGCCCTGACTAGCCTTGAGTGATGCATCGCGTGCTAATCGGTGATGGCGAAGAGTGACTGAGTTCGCTGGTGATGTTCGTCGGGGGAGCGGGTGACCGGTCTTGGAAGAAGACGGCGGCGGTTGCGTTCCGTGTGAAGTATTTTGGTTGAGTGGCATTGTCTTTCATATAATTCAGGTATGAAATATTGATGGACAATTTAGCATAATCCAGAGTGTGAGGCAGTGAGCATGTCGTAGAAAATGGTCGTCGAGATGTGTTCTGGTATAAACGCCAGGGTCCGACGATCCGTGACGTAGGGCCTAGAAGCACTTTGCAGCGAGCTGAGAGCCTGGACGTCAGGGCACTTATTAGCACAGTTCATCCATTAACAAAAACAACAAGATGATGTCGGGTATGAGCAATGAAGGTTCTCGCAAACGACTGAGACGGGTTGCTATTGGCTGTTGGGGGTTGAGGGATCGATCGATCGGGGCTTCATCGCCAAATGACGAAAGGTGATGATAGACCAGTTACACGGTCTCAAAGAGGGAAAATGCCGGGTGTTTCTAGGACACTTACCTTTGCTGAAATTCACCTAAAAACAATTAAACCCTTTAAATTCGGGGTTTTAAATAATCCCCAGTTTTGTTCCGATTGAACGATCTGTCGATGGGGAGATTTCCCAAATGTTGGTTTTTCGCTGTCGCGAGTCTCGAGCAGTTAGAATTCAAGCTTTCTCTCCACAATCAAATTGGATCACAAAGTTGGCGCATCCACTCGTAGAATCGCAAGCGTTTCGGTGTTACTGCTTGGCCAGATTCACGTAGCTCTTGTAAGCTCAATTTGGTGACCAAAATCGACGATTCTGAAAATGCCAAGATGGTGTAGTCGTATTGTCGAGTACAATTAAATCTCGTGCGGCGATAATTGAACTTGTTGAATGCTTGAAAAGCAAGTTGTTGTCGGTTTTTGTTTGGTATTCAAAATTCGAATCGTTCCAAGATTGTTGTGTTGGCGATTCGTAGACGGGCGCGTATGAAGTGATGGTCGATACCGATCAGATCAGGTTGTTGTCGTCGGGAGTGCCGTAAGGGGAAGTATGGTCTTTACGCAGCAGCGAAACCACGCGGACGAGTTTCCAGAGACCGAAATGTCTTTTTAAAAAAGAGAAGTGGTGGAGTCTGGTATTCCAACGGCCGATATATGAATAGACCAGGGTTGCTCAGGGTGGCACTCAGGTGGCACTCAAGCCGACGGGGTGTGAGTGTGAGGGTTGGTGGAAGTAAGAGAGCAGCAAGCAACCGTTCCACGACGGCAGAGGGGAAGGAGAAAAGAGGTCTGGGTCTGCTCTGGAAGGGAATTTGGTGTGGTATGAGTAGGATGGGAATTCAAGAAGCCGAGCCTAAGAAAGCTCGGGGTCAAGTCAAAAGAATAAAAAGGGTAGACAAGCCACAAGTCGGAAAGACCGTCGTGGTAGGATACTTAACAGAGCACAGTCTGTTTAAGGCTGGAGACGGATGGCAAGTTTGGGAGGCAAATCTCGACAGTGGCAGTGGGTAGAGAAAGAAGAAGGCATTCAGGTCCTCCACCAGCGGTAGCAAGAGTTTTGGGTACGGTACAGCCAAACCAACTCTGAAGCATGCCCGCCAGGCCCAGCCAGAACCAGAACCAGTGCCAGGGTACCCGAGTCCCGGTGCATAGCGGCGGCATCGCAAGGCGGCGAAAGGAAGGGTTGAGTGAGGATTTGCCAGGTTGGGACGAGGATGCAAGAGCTAGAAGGTCAGATCGAGCCCTCATTGCTCCGATTTCCAAGTCGCTGGAGAAGCATAGGGATCAGAGACCATCGGACCCAGAAAAAGCCAAAGCAGGGACCTCCTCTAACGGGCTCGACTAGTGCTGCGCAATGGGTGTGAGGGTGTTATAGGAAGACCCCTTTTTCGGTAAAACACGCCAACCTGCTCTTGCTTCTTGTGAGTCTGTTTCCCGAGCAGCCGTTCAGGATCGTTGATGAGGCTTGTTAAGGTCACGCCCCGCTACTTGTCACCTCGCTTACGCCCCGACTTTGTCTGAGTGCGGGGGCTAGCAGAGAGCATTTCAGCCAATGACGACCCAAGCCAATGAAAAGAAAACAGGGCCGGTAGCTCGCGTACTAATTCCGTGGAAAGAATAGCCATGTTTTCTTTCACCCGTAGCGTCGAAGGCTGCTGATCTTGGTTTCTGTCTGTCATCGGTCCTGTAATCAAGGCATTTTTGGCTTGCTTCCAGACCCAGACTCTTCCTGCAAAGCCAAGTGCAACACGAAACGGCGCACCGGAACTTTACTTTCCCTTCGTTACCTACCGATACAAAGTGACATGGATGCAACCTTTGTTAACGATAGAAACATTAAAGAACTGCCGAAACACGTGCTTTTGTTAAATACGATGCCTACCTAATTCTAATTCTTGAAAAGGCTTCAGATCCCAATTTCAAAATGGTTCGATCCATACTCAAGTGGTAGATGCCCTCTTTTTTACTTGATTGTAACCCCACCTACCTAGGGGACAGTTAGACATGTATTCTGTCAGGTTGTGGAAAACGATACTCGCTCTCGGAGGTTACTCCTGGCCAACACCCACTTTATACCCGACTCAGCTCTTCCTGGCAAATGATCTCCAGCCACCCATCAATAAGCGAACCTGCCTGCTCCTATTAATCACAATTCAATATCACGAATCAAAGCAATATTATCTCACTTTATCGTGATATCTTTCCTGCAGCTTTAGTTGGCACTCGAGACCCTAACCATGATCCTCCTCACGATATCCTCTCTTTATAGACGTTGTCCTGGCACGACTCGCGGGGAGGCGGACCTCTCTGGTATCCACGCGTACCTAATCCCTGAAAGCCTCGTGAACCCGTGAGCCCCCTGTCCAGCGGCCCAGACGCTTCTTCAACAATTCCATTGTATTCTTCTTTACTGCAGTTGCTGTCTGCCGCACCTCACATTTTGCCAGTATATTCCAAAAGATAATGAATGAGACGGTGGTCTTCTCTACTCGAAATATGAGCTGATACCCTTTACACCCCTAGTCCTGCCATCAGCTGCCATACTGAGGCTCTGTTTTGCAGATCACACCCAGTGTGACGTCGATCCCAGTGAGAAATTTCAGGGTCCTTGCAAAATCAGGCACCCCGAGACCCTGCTTGAAGCAGTTTCGAACAGGTTCTCTGGCATTTTCCTTGATTGCTCGCAATACGCGGTCAAGGACACGAAACAAGAATTCTATTGATGCCGTGAAATTAAGGTTTACCAAGTTTCCCAGTGTTTAAAGGTCACGAGACTTGGAATCATGAAGATTGATAAAATGGTTCCAGTGCCAGTTCCAGGCCCGATGATTCTCCGCAAATGCCCAGGCCGGCCTCCAAGGACAGGGGAAAGTTCCCGCAACACCAAAAATGCATCTTGGGCTAGGATGTGCACACCCTAAACAATCTTTTTCCGTGGCAATAACATGCCAAATCTCGAGATCACAATATCGAATTCTCAAGACGATAAAAAAGCCCTATATCGAGTGGCAATAGTCACTTCTCGCGCGTCTCGCCACAACTCTGTTCGGATCTAGCGACCGAAATCAGTGTGATTGGATAGATTGACGCTCCAAGTCTTCTCGATCTTGAAGAAGCGCAGCGTTAGCTTGGATCGAACTCCACGGGACGACCCTTCGTGCAGGAGTGGCTGGGGGACGATGGTGGTTATGCTTGAACAAAGATGGCTAGGGTCTGTCGACAGCATCCAATCGACCTACTTGCTTAGGGAACGCGATGGTTTAGGTCCCTTGGCTTGAAAGGTTGATACCTGCATTCATATGTCGATCAGAGTCCCTGAAACAGTCACAGCATGCTCCATCATCGAGGACTTGGCTCGTTCTTATGCCTAAACACGATTTCCGGATGATGGGACTTTGCAACAATCTCCATGTTGATCACCCGTTGGTTTCGATATCGAAGTTGGCCACCCCCTTGATCAAAGCCGATTGGCATTCCGCCGTGGTGGATTCGTTCGAGGCCATTGTCAGATGCCAATCACGGAGATACTGTAACCAATTGTCCCCGTCGAACATGAAGGATCGTGGGTTGCGCCTTGGATCTTTGGTGTTGCATTTCTAGAGGAGTTTAAGATCTTGTCTATCAATCCAACCCACGGCAATCTCAGCTTGTTAGTACACGCGATGATCGTGCTTCCACACCTGAGCATTGCAATACCCTCCATGATATTTCGGGACGGCCCCATGAGGCTAGTGATGGCTTTCACGGTGCACATGCGATCATTGAAGCACTTGCAACGGATAGCTAAGATTCCGTGTTAGTGTTCTTGATCAGCCTGCCGGATTTTCTCACATGCTTCTGCTACCCTACGTGGCCGTGTCCAGAAAGGCATAACAATACGCTGAATCACCGTCACGCCGTTCACAATCTATTACTCGTACGCCTTGTCTTTATCTCGTGCCACAGACTACTGGAGTTGACACGAAGCACAATTACTGTATTTGGTGTATCACTATACCCACCACGCCATAGGTCAGCAATCCACAGGCTCGATTGAGGGTCTCGACTCTGAGATTGTCTCTTATTCCCGCCCGATCTTCGGGACGTTGCCTTTCCCCCACGATCGGGAACCAAAATTCGGTACGTACACAACGGTGTCATCGATGTACGTGCATCCAAAGAGACATCACACGCATTCTTCTTTTGCTGCTGGACCCCTCTAGCTCCCCTATTAGCTGCTCTGCTGCTACAATTCTGTAGGACCCTTGGATTCCGGAGCGGGCTCTCCGGTGTCCCTTAAGACAAGGGTTCTGGAGATGCTCCGTTCCCCTGGCAGGGTTTCTTTGAAGCCATGCGGTCAGCCCCTGGACGATGTCCAGCGTTCGCATTGGGTGAACTCAAGCTACTCCGTAGTGAGGAGAAGAATGTGGCTCGTGAGGTTGCACAGATCTGAAGCATTGTGGGCTTCTGATCGCCCAGGATGCGGGAGCTGATCTCTGATCTGGAAGTTGGAATACCGGCGGTATGTCCGAGGCCTTTCATTGGTTGTTGTAAGTCAAACTCTGCGTGACTAACTGCGGTTTTGAACTTTACGATAGTTTTTCTGGCGCAGTGTCTTCGCTTCGTCGTTCTGCGAGGAGATCTGACATAGCGTCTGCCACGGATGTCTAATCCGGCCCTTTGGTAGTGCTGTCCCTATTCCCTGCAACTTCTGCCAGGCTTCGATAGATCTGTGGTACCAGATATATGTTCCTGCTGATCTGGTCTAGGGTCAGATTGAATAGTCAGCTCAACATGGATGTTGTGCATGCAAGGCCCTAGTCAAGGATTCCAGACTACATACATACAAACAGGCCAGCATAATGGGATAACACACAAGTCAGGCATTAGAAATAGCGACTGGCAGCTCACAGGAAGGTAATTTTGGATACCTTCATCTCATTCGCTGTTTATGATTCCGGCATGTGCCCGGTGCCCTGCAGCTATTGCTGTCTTTTTTCGACCAGTAAGAGACTCCATCTCATAACCTAAATTCCTCATGAACGTCGTATTGCCTACCTAAGATACAATGGAAAGAATGTATTGTTATGCATGGCGCTCAATAAGTGTGCCGTTCCGCCAAATGAATGTTCTCTCTCTTTTCCGTCTTCCAAGGACCTTCCTTGACTTAAACATCTAAGCCTCCCTGGGAGACTATAAATTTTTACTGCCTGTGTAGTCCAGTGGCAACAAGTCGAGTCAAAATCACAGAATGCATGAGTAATGGACTTTTACATAAAGCTAATGCTGAGTCATTAAAATTTCGGTCAATAGATACTGTTCCAATTCGAGACGCCGGGGAACTGAAGTTCCTGGCTACCTTATTTTATATGGGTTTCTTGATAGCCTTTCATGGGGACTAAAGCTGGCTTATCTCCGGTATTAGCTAGTCAACTACATAGTCAATAGATGGTCAGAACATAAAGCTGAACAGTTCTAGTAAGCAATTCGGCAAGCCTAACAAACATTAGCATTAACTTATGAATGTGATTTTGCTGAGTGTTTCGTTGGCATTGCCACTTTACCCACCCTATACCGTCGTGTCGAATACGATGACCATAGTACTTGAAATGATAGCTACAGCTAGGAGACATGAAAAACGAGTGATAACCATATCCTGATTTGACCATAACAAGATCTATAGCTTACATCTGGATACAATCAGTACTGCCACTTTACTTAGAACAGTATCATGGTTGTTGACCCATTAAGTCAGTCTTGTCAAAGAAGAGGCATACAAAGTTGAGAAACAACGTTATCGTTCTCTATTCTTGGTAATTTTACTGTTTTAAAACCATCGACTCTAAGTCTATCCAACCGAGCATAACTTCTACCCTTCCTCAACTCCAAAAACCAGTCATCGACTGGCCAACCAACACTCAACAAATCGCTAATACTACTACCACTACTACTACACCATCCCGTAGGATTCTTTTTATTTAGGAACGTTTAGTCGTCATCGTCATCATAATTAAGCCTTCTCGAGAAGGGACTTCCCGGTCATCTCCTCGGGCTGGGGCAGACCCATGGCAGCGAGGACAGTAGGGGCAACGTCACCGAGGACACCCTTGTCGGTCTTCTTGAGGTTCCAACCCTCGGGGTAGTTGGCCATCAGAAGAGGCACCTTGTTGGTGGTGTGGCTGGTCTTGGGCTTGCCGTCAGGGAACTTCATCTCCTCAGCGTTGCCGTGATCAGCAGTGATGAAGAGGACGTAGCCCTCCTTCTTGCAACCCTCAAGAATCTTGCCGATGGCCTTGTCAGTGGCCTCGCAGCCAACGACGGCGGCATCGTAGACACCAGTGTGACCAACCATGTCAGGAGGAGCAAAGTTGTTCATGACGAAGGGGAACTTCTGCTCGCCCAGACGCTTGACAACCTGGTCGGCGACGCCATCGGCAGACATCTCAGGGGCAAGATCGTAGGTAGCGACGGACTTGTTGGAGGGGACAAGATCTTGAGATTGGTCGCGGGTCTCGAGAGGGAAAGACTTCTCAACACCACCGTTGAAGAAGAAGGTGACGTGAGCGTACTTCTCAGTCTCAGCAATGTGGACCTGCTCAACGTTCTGCTTGCCGAGCCACTCGGCAAGAACGTTACCCATGTGCTGGGGCTTGAAAGCGATCTCGAAAGGATAGTCGCCCTTGTACTGGGTCATGGTGACAAGGGGCTTGATCTTAGGGTACTGGAAGTCGGGTAGAGGAGATCGGTCAACGTCGCCGAGAAGCTGGGTGATCTGGCGGACACGGTCGGATCGGTAGTTGAAGAAGAAGACAGTGTCGTCATCTGTAAACGTTAGAAGCCATTCAAACACAGGTGTTCAGCTTAGCTTACCCTTGATGCGGCGCTCATCACCACCGACAATGATGGGAGTAAGGAACTCATCTCGGTCCAAGTCACCGCCGCGCTCGTATCGAGCCTTGACGGTAGCGACGGGGTCCTCAGAAGCCTCACCCTCACCATGGACAAGACCCTTGAGGGCGATCTCGAGACGGTCCCAACGCTTATCGCGGTCCATGGCGAAGTATCGACCGACAACGGTACCAATCTCGCCAATGCCGATCTCCTTGGCAGTGTCGACAAGCTCCTGCATGTAACCAGCACCGGACTTGGGGTCGGTATCACGGCCATCACCGAAGAAGTGGATGAAGACCTTGGGCACACCGTACTCCTTGGCGGCCTTGAGGAGAGCGTAGAGGTGGGTTTGCTTGGCGTGCTGGAATGATTGTAAGCTACTGATCGACGGTTGAGGATTTGTTCATGATATGACTTACCACACCACCGTGAGAGACGAGACCGCAGAGGTGCAGACGGCCGTTTCCAGCAGCAGCGCTCTGGAAGGTCTTCTTGATGACATCGTTCTGGCTAAGCTCGCCGTTCTTGATGGTCTGGTCGATTCGGACAACATCCTGCCAGACAACACGACCAGCGCCAATGTTCAAGTGTCCAACCTCAGAGTTACCCATGAGACCCTCGGGAAGGCCAACCGCCAGCGATGAGGCCTCGAGCTCGGTGTAACCCTTGGAGTCCTTGTAGAGAGCGTCCATGACGGGGGTCTTGGCGTTGGTGATGGCATCACCATCCTTGGGGCTGTCGGCGGAGGGAATACCCCAACCGTCAATGACGACTGTAAGAGTGCAACAACATGATTAGCCAAGTCACTTCCAAGTATATGAGGACGAAACGAAAGAAGAGAATTCAATCTAATCGCAACTTCTCAGGCAATGTTCAATTAACTGGAGAAGCAGTCTTTTGAATGTAGCGCAAGAGAACGAGGCATGAATTGCTATCGCGATCGCGGGGCATGGAATTGTTTGGAGTTGATGGAGGGGGCGGGGCATGACGACGTACTGAGGCAGGCTTTTTGGTCGGTCTTAGACATGATGGATATTTGTTGGTTCCTTCTGTTTGCACTGAAGCAATAAAGGAAGAGAAAGAAAAAAGAAGAAATAAGACGAGGTATAAAGAAGAGGTTTCGGAGTTGAGACAGATAAGGATAAGACAGGGACGGAGAGTAACTCGGGCCTTGTCTAGAGGTACCTAATAGTCTGAGTAAAGGAAATGATGCGTGATTTGATGGGACTGGGACTGATGATTTTGCAGGGAAACACGTTAGTTGTGGTGGGGGTTTATGTCATGCCATTTAGTGATATGAGTTGTATTGATACTGTGCTAGATGCCTGTAACTTGCCCATCTGTACGGTACAATGATGAGCCCACACTGTAACCCTTTCAACCTCTTCTCCCTCTCTTTCGGACCGTCCACTCAACAACAAAACGGCGCATCGACCCAATAGATGTCTACCATTTACCCACCACCTTCTGCAGCGCGATAACCGTGAAATCATTCCATCTATTTACGGGACTTGAATGTCATGCAAGGCTGAGAGGTTCCACCCGGTCTATTTCCCCGAGCTGCGCGAAAGAGCTGGAGCTCGTCTCAAATCAAAATCAAATCATTGTACTTCACCGCATCCACATCGACCTCGTCTGATTATTTTCCTCCCTCCATCCTTTCCGAGCAAGAACCCTCGAACGGCCAAAGCAGAAACAGAATCGTATCATAAAATCGACAGACCGATCATGTCTCCGTCATCAGCATCAGCGTCCGCGTCGGCTCCTGGCCCACACCCACTGGCTCTACCACCCACCTTCTCTCCCGATACTCTCGATGCCCTCTCCGAGCTTTCCCTCGTTCTAGCGCGCGTCCGCGCCGGTATCCAGTCCTCCGCCGGCATAACTACCGAGCCCGCGCCAGGAACCACAGGAAACAATGCATCTGGACCTACTTTATCTTTCAAAGATGTGCCTGGAGCTACTGACGGGCTAAAACATAAGCTGCAGCGAGCTCGCGGGCAAGTTCGCGAATTGCCTGATATGGACCGATCCATCGCAGAACAAAATGAGGAGATCCGCGAACTTGAAACACGTATCGAAAAGCAGCGAGCCCTTCTTCAACGTTTGAGAGACGAAGCCACGGGACGAGACCGAAAGGACGAGGTCAGCGCTGGTGACAAAATGGAGTCATGATACATAAACGGCGTGTCGAATTATTATGGGTCTCTTGTGATATTTGAAGCGGCCATATAGCATTATCATCTTGTTTTGCCAGCACGGTGTTTGGAGTCTCGAGGTCAAACAAATCATATTTATCATGCTATTGTATTGCTTTCTAATTAAATTGTCGTATATCATTTATCGGCATGCTGTCAAACATACTCAATGGGCTACCCCTCGTCACTCTCATCTTCGCGGGATATTGAGCTTCTTGAGAGCCTCTTCAACGCTTACGCCAGGCTGGCCAGGCACAACATCCTTCCAAAGGTCATCGGCGAGTCTCTCATTTTCTGAAAGGGTGGTCCAGTTGGGGCTATGACCAGCCTTGAGCCATTTGAAATCGTCTACCTGGTCCCACTGGTTCTCATCTGGCTCTTCAGCTTCGGTTCTCTGTTCTTGGTCAGCTGCAAACATACTATGTGAGATGCGAACGAGTCTTACATATGGAGCAGGCAGCGGCGCAAAACGCATGCCAGAACAATCCTCGATGATGGGGTGGCTTCCGCAATGCAAGTAGATGTCAACATTACTGCATTCGTGGATTCGAACTTGTCTGGCCACAACCACAATAGTGCTATCTGAGACTCCTGTGATATGGACTGCGCCATCAACACGGCCTCCAACAATGAGACTCTTGGACACATTCTTGATAGCAAGACCAGGGAATGCCGAGCCCTCAGTTGTTGGAATCGACATGTCGATGATGCAGCCCTTGAGATCAGTCAGACTGCCAGATGACGTTGCGCGTGACGCTGATGATGGCAATATGATGTGTAGGTTTGAGTGGTTTGTGATTCCGATGTTCTTCGCTGCTGAGAAGCTGGGCTTTCGAAGGGACGAGGCGCTGGGTCTTTCCATCTCCTCGTTGTAGTTCTTGTATGTCTCTTTAGACGGTAGCTCGCTGAGTGTATCCTCCTTGATGGGTGGGGGGCTGGTCATGCCAGTAGTCACAGTTGAATCATGCTTCGTGCGTGAAAGACTTCCAGGACTAAGACGAGGATCGTTCTCAGGAGCACCCATGTCGACATGATTGGTCTTTGGGCGACGGAATTGGAACTTTGACTTGGGTGCGATCCTGATTATGGTCTCGTTGAGCTTGTCTTGTAGAGTCTTGATAGTCTATGCAGCATATTAGTCAGATGCTTTGACCGGTGAAGCTGACGATCTAACCTCCGAGTATTGCTTTCGATCATAGGAAGGAGTGTAATCAGCAGCATCCCCGACCTCGTTCTGTAGCTTTGCAATGCTAGCTAGGATATGATCAATAGCCTCCTGGCGCTCACCACCGACATTGGCAATGGACGGCAGTTCATCGATGAGGTCTTGGAGAACTGCACGGCACAAAGTTAGGCATGAGAGGCAATATCCCAATCACTGAATTCAGTCCTCACCTGTCACGCTCTCCAAGAAATGGTGGTAGAATCGCTGTTTAGGATCCATGGTGGCTGATTGAAGAATGACCTGATGGGTGGCAGCCCAAGGGTCGTGAGGATGGCTTGCAGTTTGAACCTGTGTTTCCATAGTGGACAAAGTCAATATTTGTTATTTACTGAATAGTCACTTTCTCAAAACTTGTCTTGAGAAGAGCAATGGCATGACAGGAACAGCAGTATTCCAGTGTTTATATACTGGCGACAATGCCCTCAAGCAAGGCCATAGCCCAGAAAAGGGACCATGAGCCGATCCCTCCAAACCTGGAGATTTCTATGCATGGGGGTCAATCACTTACCAGGAAGTGAAATAAGCCGCAGCAGGTGATGCTACAATGCGCTTCTAGCTCCTCCCTACCCCAGGATAATGTGGTGCTACCCCTCGTTTCCGTACGACTTTAATTTTGCTCCCTTCAGCTTTCAGGGTCACAGTGATGAACCGCCGGAGTCAAGTTAGTGACGTCAATGCCACCTGATGGTGCAGTCGAGAATGGGAAGATGCTGTTCAAGGTGGTGGCCGGTGAAGTAGCAGTTGGCCCTGGATGACTGTTGTACAGAGATGGATGGATGGGATGAAATAGGTGGATGGTTGATGTATTGGCGGGCGTCACAAAGCGTGGGACGAGAAAAAGAAGTGGTGTTGTTGATGAGAACGTGGCACCACCATCTATATATCAGATGGGTCTCGTCTCTCATGGAAGTTGAGTTGAGTTGGAACTGCAACTGAAAGATAGTGGAGAGAAGCTGGGGAGGGTTCTGGACCCTTGACTAAGTGGTGGGGTCATGAATTTAGGTCAGTCGAACCTTTGAAGATACCTGCTTCAGTATCATCACCAACAAATGTTGAAGTGGACCAAGAAGCCCACGATCGAGAACTTGGAGGGGACCCTTGAACATCTGACAAGGTTTTGGTTTTCTTCAAGACCCTGTCAGTTTGTCACTGTCACTGAAACAACAAGCTTGTCGTCATTTGACTGCCGAGCACTAACATCAACTAACTTGTTCTGGTCTCCGCCGTCAGAGAAAACAAGCTTGACGTTCTAAAGGGTCCTGGCTGTACATAGTAGAGTTTCTGTGTTTCTTTACAGGGTTAGCTCAACGCCATGCAGCGTGGGGAACGTTGCTGTGCCGCTAGGTGATGGTGTCTTGGTGTACACTACAGCACAATGTTACACGATTGGGTATTGAGACAAATTGCCTTGATTACACTGGTTGTTCGTGATGGTCAGTAAACCACCAAGATCCATGCCATCTTGATCAAATCAGCAGACACCATCAATCTTCATGGACCATAGAAAGGCCCGAGATGTTCATCTTGGCGAGGGACAAGTCATGCAACTCGAAGGGCCGCTGATCCGGGGATGCGGGGCGAGAAGAACAACATGGGTTTACTGTTGTAATTATTATTAAGCCTGCATCTTGTTTTGACGATGATGGAGTAAAGCAATTGCAGCCAAGCTGTAGAATGATGCCTTGATCTATTAGCGTGGCTCCCACCTTTACGATGATCGCCAAATCAATACCTTCATGCACTGCTTGATACGAGTCAGACTCGGCGCATAAAAAGTGCATCCCCTTCAAACCGCTGACGTTGTGAGTTACACTCGATCCCTCGATCGATCTCGTAGACTATCCGACTTGGCTAGGTAGTTGTCATAGATTGGTTTCATCACTACCAGTTCAACAATTCTTAGTAACAGAACCACCACTCATTATTATTCATACATCAAACAGTTTATATGTCTATCGTTTTATCTAGCCCGTCCATTATTCGCTGAAGTTCGTCTTCCCCCATTGGGCAATGGCGGGATGTAAGGTATCGGCATTCGCTTGGCTGGTCTTGTCTCTGTGTTCAACGCCTTCCACATCTCCCAAATAGTCGCTCGACTGGCCGGCAACATGCTGTATTGTAGACTATACAATTTCTTGCGGTTGATGGGCGGCACAAACTTCCCAGTAAGAAGGCAGAAGAAGACTTTAGGCGAGAGGTAATGCTTTCGAATGCGGTTTGCCATCTGAAAGTATTGATTGAACATGATTCGGAATGTCAAAGGGATTGACTGATTATAAGTTAGCTGCTTCCAGGTAATAATAATTCAACATTACCAACCTTGAGGTAGATGACCGAGGTAGGGGGCGGCCCATCAGTGTTGCTATTATTCGTGCCATCGCGTCTATAGTCGTGGGTATCTCGAAGCTCAAATCGTATGCCACCAGGAAGTCTCCTCGGGTCTTTAATTCTCAACATGAGTGCAAACAGCGGAAAGTGATTCAGACATGAGAGGAGGGTATCAAATCCAGCCTTAAGAGAAATGATAGCCATCCTCGCAATGGCAAAGTTGAGATAAAACACAGCAACTGTTGGCAGAAGGAAGAAGAGTAGTGTGAACAGGATGGTGCCGACAAGAAGTTGATCCAGGTCATAATCGCAAGAATCGATACGGTTGCGAAGAACGTTGTGCTTTTTACCGCGGAAAAGATGGAAGAGAGATTGAAGTATCGTAAGCTGCCAATGGTATATCCTTCCAGATGCGAGATAGAATGAATAGATGTGAATAGTCAAGGTCGAGAGCATATCGGAGAACATAGCAATTGGCATGCTGGCGCCAGCGAACGAGGAAAATCCTATAAACCACACCATCTTGGGCAATGCTGGAGTCAGGGTTTCAATACAGCCTAGAATTCATTAGTTGGTTACATCCAATTGTTATCTTATAGCCCAAGACGACTTACTAGACCAGTAGTCGATGACCCAAAGGAATAAATCTCCCAGAAAAGCTGCCAATTCGCCATTGAGTTTGAGACCAGCAGGCCAGCCCATCAGCCATGAAATACTGCTTTGGAGTGCATCGACCGTGTAAGTGCGCAGCAGATCTCCAATCTGCATGGCAACCCAGTCTGCGTTCTCAATTATATATGATCCCAGTGCAATGCCAATAATAACATCATTAGCAACGAGCCACAAACTGTTGTAGAAACGGATATAGTCCGGATGGCTTGTCGTAACACTAGCCCAATTGTTCTTTCGCTGCCGCAGAGTCATGTACTGCATCGGCCAATAACAAAACTGTTGAAGTCGTATCTCAACTTGTTGTGCTGTGGCCGATATGTCCTTGAGAGCTGCGGCGCCAGGCTTAAGCCGGAACTCAAGCAGCATGAGCAACATCTCTGCCATTATGCGATGACCCATAAGAACTAGAACAAAGGTCTTGCGTATGGTAGGGAAGAGATATAGCGTAAACCATGTCCACAATTGCAGTATTACATAGTTTCGCATTGTCGATGCTGTCTCTACCACCCTCTCAGACACACTAAGGCTGCGTCGTGGTCTTGACCCCAATCGTCCCACATTCTTTTGCAATGTCTTCTCAAGTTCCCATGACCAGTTGATCTGATTGATGATCTTGGGCAGAGCTCTGTCGCGCGCAGAGGGTACTCGTTTGAAGATGGTGTGTTGCTTGAGTTTCTCGACCAGTTTGCGCTTCTCCTCCTTCATTTGCCGTTCTCGTGTCTCCTGCTCTCCTTCCGCCACCGGTGCGTCACCTAATGATGAACCGTCATGTCCAAGCGCTAGAGCGATTGGGTTTAATGATACGTATTGCATCCCCTGAGGCTGAGGACGATCGTAGAGGATGAGTTGTACACTGGCAGCCTTTGCGCATGTGATTTGTGGCTCTCGTGGGTTCGAGTTTGTTGTCGCGCAGAACCAGGAGGGGTCTGCCGCCGCAGTGTCGGTAGCATTCGAGAGTCCAAGCACATGCATTGAGCTGTGGCCGCACATTTCGGTGATCTGGCTATTCGGGTGGAGTTCGCTGCGGAAGAAGGTACCGGACTTGAGATGGAATTCAGTATTTCGTGCCTGCTAACGGTCAGTCTTGTCCCCGTGTTGAACCCAATGCGTCGGACTAACATCAACATCTTCAAGGATGGCCACAACAAATACGTCCAGTATAGAATTGCGCCATCCTACCACGACTCCAGGGCGATCGGACTTGCGAATGTCCGTCGGCCAGAACACTCTCATCAACCCATCATGCTCTACCATGACCAGCAACTATGTCGGCCAGAAATATATGACTAGAAAGAACCACGCCTTCTAAGCTGCTCCCGCGCAGAGACACCGGCTCCTATTCGTCGTGGATGCTGAAGCCATCTTGTTAGCCATTGTCAGCGGCGTCGGGATGTTGCAATCGAGCGTACCAGATTCGTTTCTTTTCTGGCTAGTAAGACGGTCGGAGCGCAAATGGCAAGGAAAAGGACAGATAGTGCAGCAAAAGCTTTTGTTGCGCGCGTCTACATGGAGTCGGTTGTTAGCTTCATACATATCGTTTGCGCCTTGACGAGGGGCTTTGGTAACTTACGACGACACCGTTTTCCCAGGCAAAAATGGCAAGTTCATAAAGACGAGTAACCAGATCCCAACGGGCAGTAATGTAGCCAGCGACGAAGATGCCGAGCGTCAGAATAGAAAAGGGGTGCATAGAAGCGCTATTCCTCGTGGCAGTACATGCCGTCCTCTGGTGAAAGCTTAGAGGATTGGATATTAAAGTCTATTTGTGCCAAGCTGCGGTAGTGGGTTTGCTGGCGGGATGAAGCGACAGACGGTCAAATCGAGGGGGCAAGCGAATAAGTCGATGCAATTGCTGGATTATTCGGCAATTCAAACGAGTGGACTCCCGTCGTTGAATGGAACCTCGAGTCAACAAATTCTAGAAGGGAATAGGAATTGCCAGCTCAATACAAAGAGATTGAGTTGATTGGTCCCCCCTGCGTGTCGTCCCTTGAGCTGTAGAGCAACGTCAAGATTGAGCTAACAGTGGGCCACCCATAATTTCAAGATCACGTGTGATTAGCGGTTTGATTCCGCAGTTTAGAGGGCGATGACGATGCAGGCAGAGAGTAGCATCGTGAAGGTGATACTTCAATGGTGATGAAGGATAACATGAACAAAGATTTGTATTCTATTTCCCGGGTAGTGAGTAGGATTTTATATCTCGAAAGATTAGATCACTGAATATTGCAATGACAGCCACCAACCTCTGCAGTTACCAATGCCGTATTCGCCAATACAGATGCATCTTATTCTATAATCATGTTAGCAATGTAGTGAAATTGGATATTAGAATAACGTACTCTTAACCCCTAGATGTTTCAAGTCATTCTCTTTGTTCTCCTCACGAGCCTCGGCCACCAACTTATCCACGCCTCGGTCTTTCAGTGCAACCTATGGCCTTTGTAAGCAAATGAAGTCCTTTGAAGCTCAATCGACTTACCTTGAGACAAGATTGATATTCTTTGAACATATCTGCGCACTCTTTGTTGTCCTTTTCTTGTCCTCGAAGGTACTCTGAATCTGATTAGTCTTGTCCTGCCACTGACAAAGATGGATAAACATACTCTCACTGTACCATTTTAAGAAGCAGGTATCATAACGCCTAAAATTATGAATTAGATGAGACTTGAAATCGGTAGTCAGAATTGAGCATACTCCTTGATTTCGTTGCATTCTGGTGCTAATGAAGCTGACATATTGAGATGACTGGGAAATTGGAATTGGTAAGTGATGTAAGTATTGAAAGTATGAGCTTAGGTCTAAGAAAGATGCCAAGTTTAGTAGCCGCACTCCACTAGAGTATAAGAGCTACAGCAAGTACCTCAGGTTGAACTTGGTCCATGAAAGCCTAGGTATACTATAATTGTTTCTACTGTTGGATGTATCTAGGTATAGAGCTTCATTGAGACTCAGTCTTCTGCTCATTAGATGCCTATTAATAGTCCACAAACAATGACAATTTCATTGCGTCGAGTGTAACTCAATAAGACAATCGGAATCAAAGGATTGTTAGTGGCAGGTACAAGCTTCTATTGGCTAAAGCTCCTACCCGCTCCGGGAAACCCCACAAAACCGTCCAAGCTCACCCTTGAACTCTTTGTCGCGTCTGAACGCGACTCAAACTGAACACACTCGATCGATTCTTCTTTATAAAGTCCAACAACAATTTCGAGTTTTCATTTTCGTTTTTCTTGTAAACTCCGACAAAATCCAAGACTATTAATAATCTGATCATAAGTCTATAACAACTCAAAAATGGCCCCGTCAAGTGACGAAATCCGGCAAGCACTGCTTGATGCGACTTATCAAGTCTATCAAGCTACACCCGAAGAGACTACAGTAAACAAAGTCCGCAAGCAGACCGAAGAGAATCTCGGTCTCGATGATGGTTTTCTGTCGAGTGAAGACTGGAAGAAGAAGAGTAAGGATATCATCAAAGAGAGAGTCGTAAGTTTCACTTATAGCCATTCTTATCCCATTCCACAAACTCACAATATTCTTAGGAGAAACTTATGGATGGATGGACTCCCGAGGAGAAGAAGGAAGATGCTTCAGACGGAGAGGACGAGAAGGCTGCCGGCATGAAACGTTCTTCTCCAGAGGCCGAATCCCCTCAGCCAAAAGCCAAGCGTCAGAAGCGTTCGCCTAAGGCAAAGCCTGCGCCTAAAGCAAAATCGAAGAAAGCTGCCAAAAAGGGAGAATCTGATGCAGAGTCTGAGCCCACTGAATCTAGCGAGCTCAGTGAGCTGAGCGACATGAGTGAAGTGGAAAAGCCCCAAAAGAAGCGGAAGCAAGCAGCACCAAAGAAAGCGGCACCCAAGAAGGCAGCACCAAAGAAGACAGCGCCGAAGAAAGCGGCACCAAAACGCAAATCAAAGAAAGCCGTCTCCGAAGATGAGGACGAAAATGAAGATGTTTCCATGAACTCGGATGCTGGAACGCCTTCAGAAAAGGAAGATGAGGTTAAAAAGGACGAATCAGCTGATGAGAAGGCAAAGACTTCTGCAGATGACCAAAATGCGGATGAGGGAGAAGGAAAGTCACCCGCAAAAGGAGGCGAGGACAAACCGGTTCTTGACGATGAATCAGAGCTGTCAGACGTGCTCGATGAGCCCCCAAAGCCCAAGCGCAAGAAGAAGGAAAAGAAGGAAGGCGCAAGCAAACCAGCAAAAGCACCTAAGGCCGCCGCAAAGAAGAGTTCTGTGTCAGACGACCCCAACACTGAGGAGATCAAAAGACTACAAGGCTATCTTGTGAAGTGCGGCATTCGAAAGCTCTGGCACAACGAGCTGAAACAGTATGGTGATGACGCTAAAGCCAAAATCCGCCACCTGAAGAAGATGCTCTCCGATGTTGGAATGGACGGCCGCTTTTCAGAAGCCAAAGCGCGAGAGATCAAGGAGAGACGTGAACTCCTTGCCGAAGTTGAAGCTGCTCAAGCAATGAGTTCCATGTGGGGTGTCGAGACAAGTGGCCGTGCAAGCCGAAGTAAGAGCAAGGGCAAGAAGATTGTTGAGAGCGACGGTAGTGACGCCGAGAACAACGACAACAATGATAATGATGATGACGACGACGACGACGATGAAGGAGAGAGCTCATATGCCGCGAGACGTAAGAGAGCCAGGGCGGATTTGGCATTTTTGGGCGATGATTCCGAGTCCGAGTAAGACCTTTAAGGAACTCTACCCCTATTACTATTGCATCCATGGGAACATAATTAAGGACGACGGGATGTATGATGAGCAACTTTGTACAACACAACACAGGATTAGGGAAATGGCAATTACTTGGGTTTGTTTTCCAATTGTCTCAAAATAGCTAGGCGTTAGTAAATAGCCTCTGTCCAATTGATATTCTTTTCCTTTTGATATACTATCCAACTTAGTCGGACCACGCCTTGTAAACGGTTCTAGCACCGTATGTCTCGCCCTTCTTGAGCAGGACCTGGTTCTTCCACTCAGGCACGTTGGCCGCGTTAACATATCGAGCAGGCTCACAGCAGAAACCAGCACGGGCTTTGCGGGCAGGCAGACCGTTGACGGCGGGCACGTTAATACCAGCTCCGGTGTAGATCTGGAAAGTGGGCTCAGTGCTGTAGACTTCCAGGTTGATGCCGGAGCCACCGTGGTGGACCTTGACGTTGAGGTTGAGGGGTGAGCTGCGGGTGTCGAGAGGTACAGATGAAGGCTCCTTATTGAGGACGAAGCAGTGGTCGATGTTGGGCTCCTGGGGACCAAGGGTGAAGGTCTTGTTGGCTTCGACGCCAGGGAAAGACTCGATCTTGCCGGTGGGAATGAGATCATCGCCAACAGCGAGGTAGCTGGCTGTGGGAAGAGTCATTTCTGTGTCGGCGATGGTCTCCTTTCCGCTGGGGTTGAAGTAAGAGTGGTTGGTCATGTTGATAACAGTCTCGTCAGCACCGCCAGTGAGCTTGGCCTCGTACTCCATGGCGAGAACAGTGACGTCCTTGCCGTCGACCTTTTGTGTGCCGGTTGTGTAAGTAACGGTGACCTCGACGGTACCAGGGTATCCCTCCTCGCCATCCTCGCTGGTGAGCGTAAAAGCAACGCTCTCGCCGCCCTCAAGATTCTCTACGCCAGGAACCTCGCGGGTACCGACAGGCTTGGGGCCGTCCCAGACACGGCTGCTCCAGCCAACTTTGCCGCCGTGGAGATGGTTCTTTCCATCGTTGGCAGCGAGAGTGACTTCCTTGCCGTTGAGGCTGCTGATGCGGGCGTCCTTGATGCGGTTGGCTACGCGACCAACGGTCACGCCAAAGTAAGGAGAGTTGTGCTTCTCATAGTCTTCTTGTGTGGGGAAGCCCTGGACGATGTTGACGCCGTTGACGACGAGGGACTGGATAATGGCGCCGAGAGGCAGGAAAGAAATAGAAGAGTTGGCCATTATGATCTCACTTTTATGGGTTAAGATGAGGATATAGATTTATATGAGGGTGTGGTGTTGGGTTTATATAGTCTGGTTGTTGAACAGAGCCAAGGATGAAAGAGAACAAGTAACTAAGAAGACAGAATTAAACTGATCTGAGAATGCAGCCAGTTTTATATAGGTACGTATACACGTATACAGGTTGTATCTTTGTATAACTCGACTATGGGATGTGGGATAAATGGGAAAAGCTGGGGGACCCATCATGACACTCCATCTCACGACTTCAGGCTAAACTGCAAATGGGGTCATGAGCCGTGGGGTATGTTTGTGTCCTTTAGTGAATAGTCCAATTAACTATGAGTTCTTTTTCTGTTTATGCCTCTGAAACTTCGGTCGAACTGGGCCGAATACCCCCGATGTCATGGGCAAGAAAGTGCCGCCTTGTGAGAAGTTCGAGTGCGGGGTGTTTGTGTCATGGGTGCTCCATCATATCACATAATGAGTGGTGCGGTTGTATGACCAAATATTAGTCCCAGGCTTGTGGTAGGCTTGTGCAGTAGTGTATGTGTTATTATTCCATAAATGAGGCTCAAATTAGACTATGCAGTACTTCGGACTGTTTCATTCGTTCTATGGAGACATTCTGTGTTGCTGTTGACAGGTTGAAGGTGTCTTTCTAACCCATGATCGTCATCATGGAGCTATGTCCATTGGTTCCACAACTAAAGTCACAGCTGCAGTTACAGTTACAGCTACAGGGCAGCTTGGCATAGCAGATGTAAGCAAACACCAGGACTCAACCAAGATTCACAATAGGCTAATATCAAATAGAGCAGGCAGATATTCAAGTGGTGATAATGTACTTTCTAGATTTGTGTAGTATATATACGTGAGAAGTGTGTCCAAAAGACACTATCAACTTTTTGTAGCTCTAAAGATGCTATCAAAATCATAAATCGCGAGATGTGGTATCTTAAATAAACAATAAATCCAAATCATGTTTCCCAGCATGAGCCAACGCTCTCTTTACCACTCCAGGCGGTCGTCACAGACCAGCTTGACGTCGAATCGCTCATTGCCCTTCCAAACCTGTCCAGCAGAGTTGCAGCCAGCCACAATCGTGCGCAGGTCGCTAATCATGCCTCCAGGGCCGCTAGCAAAGACGGTTGTGGGACCAGTGATGGTGTTGCTCACAAAGTCGTTGACAAGCTTGGGAAGGTTGGGGTGACGGTCCTCATCCTCGATACCTTGACCGATCTTGCGGACAGGGACGTCGGTGCCGCAGGCACAGCTCTCATCGATCACATCGGAAGAAGAGGATGATGAGGAGGGGACAGGTCTAGCAGTATCCTTGGCATCCTTCTCGTCCTCCATTCGGACTTGGGAGCCGGTTCTGCTGCTGGCGTCTCGTGTAGCGTAGACTCGGATCTTGAGGTTGAGGGCCTTCTGAGCTTGTTGCAAGAGATCCATCTCTTCTTGAACCCACTCAGCGTCGGTAGTGTGACGGATAGCCCAGATGAGCTCAATCTTGCGGTCTCGGGAGATGGGTGACCGGGCAAGTTCGAGGAGGACGGGGAGGACATAGGCGATACCAGTACCACCAGCAACACAGACAATGTTGGTGTCAGGTGTGACGTGGTCCATGGTGGACTCACCGTAGGCGCCGGTGAGGATGATGGGTGTGGTAGCTGTCTCAGAGGTCTGGAGCTTCTTGACGGCGAGCTCAGCCATCTTCTTGGTTTCACCTCCACGAGCGCGCATGATGTACGAGTGCTTCACAACGCCATTCTCGACGTAAGGAGCGTTGATAGGAGTAAAGGGGTGAGACTGCCAGATGCTGCTCTCGGTGAAGCAGAGGAAGTAGTGCTGGCCAACCTTCCAGGCGTCTTGGTCGTTCTGGAGATCGAATCGGAGAATGTCGCCGTGTTCCTCATCGGGGAATCGAGTGATAGTGGCATGGGCAGCTTGGAAACCCATGTTTCCAGAGGGAAGGTGGTGGTAGTGGAGGTAGGCCGTTCGAAGGAGTCGGAATCCACGGTCAATGAACCAGAAAAGGAGAGATGGCAGCAGGAAACACTTGAGCTGCTTCCAGTGGCCCCAGCATGCGCCAATGTAAACCATGGCGAGAACATAGTGAGACTTGCGGAAGAACTCATAGCCTGTCATGCGAATGCCCCAGGGTGTGCTGCCGATGAGAAGGAGAAGCAGCAAGGTCATGGCCACAACACCCCAGATCATGTACTCCTGGACAATCCAGTTCGCGGCAACGTCAGGCTGAGGCTGGTAAAGCTTAATCTCGACAATGCACCAAGCAATGGTGTGAAGGCCACTCTGGACAAAGATGACATAACCCAACCAACGGTGCATGAAGATGAAGCTCTGGTAGGGCACGCCGGTAATGAGAGAAAGAACAGACTCTCGGCTAGCCAACAGAACAGATAGAGGAGTCAGGGCGTAGGCCAGAATACCGATTCTATCAGACCAAGGACCAAGAGAAGTGCGAGTGTTGTAGACTCCAGGCATGTTTTTGACGGGAGTGACCCAAGTCTGATAAGTCAAGCCAACGAAGCTCCAGATAGTGAGATAACCGACAAGAGACAGGAGAACGCCAACTTGGAATCGAGTAGTTCGGCCAAAGATGGTGCGGCAGGCGTCGGGGAGAAGATATCGTCGAGTAAAAGAAGCGATGCTGCGGCGGACCTTGGTGAGGCCAGCCTTAGAGTTGATACCGGAAGCAATTGCTGGAGCTGAGGGGATGCCGACAAATCGAAGAATGGCCCAGATGAAGATGATTCCGAGGATAGTAGCCCAGAGGATTGCGCTGTAGAGCATGCTCACATCGTGAGCGTGGTAGACGAGATCAAGGTACTCGCAAGAACCCTTGTCGTTTGTGCAGGGAAGGGCACGATCAGCGTATCCCCAGTGAGGCTCAATAGTTGTAGCCTCACTCATATTTTGGATGTGGCGAGCATCCAGCTCGTTTAAAGACGCCATTGTGAGGTTGTGATGTATAGGTAGGAGGATTGAGTGTGTGGTTGGAGAAGTACAACACCTTATTGGTCCATAAGACTTAAAGTCAGAGTGAAGGATGTCCTGCAACCAACGAACCAGAGAAGAGATGAAGTGAGTGTCAAGTAGAATAGATCATAAATTAGAGGACGAGAGATGTCATTAATAGGTAGATAGAAATACGAATTGAAGGTGTTTGCCGAGACGACCCAAGCCATTACCCAAGACTAAAAGGAATAGAAGGCTCCACTAGACCTGGGCTAGACCCAACATTTGAGCATGTTTGAGGAGTTGTTTAATTGTGGACATGATGATAAATGGGAGGATTCGGAGGTTCTTGGCCCGGCGAAACAATCCATATTGAGTAAACGTTTCCTGTTTACTTGCTCGTCGAAGAGTACCTAGCCTGGCTGCTATCCCTCAAGGTTTTGGAGGGAAGAGGCGAACAATTAGAGTTGAGCAGAAATGAGCACGTTTTACAGGGATTAGAGCCTCAAGATCCACTATAAACCTCCACTATAGTCTTTCTAGACTCCGCAGTACCGGATTTCGAGACTCTCAATCCTCGATATGAGCATGTTTTATACTATCTGCCCATTAATCACTAGTAGAGATTCGGATCTCGCCATGACATGGAATAATATCCCCTCATTAATATCCATCTGTTCCCGCGGCAAGACCCTTAAACACTTGCCTCTATCCTCTCACTGATATCACTTTCTATTTCTCCGGATTGCATCTCCAAGACCAAGAACTCTTGGAACCAGCTCAATCATTCTCAGTGGACCTCACAACTCCTGGCTCATCTACTCTACTTATTATCCCTGAGTCGGCCACTCATTCTCTAACTCAAATCTCCATCTACCCTCCTTGATCTGCTTTTGCCAATACCTCAATCACACATAATTACCTGATAACCACCCACCAAACCAAGCAAATCACTCAGTTATCCCAAACATGGACCACGGAGGAATGGGCAGCGATGGCGTGGCCTGCAAGGTCGAGGTAATGACTGACTCCTAACCCAAAATCCCACCAATTGATATCTAACTTCAAGTCTCAGATGCTGTGGAATTGGAATACAATTGACGCGTGCTTTCTTGCCTCGTCTTGGCAGATCAAGAACCAAGGAATGATGGCCGCTACTTGCATCGGAGTTATCCTTTTGGTAATTCTCGTCGAGTTCTTCCGTCGTCTAGGAAAGGAATACGACGCCCTTCTTCAACGAGGCTTCGAACGCCAAGCTACGACTCACAGCGTTGCTCTCGCCGCCGCCGGATGCACGGGAGCGGTTGTGCCCACGCGACAGACTCTCACCTACCGCGCATCGCCTCTCCAGCAGTTTATCCGCGCCTTTATCCACGCCGTTACATTCGGAGGAGCTTACATTGTGATGCTTTTGGCAATGTACTTTAACGGATATGTCATCATCTGCATCTTTATCGGTAGCGGATTGGGCAAGTTCTTCTGCGACTGGCTTGTCGTGAGGATCGATCTGGAAGGACTAGACGGTCCCGAGGACAAGAACAAGGGGATCGAGGAGACCACGGTCTGCTGTGGTTAGAGTGCGATCTGTTTGATTTCGAAGCGTTGAGATGCGCATGTCTTTTATATACAAATCTGTCATTTAGCGATACCCAGCAAAAGCACATTAGAGTCGAATTCAGTCAGGAATTATAATTACCATGACGTTCATTTAAACTTCTCGAAATATGCTACATAAGAGCCTCCTACTATGACATACAAGTTTTGCTTCAAGACGAGTTTCTGATCCGTTGATCTTATCAACCTAAACACTGCGATTGTGCTCGGTCATGACGCTCAGGCCGTATCATCATAGAGTGTCTTAAGTCATGATACGAAACTGAGCAGAAACCACACGCTTGTGTCATGATCTTGAATTTTCAAGCCGTCAGAGGTGGCAACCTGAAGAATATATAAGTTTAAGATGTCATTGATGACCTTAAGGTCATACAAGTCGGGCATGAGCGACGTATATTGACCTGTTCCTGCAATGTTTCACAAATTTCTTTCCATGTTTCATGATAAGTCGTTAATATAAACATTTCGGTTTCGGCTCAAGTACATTAAGCATACCCCGCCATCAAGGTCGAGAGATGGAATAGATTGATTGAAATGAGACACCTTATTAGCCAGTGAGAGTCTAGCCTCTGAGATATCGCCTATTAATAAGACTAGACGATGTATCACGGGTGAACCAGGACCGAGCGTAACGGGAGCACCAATGTTTGAAGCAATCTCTGTCTAACTAGAACAGGATAGCCAATCGTTAGTAAGTCTATCAAAGCTGATGACATGGATGAAACCTGTCGGCATTTGTGCATTTGTTTGGTGTATGAGCGGTAGTGGAGTAAAACAACTCGAAATAACTTGCTCATATATCTCTCACCTCACAAAGCTCATCGTCTGCCTCAACCGTCGAAACACAAGAGATATGGTGTTTGTATTCATAAACATCTTTCCATTGTCACGAGCAAATAGGCTGAAATTGTCAAGGGGCTGTCTTAGAAGGCCCATATTGGATCTGTGATTTGGTAGCGCATCGAATGTTGAGTGTAAAAGGTCAGGGCGCTCTGAGACGAGGATGGTGGCTTCTTGTGCTCTGGCAGAAGCACCTTAATAAATTATGTGCTCAATTCAGCTCCAACCAACTTATGACCTGAGGTGATTTATTTCCATAACGCCCCGGTCGCCGTCAGATCTACCACGCCATAGATCAATCCACCATCGATATATTGAGTCAGATTGCTATTGTAGGACAACTAAGATATAATACTTGAAGTTCTGTCTGTCCTCTTGGTTACTCTTCATCTTATCTTAATCGCAACCACTTCTGTCCTTTGAATTATACACAGCAATATTCATCATGTCTTCATACTCTTCCAGTCTATCAAGCTCCTACTCAGGATCACCAACTTCAAGCTTCGCTTCTCTATCATTCAACAACCATTCTTCTGGCTTCGATGAAAGCGTAAACAGTGAAGTCGGAATGATCAAGACATGGTTCTCGGTATTAAACGACACCGAAAGAGAATCTGCCCTCACCTCCATCGCTGAACTACCAAGCCTTCGAGAAATCGAGCCCTTGATCCAAGCACTCAAGGAGCGCAAGCAGGAACTCTGGAGACAACAGCAAGCTCTCATCATTCAACCACCAGTCAAGCCCAAATGGGTTATGCCTGCGTTTCCTCACAACTCTCAGGATCCTCGATGGGCTGCCAAATGGCTTCGAGCTTTGAGGCTTCACAAGTATGAGCAGTGCCTGGTTGGATTGTCTCCAGCTCAGGTATCGCGCATGGAAGATGGGGATTTGCAACAACTTGGTGTTGATACTGTTGGTGCAAGAGCCAAGATGCTTCGAGTAAGTATTCCCAACTGCTATTCTTTTGATTCATGTCAACTAACAATGTACAGGCAATCCACAACAGATAAAGATCCATCTTATTCACTGCGCGTCTTATACAATACCAAAGACCAACTGGTTTGGTCATCAATTTGCTTTTGCTTACGACCGTCCCAGAGACGATCGCTCATTCTGAAATATTTCTTTTTAAATTCAGGGTCATTAGCGAAGGAGGAAAGCGTTACCTTTCACACCAAAATTTGTACATAGGCCTGAAGCGATCGATGGATAGTGGGCTGAGATCTGGTTGTAGTGGTGTTTAGGTGGTTTGATACTGGGAATTAGTGGCGTTTGAGCATGGATTTAGGGGATTGGAAAAATTAGGCTGCATCCGGCATTGCACAAGTTGGCGTAAATATCAAGACAATCTTTCACATACCTACTGAGTAGGATTTTATACTGTTAATTCATATCTCTTATAGTCATATCGGCCATGTTATGCTTTTGTACTTTAAGCTTGTGAAATTTGGTGATCAGCGGTAGATCTACGATTCAACTTCGGGCTGTAAATGAATCGAACGTGACCTCAACATTGGATCGGATCCGAACGTGACGCTGAAATTGCGGGTGAATCACGAGGCTGTTACTTGGCCCTGTACTCAAAGTCACGCAGCAATAAGTACAGTAATCTTTGGTTTCTTTCTCACAAGATACAAAGATCAGAGACCCAATTGGATTATACCCTCATGTCACATTCTCCCTTTGTACTCCGCTCTTTGGTTTACGGATACCCTACAGCGACTTACTAAAGTTAAGTGACCTTAATAAGAGCAAGTGGTGCTTGCGCAACGCACCTGCGACTGGTAAAGACCAAAGCCAATAGTTTCAAGTCCAGTTCGATCCAGTCCAGTCCAGTCCCGTCAACTCAGCGGATCCGTTCTATCACCAACGATATCTCGCTCAACCATCATCTGAGGCTCTTTGAACTGACCCTTGCTTGGAGCTGACTTCCCTCAAACAATGTACCATGGCCACCACATCACTGCAAACAAGTAGCACGCCAAAACGCAAGAGAGAAGAAGCATCTGGAACACCACCTGTACAATTCACCTTCGAGTTGGATCCTCTAACATTCGCTTTTCCCTCTCCTTCTACCACTGCACAGACCGAAGATGGAAGCAACAGTCCACGGTCATGGGTCACCCACAAGTTCCGTGGGCTCGCGCTGGAAAGTGGGGGCGGGGCAACCGTCAGCGGCAGTGAAGATAACGATAATCTCATGGACGAGTCGATTAGGAAGCGCCAGAAGCCCGATGAGACCATGAGAGAAGCAGATGCACCCCCGACTGTGCAAGAAGTCGTTGACCTCGATGGAAAATCTGTACGACCTTACAGTGAACCGCTGCCAGATTCCGAAAGCTGTGTGCAAGTCCGACTGAAAGAACCACACCAACACCGCCATCTCAAACAAACAGACGGCAACCTACATCATGCATACCCTTCCATCAACAGATTGTCTGAGTCAAAGTCAAGAGTCAAAAAGAGAACCGGTTCACCACCCTTACGTATGAAGAAACCATCACGACGCCCCTTTGATGACTCAGACCAAGAAGAGGTCCAAATTGTCGACCCCGTCAGAGCCGCATTGACTTGGCACGAAGATGAAATTACTATCTACGATCCTGAAGACGAGGACGATGATGGTGTTGGAATCAACGGAATCGGCTTCAAACCATCCCCAGCTCTTGCTCAAGCCCGCGCCATGAAACGGAGACAGCAAATGGCTGAGTATCGCAAACGAGAGGAAAGCGATGCACGAGCCCGACGTCGCCAACAACGAGGTTGCGGTTCAGGAGTCAAGTTCAAATCAGACGACCAGTCACCACCGAGAAAGGTCAGGTTCACGGATGCGGATGCTTCCAGCATCGCTATCACTACAGGATAACGACATCATTTTGGCGCGTATCAGCATGGAGCCACGGATAGGTTGGACGATGAAGCGGCTATAGACATGTTTGACGGCTACGCAGGCGTTTGGGATTTTACAGGAATTGGAAGCGCTACCTCGATGGGCAACACCATCTCTTTTACCTTTGTCTTTATCTTTGTACGAAACGGAACACAACAATTGCTGGAGAATACATCACAGGCCTCACCCGGCCCCTTTTATACCCTGGTCTCAAAGGGATCACAGTTATTTCGATTTGGTCCTGCATTCGCACAAGCACTTCTGCACCTTTTCTTATCGTCTGGGTGGTATTTTACAGTTTTTGCTTTATCTACAATCCGTAGCTATACCCAATGCAAAAGATATACTCTTACACACAAATAGTACATGACAGCTCAGCTCGATGGTTACCATATCTTGTACCATGGCTTTCCTGCCGCCTTCTTTTCGGCCTCCAGCTTATCGTGCTCCATCCTTGCCTCCTGGATCTTCCTTGCCTGCTCCCTTCTGTTCTCTGATACCACTTCGATGTGTCGTTTCATTTGGCGACGTTCTTCGCGGCGTAGGTACTGGCACCATTCGTATGATGCCATGCTTCCGAGCACAAAGACGCCTACAGCCCAGTTCGCAGCGCTGCCAGCATTGCCTACACTTCTTTAGACTATGTCTGGTGCCATAATGTTTTCCATAGCCGACTGACCTTTAATGACAAACCTCAATCCTCCAATACCAGCACCGGATGCAATTCCTGTAATGAAACCCTGTCGAGCGCAAGGAGTATTCGCAATGTTGGCAAAATCATCCTTCTTGATCATAGACACGGCCTCAGAAATAGTCGGTCGAGTATTCGTCGATGTCGCACCATTTTGTCCGTCAGTCGCAGCAGCGCCGTTTTGTTCTATGGGTTTCGACCAGACATGCAGAGTCTTGTCGCCGGGCTGAGGTTGCCCTTCCTGTGGATTTGAAGCCATTCCGGGCTATATTTGCGTCGCAATTGTTGTCATGAACGAATTGGTGATCAGCCAAAACTTCGACTTTAAGCTGCACGTGCGATTAGATTTGGGGGACCGATGACGCTCGACAATCAAGGCTTGCATCGGGGGTCCAGAAGCCAGGTCCAGACTTTCGACAGGTCCAGAGCCAGAGATGGTCTGTGCTCAAAGTCGTTGCTCTGTCGGATTGTCCATTAAACTAAAGTGGGGTCATCGCGTCGCGGAAGGCGCGTATCAACGCGTCTCACGCTTTACAATTTACTAATGTTCTCTTCGAAGACGGGGGGAACCAATCTCGGTCAAGGCTTTAGGGACGCCCTTCATTTGCTTGTTCCCACAGATACGCTCCGCTCATTGTTGACTTTTCAAATCACTTTTTTCTCTCTGACTATTTAATCTTCACTTTTGTTCTTGTCTTTTGACTTCCAATTCCTTTCTCTATATACCCATTGCTTCCTTCTTTGCATCGCCAGCGACCCGTCCGTCAAACCACCCTCCTTTAGGGGAGCTTCCCCTCCACGACAGTCCCAATGCCTAACACAAGTCTTCGTCGGCCTCAGAAGGGCTTCCGGAGAGGAGGAAAGGTCGCCTATCATGGCAGTCGTACACGCACATTCGCGGCCTCGTCGAGAAACGAGGCCACGTCGGCAGACGAGAAGTGGGAGCGGACTCGGTTGGCGCATAGCATCGATGAGAACATGGGCTTTGAACGCTATGAAAGCGGAAAGAAAAGAGAAGGATGGTTGGTAAACGTTCAACCTACTGCGGTCGAGGACGAACGGAATTCCGGTGGTCGGGCGGCTATAGATTGCTACTTCATCGAGGAAGATGGTTCGACCTTCAAGTCGACGGTGGAATTCGAGCCTTACTTCTTGATTGCTGTCAGGAAGGGTCGCGAGACCGAGGTCGAAGCTTGGGTCAAGAAGGTTCCTGGAGACGGTGTCGTCAAGTCGATTCGAAAAGTTGAGAGGGATGATCTCAACATGCCCAATCACTTGCTCGGCTACCGAAGGACATTCCTTGAACTCAGGTTTACCAATGTCAACGACCTCATGGCTGCGAGGAGGGATATCATGCCCATTGCGGAGAAGAACAAGAAGAACATGAATGCCATGGATGCTTACGCCGAAGTTCAAACGTAAGTACCACTCACCGAACCTGGCAGGACGAAGCTAACAAGACACAGAAATGGGAACGGCGATTTTGACCTTTTTGATGATTCACGAGACGACGACAGAAACATGAATACCGCACAATCCGATCCCAGCGACTTTATTGTCGATATTAGAGAATATGATGTACCATACCATGTACGAGTAATGATAGATTTGGGTAAGTCTTTTCTGTTGTACAACTCCTTTCTTTCTACAAGCTTTACATGATGTTTGCAACCAAGTATTTGCTACTTCAGAGCCTTTACGGCCATGAGACCACTATTCACCATTGCCCTGATTATTGCTTCTTTACACAACTTTATTATTGCTTTGCTCTTGTCATGCATAAGCTAACCAGGACAAACAGATATACGAGCCGGTAAATGGTACTTCGTAGAAGCCAAACATGGCGTCACAAAGATCTTGCCCAACGAGGAGAGATCACTGCCGGCCGAACCCGTTGTTATGGCCTACGATATTGAGACATCGAAACAACCCCTTAAATTTCCTGATGCTGCCTCCGATCAGATCATCATGATTTCTTACATGATCGACGGTCAAGGATTCTTAATTACGAATCGTCAAATCCTCTCCGAGGACATTGGCGATTTCGACTACACCCCTAAGCCAGAATACCCGGGTCCTTTCATGATTTTCAATGAGCCCGATGAAAAGTCCGTAATCGAGAGATTCTTCCTCCACATTAAGGAGGCTCGGCCAACGGTTATCGCAACTTACAACGGTGACTTTTTCGATTGGCCCTTTGTGGAAGCACGAGCTAGTATCAATGGAATCGATATGTACCAAGAAATTGGCTGGAAGAAAGACAGCGAGGATCAGTACAAGTGTAACTACAGTGTACACATGGACTGTTTCCATTGGGTCAACCGAGATTCTTACCTTCCCCAAGGTTCCCGTGGTTTGAAAGCTGTCACTGTTGCAAAGCTCGGATACGACCCTGACGAGCTCGATCCCGAATTGATGACACCGTATGCGACTGAACGACCGCAAACACTCGCAGAGTACTCCGTTTCCGATGCTGTTGCAACATACTATCTTTATATGAAATATGTCCATCCCTTCATCTTCTCTCTCTGTACAATTCTGCCGCTGAGCGGTGATGAAGTCTTGAGAAAGGGTACCGGTACACTTTGCGAAATGCTGCTGATGGTGCAGGCTTACCAAAGAGAAATTGTGCTTCCGAACAAGTACATCACACCGAAGGAAGCTTTCTGGGATGGTCATCTTCTCGACTCTGAAACCTACGTTGGTGGTCACGTCGAGAGTATTGAAGCAGGAGTGTTCCGAGCTGATATTCCTGTGGATTTCGCTGTTGATCCTGGAGCTATTGACGAGCTTCTACATGATCTCGATGCCGCCCTCAAGTTTGTGATTACCGTGGAAGAGAATAAGAAAATCGAGGATGTGGAGAACTACGACGAAGTCAAGGCTCAAATTGTCGAGAGACTCAACAAGCTGAAAGAAACGCCAAACCGTCACGAAAAGCCCTTGATCTACCATCTTGACGTCGCCTCTATGTACCCCAACATTATGACAACCAACCGATTGCAACCCGATTCCATGATTCAGGAGTCTGATTGCGCCGCCTGCGATTTCAACCGACCTGGCAAGACCTGCGACAGACGAATGCCCTGGGCTTGGAGAGGTGAATACATTCCAGCAAAGCGAGATGAGTACAACATGATTCGGCATGCACTTGAGAACGAGAAGTTTCCAGGAAAATTCCCAAGCTCTCCCATGCGGCCATTCCAAGAACTGAGTGCAGACGAGCAAGCCAGTCTTATTCGAAAGCGTCTCCAACTATATTCCCAAAAGGTTTATCACAAGATTCACGACTCAACTACCATCGTTCGAGAGGCTATCATCTGTCAGCGAGAGAATCCCTTTTATATCAACACTGTCCGCGATTTCCGTGATCGTCGATATGATTACAAGGGCAAGGCGAAGGTATGGAAGGGAAAGACATCAAGTCTGCAGTCCGCCGGTGCACCTTCAACCGAAGTTGATGCCGCAAAGAAGATGATTATTCTTTACGACTCGCTACAATTGGCTCACAAGGTTATTCTGAACTCCTTCTACGGTTACGTCATGAGAAAGGGATCTCGTTGGTACTCACTTGAAATGGCTGGTGTTACTTGTCTGACAGGTGCTCACATTATTCAAATGGCTCGACAGCTAGTCGAACGACTTGGACGACCTCTGGAGCTGGATACCGATGGTATTTGGTGTATGCTTCCGGCAACATTCCCTGAGAACTTCTCTTTCAAGATGAAGGGCGGCAAGAAGCTCAACATCTCATACCCCTGTGTCATGTTGAACCATCTTGTCCACGCCAAATTCACAAATCATCAGTACCAGACACTTGTTGATCAGAAGACTCTCAAGTACGAGACACACAGCGATAACTCTATTTTCTTCGAAGTTGATGGTCCTTACAAGGCAATGGTTCTGCCAACATCAAAGGAGGAAGACAAGAACTTGAAGAAGCGATATGCTGTCTTCAACGACGATGGCAGTCTGGCTGAGTTGAAGGGTTTCGAGGTGAAGCGTCGTGGTGAGCTGAAGCTCATCAAGATCTTCCAACAGCAAATCTTCAAATTTTTCCTCGAAGGAGAAACGCTTGCTGACTGTTACGGAGCTGTTGCGAAGGTTGCCAACCGTTGGTTGGATGTGTTGCATAGCAAGGGTACAACACTGGCTGATGAAGAGCTGATGGAGCTTATTTCTGAGAACCGAAGCATGTCCAAGACTCTAGAAGAGTACGGCAACCAAAAGTCCACCAGTATCACCACCGCCAAGCGTCTTGCGGACTTCTTAGGTGAACAGATGGTCAAGGACAAGGGTTTGAATTGTAAATTCATTATCTGCGCTCGACCCAAGAACGCGCCTGTCACAGAACGTGCCATTCCCGTTGCTATCTTCTCGGCAGAGGAGTCAGTCAAGCGAGCATACCTGAAGAAGTGGTTGAAGGAGGAGCCTACCGACACTGATCCTCGCGCACTACTCGACTGGGACTATTACCTGGACCGATTAGGTTCCGTCATTCAAAAGCTGATCACCATTCCTGCGGCTCTCCAGAAGGTCCGCAACCCTGTTCCTAGAGTGCCGCATCCCGACTGGCTTCAGAGGAGGATCAACATCAAGGACGACAAGCTCAAGCAGAAGAAGCTCACCGACCTCTTTAAGAAGAACCCCTTGGAGGATGCCTCAGTTGATGACCTGGAAGACTTTGGCAGCAAGCTTCTGAAACCGAAGCAAGTTAGTGATGTAATTGCGTCCTCTCAAGTTGCCACTGTCCAGAAACGCAAATCTCCTGAGCCAGCTGAGGAGCCTGATCCCATGTCTGCACTTCCCAAAGTCATGCCAAGTGCTTCAGAGAACTACGAAGCGTGGCTGATGTACCAGAAGCAGAAGTGGAAGCTTCAAAAACAGGCCAGAATCCGTCGACGACAATTGTTCGGTGACAGAAGAGGCGGTGCTGTTACCAACCTGCAGCAGACATTCATGAAGCAGGCGCACACTACCTACATGAGCAACTGGCAGGTCTTGCATCTCAAAACGACCGAAACGCCTGGTATTGTCATGGCGTATGTCCTTATCGATGCCAAGATCCACACCCTCAAGGTCAATGTTCCTCGTCAAGTCTTCCTTAACCTCAAGAGTCAGGATCTACCTGATGTTGAAGTTGAGGGCTGCGAGGTCGAGCAAGTCAACTACACTTTGCCCAACGGTCACCCCTCCAGTCACCTCTTCAAGTTGACTGTATCGGAAGATGTATACTTCAACGAGAGTGAGAAGTTCTCCCTGCTATTCAACCACCCTAGTGTTGAAGGAGTCTACGAGAAGCAAGTGCCACTAAATATTCGTGCCGTCCTGCGTCTTGGAAACCAATGTACAGTTGATGCAACACAGCACGCTGTTCTTGGAAAGGGTCTTGAGCAAGGTTTTGACTTAGCAGGTCTGAAGCGACCAGCCAAAACACGAACTTATCTCGAAACATCACCTCTGGCTTATATCTACATCTCGCACATCACAGCTGGCGAACGCCAAATCTTTGGTATCTTCTCTACCACCAACGACCAAGCCCACGTTGTCATTCTCTCAAAGAACAGGGACTCTGGACAAGATCTTCCCAATATCACCAGGATGTACTCCGAGATGCTTGCTAGACGCCATGCCGAAGCCGCTGGCACAAACTGGCAGGACTGCTTCACATACCAGGAGAAGCTACACATCAAGATGACACAAGTGACTACTCGGCGTAAGGCTCATCTGGAGATCAGCGACGTTGTCAAGAAGATGCGCAAGGACGAGCCAAGACCGCAGATGATGGTTATTCAGTCCTCTCAGCGTCAGCTTCTTATTCATGATGTCCCTATCTTGGGCGAATTCCCAGTCCTTCCCTTGAAGTACGATATGGCGGATAGTTCGGTGCCACCTTTAGGTTGGCAGTCTGTTATTGCCAAGCGTCTTGTTGGTCATTACCTTGGTCTTGGTTCATGGATTCTGCACCTAACAGCGTTGGCTCGTTATGGCGATGTTCCTTTATGTAACCTGGAACGTGACGATCCTCGCTTCCTAATCGACATTGCTTACGCCCGTCGCCTCCAGGCCAATGGAGTCGTGCTTTGGTGGTCTCCTGGCGCTCGTCCTGATCATGCTGGCTATGAAAAAGATGATCTTCTCGGTCCTCTCGATACCGTCAAGATGCCAAACATAAATAACCCGGGAACTTTCTCGTCAGTTTGTATCGATCTGGATGTCCGAAACTTGGCCATCAACACTATCCTGACCTCGTCTCTCATCAACGAGTTGGAGGGTGCCGACTCGGTCTCTTTCAACCCTGCCGCTGATGATTCCGAGACACTTGCTTCTGAGAATGCCTTCGCGAATGCTGGTGTCCTTGTGCTTCGCGAGATGGTCAAGGCTTGGTGGACAGAAGCTTGCAAGGGAAGCACCATGGCTGATGTCTTGGTGCAGCATCTTGTCAGATGGGTTGAGAACCCCGACTCGTTCATGTATGACCGAGCCCTGCACTACTATGTGCAGATGATGTCTCGCAAAGCCTTCCAGCAGCTCATGGCTGATTTCCGTCGAGTTGGATCTCAGGTCGTTTTTGCCAACGCTAACCGCCTTATTCTTCAAACCACGAAGGCCGAGGTTGGCAATGCATACGCCTACAGCCAGTATATCATCAAGTCTATCAAGAGCAAACCACTCTTCCATTTCATCGATTTGGAGATCAAGGAGTACTGGGATTATCTTGTTTGGTACGATGAGTACAACTATGGAGGCAAAGCCACCACAGAGGTTGTCGATGCTGAAGAGCAGAACCTTGAGACAATTATGAACTGGCAGATGGCGACATTCTTGCCAGAACAGGTCCGGCCGACGTTCCAAGACTGGGTGATTGAGTTCATTCAACTTATGCACCAGCTCAAGAGACCTCACAATGGCGACCCCGATGCCACACCCCGCCTCACACAGTTACCAAGCAAGGGCCTAGAAGAGCATGAAGGCCAGATCATCTTGGGCAAGGCGTTCGAGAAGCCTTTGAAGAAGGACATCCTCGGTCTTCTCAACAGGCGGAAGCGCGAGATGCTCCGGCCTGAGCTCGCTGGAGATTGGGATTTCCCCGAGCTTCCTGGCTCTCACCTCAACTCACGCGACCCAGTTCTCGAGCTTGTCAAATCACTCATGCAAGTACTCGGCCTTGACAAGAACATCACTTTGGAAGCTCGTCTTCTTCGAAAGGAACTCCTAGCTCTATTTGAAGTACGCGAGTTCTCGAAGGAGGGCACATTCACCAACCCATCAGAGAGTCTACGACTTCCTCAGGTGTCTTGTGATAGCTGTACCATGATGCGAGACCTAGACTTGTGCAAAGACGAGGATCTGTTCGGCGAAGGTGCATCATGGCGTTGTAACTTCTGCGGAACCGAGTTCGACCGTGTCGCCTTAGAAGAGCGCTTGTTGGGTATAGTAGAGAGTTGGATCGTTGAATGGACAACACAGGATCTTAAGTGTGTCCGTTGTGGTGCATTGAAATCCAATGACTTTATGGAACACTGTACATGCAGTGGAGAGTGGAAGGAGATAGTATCACGACAGGATGTGAGCAAAAGGCTTGGAGTTATGAAGAAGGTTGCTGGGTTTTATGAGCTCAGGATGCTTACTGATGTAGTAGAAGGCTTACATGGGGGTTTGTAAAGGAGTTTAGAGCTTATGCATGGAATACGGAGTTGATCAGGTATCAAAGGAATTGCAATGGACACAGATATAGATACATTTGTTTAATAGAATAATGATCTCAAGAATTATATCATCAAATCTTTGGCTCGTATTCGGCAATAGTGAGTACCTTTGCCATCTATTGTGGTGGGTTGCCTTAAGACGTATGAGAGGGGTTAGGCGGATTCGAAGAGGCCTCACTGCAAAAAGGCGAAGACTGAGAGCTGGAAAAGTCGTGCATTACAGCGCTTACCTGTTTCACTTCAAGTGTCTTTTTGCTTTGCAGACGATAAAAGCCCGATATCTGTATCATTGCCTACCTCATTAGCTGTCAATTGCTGTATGTTAGATCTAGATAGCTCTTTCCTGTGTAAGTGACCGTAAGGCTGATTCGAGGAAGGTACAACGACACTAACCTCCTACCCTACCTGCATGGGATACTCCACTGTATCGTAATGTGTAAGACGGAAGGCAGGTACCGTCCTGTAGTTACGATCCTAGGAAAATGGTTCGCCCATGCAGAGGCCGCCGGCTAAATCACCCACAAGGCAACTTGACTACACTCGAACTTGTGACCAAAAGAAGGAAGGCCCCCCAATCTCACCTTCCCCTTATAACCCCTCAAAGCTATTTATTTGCATTTTCCCCTCGACTGTTGCCTTAACAAAGCCACTCAGCATATTCGGTCCCATTTCTTATTAATTTCAAGCCCGTTCAATTAAAAAATGGATCAATTCAGACGTAAAGACCGGCGCGGGGCCGTCTATGTCCAACACAATAGCTTCGGCCCCACAGCCCGGCGCCGGCTTCTACCAGCAACAGCCACGGCTCCGAATACACCGGTTGCAGATTTCTCGCCAATGCCCAAGGTTGAGGCCTCATTTGATCTTTATGCTTTGGGATTGGACCCTCAGCCAATGTCATTTATGCATCCTGAGTTCAATAGCGACTACTATTGCCCTGCATCTCTTGTTAAATTAGACCCAGACTCCGGCTTCAACTTAAGCGAAGGACTCGAAAATCGAGACATTAGTACAATTTCTAGTATAAGCACCGATACCTCCCCTTCTGAAGGTTCCATGTTATCCTCTGTTTCAACTGATGGCGACGCATATACCGTTTTGAGGGATCGAGCTCATTCAAGAGGCCCCAGTCCATTGAGCAGAGGCGGGCGAACTGCCGGGCCTGATAACCCGCCGCCTTCTTTTGTTTGCCTGGGGCCTCAGTGTCAGCTAGCTTTCTCGTCAGAAAAAGATCTCAACTCTCACGTCAAGTCATCTCATACTCATATATGCAACTGGGCCGGTTGTGATCAGCCTAGTTTCTCCACCAGAGACGGTCTCATCTACCACGTCAAGGTCCAACACCTCGTCATTTGCCCATCCCCTGGATGCACGGAGACTTTCTTTCAAAGCATCAATATTCTTAAGTCACATATTTCCATGGCTCATCCCGAGGTTGGGAAGGATGATGCAAAGGAATGGAAGCTTCCGGCTAAAGCCAACATGGACGTGGTGGAAGCCTGGAGGAACTCTTCAAGCAACCCATGCGAAACTACACCATCACGGAAACGAAAGTATAGTAGCCCTGACGAAGAGATGGCCATGGGGTTGTGGAAAGCGAAACGCCAATGTCAGGATCGACTCCACAATGTCGTCGAGAAGCGAGCTAGAAAGAATGCTGGTGAGTATCTTGAATCTCTTATACCTGGCATATCGCAGCGTTTCAAATACCTCGAATGAACACTCTTTGCGAATATCAGCAAGTTAACGATGCAAAGGTACCCCGCGAAGTGTCGAGAGCCCTACAGACCTTATCCGAGGACGAGCTTCACAACGTATAGAAACGACGAGTTTCCCGCTGGTCTTCGAACACTCTATTCTTCCTTTCTTGACACAATATCTACCCATCTGGGTCGGTCCTCGCTATGTGGTGACAGTTACCCGAGGCAAATCACCACAAGCTAAGAGGATCTGTATCATGGCTCCAAAGCAGATCTCCCGCGCCCGCAAGGTTCTGATCTTTACCCATGTCAAAGACCTGATTCCCCGCAACTTTTCAACACTTGTTAGCCTTGCTTTCGCGCAAGGAGAAGTAAAGAGAACCGTAACCTGGGCTCGGGGTCTGGGCAGAGACCACAAAGACGATATCTGCTCAGCCCGAAATCCATATTTCTTCCGCGATCCTTGTATGGGAGACAGCATTGGCGTGACAGGCAATGGTGCGTTTGAAGATAGCACGGCGACACTTGGCCCTTGTGTTACTGTAGGAGGTGGGAGTTACTGGCTGGGCAACTTTCATCCTTTCTTGGAGGCATACCAGCAGCTTGGTCAAGAGGCACAGATCGAGCATCCTTCCTCTCAAGATCGCAAACGGTGTGTGGACGAGGGCCACGATGCCATGGCCCAAGAGAAAAGTTTCAAGCTGGGCAGACTTGAGGTAACATCAGGTCTAAACCTCCAGACAACAAGGATCTCGCATGATCCTTACTGGGATGAGTGCGATATGGACAAGCCGCTCGTTGTAACAGACTGGGCTCTCATCGGCTCTCGTTCTTCACAGGCGAACATTCTCCGGCGGTTCCCTTCGGAAACTCAACCACCAACCCAAGAGCCTATCGTCGCCACCACAACAGCTATTACACCTGGGGCCGACGTCCTGTCCAGTGGACGAACTTCTGGATACCAACGAGGCCAGATCTGCGAGATCCCCGCGTACGTCTCGGGAGACGAGAACCAAACATCCAAGGCCACTAGAGAATGGTTTATCGAAGAGCCTTGGTCACAGGACGATGAGGATGCATGGATCCGCGGTGGAATTGGTGTCAATGGCGATAGTGGCGCAGGTGTTGTAGACGCCAACACCTATGGTCTAATCGGCCAAGTCTGGGGACGCAATGCTTACTGGGGCCCGGGGCAGCGTGTCACCTACTTCACTCCCATTTCGGATATATTCGACGACATTCAGGAGAAGTGTGGGCAGCAAACACGTCCCCAGCTTCCGCAGTATCGTGACGAGGCGAATTGCTTTTCTTTACACCCATCCTGTCGACAGTGCTTTGATCTACGAGCATACCTCAACAGCAGCAGAAGAAGTTCACGAATGTCGCTTCAAAGCATGTTAATGGGCATAAGTGACAGCGACCAGGACCTCACCTCAATCGAGGCTGTTTCAGAACTAGCTACACCAAGGGATTACCCTCGCTATTCGGGTATCGAAGAGACAATTGCTTCTCTTCATGGTATAACCTCGCCTGCAGGACCGTTTGGTTATCCCGGTACTCCTATGATCGCCGATATGAAGAGTCCCTATGCAACTGAGTTAGATGCAGGGGATCTATACGAGACAAATACCAACGAGCCTGCTCAGCCTCGGAAGCGAAAATCAAGTTTCGCCATTGGGCCTGGGTCAGAAAGCTGGAAGAGGCAGAGAACTTATGGTTAAAATCAGCCAGCAAAGCCTCCTCTTGCCATCTTTTTAGCTCGAGCGTCGCGGCGGTTATGATTCGCCCGAGATCCTTTGTTCGCCTCCTTGTTCTTCCTGGCACTTTCTGTCTCCTTCTCGCCTGTCGGTCCTGCGACATTGCCTCCTCTTCCGCGACCACGTCCTCGGCCGCGGCCACGACCGCCTCCTCTTCCACCTCTGGATGACCCACCATCAGGATCACTTCCTTCTTCTCCTGATCCGGCTGGAGAGGCTCGCCAGGACGTACGCTCCAATTGCGCCTGCTGTCCACTGAAGGCGTACTTTGCTTCCAGTCGCCGCTTCTGCTGCGGGTTTCTGACGAGTATGAGAGCCCAACCCTCGATTGCTTCATCGGTCATGCCGGTCTCCTGTCTCAACTTGGCTCGCGGACTGCCACGTCTTGTTGCAGCGTCTCGGTCGAACAGCTTGGAGTCCATCTGGTAGGCACGGAAGAGTGCCTCCTCGTTACCATCACTCGCCGCATCGGCTTCCTGGTTGGATGCGTCGACAGTACCACCAACATCATCAGCATCGTAGGTATCGTCACGTTCGTCGTCATCTGAATCGAATGCCGCCAGGGCAGAGAGGATAGCCGATTTGTTCGGGGCGTTTTCTTTGTCCTTGAGCAACTCATCGGCACTTTTCCCGGGCTTCTTCCCGAATGAAACCTTTGAAACATCCATCGCAAGGCGGTCGAAATCATCATCGTCAAAGACATTATGCCGCGTAGGCACTTGTGGTGGAGTAGAGCGTGGTGCAAGATCCGTGTGTTTATCTTCTGGGTGTGTTGACCTGCTCGTGGTTAGCTGAGAATCAATCTGATGATGTAGTATATCGTACAATGCTTCGCTACGGTCAGCGTTGGCCAAGTGAGGCGGTAATTCCGCAGTTAGCAAGTTCATAACGACTTGCTCCGCATCCTCTCCATATTCATCAAGACATTTGGATATAAACGCAGATCCAAGGTGAGGGAACACATCCTGGACCTGCGTGATGTGACTCATTCGGTGAACGTGAATATCAGCATCCACTTCTTGCTGTGACTCCTTTCCTTTTCCTTTGTCAACTTTCCGTCTCACCAACCGTTTAGGGCGAACCATCGCCCCCTTTCTATAGGCCTCGAGTGCTGTGATTCGCTTCTTGAAATTGTCCGTTGCTACTCCAGAGTCCTCAGCTCTTCGCAGTAGAATTTTTAGTAGAGGTGTATTGGTGATAAGTTCAGGGACGAGAGAATCGTTGACATTGAGAGGGCCGACCTTGTGGGCATCAGCCGCTTCCTTGAGAGCATAGAGCTGATCGCTCAGCATAGACCACTTGGCCGGCTCAATGTCTATTAGTCCAATAAGGCATAGATAAGTGGTTGTCAAGATGACTTTTCGTAGAGGTGGGTTCATGACGCGAAAGCACACAATAAGACCGTCAAGGAAATCAGAGCCAGCGAGAAATAATGTGCAGGCATCTGGTGAGGCATGTAGAAGATAGTTTAGCCGTATCAGGCGAGCCTCAACCGCCTTCAAATCTCCTTTAATGCCGGCCTCCAGCTGAGGGATAAGCTGCTTCTTCAGTCCGGTAAGACTCGCCTCTATCTCGCTTGCATGTTGTTGGAAGAGCTTTGCAATAAGAGGTGCTGTAGCTTTCCGAGGAAATATTCTCGCGACATTTGCCAAGAATGCATAGTCGAAGAGTTGTGAAGGCGGAGACACAGAAAAGACTCGTGAAATAAGTTGAAAAACAGCTTTGGGTAGTGTTGTTGAGTGAGATTCTAGGATTGTGAAGCCTGCCTCTGCTGTCTCTTCCGCAAACGAGGACAGAAATGTTGCAACAGAATCATCACGCGCTAAACGATCACTATCGAAGCGCGACAAAGTTTCCTTAAGATCCTTTTCGGGAAGTGCAACAAGTGCGCGGCAGATTGATGTCCAGGCTTGAAGAAGTGAGTTCCATTCGCTGGCGGAGAGATGTTGTCGCCATGATGGCGGGGGGAAGGGTGCGAGTGGTGGTAAAGATGCCATCTTTACTGAGAGAAATCGATGTCGACCTTTGTGTGCGGCAAGAAAAGAGGGTTGTTTTATGAGACTTCGGTCAAGGAAGAGCTGATTTTTATATAGTGTCGCTCATTAACACCATAAGAATTGTATCGTGGCTCAAGTGTCTGCATCGCCGGATGATTCATCAGAAAGTGGATTCTCACTGCCTGCAAGCTGATGGATGAAGTCAACATGAAGAAGGTACAAAGAAGAGAATTTGACCAATCAGAGTAACTGTTTGTGAAACACTAAACCGTAAGTGGGTTGGGGTACTCAAGGCAAGAGCTGCCCTGGTTGCTAGTGCCGCACATCAACATCAAGCTATTAATGGAAGCCATAGATGATCTCACTTGAATCCACCTGCCTTATCTTGATAATTAATAGTTGGGGTTGGGAAGAAGGTAAGGTTTGTAGTAAAGTGGAAGACTGCCTAATCAAAAAAGATGAATAGGCTGAGCATACCAAGACAAATAGAACATATCACCAAAGGTAACAAAAGCCTCTATTTCTAGATTGCTTGACCGAACGCACGAATCCTCATGAACCCTTCTTGAAGAACATGGTTTAATTTCTAATCCTATACAATAACCATTTCTGTTCGGACACAACGCCAATCGATGCTCAGAGTACAGAACCTCTTGAATAATCCAACGCCTTTCCGCATTCCAACTCTTCTTTCCTCCGTCTCTCCCATATATAACACGCCCTGTGAAGCGATTCCTGGCGTCACGATGTAGTATCTTAAAAATCCCACAAGGTACATTCCCTTGGTGGGGGTAACTCGGGCATGAGCCCATCCGCAAAGGTACCTGTTTGTGCGAACGCCATCCACTGGGCCTTGGATTTGTCGTCGTACTTCTCAGGAGGTAACTCGGTGTCCGCTGAGTATCCTGGAGGTCCGTTGGGAAACCAGATTCGCCGCCAGGTTCCATCAAAATCTTTAATACCAGGCAAGCCTTCCTTGTAAGTAACGGGTTTGCCTTTAAACATAGAGAGCTGTCCGTCCATTCCCTTGGAGCTGTAACTTTCGACTGGCGGGTGCTGTTTGCTGCTTCCAGGTGGGTATGGGCTCCCCGCTGTAGCGGTTGCTGCGGTTGCTACCGACGTTTGCTGCGACGCAAATGGGTTTGAAGAAGCTGAATTGGCGGTCGCGGTGTTCGTAGGTTGACCAAAGGGGCTTGCTGCTGGTTGAGAAGGTTGACCGAATGGGTTGCTGGCTTGCGACTGGTTGTTTTGTGATGCAAACCCATTGGCCTGAGGTTGTGAGGGTTGGCCAAAAGGATTGTTCGCTGCTTGGTTAGTGGTGTTTGTGGAAGCGAACGGGTTAGACGCCGCTGGCGACGGGGCACTCGATGGCTGTCCAAAAGGTGAAGCTCCTTGCGCAGGCTGAGACGGCTTTCCGAACGGGTTGGCTGCTGCATTGTTTTGATTATTGTTGTTTGAGCCGAATGGGTTAGCGCTTTGGTTTGCAGCGGTACTGGGAGCACCGAAGGGGCTCGCTGAAGCATTGTTATTATTCGCTGCAGCTCCGAAGGGACTGGCGGTGTTGTTTGTTGTACTGGGAGCTCCAAAAGGACTTGGCTTTGCACCAAGTTGGCTTGCCTGTCCAAAAGCACTGCCTCCTGCCCCAAGTTGTGAGGGCTGCCCGAACGCACTGCCCTGTGAGTTAGGTTGCGAGGGTTGCCCAAAAGCGCTACCCCCAGAATTCGGTTGTGAAGGTTGGCCGAAAACACTACCTCCAGCGTTAGGCTGGGAGGGCTGTCCGAAAGCTGGTGTCCCGAACGCGCTGGGCTGCGAACCCAATGCTGAAGGCTGTCCAAAGGCAGAGGCCGGTTGAGAAGGTTGACCAAAAGCCGAGGGTTGACTAGGCTGTCCGAACGCAGATCCAGTTTGTCCTAGTTGTGAAGGTTGACCAAACGCCGATGGTTGTGAGGGCTGGCCAAAAGCTGAGCCTCCCTGCGCTGGCTGTGACGGTTGCCCAAACGCAGGAGCTCCAAACGCGCTCGGTTTCGCGCCGAGAGCTGAGGGCTGACCAAAAGCACTTGCACCTGTTGATGCGCCACCACCAAAGGGAGATGCGGTATTGTTGTTGTTCGATCCGAAGGGGTTTGATTGAGCTGGAGTCTCGGCAATTGTCGATTTGGGTCGCTTTCCAACAAGAAATTCTCCGAAGGGAGCTCCTTGTGTTCCTTCTCTGCAGATATCGTGGCGGTTGGGATGATTATTTTCGGCGCTGACTATGAATTCCACAGCTCCCTTAACATCGCGGAGGGCGGTTTGCATTTGCTGCTGCGCGTTCGCGTATAGTTCTTGTGCTTCATTCAGCTACAGTCGCATTGCGGGTTAGCTTCGGTACGTCCCGTACAAGAGACAGATTGACTGGATGCTCACAGATTGTTGTTCGTTTCCTGAAGCCTTGCCCATCATAAAGTGTAGTCGCAGCTCTTCAAAACTTTGCTCACGGGGAAATCCTCCAAAGAGCTGTCCAGGAGCATCTCGCCCTGGCGCATAGGCTGAGAGAATCCATTGCGGTACCTCGCTCGTCAAATCCTTTTCGATTGTATCGGCGTTGATACTATATTTCTCTGTTGGGCTGTTAATTCGTGTCCTTTTCGTCAAGGTCGGAGGTCATTCGCACCAGCTGGGTTTTGGTTATTGCCTCCTAGAGCTCCGAAGCGGTTTGAAGATTGGTTTGAATTGTTCGGGTTTACGTGATCGAATCGGCAGCGATCTGTAGACAAGTTAGCATGGTTAATACGGATAGATTCACACTCATGGGAGATTGAGACGCACTGCCAAACTTGCAGTTTCCTTGCTGGAAGAATTTACAGATCGTCATCTTGGACGGATGATTCTGAAGGTAGGATTAATTATCTTTGGTTCGAAACTTTGACACTATCAGCCAAAGTCGCCGTATCGGGAGCTACCTCATGACGAGGATGAGGTTCCAACGCCAATGGCAATGTCTTGGCTGGAATTTGAGAAGATGGTCTTAGAAGATGTTGAAAAGATTGATTAATGAAAGTGTGAAGGAAAGAAAGCTTAGGCTTCTATCAGCCTTTCCCAGCCTCGCTGGAGCCGTTGGGTTTTTGCGAACGCGGTATGCTCAAGATTACAGTGGGGCTCAATGCGCTAAAGCTCTGTCCCTGAATCACGGGCATGGAGCTGCAGCTTAAGTATTGTTCTTTCTTTTGAATAGATAGTCCAATTAAACAGCAACACAAGAGATGATAATCACTAATTAATCAAGCAGTGATCACATCTGCAGCATTTGTTTTCAAATTTGTTTGATTCATTTTTATATATAAATAGTCATTTCGTCATAAGGTTTGTCCTGATCTGTACCTATTTTGGACAGACTCAAACCATTACTTTGCCATGTTCACGATGTCGCTATATACAAATTGACACAAAACCCCTTTTCTTCTCTATTCATACTCAGGATGAGACATGAGCAGCCTTTCGGAACTCGACCATAGGTCCGTTCTTGGCACTGGTGAAAATATCACGAAGCTGCATCTCACCAGGTCGGTGTCGACCCCATTCATTGTTGGGGTGACCCTCAGCAGGATCAACGATGCCGACGGCCTTGCGCATATCATAGAGATACATGGTGCGGGCGAGAGTGTTGGTCATCTCAACGTATGCAAGACCCTTGCCGATGCAGCCACGGGGTCCAATGCTGAAGGGGCAGAATGCGCTGGCAGCCAGAGAAACCTCCTCTTCAGTTGTCTTTCGGCCGGTGAGGGGGTTGAGGGCACCAGCGATCCATCGCTCGGGCACGTACTCATAGGGAGAGGGGTAGTAGGACTCGTTGTGGTGGATGGTATAATGGGGAACGCCGACGACTGTGCCCTCAGGGATGGCACGGCCTTCGATGGTCATGCCGCCAGAGAGAACCTCACGGGGGACGATACCACCGACTGATGGGGACATTCGCATGGCTTCGTCGATACAGGCGCGGAGGTAGGTACAAGATGCGAGGGTAGCGCCCTGGCAGATCTCCTCAACATCGTTGAACTTGCTTCGGATTTCTTCGTTGACTCTCTCGAGAGCACGGGGGCATCGGACGAGGTAGAAGAGGGTGGCGGCCATAGCAGTAGAAGTGGTATCGGATCCAGCAATGATACTCCCGAAGCTATTAGTTGGATTTTCTATTGCCGGCGTATATCACTTACAGAAGGTTGGACTCGGACCAAAGCTCAGGAGTGGTGAAACCCTGACCAGTTTCGGGATCACGAGCCTTGAGGAGGTAGTAGAAGAAGTCGCGACGGTCAGTCTCCTCGCCGAGCTTGGTGCGCTCAGTGAGTTGACTCTTGCTGTATGCCATATAACGAGCACGACCAGCAGCCAGTCCGGGGAAGAGGAATCTGTCCAAGCTCAGCTTGTTGACGATAGACATGGTTCCACACTATCACCAGTCAGCTTCGGGTTTCACGTCATTCTCTATGATGCACTTACAAGAAGGTGGCGCGTGGTGGCGGCTTCAACAAGGCCCAGGGCGAAACGGTTGGTTGGGCTTTCAAGCATGTGGAAAGCCTTACCAAAGCACAAATCACCAAGAATATCCATAGCAAGGTAGTTGCACCAGTCGCTCATCTTGCGAGGCTGGGTCCAGCCCTTGTTGTCAGGAGAGCCATCTGCCATGCCAATCTGCTCGCAGAAAGTGCGGATGTTACCAAGGATGTATCGCTGCATCTCCTTCATGGCACTCTCGGAGAAAGCTTGAGACATGACACGGCGCTTGCGGGCGTGGACTTCCTTGTCGCGGGAGTTGTGGGTGTTGGCAGTGGGATGGACAAAGGCATCGTAGAACTCGGCCTTTCTGACGTTTGAGCGGAAGCCGTAGATCTCCTTGAGGGCCTTGTTGGAGTTGAAGGTGATCGAGTTGGGGCCGAAACGAATGACGGGACCGTACTTTTGGTGCATGCGCCAGAACTCGAGCTGTCTGTCACCCTTCCAGGCGTGGTAGAGCTGGTAGCCATCTGTGATCTTGGCGAGGAAAGGACCTGGGTACTTGGCCAGAGGGTGGAACCAGACTCTGTAGACGACAATAGCGACACCCTGAATATATTAGTCTGAGGGTAAAGTATAAGCTGTAGAAGACTTCACTTACATAGAATACAGCTCCTCCTGCCAACAACCCCAGGTAGGCTAATAAGTGTGATGTATTGAACGACATCTTGTCTGTCTCACTCATACACAAGAGAGTCTTGGGAATGGATAGAGAAGAATAGTAGACAATAGTAACAAGAGAAGCGGAAGCCCCGGGGAGTTAAATAGTCTTATCAGTAAACAAACCAAGCTGCAAGCTGCCCCCATGACCACCCTCTTCTCTTGTCTCTTCGTATCGTCTAGCTCATCATGCCCACTTCTCTCACAATCTTTTCCCATTGACTCCATGACATGGCCATGGCTGACGCTCTTAATCGGCTGGCGGCGGCACACAAAGCTTGTCAATATTCACAAACTTGTTGCAAGGGTGGAGGGGGGCGTGTAACTGTTACTCGAGTTCTCTCTGTACGGCTAAGTTCGGATTGCAAATAGCGGAACTGCTTTTGGATGGATCGCGGAGAATTGTGAGATTGCGGGGGAGATTTACAAGTCCAGGCTCTGTGGGGTTCCTGGAATTGGGGAATTGTTATGACTTCAAGGCTTCAAGCCCATGCTAGTCAATTCTAACCATCTTTTTCTTAGCTCCTTTCCTGGTATCTCTCCAATTCAACCTCGGAGTTTTACTACAGTCCAAATTATCTCTACTATCGTGAGAAATAGTTGTCCGTCCCAATTGTAAATAGCAGTATAAAACTATCTGATTCCCTCCAGATCTAAGTGATACCTCACAACATTCAACGCCCGCTGGCTTACGACAACAATGCTAAAACCGTCACCGTTAGCCCAGCCTCGATGATACATGATACATAGAAAAAGAGGTCACCTGCTCAATTTCTGACTTTCCTCTTTAAAGCACAGTAAGACGCCAATCGATCCTCCAGCTCAAGCCAAGTCAACGTCTACATGCCGTCATTTCTATCCAGACAATATGTATATCAACAACCATTGTCCTCAGGCTTTGTTCTCCAACAACTCGGCACGTTATATCAAGATCGGCATGGTTTCGGGCCATGGCTCAACAAACGGCACATGACCCATACTGCGGAATCAGTAACATCCTTCAGATTTTTCTTTTCTCTTGGTAATGCAGCAGGGGGGCACAAGCTTGTCTTCCTTGCTCGGCTGCATCATGTCCGATGATGACCGCGGCGTTGTGGATATTCGGAGTCCCGTGAGTGGAGACGGAATTCTATGACTCGGAGTGGGCACGGAAAACTGCGACATACATGCCTAATTCAACCTTGACCACGGTTCTTTTGACATAACAACATTGGCAGGAATGGATACGATAGGGTAATAATTTCTTTGTAGCTTGTTGGTCAGCCGCTGACCAAGTTCTAGGGCAAGTCTAGATCAAGTTCATGTGATGCTCATTGCGACTCTATTATCTATTGTGCAAGGTCTTAGGATCTGTGCTCAATTGGAAGATACAGTCTGCAGCTATGAAGCAAACATATACGAACAATATATAACCCAGAAGCCACACACCAAAGCCACCTAGGTACTACTCATGCAGGTGAGATATCACATAGTGTAGTATAATCGATAAGGACTGCATTCTTCGTCTAACTGACAGAGCACGATTCACCCTCTTTTGCATATCCCTTACCCTACATCTGCCCGCTAATCTCACCTGGCCTTTAACAGCAGCTTCTCCAGATCACCACACAACTGACATACATATATGAAACGAGGTTATATATTGTACGCACTAACATTAAGCTCATAGACTTCGCCACCGTACATTATTCATTACCCAAAAAACTGTCCGACCCATTAACTCCCTCGAGGTATCAAGTATTCCAATAGCATACAACATTGACGACAAACCAGTGTCGCGTCGCCCACACCCTTCAACCACAACTTACTTAATTAAAATACCTTGGCTCATTGAACACATGGTATCTGTGCTGTCGCACACCTTGACCCCGGAACATAGCAGGGAACCTCCATCCTTCAGGTACATCCTTCTCTTGGACTCGACGATTGCGCTCCTTGTCCGATTGGGCTTCGAGCTTAGCAATCTCCTCCTTTGACTCGGGGATCTTGAACTTGGCGACCTGGAGCTCAGTATCTGTGATCGAGCTGCGACTGACACGGGCATATCCTACACGCTTGAGGCGCTTGAAAAGGATGTATTCACACCATCGATCCCAGTCTGAGGGATCCACGTCTTTCATACCCGAAGTTTCGCTTACGTAGGTGTTGTAATTGCCCTTCTTTGGTTTTGTCACCAGGTAACTAAGCAAGAATGCTGGTCGAGGAGTTGAGCCCATGAGCTCGGCGAGATACAGAGATTGCAGTCGTCGATCCTCAGGATCTTCTTCCTGTCCGGAGTGGAAGACAAAAACATCCACAAGCTGGCCGTAGACATCTAGTGTAGCATGAATGGCAGGAGCCAGCTCACCGACAGGGCTAGGTAGAAGATGATGTGTCGAGTTCAAGATAGGAAATTTGGACAGCAAAGCGGCACCCCAGGTGTGCTTGTTGGGGCCAGGACCGTAGTCAACGTACATGCCAAGATCCTCAGCAAGAAATTGTGTAGCGTCACGGTTACCCATGATAATACGCTGATTATCTGATTCGAGAAGTCCGATTACATCGATCTCTAATTCCTTGATGAGATCTCGCATGCGATACTCTGATGCCCACATATCGTTGTCAAACGAGAAGTGGATCGTCCAGATACCAGCAGTGAGAATGCGGTCCTCACCGTGATACGGCTGATGGTTGTTGGCGGGGAAGCGCTGGAAGGCCGCGATGAGGAACAGGATGTTGATTAAGATGGTCGAGACTCCGAAATACTTTCTTCGCTGAGTGGGCAGAGATCGCTTTGGAGTTTGTCGCTGGGGGCCGGCACTATTAATGCCGTATACACCAGCACCAATACAGGACATCATTGTATACATGACCCAGTCGGTGCGCTCACGGACAAGGTGGCCTCCTGGAACAAAAGCATAGGCCACAACCCATACGTGGAAGAGAACCAAGAAGTTATAGATAAGGAATCCGGTGCCAAAGGTCGTCGCGGGGTTGGTCTTGGCTCCGTGAACAAGAATAGGGACCGAGTATGCCATCAAGTAAGTAGCAAGGGTGAGGGCGCCATAGTAACCAGACCAGTGACTGAAAAATGTCAGAAACATGGCTCCTGCGGTACCAGCGATATAGGCACCCCAGCTGCTCGCAACCCTAGGTTGCCATACTCCAGCGAAGAGACCCAGTGACATGACAAGAACAGTGAGCCAACCATGGGTAGAGAAGTAGGGGCCGCGAATAGGATATCCTTCCCATCCCCAGAGGATCATGGTACTAGTGTCGGACAGTAGCGAGTGGAGGCCAAAGAACAACCCCGCAAGGCCAAGCGAGGCAAGGAAGCTGGAGCTTGTTCTAGCAGGGTTGGTGACCAGACCAGCAGCAAGAGGTGTTCTTCGAGTGAAGCGAAGGGCGGCTAGAAAACCGAGGACAAGGCCGGTGTTGTTCCAGCCACCATTCGCGGCATGCATAATAGGCCAGATAGGGTTATTCGTCCACCATGCGAATTTGGCTGTTGACGAAAGGATGAGACCAATCATCCAACCAAGAATCTTAGACTCGAGACGTCCCTCATGCACGGATTCCGCAAACAGACTTCCAGCCCAGCCCAAGCATGACATGAAAACACCAAAACCAACGGTGAAAAGTCGCATGCTGGGTTCTTCGACTAGGTAGGCTGCAATGCCTGATAGAGAGAGGAGGTGTACAACACGCAGGTTGTTCACTATCAGAGATCGTGCCGAGCGATTCGCAAGAATGAAAGGCGAAATAGTTGTCATAACTGCAACTTCGTATCCGGAAATGCCCATGTACCAGAGTGGGAAATCTATAAGATGTTAGAACCACATATCCTATTCTCTATGGTTTGAGATGACTTACACCACACCACAAGGCCCAGACTAGTCAGGATAGTCCAGAAAACGTACTATAGAAAGTCAATGTTTGGTTTCTTCCCATCATGCATGAATGTTGCGTTAACTCACCCCATGGTAAATTTCAGCGGCAATATCAAGTGCCTCGGACCAGCTGAAATGAACAGTAAAAACGCCTCCGGTTGCGGTCTCCTTTCTAAAGACTTATATCAATAACTGTAAGCCGTCTCCTCGATAATCCAGAACTTACTCCTTTTCTAAGACGGCAGATGGGACTGATGAGAGATTCTCACTGCGAAAGACTTAGACAATGACCTCAAAACGTGTCTATTGGACAAAAGGCTGTTCTGACAGCCAAAGACTATCTGGGAAGCCATCAGACGTACCCCTTGCTCGCACCCTTAACATCTCTAACCTCAATATCGAAGGTACTGAAATCGAGGGCAGTTACAGCGTCGAATGCTACATCGAAAATAATCAAGGACCACTCGAAAAAGGCGTAGGTAGTGTAGGCTGATTGGCATGGTTTGTTAGTGGGCTGTATGAGCACGGGCGTTTAATCGGCTAATAAGCGATATCTTACCTCCAGCGACTCGATGAACCTTGTGCTGAATGAAGAAGTAAATCAATGGCACAAGGGTACCGAAGAAAGCCGAGGCCAGGTACTTTCGGTATTTAATGGCCTGCGGATTGGCGGGGCTAAGTGCGATACAGCCAGTCGTCCACGGAAGCGTCGCAACAATGTATGAAATCATTAGGATATCGTGCCAATCGTGGTCATCTGTAGATGTAATGTATGTCCAACCGCCGCAGGTAAGTGTTCGCACGAGTCCCATAATGGCGACAAATGCAGGCAGCTTCTGGCCCGGCTTGCGCGTAAGAAGATACCATAAGCCGACGAGAGCGAATCGAGGACCTATTCCCTGTCAGCATGAAGAGATTACTGTACAATTGAGTCGATTGTTGTGTACCGGATGTGATGGCGATAAAAATCATGAAAAAAGATCGCTCAGGGTATCGATCGCCGATTGTCGCGGACACCGAGGGAAACCATTCTTGCGGATAACCGTAGAACTCGTTCTTCACGATCTTGTGATAGTGAAGGTAGAGACCGATAATCAATGCGCTGAAGAAAGCAGCTATAACAACACACATTAGCTTCTCGATCAAAGATCATGGAGTTCCGAAACGAATGCGCATATAACCACGCAACAACAAATAAGAAAGCAACCAACGTACTGTACGCGACGATTGTGTGCGCCCAACTGACCAAGCTTCCGTTGAAGCTCAGCACGACGCCGGTGTCTTTGTCCTTGTATTTCGAAGCCATTTTGTATGAGAAAACAACTCAACAAACACTCAAGAATCCCATCCGGACCTTCCGGGAACCAAAGAGTAGAGATTTCAGAACGAGCGACGATAATAAATAGGCATGAGAATGGTGAGATGCCCTCTTGGCGAACATAAACAGCCCTCGGACCTTTGACGTTACCTCCACCGCGACGTAATACCTTGGACTGGTAATTAATACGAAGTGGAGCCACTACAGGGCAAAAGTGGCAGGGGCCATGGGGGGTTGTTTTCGGAAATCGGATTTTGACAATGGCCCGCGCGCCTTCCCGAGACGAATGAGAGGCAGGGGAGGGGAGCATAAACAAACGGCGTCACAACGCTTGCCTTTTTGGATCTGGACGCGCCAACCTGCACCTGCCAGTCATGGAAGGTCCAGACACGCGAGGCTGACACTGCCCCACTAAAAAAGTTATCGATCTGCCAGCCTTGTCCGCAAAAAAACTTCCATCAAGCGAGCTAGCACCTTTTCCAGACCATACCATACTCACCGATTTTGGTCGCAAACGTTCAAAATGTCTGGAGTCACCGATAAAGCGAGATTCTATCTCGAACGCGCTGTACCGCAATTGAGAGAGTGGGAGGAGAAGGGAATTTTCTCAAAGGTATGTCTTTTCCTAATCCTGCGAAAACATCATCAGCTAATCTTGTTGCTTTTCCAGGAGGAGATTCGCACTATTGTCCAGAAGCGCAACGACTACGAGCACAAAGTCCTTGCCCCTCGAAACAAACCCTCGGAATGGTCCTCATATGCGCAATGGGAGCAGTCCCTTGAGTCCCTGCGTACTAAACGCTGCAAGCGCCTCAAGATCCGACACCTCCAATCTGCTCAAGCCGGTCAAGGTCGCACATTAGCGATCTACGAACGAGGCGTCAACCGACACCCAGGAAGCAGTGCTCTTTGGCGGGAATATCTTTCATACATTTCAAGCATCAAGTCATCCAAGCGATGGCGCAGGACGATGACCAATGCTCTGCGCATGATGCCCACCGACCATACTCTCTGGATCGTGGCCGGCCGACGATCAGCTCAGAATGGCGACATGGCTGCCGCACGTGGATTCTTCATGAGAGGTTGCCGCTTCTGCACAACAAGCCCATCGCTTTGGATCGAGTATGCTCGCACGGAAATGGAGTGGCTTCAGAAGCTCGACAAGAGAAAGGAGACATCAAAGCCTGGTCACGATGTGCTCCGACCCGAACGTGAGGAAGATGGAGATGAGCTTCGTATTGATAGCGACGACGAAGAGGACGATGGTGATCTTCCTGAGCCATCGATTGCGCAGTCCAAGGCTATTGATAAGCAATCTGCGCAGCAGCTGAAGTCCAACCCCGCCATGGATGGTGCTATTCCTATGGCTATTTTCGATATCTCGAAGAAGCAGGGCTTCTTCAATGCCAACACTGCAGAGATGTTCTTCGAAGTTTTCGCCTCTTTCACAAAGCTCTCATCCCAGCCCAGAATATTGCAGCATGTTCTCGCTGTTTTGGACCAGGAGTACCCCAACCATCCCGCTACTTGCAATGTTCATATTCGCCAGCCTATTATGGGAGTCAGCCCCGAGACTGCAGAGTTCCCCAAGAACCTCAGGGAGGTACTGGCACGCTTGAACAAGTACATGGAGACTACAACGGACCGTGCGGAATTGAGGAAGAAGACTGTTGCATGGATTGACGAGTACCTGGCGTTGGTCACTTTGGATGAGGGTATTCGGGCAGTTCTGGAGCATACCAAGAAGAAGATGGAAGCGATCTAAAGCGCTAGGCGAGGAAAATAATCATAGAGCGAAATATCAAAACTTTTGTGTTGTTTCTATTGTAAATACTGCTGAAAGTATAATCATTTGTCTATTTGGAAAATGTTTACGGGTTCCGCATGATCATTCGTGGATTGAGGTTATTCACAATCCGCCCGCTTGCAATTGATTGCTAGTTAACATGGTCATGCTTGCTTTTCATGTTTATAGTTGCTTAAAATAAATCCCACACATGGGCAAGGCGATCATTGCGATATCGGAGCAGAAATCTACTCTGTAGACTCTCTGCGAAGTGATTTGAAGATGCATAATTAATGCCTATATATTCATTCAAGTTTAAGGCTACGACTACCTAGAAATACAGTAACTGGGGATCGTCGCGTGGTGGTTGCAAGCCCCGGCCCGATGTTAGGGTGACCCAGCGTTTTGGGATCATTCCGTCACGGACTTATCCTGTGGGGCTTGGAGTCTAGACAACCTTGGACAGCGTGATTAACAGCAATTATACGCTTGAAGAAAACGAAAGTAATTCACAGAGAGTGAAATGCCTCTACTTTATTCTTACGTAGTAGTATACACATCCATGTGAATATCATCCTACCCAAGCAGCCACCGGAAAATTGCATCGACCAACAGCTACAGCAACGGTGCCTGAAGAGGGTGCCATGCCACGCGATTGTTGGTCCCGCAAGCGACTGGAGCACTCTCTATGGCATCATGCATCATGTAACCTAGCGAAGGATGCATGGGGAAGCCAGAATGGCATCTGAGCCGTTCTATTTGCAGGCACATTTGTATCTCCTGACCGCAATAAGCTTCACCCAAGCTTCAGCGATCAAGATGCTTGATCAAACCCTGGATGCATCCTCCACTACTATTTGCTTATAAAGCAAGACTGACATGAGATTGTATGCCATATTACGGATACATACTTTTGATGTTAAGTAGGGTTCCATCCACTATCTGGGATGTGTATATCTGATTTCTGTATCCTCTGGGAGAGATTGGGTACAGTAACGAAAACGCATGCCTTTTGTTGAGTGAGAGCAAGGCGTTCCTGGGCAAACTTTCTTGGTTATGATTCAGAACAAGACAGAAGAGGCGTCAATGGCCCCAAGAAACTAGTTTCATGGATGAAAAAGCAACGCCATTTCGATTGAGATGGGCAGGAGAAGGCGTTTCTAAAGCGAGGGACCGAGACAGATCTGCAAGCATCATCTGGTTGGCCCATCCCTCTATTGATCACTCACCACCCTTTCATTGCTTTGCTGACCAGCCCAGAGCGCTGGCACAGAAGACTCACTCAACAGCACATCCTAATGAGGGAAATGCAGGCAATTTGAGTCACTAGCTTGTCCCTTTAAACTCTTGCCTTTGCCAGCAACTCGTAGCACAGCAAACCATTTGCCACTGACCCCGTTCTTAATTGATGTGGGGTGAGTTCACGACAGGGGAATTAAAGCACGGTAAGTTACATGGAGGGGAGAGGCGCGGTCAACGGACAGCCGGGAGAAGAAGAGGGGACTAGAGACGGATAGAAGAGAGATTAGAAGGGTGAAAAGAGGGGAAGGGAAGACTTTCAATCGATCCTGAGCCTGTAGTCTGCCACTATGTCGTGCCAGTGAGTAGGTTATGTCGACTTGTGGGATATCTAGACCAGCCAGTTTGAATTACAATCCATTCCTTGAGGAGTCAACGCCCAGCCAACAATCATGACCTACCAAACATACTTCAACGGCAATCAAACCATAATCGACAAGAGGGATAATGTTCATTGACTGTTTATTAGGGCCGTGGAACAAACAGACCCTGCCAAGTCAGTCACCCACCTCAAAGCGGCGCGTGGATAATCTGGAATCGTACAGTGCGCGACCCGGAGAGTGTGAGTGGGCGGTCGGATCGTGAGTAAGAAATGAGAGGATTTAAGGCTGGATCTGGAGACGAATTACCAAAGGATAATTAAAAGTAAACGAAGTAAATATTATAGAGTCGAGTGAGAAAGAACCTCGTAAACTGAAATGATTGATGAACAGGAGAAAGTAACATTTTAATCACAAGTTAGGCTCAACCCTGGAACCTTTGCTTGGTGGATGAAGAGCGGACACCTCTTGCGGTCGGTAGTGTAAAGTACAGCAGTGCAATCCATGAGATTGTCGATTATTTTCAAGGGTCCAAACGCGAACAAAAGAAACAAATACCAGAATGACGATCAATTAAAGGGACAAAACTGGAGCTCGAGCATTTCAGCGGAGAAATTTTCATTAACAAATTATCGGAGGTGAATTGCTGTAAGGAAAAGTGAATGAGGTTGCCAGCCCAGCCCAGGCCGTTGGCGGTACGGAGAAAAACGATGGAAGGCAAGGTACAGTTGACAAGGCAAGGCAAGGTGAGGTAAGGTACGGTATTTCACATAACTACCCCCCTTCCCCCGTTCCTTTCTGCTGCCCATTTCCCGCCTGTTTTCCCCTCTCAAACTCTTTTACCTCTTTTTCCTTTACTGTTTCATTCTGATTCTTTTCTCTTTCCATCTGTGTTGCTGTTGTGCGCACATTTGTCTTCTGAGCTGCTCACTTATACGGACGCGGAGCCATCTCCAAATCGTCGGGTGGTTTTTCAGGGCACCCCAAGCCTGCTGAGTTGGGTATTAGTGGGAGCCAGGGCAGTTCAATCGGCCTCACTCTCGACGCAACACTACTGAAAAATCAGTATCGTTCAGCAAAATGACCGACAAAAGATGAGATTTCATGACAGAAATGAGGGTGACGGCCCTCACCGGCTTCTCAAAGATAGCCCAGAACACAGCGACTTGAGACGGCGCTGGCTGTTCTGGTCATGACGACCTGCCTGACAAGGATCCATCCACTGGCATCCACTCGGGAAGCGCCAGTGGTGGGTGGACAGCCCGCATCAGGCGCCACCACAGACAATCCCCGGACTCAAAGCCGACAAGCTCTGCGCCTCTTTCGGTCAGAAACAAGAAAAAAGTACTCGACCCAATGGATTGACGAAATGCCGTGGGCAATGTCAGCTGTCTAATAGGAAAAACATTGCCCTGGAAGTGGCAGTGGTGCTGTTGCGAATGGAAGGGGTCTGGTTTGTCATGTTCCTGGCGCCAAATGGCCCGGCCCTTTCTTTGTATGGGTCATGGCACAGGGGCCGAAAGAACTGGACTTACGGGGCGTGTGAGTGCAGTCAGCGCCCGCGACTGATTATGGTCGAATTCGATCTGGATGAGACAGCGTCTGCACAAGTGTGCAGAGGCAAATGCCGGTCTTGAATGAACCGTTACATTGGGCATTCGTGGTGTCGAATCTGTGCGACACATCCCGCGTGCTCAGACAGAGAGTATCTGCAGTCCCGTCCCTTCCATTGAAACCATAGATGGATGTGGATATGGATGCGGATATACCGTTATACGTGCTGTGCTGAGCTTAGGCTGCTTCAACTTGGATGGCTGTGTCTCACTTGGGTCGTATTGCTTTAGCGAAACCACACGTTCTTTCCTTCGAGTCGCCAAGTTGGTACTGAGAAAGGCTGTATCATACTGTTTGGCCTCACTACCACTCAGTCTCGCGAGCGAATTCAGTTGCTCACCACGCCAAGCATCTGCTCTATACGTGATCAGATGCGATGGGATCGAGATCTTGCACACCAGTCTTGTCCGAGGCATGACTGCAGAACGGAAGAGAAGTTTCTTTGGCGTTTCGTGGGAGCTTCAACACGTCTTGAATACTTCATTTGACATGGGTATGAAATGACATTTTTGAAAACCCCCAATGATGTCCATGAAGCCATGGATCATGTTTCGGTCTGGTTCATTACCATCAATCGCTCGCGAGGCATTGGTTGTCACATGCGACATCAACAAGAATGCTAGCTTCCATATTTGGAAACAGGCATCTTGATAACAATGTCATGTCGTGCTTTCACCCCACTGTTAGTGACAAGGTGGCTTTACAGAGCCACCACTAACATCAGCTTGACGGAATCTACTTGTCTACTAACAGCAGCACGTAATTGGCTGCAGTCACAGGTCAGCTAGCGGACTCATCATTGACACTAATCCCAAAACAGCCAAGCAAGCGCGCCGCAGAACAGGCTCAGCCTCCCCCCGACTCAGAAGACCAGTCTTCATCGTCCGCTGAAACCCAGGCGAACCCGAGTTGAAGCATTGCAGTTTATCCCAAAAGTCACTACAAACGCGCGCGCGCTTTAGTTCTGGTAAGGTTTCCATCTCTTTATTCGATTCCGACACTATTATATGCTCTCTATGCTTGCGCTCTTCGCTTCCTTGGACGATAGAGTGCGATAGATAGTGTTGCACGGCACGCTGTTGCTGTCGTCTCTCGTCGTTTCGCTTCACTTTTGCCTGCCTTGCCTGTCCACTATTCTTTCAACTTCCCTCTTCCCCCGTTGGTCGTTCAACGCTGCCCTGGTCTGGTTGGCTAGTCCAGGTCGCCCGCATTTTTGCATGGTCTGGTCTCAGTGCTGCGCGTCCTTGGCCTGGTTCCTCCCCGTACCCGCGAAAAATTCTCCCTCGCTGGCTGGTTGACCATTATCGCCCTGGCCGCTCTCCACTACTGGCGGCGTTGCCAACTGAAAGTGGCTGCCATACAGGTCCTTGTCCCTTACTCTTTTGCTCCCGTCAGTCTGTCGCGCGCTCATTTCCTGCTGGGCTTCCTCCCTCTCTACCTTATCCATTACCCGTCATTCCCATCTATCATCTGCCGTCTTTTTGAGCGAAGCGCGTCGCCCTGCACCGACCACCGTGCCGACCAATCTGTGCTCTTTTTTATTGCCCACTTTCCTGTCCCCTTTGCTTAAGCCCATTCCCAGTCCTGGAAGGCTGACACAAGGTCTTCTCGCTGGTCTGGTTTGGTCTCTCGCACTACACTACTCTCCACCAAATCCACGCCGCGACGCGACTTGTCCCATCACCACCGTGTCACTGCCTCATCTCCCATTCATCGCTTCCCATCTCAGCCTTCCGTCATTGTATCCTCGTCTTCTTGGCGCTCCTCCATGGACGCATTTCGCGTGCCTGCTGATCGCTAACTCTGTCGCGCACAGCCTGCTGGGTCGATCGCCATGAGCACCTGGATGAACGACGCCGTCCCCAACCACAATGGCAACGGTTTTCCTCATATGAATGATCCTAACTCCATGATGGATCCTTCCGCTTTTATGGCCAATTCGGGCCAATTCAATCCTGCTCAATTCCAGAACCAGCAACAAATGGGTGGTGCCATGCCTAATGGTCCAGGCTCTATGCGCAATGCCTCACCTTCTTTCCAGAATCCTGCATATCAAACCAATTCCGTCATTCCATCGAAACGTCCTCGCCCTCGCGATGACAGTCTCGCTGGTTCCCCCAGTCAGAATCCCGGCATGCTTCCGACGTCGCGCTCGGAGACGCCGCAGCAGCAATCATTTGCCGGCGGATTTCAACCCGGCGCGGTTCAGCAGAATCCTGGCCAATTCTCCCATCTTCAAGCAAATGGATCCGCCAACGCAAGTCCTTCGCCGATTATGAGTAACCAAATGCGACCGGGAAGTGTTCCCCAACGAGTTGCGACCGCGTCGCCGCATCCTTTCTCGCCCAGCGGCCAGCAATTTAACCCACAGACGTCACCGATACCTTCCGAACATGGCACTCCGCAGCCGAACCCTTATATGCAGAACATGGCGCAGGGCTTCAACCCGAACTTTGCTCCATCCCCCTCGAACGCCCGACCTTCACCGAATCCGAATGCGATGGCTGGTAACCAAATGATGGCCCAGCAGATGGGTCAAATGCCGCAGCATATGGGCCAGATGCAAGGCAACATGTATCCTCCTCAGATGCAGCAACCTCAACAGCAGCAAGGCACACCGCAACAGCAACAAGGCCAACAGCAGCAAGGACAACAGACCCCTCAACGCCAAGGGCTTACCGATCAACAGAAGATGGCCGCTTACCAGATGAGATTGCAGCAACAACTTCAAGGGAACGCTGCCCAGATGCAAGCACAGATGCAGGCGCAAAGTATGGGTCGTGGTATGATGCCTAATAAGCAAATGCCTGAAATGCCTAATGGCCAGATGCAACAAGGTGGCATGCGGCCACAGCAGAGGATGATGCCCAACATGAACCAGGAACAGTTTATGAAGAATCTTGCAACCCTGATGAACTCCAAGGGACTGCCATTAGATACCAACCCGATGGTGATGAGCCGGCCCGTCAACCTGTTCATGTTGTTTACAGCTGTTACAAACAAAGGTGGATATAAACAGGCCACTGCGACTCCGAATGGCTGGCCGCACGTTGCTCAGATGCTTGGTTTACCAGCCCAGAACCCTGTGGTGCCACAGGCGTTGAAGACGATATATGAACGCAACCTCTATAAGTTTGAGGAAGTGTGGATCCTTCAACAACAGAAGCAGAGGATGATGCAACAACAACAACAGCAGCAAGTCCAGCAGCAGCAACAACAGCAACAACAACATCAGCAGCAAGCGCAGCAGCAGCAGCCCCAGCAACCACCACAGCAACCACCTCAGGTGCAAGGGCAACTCATGGGACAAGCTACACCACAAAAGCAGATGCCGCAGGCACAACACATGAGCCAAGGAGGAATGCCTCAACCGGGACAGCAGCCCCAAATGCAGCAACAAACTCCCATGAAGCAAATGACCCCCAACCAACCTCCAGTCAACGGATTCTCTACACCTCAACCTCAGATGCAACCACAGCCTCCGACAATGCCAGGCCAGACCCCTCGTACGCTGTCACAATCGATGGAAGGCTCAGCTGTGCCGGACTTCTCGAATGCTTCATCTCCAGCCGCCAAGAGAGCGGGAAGCATATCTCAGAGTGAAGGACGCCAAGCCTCTGTTGTGCCTACTGCAGTTCCAGAGAAAATGCCCCGACTAGCCCCACAGTCAGACGAGTACAATCCATGTGCTCGGGAACTCGCCACGTTTGGCGGCGTTGACCTGAACGCTTTTAGCAAACTGGGCACCGAGCTTGAGCGATGGAAACCAGATGTGCCTCCCTTGCACGAACTCGGCAACATCGACATTGCTGCTCTTACGAAGAGTTTGCAAAGTGGAATTCATGGGGAGACCCGTCTGGCTCTTGACGTGTTGGCAGCTGCATCTTGCTCTATGAATCAGCTCCACTTTATCCGACTTCAATACTGCGACGAGCTGATAGAAGCTCTCATCGAGTGTGCAGAGGATCAGGTGGAGATGTTGGCCGAGCATACAGTTGAGGTTTCGGACGAGATTCAAATATCACCTTACGAAGATGTTCTGCGAGCCTGCCGTCTGGAACGATTCAATATTCGCGATTTGCCAGTTTTTGGCACACAAGAATATGAGTTAGATCGAGCCGTGGATCGGTTGATATGTGTTACGACAATCCTGCGCAACTTGTCATTCCCCGGAGAGGCAAATGAGAATCATTCTGTTCTTGCAGACGAGATTGTTATCAAATTCCTTTGCGTTGTCATCAGATATCTTGGTACAAGGACGATGCTTTTGCGATCCCAGAATAACACTCTGGACTTTATGAAGGATGTCGTTGTTCTGTTATCCAACATCGCAGGCACAATAGAAATTCCAGGACGGGAACAGGCTCTTTGCCTCTTACAATTCCTCCTGGCATTTGCACCAGCGCCGGGCCCAACAATCTCGGACGGAACGCTCTTCTTTGCACAATACGAACCAAGCCTGCACGCCTACCTGCCGCATGCTGTTGATGCGCTCGCAAAGTTACTGGCACGTGATGAGCCTAATCGAACACATTACAAGACTGTCTTTGCACTTGACTCTGCCAGTAGTCCTCCATATGAGCTGCTGACTCGGGCCTTTGGCTTGGCGATAGCCCCCATTCCAGATAAAGCGAAATCACAAGCACGACTGCCGAACTTGCCATCACTTGTCGAGGTTCGCAAGCCTTTCTTAATGCAAGGATTGCTTTCGGCCGAAATATTGGCATCGCTTGCACCGGGTCATGACACTGGAGTTACCCAGGCTTGGCTATCGTCTGGTAACGACTTCTCCCAGAACCTCTTCAGGTTAGTTCGTGAGCTCAGCCAGCAATACGAGCAGCCTCAAGGTCAAGGTCCTCGGGCAGCTCCACGGAAAGACCCAGAACTTGTTTATATCGTCGTCGTTGCGGTCGCACTTTTAAGAAGATTGGCCGAGAAGGCCAGAGATCCCAACGACCCCAATTCTTCGATACCGGCCAAGGCCATGCCGGCACCTCATGCTCTTCTCGAGGCTTTGTCTATGCAATCTGCAGAGTGGTCAAAGGACGAGGTGCTACAGAAACTCTCAGCCTTCTTTGCTCTCGGGAGATAATTTACTTATATCGGTAATCATTCTTGGATCTATTTCCACCGCATCTTTGCCCGGATAAGTTTGTATGTTAGTGTTTTGAGAAACATGGGATTGGTGTCTTGTCATTTGAAGCGTGCGCTTCTCGTTTAGACTTGCATTCTGGAGTCGATGGTTTTGGGGACAAGACAGGTGACGATGAAACTGCTTGTCTACATTGGTGTATACAGGATGTTGAATGGTGAACAAATCAATATATTTCGGGACAAACAAAAATATGCTTCAATGATGCGTCTTGCATTACTACATGTATTGTACATCCTTAGTCGTCTAATTAGGTGCGACTGGTCAATATGATACACTTTTTATATCCTCATATTGCATAAAAAGCAGAACCTGCGAGACCCCTTGATACGTTGCTCATCGCGGAGTTTCTCTAGAAGCCGTTCTTGACAATCCAGTTCATTGTGTCGATGTAATGGTCGCCCTGATTAATGTTAGTAAAGAATACATCAGATGCAAATACCCACTGACCTTGATTTCGATATGTTGTGTCACGGGATTTATTCTAATGTCGTCTGCCTTAATCTCCAGGTCCCTTAACAAATCCTTAACCAGCTTGGGAAGGTCACCCTTGACCTTCTTGATAAGAACAATACAGCGGTTGCCCCCAGACATCCACTTACGATAGACAGGGAGTTGAGAAGATGGCGTTCGCTTGATGACATAGCGAAGATATGTGCCGATGTGCCCGGGATCTCCGTGCGGTAGAGTGAACATGGGCTGCTTAAGAGGACGGTCCTTGTAGGGAATCTTGTTCTTCTTGTTGGGGTTGGTGGCTTTCTCGAGAGGGTTCGGCTTGTATGAGACGTGCTTCTTGAATGTTGGTGTACGATCTGGGGCTGTTCGCACCGTGCTGAGGGCAGCTCGCTGTGTGAAGGATACAGGCTGTTGCGAGAGAGCCTGGCGCCCTATTGAAAGGGCCCGAGAAGTAAGGAAATGCATCGTGAGGTTTGTATGTAGAGGGGTGGTTCGAGGTCGAAAGTTCGTCTTCGGTTTTGGCTTGTCGAGTAGATATGATGAAGATCGGACGGGGGTGAGAGTTGTCGAACGTCAAACCGATCCAAGTGAGATCCCCAATCCCAATTTACTGAACAAACTTTAAGTCGTCCTGCGCTCTCACACTCAATTCAGTCTCGCCTGTCGTCGCACTCTAAACGCGCCAAATGCTCCGTTGAATGGAAAACTTCAAGATCACATGACTCCCAATCTCTAATCGCCGGCAAATCCACGGGCGACAAGCTAAACCCCACACCACCGAGTGGATTGGCGAAATTCACCAAAAATCTGCCCCTCCATCAAATCCAGTATCACGACCTGTGCGGCGAGTCACTTTTTTGTTCTTTCCGACCGAACCCTCCTCCCTCGACCGAATCCCACCCCTTTTTCGAAAACAAAAAAATATCGCCCACGATGGAGGACGTTCTCAACGCCGTCTCGGCCGATGGCTCGTCGATCATGCCCCGCCTTGCGCCAAACCTGAGCCGACATTTGCTTTTCCCTCTGATCCAGTTCGAGAGCGAGAGGGCTGAGGAGCAGGGTCTGGATGCGAAGGCCAAGGAGATCCTCTCCGGAAAGATCAAGCTTCTCGAGGACACAAACATGACCGATTACGTCGCGACTCTCTACTGCGAGCTCCACGGTGTCGAGAATGCTCCCGAGGAGTACAACAAGAAGCGACAGGAGGTTCTTTCACAGTTGGAGAACTACGAGCAAGCCACCGCCAAGATCGCCGACCTTTTGACTCAGGATGAGGTCGTCAATGGACTCCGAAGTGACAAGGTTGCCAACTTGGAGTTCCTTAAGAACCAGCACGGAGTAAGTGATATACTGCAGGAGCTCTTATTGCCGACGTTGGATGGCTAACGAGCTTCTCAATAGGTTACCATGGAAATGGTCAACGCTCTCTACGACTTTGGTCAGTTCCAGTTCCGATGCGGTCAGTACGGCCCCGCCGCCGATATGCTCTACCAGTTCCGAGTTCTGTCGACCGATAACGACAAGGTCTCTGCTGCCACCTGGGGTAAGCTGGCCTCCGAGATCCTCCAGACCAACTGGGAGTCCGCCGTCGATGAGCTCAAGAACGTGAGGGAAAACATCGACTCCAAGCTCTTCAACAACCCCCGTGCTCAGCTCGACCACCGAACAATGCTTCTTCACTGGTCTCTCTTCCCTCTCTTCAACTGGGAGGGTGCCCGCGAGCCCATCCTGGACATGTTCTTCTCCGCCCCTTACATCAACACCATCCAGACCTCTTGCCCCTGGATCCTGCGATACCTGATCGCTGCCGTTATCACCGGCCGTGGTCGCGCTCGCAACAGCTCCATCCAACAAAAGCAGATCAAGGACATCATCCGATACGTCCGCCAAGAGGCCTACGAGTACACCGACCCCATCACCCAGTTCGTCAACGCTCTCTACATCGCCCACGACTTCGAGGCTGCCCGTGAGGCTCTCTCTGCCGCCGCCGAGGTCTGCCGAAGCGACTTCTTCCTTGCCTCTTCCGCCGACGCCTTTGTTGACGCCGCCCGACACCTCATCTGCGAGAGCTACTGCAAGATCTTCAGCCGTATGAACATCCGCGATCTCAGCGCTAAGCTCGGCCTGAACCCCGACGATGGAGAGAAGTGGATTGTCAACCTGATCCGCGAGACTCGTTTGGATGCCAAGATCGACAGCCAGGACGGCACTGTCGTCATGAACCACCCCCCTAACAACGTCTACCAGCAGGTCATTGAGAAGACCAAGGGCGGTTTCTTCAGAACACAAGTCCTCAACGCTGCTGTTAACAAGTAAATAGCTTAAAGAGTTGTCAGTGGGCTGATTTTATGGGTGTTTTTTTCTTCGCAACTCGAATAGGGTAACGCAATCCAAAGAGAGGGATATAAGAAACCTCTCCGCCAGACGATGGCACCCTCCGCAGCTTGAAGGGAGAGCGAGATACGCCCTCTGTTTTGTAAGGAGGGACGATCTATTCGAAAGATGAGCAGGATATAGCAAAAGCATAAGACGGAGGGAAGCAGTGATAGATGAAAAACACGGGCCAAATGGAAGAAGCGGTGGTTTTTAGAGGCCCTGTATATCCCCGGTGATGCGGTTTGCATTGCATGGCGTTCTCGGAAAAGGGAAGAGGCAAAGGGGGATAATGGAATTTACGTTGATTGTTGAAATGAACCATATACTCGCCTCAGCTCGAACGTATTCTTGTGATGGTCGTGCGATGTAGTATTGTCACAGTATGCTGATTTCATGGTAATCTGCAAGCTCTTTCACAAGCTAGATTTGTCTATCGTTATTCTCATAGCTCATAGCCACATTTGATGCTTTTCTTTTACAATGCCATGCCTTGGTAAACATACTTCCTGTAGTGTCAAACCGAGGTTATAACTCCAGGAGGGAGAACCACAAGCACTACTGCTCACCCTCACGACTGGCAAGCCATACCATGCCCTTGAGACTCTCAACAACACTATCTCGCATCCACCAAACACCCTCATCCTCCGCTGTACCCTCTAGGTCGTCTTGCCCTTCGGTCTCACGATGTACGTGAGATTCTGTAATAGTTTCCTGGCTGTCGAACATATTAGAGTCACGTAAGCGATCACGCACAGAAGCCCATTCGAAGAGCAGTCTTGCTCCTTCAAGCCGCTCTCGGTCTGTTCCTTCAGCGATACCCTTGGCCATCTCCAGCCTTGCGTCGACAGCGCTACCTGAGTGCTGAGTATCATCTCCTCGTTCAAGCACCACAGTCCGCTCTGCACAGCTAATACTGCGAAGACTACCAAGTCCAAACACCCACTCCATAGGATCTTTGCCCTTTCCATCGCTACCGAGTGCACGAAGAGTAGAAGCAAATGCCCCTTCTTGTGGTGGCCGCCTGCGGAGGTAAAGACTTTGTGTATCTCCAAAGGCAGCTCGAACCTCTGGGTTGGAGAAGTCAAGCTCAACGTCCCAGAACTGGGGCCCACAAGCGGTCGAAAGACTGGCTATTTGATCGATAGGGGGCAGGATACATGGTGCTGTTCTACTCAAGACAGGCTCTGTAGAGGTGTTCTTGCGCATCGTGATTTGTACAGGTACAGAAATCGGCTGACCAGTAAGAACGTCTTTGGTAACGAGACAACGTTGCTCTGTAGCCAAGACCCAGAAATGGCGAAGAGCTTGAAGATGGGATCGGTTATCCATAACATTCGTAGGGAAAATGGGATAGAAAGATACCAATAGGGAAGCTATAGCAAGGTTGCTGGTGCCAAAGGTTGCTGTACCACATCCCAAGAACAGGGCCCCAATTGCCAAATGTGCAGCAAGATGAGAACCGTAAGGAGTTTCTGGATCATCACGACCATGAAGTGCACGAAGGCGGCGAAGAACGGGGATGTCGCCTGTTCCAGCCATTACAATAGATGCAGATAGTGCTACGACATCCTGGCACATTCGTGCATTGGTTCGAGTCAACTCTTCATCGTAAGGTGGTGTACCATTGGGATGCATGTTTGCAGTGGACGGGATCTGAGAAATCCGCATAAACTGATCCAAGTAGTACAAGAGAAGATCTCGAACTTTGGGAGAAGCACTCCCGGAGAAGCGAAGAGCAATAGAAAAGCAAAGACCAGCCACTATGCTGTGGAATGCCATATCAGTTGACCGCAACTTAGTGGTTGACTGGAGCTTGAACTGTGGGCGGTAAGGGCGCGGTAGGTTCTTACGAATCCAAGCGAAGGTTGGTTCGATCTTTGACCACATAATCAGGTTTTTTGTGAGGGTTCGTAGTAGGAGGATATCAGGTCGGATGTAGTCAAACTGCAAAATTGAGTCTGGTATATCAATTTTGCGTGCCACGATCTGATCTTCTGATTTCATATAGATAAGGGCCAAGGCCATGACAGCCCCAGCCGCTGCACGGTCCAGAATATGGACTATCTCAATGTTTTTGGTAGTAGTAGCATGGGAGATTAGTTTCTCTGTTAGTCTCATGTCGTGTAAGCCCTTAAGGTCATTGCCTTTGCCGAGGTTGATGAATCCAAGAGCAAAGCCAGCTGCCAAACGGTAACATTCACTTCTCAGGGGTTCTTCCTCGTCTTCCTCGTCAATGTGCTCAATCTCAGAAAGCATGATCTCGCTCATTCGACGATGCTGACTATTGGCGTACAACAGCCCGATACCCATTATACCCGAAGTTTGTGTTAGGGGTGATAGGTTCAGCTCAGCTGCTCCGCGAGGTAACATCCTTGTGGCGTGGACGGAAAGCAAACGCGTAATCAGCGAGTCCATCGTACCCATGTAGGATGCAGCCAAGCCCAGAAGAAGACCGATAGAGGTCATGGTATGTTTTGGTGTCAGGTACTTGAACGCTACCCATTTTGCGACGTCCTTCAAATGGCCATTGAGACCAAGTGCAAGCAAGAAGCCAGCATGACGGTTATTGAGGTCCTGACCAGGTTTGTTGTAGAGAATCCAAGACGTATCAATACCTTGGGCTTGAGGGGAGATGGCAAGACCAGCTGCGACGCCTTGGTGGAAGAACCCCCAACAGACCTTCTCTTCCGAGAACTGTGATTTATCCACACCCACAGTAGTGTTTGTTGGCTTCACAATACAGTTGAGATTGAATCCACCAATATGGAATTTCTGCGTAATTAACGGATAGCGGAGGCTGTAGTATAACAAAGCCCGTCCAGCCGGAATTGCCAAGGTGCCTGTAGCGATTCTTGTAACCAGCTCCTTTTGCTTCTCAAGATATTCGCTCTCTGGCCAACTTGGATTGGGATCAAGTCGAACAAGTCTGGCTTTGCTGGTGGAGAGTAAATCTTGGGCTTCGTTCAGGCGACGATCTTCTTTGAACAAGGAGCGAATAACAGCTTGTCTTTCAGTTCCTTCGCCCTCATCATAGCCCACGTTGTTTGACTCATCAACGCTCTGGCAAAGCAACTTGTAGTCCCATGTCGCGTTGTGCGTAGGTGTCTGTAACTTATTAGCAGGTAATTTGTAAAACAATTATCTAGGTCTTACCAGAATCTTGGAAGCGCTTGGCTTAGGGCGCTTGCCAGGGGTGAGGATAAGACTGATATCCCTACGGTCAACCAACTCAAGGAGATCCCTTGACCAAGAGGTTGGTGGGTGTGGCTGGCACAACGAAATTGCATCCCTCAAAGGCACAAGAACAGCTTCTGGAAGGCTGTCAAGTATCGAAGTTGTGATCCCGGCATCTCGCATGGCCTCTACCATTTGTGTCGCACTTGTGCTTGGCTTCAAGAATTTGAAAAACTGTTTGAACATGAGCGTCCTGGGAAGTATATGCTCCCATCTTCGATCCTGTGATTTCTCTGCTTCGGATAATTGTGAGCCGGCGTAGTAGATATCTGCTGGAGTGATGTAAGGAACCCGTCTATCTCCAGTAAGTCTCGCCTGGACCCAAGCAATGATGTCCGGCTTTAAAGGAGGCTGGGGTATCGCAGGCTTCAGATTAAGTTCTGTAAACTGGTTAGCTTTGTCATTGAATCAAGGGCTCTTGAACTTACCTGAGTCATGACGTTGATCAATGTCTTCTTGTATGCCGGCTTCGTATGTGGAAGCAAAGTTGTGCCACTTGAACCACCGGGCGATTTGAGACATGATAACTCGGAGATCAGCACGACCTGGAGATCTGAATTCCGGCGTCATGATATCCAACTTTTCTTCTTCAAGAAGCAAGTGCAATCCCATGAATACATCGACGGCTACCTTGCGCCGACTTTCCGTGCTCTTAGCCAAGGATGTCGGCATGTATCCGGTGTGTCCGAAAGCTGATTCGCCAAGCGTAGACATCATGTATTCTTTGGCTAAAGAGACATGTTTGGAGATAAATGTCGAGGAGGGATTCTCTTCTCCTGATGAGAAACCATTGTCCGCATCTTCCTCCAATACCCATTCCCAACCCCCATTCATCATCCATGGTGGGCATCCTAACGAGTTAGATGCTTCGCTGGCTTCCAACAATTTCCAATCTTCAGATTCTTTTATTGAGCTAAACGAACCTGAAGCAGCCTTTTTCCTGCGGACAGGGAGGCGGGCCTTGGGAAATGGCTTCGTGTCCTTACGGCCAAGACTCAAAAATAATGACAAAAGCAGAATGGACATGGCAGACCATTCAACATTTGTAAGTGGCTCTTCGTAGCCTCCTATCCACTGCATACAATGAAGCCAGCCAGCAAATATGTGCTCACCGAGAGCATGGGGCAATATGCTACGACAAACATCCAGAGCCTTTCGAACGTGTGGAGATCTTGGTTCTAGTTGTATTCGAAGTTCGTGAAGTCGTCCTTCAGCATCGACAACATCAACAATGCCTCCTTGTCGTGGATGGCGTACACCGACGATACTGCCATTGCTAAAATCGATAACCTCGGATTTTCTCTGTGTAACATCGCGGTCCACGACCCTGCCTCGATATTGCAAGCTTCTAGTGTTGTCAACGACGAGAAGAGAAAGTGATATTTTCGTGAGAACACTCCACGGTGCTTGAGTGCTCAGTTCGTGCCGACCATCCATCGATTCAGAAAGAATGAGGATTGCCGAGTGTTCACCATCCACTAATTTGCAAGAGTCAACAACGTTCTGGGCGTGCCTACGGTCGATGACGGTTGCTAGCACAGTGGCGCCGTCAGAGCCATTCTTTTTTCCGCCTTTGGTGCCTGTGTTGCTGCCGCGCTGGATACCCAACTCCAAAGTAAGGAGTTGGAGTCGCCTTTCGGTAGCGTCCTGAATGCCAATAAGAAGTTGACTTTGATCGTGGCCATCGATAGCGAAGGGCGGCGCTACCAGGATGAAAACTTTGGTTTGGTTCCGGGCTGGTTGGTCTGAATATCGAACGTTGGAGTTATTCATGGGTACGCTCTGAAGCTTGGTAAACAATATCTCATGCTGTAACCCATCAAACTCATGGTCCTCCAAGCCCATGTTGTGAAACCCCTCGTCGAGTCCTTCATAAAACGGTGCCGCTAGCAGACTGCTCAAACTAGGATGGATCTGATGGGCATAGTTGGCACTCAAACGGCTTCCTTGAGATTCATGCCTCCTGCCTCCAACATGGCTGGAGTGCACGGGCGGTTCTGGCATTATGGCCCTGTCATGAGAAGCAGACAGATCAGCTCTCGCTAACATAGAGCTGACTCTACGAGAGCTCCTGCGGGCGGCGCCGGTTCCTTCTTTGTCTTGTTGTTCCAAAGAAGAAACTAGATCTATCATGGGTTTCTCGAGCCTTTCACTCTTCCTCTGTCGCTTTCCTGGTAGCGGGTGTCCAAAACTCTCTCGGAGATTGGGCTGCGCAGGTGTGCCAGGAGCACTCGCAAAGGCAGACGGCATGGAGCTACGACGCCGAGCAGACTTTGACTTGGCATCCTTTTGCCGGTTGAGGAACGGGTCTTCATGTTGCAGGTAAGTGAGGCGCCAGACAGTGTATTCACTAGTTTCACGGTTGATCGTAACCGCTATGATTAGGGGTTGGCTTAGATCTTGAGTCAATGCACCAGGGATCTTGATCTCTTCCACATGTACAACTTCCTCCGCCGCATCAAGGAACGACAGTTTTTTCTTTGCAGTCTGCCTCAAATTTTTAGCATTCTGGGGGTCTTGGTTTGTGACAACCAGTCCCAGTTCAAGTAACGGGTCCGTTAATGAGACAAGCCGTGGCCAACGAGACTCAGGTTGCTCCAGTGGCGCTTCCCAAAGATTGTCCAGAGTTGAACTTAGACGAAGTGGGAGCGCCTTCGGCTTTCCAAGGCCCTCGACAGAGAAGGCGGTTTGTTGGGAGCTATTGAACGCCGTCAATTGCGAAGAGACAAAGGAATTGGGTGGAACTCGCGGGAACTTGAACTCTATAGGCGCAACACTCTCGGCTTTTTGCTTGCGCTGTATTATAACTCCAACAGGGCCTGCGAAAGCTGATTCAACTTCGAATGGCATATGAACAATATGGCTAGTACCAGACAGAAAGTATATATGCGCCTGGGTCTTGAGAAACACAACCAAAGCTTTGGACAAAGCTGGCCGTTGATCTGATTGAGCATCATCATCTTGAGAAGACTTGTCGTCCTTTGAAGCAGGAAAATATGCTAGCAGAGCCTGTACGACCGGTTCTTTTTCGAGTTCAAATCTGAACGTCTTGCGAAATATGCCACCTCGACACCATATGATGCAGTGTTCGGTCGTAAGGAGCTCATCCTCGAGGTTTCCATCGAGCCGATCGTCTGTTGAAATATCCCAAGTATACGACGTGGATGGCGGGTTTGGTGGTAACAACTGTTCGTTGATGGCATGTTGAAGCCCTGAGGGCTGATGCAACCCCAGGGACTTCACCGTCGCCATATTCCAGCAGCCGCCATAAGCAGCCTATGGGGTTTAGTTTGATCGATCGGTCGAAGAAACTGCCGAGAGCTTCTTGTTGAGTTCGAGGCGTAATACAATGGACGGATTGAAGATAGCGCTGCGCGTCAAGATATTTTGTTTATGTTAAAACCCGACATTCAATGGCGCACTGTGCCCCGCGACGGTACACTGTACCTACCGCCTAACAGATCATTAAATGGTGGGGCTAGACGTTTAGGTAGGTAGGCGCGCTGACACCGACCTTTGAGTTGTTCTTAGCGCGCCTGGAACTGAAGCTCAATTTGGAGGCTGGAGCTATCTGCAGTCTCCCGCGTGACGTAGCTGCAAGGTACAAGGGTACCTACACCTACCTTTGGCGTATTGCACTTACTTTATCGGTGGAAGCTGTCATAGCTCTGCCTCGGGCGCTCTAATACCTTACTAAACCCCAACAACTTCGCATCCTATACCCTCGCTCTCTTTCTGGGCCCTGTCGCTTCCCAGCATGATACCATTGCCATCGATACAATGACGGACCAGTCACCGCAACTCAGCCACGAGCAGGCGCGTGATTCCGAAGCCCAACAGCCCAAGCATGAACAAGCGCCTGAATCAAACGAATCGGCCCAACCAGTAAAGGACGATAGTTCCGACGATGGCGCGCATGAACCAGAGACCGAGCCGGTGGATAAGGAGGGGAAAGACGAGGTGAAAGATACAAAATCCCAGGCAAGCAACGCTGGGAAGGCAAGCGAAGACGGAGACCAAGAAGAAACAGATGAAGAGGAAGAGGAGGATGACGAAGACGACGAGGACGACGATGAAGATGACGATGAGGATGAGGATGAGGATGACGACGACGAAGAAGACGAAGACGAGGACGACGATGAAGATGACGATGAGGATGAGGATGAGGATGACGACGACGAAGAAGACGAAGACGAGGAGCCTAAACTCAAGTATGCTCGGTTGACTCAACATCTCAATGGAGTATATCGAAACGGCGACGCAACTAGCGCATTCCTGGTCGCTGGAGATAAAATGGTAGGCTTGCTGTTGTCGGAAACGAACGAAATGCTAACTTTAAGATAGATTGTTGGAACGCATAATGGCAATATCGTAAGTGGTGGGCATACCGCTCACTCATCTCCTGCTAACTCTCGCCCAGCACATCGTTCAACTCCCAATGTTCCAGTCCATGAGGGTATACCATGCGCATTCCGCTTCAGTGACGTCCATATCAATATCGCCATACCCGCCCCCTCTACCAACCGAGACGCCAGAGGGAGCGCACAAGCATACATCCCACAGCAGCGCCAGCATAGCTTCAAGTCGACAAACAGATTCATCCCCTGCAGCATCGAGAAGACCAAAGGAGGCGTCACAAATACCGCGAATACCATCAAACGACATTTACGTCGCCACTTCATCGTTAGACGGCAATGTCTGTGTCCAGAATTTGATTGATATGAAGGACGTCCAGCTGCGAAACTTCGCTCGACCTGTACAGGCGGTAGCTCTGTCTCCTGAATTTAAGACGGATCGAACCTATCTGTCGGGAGGTCTTGCTGGACAGCTTATACTTACCGCAGGGGGTGGCCCAGGTCGTAGTACTTCAACCACGACTGGAACTGCGGCCGCGACAGCTTCCGGCTGGCTAGGCAGTATGGGGCTTGGCGGCAACGCAGGTAAAGATACCATTCTACACTCTGGAGAAGGGGCCATCAGCACTATTAAATGGTCATTATCTGGGAAGTTCGTGGTCTGGCTAAACGAGCATGGTATCAAAATCATGCGATCAAAGTTACATCTCGAAAGTGCAGATGCAGAAGACGCGTGGAAACGAGTTGGACATATCGATCGACCACAGACAGACGAATGGGAAACCATGGCCAGTGTATGGAAAGGCCGTGTTGAATGGATTGACGAACAGGCTGTCGAAGTGGACGAGTCTGACCAAAACACCACCGATAAGGGCAGTTCACTGGCCAAGGGAAAGCTCAAATCACAGGCTCTTATAAGCAAGAAGGGCATTGAGCGCTTACTCGTCGGTTGGGGTGGTACAATATGGATTATACATGTCCACCCTGGGGGTGTTGGTGTTGGTAGGCACGCTGGAGAGAAGACTATCGGACGCGCAGAGATTGTCAAGATGTAAGTTTCGATCAACCTCACAATTTGAGTGAGGACTAACTTTGTCCAGACTTCGCATGGATTGCATCATTTCTGGTATTTCGTTATATACCCAGAGTCTCTTGTTAGTTCTTGCATACCCTTTACCTGAAGACGAGGATGAGGACGAGGATGCTGTTGCAACTTCGCCAGACAAGAAGCACAAATCCAACCCTTCAACGGGAAATCAACCATCGGGTGGTTTACACCGCCGACAGAATAATCAACCGCCGGAACTTCGTCTTATCGATCTCAACTCCCAAGCAGAAGCGGACAAGGATAGTTTGAGCGTAAGTCGTTATGAGAGATTGTCGTCAGGCGATTACCATTTAGGAGTCTTGCCAGCACGCAACGCCGCGTCCGCAATCGCTTCTTCCAGAGGCGCCTTAGAAGCGATAGCTGGAATCGGTACAGATATGTGGAACGCTGCCATTAATCCTCGCTCTCTCTTTAGCTCTGGTGCAAGTATCCGTAGCCGTGGTAGCGGTGATGATTCTAGCATCAGAGGAAGTACAGCAGGAACAATTCGACCTGGGACGAACAGAGGCCTTTCGCCCACTGTCCATTCAGGTCTTGTCAAGCCTGGTGTAAAGGTTTTCATACACAGCCCGTATGACTGTATTCTTGCAACCAGGCGCGACTTGAGCGATCATTTGGGATGGCTTCTAGAACGTCAACAATACCAGCGTGCTTGGGAGTTACTCGACGAACACCCGGAGATCATGGCTCCAAACAACGAAAGAGCCGGTGATGGTACTCCAACTACACCAACATTCAATCGAGAGGCAAGCGATGATTTCAATGATGACGAATCCATCATTGATACCCAAATAAGAGATTTCTATTCCTCGGCCGAGAAGGAAAAGAGACGCATCGGTGAACTCTGGATTCAGGAGCTCATTGAGGATAACGACTGGGTGGCTGCCGGCAAGATCTGTGGCCAAGTGCTCAAGACACCAGACCGATGGGAGAAATGGGTCTGGAGGTTTGCTGGTGCGAAGAAGTTTGATGCTATCACGAACTACATTCCCACGGAACCTATGCATCCTCCACTTCCTTCAACCATATACGAGGTTGTGCTTGGACATTACATCCAGCACGACAAGCCAAGATTCAGAGAACTCCTGGATCGTTGGTCTCCCGAACTTTTCGACGTCAAGACGATCACGACAGCGTTAGAGAACCAGCTCAAATACCGCGACGTCCGTGAAGACAGTATTGACGATGGCGAAAAGGGGCGAGACTGGAGGATTGTAATGGAGAGCTTGGCGAGGTTACACGAGGCTAATGGACGATATCGTGAAGCCCTCAAATGTTACATCAAACTCCATGATGCGGATTCGGCCTTTAGGTTGATTAGGGACAATCATCTTGCCGAAGCTGTTGAAGACGATATCCCTAGCTTCATCGGTCTTCGTGTCCCGCCTGGTAAACTCAACCAGATGACGGCAGAGGAACTCGAACACGCAACGTCTGAAGCTATAACTCTGCTTGTTGATGAAGCTCAGCATGGTCTCCTGCGCCCCGATGTTGTCGTGGAGCAGCTTCTGAGCCAGAAGCTCAATCTGTACATATACTTTTACTTCAGGGGCCTGTGGAGAGGCGAGGGCATTCAAGAGCACGGAGGAGAGAATGTAGACCGGCTTGTTATGGACAGCCAGTCGTTGGTGGACAGCTTTGCGGATCTGGCGGTCCATCTTTTCGCGACTTATGACCGGACGTTGCTTATGGAGTATCTGAAGACCTCAGTGTCCTACACGTTCGAGAAGGTAAGTTGAGAACAAAATTGAGACATGAGATGCCATGTATACTAACTTGAGCCAGGCTGTTCAAGAGTGTGAGACTTTCTCATACTATGATGAGCTAGTTTTCCTATACTCCAAGACCGGACAGATGAAGCGTGCTCTTTACCTCATCATCGATCGCTTGAAGAACGTTCACAAGGCCATCGAATTTGCTAAGGAACAAGACGATCCTGACTTATGGGAGGATCTCCTCAAATACAGTATGGATAAGCCTAGCTTCATCAGAGGCCTTCTCGAGCAGGTTGGAACTGCCATCAACCCAATTACTGTGGTGAAACGAATTCCTGAAGGACTCGAGATCGAGGGTCTTCGAGAAGGACTCACCCACATGATGAAAGAGCACGAGATTCAATACAGCATTAGCTCAGGGGTTGCGCGCGTCCTTCGCAGCGAAGTAGCGACAGCCCAGAACGAGCTCAGGGCTGGCCAACGCAAAGGTATCAAGTTTGAAGTTGTTATGCAAGATCAAGAGCATGTGGATGTCCAGGTCAAGGATGTTCCCACTGATCCTGAGAATCCCGAGCGCAACGCTGCTCACCCATCTACAAAACACGATCACCGGGTACCGAAGCCAGGGCATTGCGCAAGATGCCACGAGCCTTTCACTGAGTATGAGATGGAGACTCTGGTAGGATATGCCTGCGGACATGTGTTCCATGTAAGTCACCTGCTGGAGATGCTGCACGGAGATAAGAAGGTCGATGTCGATCTTGGCCATGGATCTGAGGGAAGCCGGTACTCCGTAGGCATGAAGGTGATGAGAGCACGTCTATTGAAAGATAAGATGAGGGGAGGTTGTCCCGTGTGCCATGTTAAAGAATGAGGATATCACGATTACAGTTTGAAGTGTCTATGCACACCAACGGCGTATAAAGAGGTGGTCATTTCATTACATACATAGCACATTAGGCTGGAAAGTTTCACGGCGTCTATACCTAGTACAGCGAATGAATAAAGACGAATTATGGGAGTAAAAACGAATTTCTTTTCAAAGTACCTAAGTACAACTCGTATTATGATCCTCCACGGTTCCGAAAGGCCAAAATCACAATCCTGTGTACCATCGATCTACTTCCTCAGGCTCAATCAAACCAATGACCATCGATATACCATGTCAAACCATCCAACACTATCCCTTTCTCTCCAGTACGGAAGAAATATCCGAGTATAAGTGAGTTAGTTGATGAATGCATGGAAAGTATGATCTAGAGGCTGTTTAAAAGACGACAGCAAAAACGACGGCGACGAAGCCAAGGATGGCGCCGGGGGAGAGCTTCTTGGAAGCTGCAGAGGCAGTGACGCTGGGAGTACCAGTAGCATCGATGTCTACGGTCTCCTCGGAGTCAGTGCCGGTGGCAGTTCCAGAGACGGCGGTGGTGTCGTAGACAGTCTCGGAGTCAGTGACGACAGCAGTGGCAGTGTCACTGGCAGCGGCAGAAGGCTCGCTGTAGAGAGTGGTCAGGACGGTTGGGTTACCAGCAACGTCGGTGGTGCTGATGAGAGAAGGCAGAGGCTGGACACCACCATCGGAGGGAACGGCACCGGATGGAGCGACGGGGGGCATAGAGCCCTGAGCATCAGAGGCGGCGGAAGCAGTCTCTCCAGCAGGAGGTGCGTAGTTGGTTCCAGAAGCACCGGGAGCGCCAGGAGCACTAGGAACGATGGTGGTCGAAACAACAGGAACAGTGGGAGCGGGAGCACCCTCAGTGCTAGCAGAAACACCCTCGCCGTGGTAGGTAGTCTGCTCGCCACCAGCAGGGACTGAAGGCTGGCCTGAAGCGAGGACAGGGGAGGCAGCGGAAGCAGCAGAAGGCTGAACAGTCTCGCCGGCGACGGAGGTGGTGTCAATGCACTTGGTCTCGTGAACAACGGAGCAAACGGTCAAGGAGTGAACGGCGGAGCCTGAGTACTTGGTTAGTTTGTGAAATGAGGTGAGGCGTGGAGGAGAGGCATACCGTCGGAGATGCTAGCACCATACTCGTGGGTGTAGGGAGCATCAGTGTGAGCAGCTAGAGAAATGTCAGTACGAAGATAACGTGAAGAAACAATCATCGGGTTGACGAACACGTACACTGGACACTCTCTCCCTGGCCATCGGTGGCGGCGATGAGAGGAGCGCAGAGGGCCAGAATGCTGGCGAGGGTCTTGAGCTTGTAGACAGACATCTCGACGGTGAAGATCTGTTTGATGCAAACGTTAACAAATGATTTCTCGTTGTAGCAATGAACAGAGAAGTTCGATGATAGAGAGGAAGAAGAAGTGTGAGGAAGAAATCCGTTGGAGTGTTGTTTGATGAGGGTGAAGGTGAAGAAGTGCGAGCGCGAGTGAAGAAACACAAACACTGCCGACCGAGCACGACCTCCCACAAGAAATGCAAAGCTGAATCAGAGTGATGGATACTCACAGCTTGAATCTCTGAAGATGTTATAGCGAGAGTGGTTGAAGGATGCAAAGTGATAATGCAAGACTGTGAAGAGATGCACGATCGATGCAGAGAAGAGAGAGAAGGGTGAGGAGGGAAAGGAAAGAAATAGTAGAAAATCAAATGACGAGAAGATTATATTTCTATTCTTCAGGTAGCCTAGCAACCTAAGACCTTAGGCAGGCAGACGTAAACAATGTCGGTGAATGGTTTGCCAGTTGCTGGCACTGGCAGTGGCAATGGCAGTGATGAACTTTTGGTTTCAAGGGGCAACGGTTAAACAACAATGGAGATGCAATAGAAATTACTGATTGAGTACCTGAAATACCTGGCAACAGCCGTTGGTTGGTGGTACCGATGGTTGTTGCACGGGATGTTGTGTTGAGGCATCCCATTTTTGGTGTTTGCCCCTGAGAATGAGGGTCAGGTCGTTCAACAGAGGCAACCCATTGATTGAGTCTTTAATGCTAGAGTTTACAATAGCTTCTCTTGCTATTTACTTGGTCCTCTCCTTTTTCTCTTCGACTATTGTGTATTTGACAATGTGATGGGCTGGATATTGCTTCGTCTATGAATCACGATAGTCACAACCACTCCCTCGCTGTACAATAGATATTACGACATACCATTCACCATCTCGACAATACCATCTTGACCTCTCCAACAAAGGCAGTCTCGACTATGCTGCCAACATCTTTGCATCGCCATGTCTAATTACTCTTAGCACTGAATTGTCTCCTTGGAAGTGCGATACTGCGGGCCTTGTACAACGTTGCAACCGCAGCGGCATCTCGCATTGCTTCGCACAACATAAGCCATATCTGTAAGAGATAGATTGATCTGCATATCCCCCTCCCTTCTCCATTAACTATTCTTACCTTCAGACGCAGTATCCCTACCCTATGCTGAGCAACACTGCAGGTCTCCTCGCTCAGCATAAATACGATGTATACACCAGATTTCAGAGTAATCTCACTCGAATAACGCTGTGCTCTTGTCTCTTCAACACGTGTCTAAGCAGTGCATTTGTGCTAGGTCACTCGCCTGTGCCTCAGAGTGAGTATCCGATGAAGGACAGGCCGTCTCCGAGCAGACTCAGGCAAACTGGCTGGACTCATCATCACTAGAACTTGAGGATTTTCTAAGCGAGTCTGCAGGTTCTCGTAATAAAACGGTATGTCTCAGGGTCTTTTGCGTCCCCTCCAGGAAGCTTTTCGTATGCAAAGTAATAAAGAGTGTCTAATAATTTAAGGGTCTTGAGAAAAGAACCCAATAGAATTTCTTTCTGGCCATTTGGATGAGTTAATCGTATCACCTGATTGATTAATGTTTGAAAAGACCTTCTATTTTTTCAACTACCTTAGTAGGTATAATGTGAAATGATTATGTGGTGCAAATCGGAAATAGTCGTTTGCATCTTTAGGTTGTTGGGACGAGAATCTGTGGTAGCCCTGATTAGTTCCGTACTATTGTTACGATCGTATCTAGATGATCAACAAGAAATGCAAGCACCTTAGAAAAAATTAATCTACACAACGGTAACTTGCCCACTGTCAACTGACATGAATGAGTACCTTGCAAGAGATAGGTTTTGACTCGATGTAGGGTAAGAAAAAAGTAGAATTTGCAAAAAAGAGGATATTTGATGGATTCTAACCATCTACAATGGACGAACAGGGAATCGAACCCTGGACCACTCCCAGATTATTCAGTCGAATAGTGCTAAGGGAGTATTATACCACTAAACCATTCGCCCGATGTTGTTGAAAATGCTTCTCATATTTGGGAACATGATTGCTGCGCATTACGCCCTGACACTGTGTACAGCCAACTTCATGTCGAACTGGCATGAACTTCCAATCAAACCAATACAGAAACTTCGAATCTTTTCCAGATAGTATATAGAACGTGAAATCATAACATCGTAAATCGTTCAGTAAATCATCCCTCGAACATTTGTCTCAGCCGGCGTAGATGTCCAGTCGTAGATAGCACAGTTGCTATGAGAACAAGATAGCAAACCAGCATAACTAGGCGAGTTATAAGGTCAGGAAGAATCATCAGTAACACCGCCAAGCAAAGACCACTCATAGAGAATGCGCTGATCAGTGTCCGAAGAGGCACGATTGGAGCAGGTGCTTGATGATCACCTCCATGCGCGGTTCTCGTCTTTTGAGTCAAAGCAACAAGATCTGATGCGTAGATAAACTCAGACTCGTTGTCGACTAGAATTTTTCGATTTTCAAGGAACTTTCTGTAGGCTTGCACATCGTTGCTTGTTGGTGTCGGTAGCTTCTGCATATCTTCAAGGGAAGCAACCAAGTGTCCTAGGATGATTAGATAGGTGTGGGTGGTCGTGTTGAATATGTTACTTACTATACCGGCGTAGGATACTCTCAATCTTATCTATTAGTCGATGTCTGCTCCGGTAAACTTCATAGTTGGAAGCTCGCTCTTCTCGTACCGACACGGGCTTGGGTCCGCCATTCACAGTTGTAATCGAGTCCAATCGTATCAGTTCTTCCTCATACATCACAAGTTGGTCTTGAAAGTAGAGGAGGGTACGATGATTGAGCCAATCGAATCTTCTATACAACGGTCTTAGTCGGGGGTCGCATTGCCCTGATATCCTAGCCGCTATCGCCGCGTAACCATTGAGAGCTTCAAGTGGCAGATCTTCGTCCTCTGCAGCCATGTCTTCTTGTGTTTCTGAGTATGCGGTATCGTATGGAAGTGGTTGATTATGGTAGGCAGGCTCCAAGGCCGTCGATCTCTGGCTCTGGAAGACAGGTCTAGGAGGATAGTGACGATCAACAGGCGGCAAACCAGGCTGCTGTGGTGTGAAGGGTTCTTGGTGCGGGGGATAACCGGCAGGAGTATGTGCTGGTCCCCAGCCTGGGTAAGCTACAGGACCGACGGGAGACTGAGGATAATTGGCGACAGCAACAGCCGAAGGGGCATATCCAGCTGCCGGTGCCTGACGACCAATGATGGGGCTTTTAAAATAGCCTGATTCTGGGGATGACTGGAACGCTTCGTGGGCCACAGAGTTCGGGTCGGACCCGGAGAAAGACATATTAGCAGGCCGGCGTGTTCCTCTACTCTTAGGGTTTCTGTTTTCCCTAATCGCTTTGTTTTTGTTACCGGCAGATCTAGAGGCGGCCTTATCGTCACTGGATGTAAGCTGCGTAACAGATCCGCTGACAGTACGTTGGACACTGGGGGGAGTGTATTCTGTTTTGGATGACGAGCTTGTCGGCGTTAGGTGTTGAGTTTCACCCTCACTCGGTGACCGGCTAGCGCTTTCTTCGCAATCTTCAACAGTAGATTGGTGAGATATGGTCTTTTGTATCGGAGCGCCCTCAGATGAAGACCATGAGGGCCTCTGCCGACCTTGGACTCTGTCGGTCATTATGGGTTTGCGTAAACGGAACCTGTATAGCTTATTTGATTTGAAATCTTTACTGCAAATATGCAGTTCTCCTCAATAGCTTTTCTAAGAATTTCCAATTTGAGTTGATTGCTGAAAAGAGAAGTTTATTAATGAACCCTTGTGTGATACCGTCCAAGTACACACTCAGCTGGCGCGCTGCATATGTTGCCCAGTGTAAGCTGGATGTTCGTTAGAGGCTTAGAGATGAAGCATCTTGAACATCTCAGTCGTAACGGCAGTTCAGTGAAGTTTGGATACGGCCGAATAGAGTGTTGGACTGTACCGTAGTACCGGGAGCCGACGTTGGATTCCGTGAGCAACTTCAAATGACAAGCTTAGAGAAAAGTGAGCTCTGACGTGACAGTATTGAAGTCCACGTAAGACAAAGAAAAGTTCCCGATACCTTAATGAGCGAAGATATAGAGGAATGCGGGGGAAGATAAGAGTGTATGTATGTAGGATTCAAGACTTCTTGAAGTGACCTATAAAACAATGATGAACGGATGACGGACTTGAGAAGAAGCAAATAATAATGTCATGCTCTAGCTGATCTTCCATTGTCAAATAGTTCGCATGATTGCCTTGTTTCAAGCAACAATAGCGCGAACAGCTGAGCCGCAAAGCCCGCCGTCCGAGCACTTGATCTCTCCATTGGGGTAGATAGGGAAGGTGGTGGGGGAGTGAAGTAAGGAAGGAGCGTGGGTGGCATCAACGGCAATACTCGTGTTGCATGTGAGACTGGAAGGAGTATGGAAGGCGTTGGTAAGATAAATATGACAGTTAGCCATGCAGTAAAACCGAATAAGGTAAATAGTAAGCTTCACATTGCATTGTTAGTACAGGGAACTCGACTTGAACTTCAACAAAGATACACTCTGTACTTTGTAATTGGTGGGCATAATTTCTCTTAGAGAAACGAATGAATATCTGGTAGTAATCTATAGAAGAGAGAAGACTTGAATACAGGGAAAGAACAAATCATAATGGAATGGAAGGAACGACAGTGAAGTTGGCAAGAGCAGAGGACGGTAATACAGTACAAGCATCTTGGCACGTGATACACACTCATCCACGACCCCATCACCAAAGATCATCGCTGCCCCACCAGAGCTACGGAAGCGAGACCAGGAAAGATTCGAGATTCTCCAAAGACCAATTGAGTTGCTCAGACGTTTCCGATAACCACCAATTTGAGGCCACAACGACCCTGTTCGTTAGGTATTATGATTTACATATAATCAGCCTCAATTGTGTTGCCAGGTCATAACGCATTACCACTGCAACCCTCACAACCTACCACACCAACGTATTCTGGGTTCTACAAGCCAGAGATTAAGCTCATTAAGCTTTACGAGGGGCTCCCAAACTAAGCTTTCATGAAGCTATATCACCAACAACTGAGGCAATAACTTAGGAACCATTCACTCTTCTTGTCACCATGTCACGCATTCCAACTTCGGTACTCAGCAAGTACCTGCTGAAAGGCCAAATACCCCGGCAAGGCTGCCTTGGTGTACGCCACATACATAGACACCCTTCATTACCTTCAGCTGCTGCATCTATCGCCCATACAACCAGGCATCTGCATACGTCCCCTGAAGTCGTCACACCACCTCCCGCGCAGCCAGTACCTTTACGCAAGCAATTGAAGGATGAAGCAAAGAAAGCAAAGAAGCAGGGCAAGAAGAAGACAAAGGGCGACTCACAAACAGTTGAAGGCTGGGAGTTGACTGTTGGTATCGAAATTCACGCTCAGCTGAATACTGCCCATAAACTATTTTCACCGGCTGTTACCTCTTTCAACGACGAGCCAAATAGCCATGTCGCTCTTTTTGACGTTGCCATGCCTGGCAGCCAACCTCTCTTTCAGAAAGAGACTCTGATCCCCGCTCTTCGTGCAGCGCTCGCCCTCAACTGCGAAGTCCAGGAGGTTAGTCGATTCGACCGAAAGCATTACTTCTGGTGGGATCAGCCCTCGGGATATCAGATCACCCAGTATTATGAGCCATTTGCCAAGAATGGTCACATCACTCTTCTTGCCCGCGACGGGATCTCTCCTCAAGATGGCGAAAGTGTCACGATCGGAATCAAGCAAGTTCAGCTCGAGCAGGATACGGCAAAGACGTTGTCTCAGACAGACAAGGTTCAATGGCTTGACTTCAACCGCGTGGGAGTGCCTCTGATTGAGATCATTACGGAACCTGAGCTTCATCACCCCCGAACTGCAGCTGTCTTTGTGCGCAAAGTTCAGATGCTGCTGAACACTGTTGATGCCTGTGTGTCAGGTATGGAGACTGGTGGCCTGAGAGCCGATGTCAACGTTTCTGTTCGCAGGACTGATGGATCCAACCCTTACCTTGGCACAAGGACCGAGATCAAAAACTTGAGCACTATCAAGGCGGTTGAAGATGCCATTATTGCCGAGCGCGACCGACAAATTCGTGAGTTGGAAGCTGGACGATCCATACCCAGTGAAACTCGCGGTTGGTCTATCGGATCTACAGAAACGCGACGCCTCCGTGGAAAAGAAGGCGAGGTTGATTATCGGTATATGCCCGACCCTGATATTGCGCCACTGGTTATTGGGGACGATCTAGTTGGCCACTTACGACAGTCATTGGCAGTGACACCTGATTCGGAACTGGATACCCTGATTGCTCGATTTGGGCTTACAGCCAAGGATGCACTATCTCTGATCAACCTTGAAAACGGCTCGCGTGTGCAGTACTACTACAAGGTGCTCTACTCAATCCAGGAGAAGCTTGCGGAAGACCTCAGTGAAGCTGAGATGCCGGAATTTAAGAGCTATTCTGCAGTGGTCGGCAATTGGATTATTCACGAGCTGGGTCGCCTTACCACATACAAGGCAGGCCCGCTCGCAGCTCGAGACTTAACATTCACACCAGAAGGTGATTGTGAACAGGTCCCCGACTCTGAGCTCTCACAGCTTCTGTATCATCTGATCCGCAAACAGATCACGGGCAAGGTGGCGAAGGAGCTTTTGTTCGCTATTTATCTCAAGGAGATTGAGGGCGGAGTTACTCAGGCTATCGAGGAGAACGATCTGTGGTTCAAGGAGATCACAATGGAAGATTACGAGCAGCTAGCTAATGAGGCGATGGAGGGTGAGGATAAGATCTTGCAAGAGTTTACCAACTCTGAGCAATTTCCTCAAGGCAAACTTATGTTCCTCGTGGGCAAGATGATGCGCCTTGGACCTACCGAGCGCATTGTCCCTGCAAACGCTGAGCGTGTCATGAGGGCAAAGGTCGAAACTTTGCGAAGGACGTGATTCACTTCACTGGAAAGCGGGAATGTTACGGCTGTTACAGCACAGCCATTCTCTGTCACCTGAAGTATCCGCAAAGCGACATCGTGTCACCGAAATGCTGATTCAATCTGGTGTTTTTGACAACTGAAGATAGTTGGTCGGTCTAACAATGAGGCTTTTGCCGAGCATCACCAGTGTCACATGAGTTCTCTTGCGCGCTGAGGCACAAGGTAGCAAACACGGATCGCTCCCATACGTGAGTGGGATATGTCTTGAATCAAACAACTATTTCTATTCTTCCAAAGCGTTCACAAAACCAAGTTTGGTTATGACAAAACCTATTACGTTTACAACAAACATGCCCTTGAAAATTGACAAACCTATGGCTACTGTCTTTCTACCACGTATTGCGTCTCCTGATTCCAAGGACAGAAACGTCCCACGAACAATGACATCCAGCCATAGCCCGCCATTTAAGACAACAGTCCCAGGCGACCGAGACAATGATGACGATGGTATAAAGACAGAAATAAAGACAGAGACTGTGTGGGAGACGATGAATCCATATACAGAAACAGAAGCCAGTACATCAGTTGCTACTTCACGTCCACGAACGAAGATTGCAGCGACTCCAGTTACTACTATTACTACTACCAAAATTGATGCGAACTATTCTACAGCCAGTCCTACTGCTATTCAAAGTCCCGGATCCCTCGCACCCGAGTTCCAGGAGTCTCGTGGGCTATCGGACGGGGCGATCGCTGCAGTTGTTCTTGGCGTTGTATTCGGTTTAGCTGCCATAGCATTAGCAGCATGGTTCTTATTCTATAAGAGGCACAGAGGTTCAACGATCAGTCGAGCCACTTCTCCGAAAACTCCCATCTACAACCCTCCACCTCCAAGTTCGACATTGCCAACCCCTCCTCCCATTGCAGAGTTGAGCTCTCAGGGTGACGGATCGCCCAGCATGGAGGACTCGTGGGCTAGCTATGGCGACCGTGTGCGATCGCCGACGCCCCAGCCTGCGGTGGCAGAGGTGAAGAGCTTTACCCGGGCGTGGCAGAAACCCCGTGTTTACACGGTCGGCGGCGGTCGTATTGCGGAGCTTCATGGTTCGGAGCCTTCGACGAGTAACGATGATGGGGATGATAAGATGTCGCCCATCTCGCCGATGTCTAGGGCCGGGCCGTTTGTTGCTGATCGTCGTGTGGTGAGCCCGATGTCTTTGACTTCGAGGTTCAGTACATTGTCGTCTAGAGCAGACTCGAGCCCTGGACGAGAGGAGAGCCCGAGGAGAGGGTTCTAATGAGATTTTGTATTTTGGACACATCCATGCCAGTTGCTTACTCGATAGGGGCTGGGCTAATTCCGGTGTTTCTGAAAGAGGGTGAAACGGTGAAATTTTGTGCTACAGCTCAAATAGGGGTTGGAGGTCGATGAGCCTGGATCTCGAAAAGGCTCATATCAAAAGAGGTGCTACACGCTGTAAACCATTTCTATAGATTTAGGCAGTCTTGGGCAAATTGCTGTTAGGTTGCTTAACATATAGATCTCAATTTAAGATCCCATCTCCGTAAGACACTGTGCATATTGTGCAAGGTCGATCTTTGTATGTGACTGATATGTTTCAATTTGAGCGACAACACGATAACAAGATATGGTACTTCAAACGCCGTGTGCCCATGACAGGGCATTATATCCGTGTATGCGTAATTCCTAATAGATAGGTTGCAGAAAGCCAGCATGCGATACCATTAACTCCAAACTCCTTACGTGCTGAAACACGATAATGTCCAATAAAGAAAAAGGGACCGCAGCAAGTCAAGGTGTGTTCTCACCAAACCTATGTTGCCTTGGTATGGCCACCATCATTCTACGGCCTTCCGTTATGTCCAGGCCCGTGACCATGACCATGGCTTGCCAGCACTTCACTGTCATACTTCCCAGGCTGGAAGGCGTAATTCAAGTTCTCTCTGTCCTTCAAGAACATATCCACTCTCTCGTCTTTCGATCTGCCTGCAGCAATCGTGTTTCGACGTGCAACCTGCTGCCCGATAGCAAGGTTAGACTGGGCCTTCATTTCCATGAGATCAGCGCCATATTGCTCTGCTCTACTCATTTGAGCAAAGGCACCTATCATGCACATGCAAACAATGACCGTCGCGAAAACGCCATTGGACATATACATAGGGCCAGGTACCCTGCCTTCGCGAGCATCATACCAACGCTCCCAGTCCTCCCATGTCGCATTATTCGCAGCAGATCCGGTCCTGTGGCGCCAGGCACGATCGGCATTACGCACCGTTTCGTTGAGTGTCTGAGGCTTACCACCGGTCCATCCTACACCGTGGACATCATAGAGTTGACGTTTGGACGGATCGCTGAGTAGGTCATTGGCAGCAACGATAAGACGATAGCGTTCTAGGCGAATTGCATGTGGAATATTATCAATATCGGGAGTATGGCTGTGTCTGTCGGGATGGTAGACTTTGACAAGCTGGTAGAATCGATGTTTGGTATATGGGGCGTCACTCTTCATAGAGAAGATCTCGTAGGGAGAAGGATAGTTTTGTTTGGGCCATTCGGGGATATTATTACTGCTGAAGCTGCCTCTTTGGTCGTTATTTACTGTAGCATATCGCCTATGTCGGTCTATTGAGCAAGCTGTTGCTGGCGCATAGCTAGATCGTACCCCTCTAGATGACGTTATAGACCGTAGAGGTGGGAGACTCGAGACGGCGGGGAAGGCATTGCAGGAGCCGAGAAGGACGGCAGATTTGTTCAGCGGCATGACGATGGCGATAGTTGGCACAAGCCGAGAGGCATTGAAAACATGTTCGGCGCCGCGAGCTTTGAGGTTTTGGGTATCGCGGATTGAGCATGTTAGAGCAGGAAAGGATAGTGACGACGATGAACGTTTGAACGGCGCATCACGCGCAGCGAATGAGGATGCGGATCATACCCGCATATTCCGTCCACTGTAAGCTCAGCTGCGAACTGCAATGGAACCCCACAAACGGGGGATCTAATGGACAGGGATTATCTGATATCCCGGCCGAGAACGGAGATCTTACAAGCCACAGCAGCCACGGTCACGAGACCAGGTGAGTCTTCACCGAGATGTTCACCTAGGTGAAGCAATCCTACCAAGATATCCCTGCTTCGATCTGCCGACATGCCGAGACATCCCTGTTTCCAACGACAAAATCGTTCACATAATCCGTTCGAGTTACCATTGAGTGTCTTGCCGGGTAAATCAGTCGACGCTCAGCTAAAACGGCAGATCAACTTGTAGCATAATAATGTCAGTCTAAAGTCGCAGCTATTGCCGACATATCCGGCCTCCAACATTTGGAGTTGGGTATACAGTATTTCTCATCGAGATAATGCTCACCAAGTTATTCGGTAACAAACCAGTATAGCCGAGCTTCCATTCGAGCGGTACCGAGGATATCAATATTGTCAGTATTATCAATATTGACTAAGGTGATAGTCACCGGGAATAACGGCGCATCATCGACGCCATCGTCATCAGAGGCGCTGGTCTAAACTCGGACCCTCGATCTGGACAAGATTCACGCATATCTCGACTCTAGTTAATTCCGTTTATGCTTCTCCTCATTCTACTCGAACCCGACTCCGCGATTGGGGTAAAGACAAAATATGGTCGTCACCCACACCATGGGGAAAGACCCGTCCAGAGATCGACCAGACACACGGTACCTGGGAACGGCATTTCATATGCCGTAAGCCAATGAGACCATTTGCAATTCGAACATGACTCTGGATAGCTTCCTTTTCCCACGTTCATGAGCTCGAGCAGTGGATCTTCGAGAGCGGAAGTCTTCCGGCGTGGGTGACAGTGTCTCCACTTTCCAACGACACAATTTGGTCGTCATCTCCACCGCAAGCTTTTCATTGCCGTTTACTAAAGCTTCTAGGGTGGTTTCCACGTTGTATTATCTCCGGGCCTACTGCTCCCCAGTCGGGCCTGTGTTGAGGCTCAACACTGCTAGACAGTACCAGGATGTTCCTCCCGGCTTGGCCAGAGCCTCAATGTGTTGGTTCCTCCTTGTCAGATCATATTACAGGCCTGGACTGTTGACATCTCGAACCAATTGAAAGTTCCTTGGTCAACTAACACGACATGGTTCAGGCTATATGATTTGAAATCTTTCCGTCTGCTTGACTCGAAAATGGCCAGTCATTGCCACACCTTACCCATCACCGAGTGCTTAACTTATGACGACTGGATTGTACCCTGGACGTGGGATCCGCTTCTTCTAAAGCACCCCAAACAGCATCCCCGAGCTTGCTACAATATCCGCGTGCCGACATATCCATCCTCCGGGATTCTCTGTTTGCAAAGGTCCCATCATGCCTTATTCGGAAAACCCACATAGCTATTCTCCACGTCCATCCTCGGCCCTTTGGTGTCGTTCCTGCTCAAGTTCTGTTAGCGTCGTGGGTCGTGGAGCTCAGATGATGGATCAACCTTTGGTTTATCAATTTCCAGTCTCTTGCTGATCTCCAGTACGACCGTGATTCTCGCTCGGTTGGGGAATTTACCGTATGCACAGACTGGTGAATAGGATGTCCGCCCCTTCGTCATGCGAGATAGAGTACGGGGTAGGTCCCTTACTCGTTGTGATCAATATAAAAAGCTGTAGACCCTAAGTGGGTTGATCAAGATTCTTCTCCAGGTCTTTGTATTTAAACTTGTTTCTCCCATCCCAAGTGATATAGTCTATTGTAACCCAGTCTTTATACTCAGTCGAAACTCAAACAACATGTCTGCCAGCACTCCTCCATCCCACGGGGCAACCACCCCTACACAATATACCGACAAGGAGGATGGTGGTCACTATGGTAGTCACTATCACTGCAACCATCCTCACCACCACCATGGAGAGCGAAACAATAACGTCCAGAAGCCTCACCAGTCCATGGTGTCGCAGGTTTACAACCCTTCGTTCAAAGCCGCCAACCCTGGTCCTCTTGGTCTGATCAGTTTCGCTCTGACTACCTTTGTTCTTGGTCTTTACCAGTGCGGTGCTGGGTAAGTTCATCGCGACCTTATTTGTATAGCCTCATGAACTGACACTTAGACAGACTTCCTGATAACAACCCTTTCGGCGGTGTTGGCCCTGACCAAGCCATCTTCGGTCTGGCTGTCTTCTTCGGCGGCATTGCCCAATTTCTCGCAGGGCTCATGGAATTCCGCGTTGGCAACACCTTCGGTACCACTGTCCACTGTTCTTATGGCGCTTTCTGGCTTGCCTTCGCCATGTTCTACGTCCCTGATCTTGGTATCAAGGCTGCATACAACGGCGATGACCGCGCATACAGCTTTGCCCTAGGTATTTTCTTGATCCTGTGGTGCTTCCTGACTCTCATCTTCTTCGTCGCCGCTCTCAAGACAAATATTGCCATCCTGGTTGTCCTTGGCTGTTTGTTCCTCGCCTTCCTTTTCCTCAGCATCGCTCAGTTCCTCCAAACCAGCCACCCAACAGCTGCGATTCGAGTCAATAAGACAGGCGGTGCATTTTCGGTCATTTGCGCTTTCGCAGCTTTCTACGCGGGAGCCGCAGGTATTATGACCGAGGATACGACATGGGTTCGCTTCCCTCTTGGCGAAATCGATGTTAAGCCCAAGAAGACCAACATCGCTTAAGATACGAGTGGAGATTACTCCTGAAGGAAGATATATATGATCTGATGGTGGAAAGTTAGTTTTGGCATGTTAATGATTTGGATTGAGGATGTTGATTTATACCCAATATTATGAGTTGTAATGATAGTAAATAAGACATGATATGAAAATAAGTGCCTCCAAAAATGAATGACGTCAAACATCAGCCGCCGCCAACCAAGCTGCATGAGAACATGTTTCAGACTCAATTGCACGAGTTGCTTTAATATGCCAATGGCACGATATGTAATGAGTTCCTTGAAGTGATGCTGATTGAATCATTGATGCATTAATATTGATTCCCTAAACCGTATGATGCATGGCTATAATCGTACAATAGACCATTGTTAGGTCTGGCTTTCATTATTTCCCTTCGTAATCCGGCAAGTTAAAGCTTCTTGGCTTACAACTTGTGCTTAGCCTCCTCGGCCACACCCTTTGCCTTGCCCTTGGCTTGCTCAGCAGCACCCTTGGCCTCGCCCTTGAGCTCTTGAGCCTTGCCAGCAGCCTCACCCTTCAGCTCCTGGGCCTTTGCGGCGGCGTCGTTGGAGTCAGTGACGTCCCGAGCGGCAGCCTTAGCCTTGGCAGCAGCGTCCTCTGTAAATGATCGTTAGCATTGGTTTCTTAAAGCAAGTTGGTAGTTGGAGAGACTAACGTCCAGCCTCAATGCCGTCGACAATCTTGTCGCTCACAGCGCGGTCGACTTTGTGGGCAGTGTCCTTGACAGCATCGGTAGCAGTTTTCTGAAGAGCGAAGCTGGTGGTGAATGTTCGGGGAGCCTGGAAGGCAATGACGCGGGGAGCGAGGGCCACACGGCGGATGACGTTCTCTGTGAGGAAAGACATTGTGATTGTTTTTGTGGTGGTGAAGGGTTGAATTAGGTAGATTGAGTTTATTGGTGAAGATTAAAGAGTCAATTGATGAAGAATTAAGGAAGGAGAAAAGGGAAGCTCTTGCTCTTGTAACTTATGTTATGACGCCTGGAGCTTGCCATAGCTGCATGATGTCACTCGCGGGGAAAGAGCTCCCTGTTGCGGTGCGACCAAGCACGTGAAGGGAGTAATGATGACGCAGTGAGGCTTGAATAAACGGGGGGGAAGTGCTCAGCGCAGTTGAAGCTTGACTTCTTTCTGCTTTTGTGTTTAATCTCATCATCGAGATATGCTGTGGACGATCGCTGGAGCTTTGGTGAGGAAAGTAAGTTCACCCCTCGGATGGCTGGTGTTAGTGCAATTGGCAGGTACCATCAAGATCTACCCTCCATAGAGCTTAATAGAGATCATGCCGATATTTCTAGTCAATTAAAGACAGATTTAGCTGGTCACCGCCATTGCTATTGAGTTTAATGTGACATTTGAAAATGGAGATGGCTTCATTAGGATTCTATTTTGCAATTGTGAGTCTAACAAAACTCAAGAGTACTATATACGACGGCTCTTCATAACTCGTTATTCAATCGTTGATCATCATCATGCTTCCTTCTTCACGCTACTCTCGGAGCATATCTCATCGGGCGTTGCGGCCCTTCTTTTGGCTTCTATCACATCCGTTCGACGCTCACGATTGGGACTCCCCAGCTGCAGGGTATCAGATCCGCGGATCATGAATTCTTCTGGTCCAGGCCTTGGCAATGGGCCATCGCACTTGTCAGTCTCATTATCATCATTGATAACGCATTCATCTGCAGATGTCCCCACTCGACCGTTTATAACGTTGTCGATACGTAACCTCGGTGGACCCGAGTTCAGCCTCATGCCGTTCTTGGGAGGTCCAGCTGCATGCAGGAGTTAGCAAACGAGCACCGGATCAAGTTCACGAGTGAATACTTACACAGCAAGAGGTCAAACAATTTGACGATGACGGGTCCCCAGACCGTTACCGCGATGATTTGTCCGTAGCTCCAGCGATTGGCTGCAAAGCTCTCTGCATTGATAACCTTGGTAAGAGAGATCATGTACAAGATATTGATCACCAGATATGCGACTTCAAGAATTCGCCAGAACCATTTCTTGATGAAAAGCCCTCGTCGTTGTTTGCCCCAACGTGGCCATCGACCAAGGCGATACGACCCAAACTGGACGTGTTTGGTGAGATGATGCTTTCGAAGCGTCCAAGCCAATTGATCAGCTACCAAGGCGATGATGGCAATAGTGTCAAGGATGAGAAACGTCATCTTGTATAGCAGAGGATGAGGGAAGAAACTGAATCCTTGTCCATCGATTCCTTGAGTTGCAGCGCAATATGTTCGAGGACTTGGATTGAAGCCGCATCCTTCGATTTCGTTCTGACCTTTAAACAAAGCGAAAGCGTCCTTGAAGTATATCTTCTGCGATGTTGCTATAATGGCGAGAAGATACTCCATGAAGAAACCCAGAAACGTATGCCAGTTACGGATGCCTTCATGATGAAGACAAATCTGAATGAGGAACATGGGAAGAATACCGTTCTGGGAGACATGAAAAGCAATAGCGCCATTAACAACGATCTCGCCCCAGAAGGTGCCCTCTTGAGAGTTGACAACAATGGCAAGAATGGATGCAATTTGTACGGCAAAGACAAACCAGCACTGAGCTTCTTGAAACTCAACCAATGTGGTTGCAATGGCAATACTCGTACGGGATAAGCCACCAGAGTCACGCCAGATCATGCTCTCGATTCGAGTCAGACTGCGCTTCAGACGATAAGGCTCGGGCTCAGATTTGCGACGGCCGGTGCCTTGCGTGATGTTGACCCAAAGGGTGAAACCCTTGAGAAGAAGATACAGAGACGCAGCAAAAGATACTTGCATAACATATGAGATGAGAACCTACAGTACCTTGTTAGTATGGGGTCAAAGATTGTGGCTGCTTTGACTTACACCTGGCCCAAAAATATCTGGGTTGACCTCTGCTGGTAGGTCGGGGCAGAACTCGTCCAGGGCCTCGAATATCTCCTCAGGGGTTGAATCTTCATATCTGAGGCGGTCAATTGAACGGTTGCAAGGTTTGCTCAGACCGTCATTCTCGCAGGCATCCTGGGCACAAGTGATGAGAGACCTGAGCACCGGTCTACCATCAAACTCAGCCAAAGTACCAGAACCCATCACAGCACTGGCGTTTCGTTCAGTCTCCTCGCTGACATAATAAGCGTTCGCATCTTGTGTCCAATGCGCCGCCGCAGCCAAGGCAGCACAGTTGTAAAAGGTTTCCAGTGAGCTGAAGAATAGGTCTGAGCTGTTGCAGGCGCGGGTGCAGTCAGCTACACCATCAATATGGCATCCAGAGCTAAATAAGATAATTTCTTGACCTCCATCAAGGTTGGTGGCGAAAAGTTCTTTGAAGGAGAGTCCTGAATCAACATCATCGGAACCAGAGCCTAGACCGGCGATGTCGAGAAAGGGGAAGAAATCAGAGGTTCCGTCGATACTGCCACGAACAAGAACGGTGAGAGGCGTGTCAGAAGCCGTAGTCGAAGGTAATAGAGATGAGACCGTTGAAGATGTCGATAAGGTTTGCAGAACGGGTGTTGTTGCCATTGCGAAAAGACAACAGTAGATTTGATCCTCCGCAAACAACTAACAGCGTCCGTCCATTCTTTTCAGTCGGTGTCTTTGTTTATATCAATCATTCGACATGGCCACGTCTGACAGAACAAAAAGTCAGAGGAGAAGAAGAGGAAGGAGAAAGGGATCTACAAAAAGATGGAGGAGGCTGAATAAAGAGAGGATCCATGGGTTACTCACTGCAGGTGCAGTGCAAGGCAAGTGCAAGGCGTTTGCTACTGCTAAAGCTACAGGGAGCTAGTTCATCTTCCGCAGGCTTGGCACGTTTTCCCCAATTGGCAATTTTGAAGCTTGTATTGTGGCTTAGTACTTCATAACTCATAAGCTAAGCTCACTAATTCTCATAAGTTGAGATGAATGACTCTGGGGTTTCCAGTTTCCTGGTTATTAGTTTTATTAAAGATCGACTTAAGATGGTGAAACAGTATGAACGATCGCCATAATTCTATCGTCGAATAATCATCTACTTGACCGTCACTTTCATCCCAGCATGTGGAACTTGGACCAACTCATCACCTCTCCACCAAAGATACCACGTCAATACCGCCATAGCAAAAACAAGGCTGTCTATTTCCGATAGATCACAAAAGATTGAAAGTGAAGATAAGATCAAGAACTCTTATATAAAGCCCGAGGTCAATTTAAAGATAAACATCCGTGTCTCAACGTCTATAACCGTCCATCTCTTATCGGTTATCGGCTTAACACGATGAACCGACACCAGCCGACGTCATTATTCCTCGGCTTCCAAACTCCAGTCTGTAGATACCTAGATAATAGATATTCCAATACAAAGCTCATTCTCAACTCCTCCATCAATATCCTCAAACCCCAATCAAACCATACAAAATGCCTCCTCGTCTCTCCCAACCCGTAATCACCCTCCGCGTCCTCCGACGTTACTATTCCTCCTCCACCGAACCTCTCATCCGCGTAACAAACCTCCCCGCGCCCAACACAGGCCATATTCGCATTCTCGAATTGAACCGACCATCAGCTCGGAATGCCATCTCTAAAGCTCTTCTAGCGAATCTTCGCGCTGAGATTGATGCTGTGCATAGTCAATATGGACCCAATGGCGAGGAATTGCCTCTTCCTCAGCGCTTTGGTGGTGCCGCGGGGGTAGATGAGAAGGGTCCTACGAGAGCTGTTGTCTTGGCTAGTGCTGTTGATACATCTTTTTGCGCCGGCGCTGATCTCAAGGAGCGCAAGGGATTTACTCCTGGAGAGTGAGTATATCTTTTATCGCATATTCTTTCAATAGTACTAATTACTATCTGTAGGACTGCCGAGTTTCTTACAAACCTGCGCAACACCTTCACAGCTCTTTCCAACCTCCCCATCCCGACCATCTCAGCCATTTCCTCCGTCGCACTCGGCGGCGGTCTCGAGCTCGCCCTCTCCACACACTTCCGAGTCCTCAGTTCCAACGCGACAGTCGGTCTTCCAGAGACACGTCTCGGCATCATCCCCGGCGCAGGCGGCACCCACCGTCTCCCCGCTCTCATCGGTCTCTCACGCGCCCGCGATCTGATCCTCACCGGCCGTCGAGTCGGAGCTCCCGAGGCATACTTCCTCGGTATCGCGGATCGCCTTGTTGAAGTCGTGCCCGAGGATGAGCGCGATGGCTCTGATATTCTTGGTGAGGCCAGGAAGGCGGCCTTGAGTGAGGCTGTGAGACTGGCGCAGGAGATTTGCGAGGGAGGTCCTATTGGTGTGAGGGCGGGACTTCAGGCTGTTGCTTGGGCGAGGGAAGAGGTCGAGAACAAGATGTATGAGCGAGTGGTCAACTCCGAAGACAGGAATGAGGCCCTTAAGGCATTCGGAGAGAAGAGGAAGCCTATCTTCACAGGTCGATAAGTAAGCATGTTCGTACTACATAGGCAATATACCCACCCTCTTCAGGGCATCACAAAACTTGATTGTTGGAGCATAAAACGAAGATAGTGAATCAATTGAATCTGATTCGTTTGGTTGTTTTCCCTTCTGGTCTGTTCTTTAGGCATCACGGTATTAAAAACTGGTCGCTGAAAGTCTGGGAAATAAAACAATTTAGACGCTTAATGCTAGTTGGGTCTAGCATTGACAGTGTTCTAGCTCAGCACTCTGAGCTCCAAAGAATAATATCTATTACCCAGAAATATCCTTAAGCTTAAAGTCAAGCAGAGTGATGATTTCGTTCTATTCATAAAACATAACGCATGATGCTATGCATTCATTCGGTCTTGTGGGTATAAAATGCCGTTTCCTCTCAATTTTCCGCCTCTCCATCTTCCATCTTGATGCCTTTAATGTCCTCCATTTTGATGTCAGGGATGTCTTCCATCTTGGTGTCTACCTCCCCATCTTCCATCTTAATGTTTTTATCTTTAACATCCTGTGAGGCCTTTTTCTGCAACGCTTCCCTGATGTAATCAACCATGCCACGAAGTTTTCTAGGATTTTCTTCATCGGAATCGATAGAGGTTCTGACGGAGTTTCTGTTTTCTGGTGGCCGATATGAACCCTTTGACTTCTTGTCTTGAGATGATTGAATTCGTCCTTCTCGCTTCAATGCAGGTACCGCACGTAATCTAGGCACTCCACGTCTAACAACCTTTGCTCGCTTTGCCGGGGATACTGGAACTGCTACAATCTCCGTTGCCACCGTTTCCCCTGACGTATCGGAATCAGAGTCCTTCGGAGTATTGGGATTAGTGTCGTGAGCCCCTGGGTCTTCAAGAGATTCAAAAGGTGTATCTGTAGCAGCCATTGCGAAGAATTCCAAGTCCCTGGCTTTAGCGACTTTTGCATCATTGTAGCCAAAACCAAAGCCGAAGAAATCATCAACTGCGTCCCTGCTGGTGTCATCGAATGTGTTAAGGATGTACTGGTCGAGTTCCTTGTCATCGATATTAGCAAGATCGTCAGAGCTGTCAGAGCTGTCATCGCACAAGTCTTCTTCTTCCTTTGGCCGCTTGCGTGATCTCGAGCGCTGTAACTTCTCAGAACGCTCCTAGTTATTGCCCTGCTCCAAGTATGGAGGCGGAAGTTCCTGATCAGCCCCCGAGCCAACTGGTCTTCGGCGCCGAGGCACGTCAACATACTCTTCCTTGTCCTCATCACGGACATAGCAGAGAAAGTAAGGCTCGCCACTAGAGCTCAGTGTTTTGAGGACTTCATCTGTGCTGTGTTTGACCTCAACGTTCGAGTCGTTGTATTTGCGCCAAACGTTTTGCTCAAAGTCATAAATCCACACCCAGTAGTGCCCAGATCTGAGACTGCCCCTGTGACAAATGACAGCGTGGAGGCGGTAGGGGTTGCTCTTGAGTTGAGCATAAAATGTCTCCAGATGGTCTGTAGTTTCTTTGAGCTCGGTCTTCATTTGCTCTCGGACAGAAGATTCGATCTCATTGATGTTTTGTGGCACATCGGACAGCTCAGTTGCAGACACTGCGCGTTTGCTGGGCCTGTTGACCATCAAGAAATCGTCATCTACCGGACCGTCGAATTCCCATGTCTCTTCTGCATCCTCTCCGCCATCAACCATTGCGATGTCTTCCGTTGTGGGCGCATTGCTGTCGTCCGCTTTTTCTTCCTGTGAGAGGCTTTCTAGGAAGGGGCCAGTTGGGCCAGTACTCTCTGCTGCGGCTATGGATGCGTTGATCTCAGATATACGATTAGCAGCTGCCCAGCTCTTTTCGCGCTCTTTAAACGTCATCGAATCGTGAGGAGTGTCCATAAATCGGTCGAGGTATAGTGTTTCAGGGATTTCAACCGGATTGTCATTCTTTCCATTAACGGATTGCGAACGCTGAATAAGGACGTGCAGCACAGGCGGCAGCGTCTCGATGGCTGTATATCGTGACTGTTCGCTTCCCTCAATAGCCTGGAGGTCAAAATTACGGCCGAGTGCATCATACAGTGAGCATGTTCCACCCTGAGGAGAAGGAAAAGCCGTAATGAATCGATCAAAACTGATTTCCTTCTGGTAAGTGTCCTGGTCTGCCTTCTTTGTGTAATTGATTGTCGTGACAAAGAATGTCTCCATAATTGATTCCATCTGAATCCCTGTAACATCGTTGACATAGGACGGTTGTATGGCGGCTTGGAGACGGCTGATGATATTGCCCATGACTTCCTCAACATCTTGTTGATCTGTGCCAGAAGATCTGTCCTGGTGTTCCAGGGCGGTCAGGACTTTCTGGTCAATGGTCGAGGGGTCCTTGGCGTCTGTCATTTCCGTATCAGTAGACTGATCCTTTTTAGAATCATCAATGTTCCTCTTCTCAGGGGTTCCGACAACCTCATCGGCTTGGTGACTTGGTCGACTGATCTCAACCACATCATCGTCCTGTTCAACTTCCATTACAGTATCAATGACTTGGCCATTGTTGGTTGCTGGGGAAGTTTCAACTTTGTCATAAGAACGGTCGGAATCGTCCCCGATAAGTGTCTGTGAGCTAACGGTACTGGCTGTATCAATCGGGTCGCGATCATCCTTCACATTTGTAGTAGCCATCTCTACATCTTCGGAATCATTAGCTGGAGGACCTGGCGGTGGTCTTGTTGGGAGTGGCGGCGGCTGGTTTCCAGTAGCCGAATCGGCAGAAGTATTGGCGGATTTCACGAGGGTGTCTGTATCCAGAAGGACAGCATTTGCCAATCTCTGTGAGGGTCTCGTTGCTCTCATATCCGAGTTTTCAAGCTTTGTAAACAACTCTGAAAGCTCTTTGGCAACTAAATCTAATTAGAAAGGTTTTCGAGTATGAGGATGGGGGTGGTACTCACAAGCTTGAGCAACAACAGCCTCTTCACGCTTCATCCGCATCTTGTTGCCGCCAATCCTCCGATGCTCAATCGTTTCATCGGTCAAGTCGAGCTTGAAATCATCGTAACGGACGGCAATATCTCGTACAGGCTTGACAGTGAAGAGGTATTGTAAAAGACTGTTCAGGTAACATGTGTTTCCGATGTTCTCCAGTCCAACCGGAAGATCATAGTCTGCAGGTTGGTTTGGATTACTGGTATTGGTCAGATCAGAGCCAATAATATCGTTCTGCTGTCGCAACTGAGCAACCTCTCCTTTGAGTTCTGCGGACTGGGTGTGATCGGCGATCTTGTCCATGGCGTCCAAGTAAGTTGTTTTGGCTTCCTTGTCTTTGGTATTCTGGACCTGCTCATTTGGTCAGAATCATCACTTTTCTGTGAAAGTTAAAGTAATTTCTTACCTTCTGTTTGAAATTATCAAGAGTATCGGAATCGATGCTTGCATCGCTTAATCCAAGGATCTCCTTGGCAGTGGTGAAAGAAAATTTCTCCAGGTATTCCTTCTCCAAAGAGGCTTTGTAGGACTCATCACTTGTCGCATTGGAGATCAGCATCAACATGCTATGTGCAGCATCAACATCGCTGGGATCGTTCACCACCTTGCGTCGGTATGCCAGCACTATTGAATCTGCGTTATAGTTATTTGGTGGCTGCAGACCGAAAAAAAGCAGTGCCTGGTTCGTCAACTCGGCATCCCCGTTGTCGGTCTGTGTTGGAACCTGACTCCCAAACACAGACTCTTGTATCATGGCATATTCACTAAAATCCCGGTCGTTCAGATCGTTGGCGATTTGTCCAAGTGCCTCAATCAATTCTCTTCTTTTCTTTGGCAGCAGTTCCCATTGTCTTCTGTAAGCATTGTCGACGATTCCCTTGTCCTGATTTGGCAACACACCCATCAATTTGTAACGGTCGAGATTGACAAACACATTAGAGCTGACATTCGGGACCTCTGAGCAGCCCAGGTGGGCGTGGAGACTGGGAGTGCAAAGCTCGGCGGGTTCCCCTCGTTTGTGAATCAAGCACTGGACTTCAGCCCTGACATCCTCAATATATCCGCGATATGTGCCTATTTTGGTAGCACCATTTGGGGCGTCGGGTGGGTAGGGAACTTTGGGCGTGAATGTCCCTTCGTCCACACCATCATCCTCCCTGATATCAATGGTTTCGTCAAATTCAAGCTCTCTGAATATGCTGAAACAGCGAGGGCCGAATAGCACAGCAAATCTTTTGTTGCGTTTAGAAATACTTCTAGCACCTTCTTGAGACGTTGCCTCTATCAAGTTCTTGAGGTAGGTGTTTAGATTTATGGGGGCTTGCATCGCCCAGTCATCAGTCGCAGTCGCGTAGCGTTCTGGATCGTTTTCCTTGGCAATACGCAGCTCCTCCCGAATCGTGTCAGAGTCAAGCAGCAGATTAATCCACCACAAAGGCATGCGAGGCATCGAGATTTCAAGGTTAATTGAAAATGTGCAGGGCCCAGCCGAGCATGCAAAGGTCTCGCGGGTAACAAGTGGGTAATATTTAGAATGTCGCTTGGCGACGTTTTCGTCTGAATCCGTGCCAGCCCAGGCCAAGTGGTGCCAGGGAAATCTGCCATCTCTTGGTGGCCATTGTTTTTGGTTGTGATTGCAGAGAGCGCCGGCATGCTCCTCGTCCCATAACAGATTGAACACAAAATGGAAGTGACAATCGATACACACTGAGGATAACATGCGCGCTCCGAGGCTGACGAAACTCTGGTTGCCATTTAGGATCAGTCGATGGGTGTGGTCTTGCCATGGGTAGGGAACTTCAAGGTTCGCTTGTTGCGCTCGCGTGAAGAGATCGCATGTGGTAAAGTTGTTGTTCAGAAGTTCATATATCCATCTCGCGGGATTGCATCCTAACAACTGTTTTTAGCAGACCGAGCCTTTATTCATAAAACCAAAAACATACCTCCCCAACCCATATTATGTATCTTGTTCTTGTGATCCGTCCAGTTGTAGAGGACATCACCAGGACGGTCCGAATCAGGTAGAATTCCATACCTGTCGTGGTCCTGGTCGGCCATGATAGGCAAATTCAACCCCTGGGGTATTTCTTCCGTATGTGTGTTGGCAAAAGATGCTGAAGCTAAGGTCGATGTCGTATGTCGACGAGGGGTCCGGTTGGCATTAAAACTGCGGGGTGGCGCTGAGAATGTATGGAAATGACGAGTTCCGTGATAAACCGGCCCTTTTAGTGATGAGACTGTAGAGTCGTCCACCTGTATGAGCAGCTCGAAGGCGTCGGGTTGCGATTGCTCGACAGGTAGGTAAAAAGGAAAGAGGGATCGGTCTGCGGGTGATCGGTCGGTTGAGCGCTGAAGCTCCAGCTACTACCTAACCGAGTAGGTAAATGATGAAATCGAGCGGGTCTCGAGCTTAGCGGTTGTTCATTTGATCATAGTTCCAGGTTGCAATATCGGAGAAGCAACGAATATAGACAGCAATGCGACAGATAAGCAAAATGATCTGAATGCGTATGCTCGAGGAATATGTGACGAATGGTGGCAATGTTGATATCAAAAGCCAAAGTACAGAGTAGAGATGGTTGACAGTAAGGTTGGGTGACGCACTCGCTAACGGTGGCCTGAGCGTCAATTCTGCTGAGTCATCGTTTTTTATGCATCTATTTGAAGCTGTCAACGATGGAAGTTTACGCTATCAGATTAACAGTCAACAGAAGCGAAACTCTATTTCATTTGCCTCTTCTCTTATTCCTCTGAATTCTATAGTAATCTATGGTTGGACTTTTTGCCTCGTTTGTACTTTGGACATTGTATTCCAAATCCTCCATCACACGACATAGCAAACGAATGAGTACTAACGAGGCGACCGATGGCATAAGAGAGAACTCTTGTGTGGTACAAGCTTATTCAGTAGCCTGAATTGATCTTAACGGTTTTCTTGGTTTACGGCGAGATACACGTCAGCAACGACGCGGCCAGATTTTATATGCCATGGATTTGGTGTAGCAGAATACTCGACTGTCATTAAAGATACCTAGGTAGTAGTAGTTTATACCAGTTCCTGCCTATTTGCTGTATGTCCTAAGTTTAGATCTCGTATCGCATATGTTTGCTAGGTTAGATACGCACTCAATTACTTCAAGTGCTAACAATGCATTATCACTCGGAGACAAAGCACTGTTCTCGTATTTCGAGTGCTACGAATAATTGTGGACTCGATAAACATCATAAGCCTATTCGTCAAGGAAGCGACAGTATTCTCATCACCAACACAAACTTCTGCACCGATGATCTCTTGTAGATAATCACCAACAACTCCAACGTAACGCCATCTTCTGACCAATCGGAACGAGCTCTTCCCTGCAGATCATCCCTCATTTCCCGGGCACTAAACAGAAGTACATAAATTGCCCACTGTAGAAAGCTCAGCGCTTGGGCGGTTAGCGCCCCGTCAAATAGTAACGGTTGATTAGCCGCCGCCCCTTATTTAAGCATTTTGATATCGAGATTTCCGGAAGCAAACAGCGGAATTGTGTCAGTTGGTTCCCGTAAAACACGCTTCCGAGGCTGCAGTCGTTTCTTTTTCTGAGAGTCTCGTGACTTTTACACAGTCAAAATGGTCTTCGGCATTGGCCTCTTGGTGAGCCGATACAGCCACGATATTGTGTTGTCCATGCATATGGTGCGGCGCCGAACCAGGATGATCCTCCCAGGATACAGCGCGGAAACCGAACTATTGAACCCTTAGAAAAGAAATCACATTGGCTGATATTCGATCCGGCGCTTAATGGAGGCTAAGTCTGCAGACTTAGGTAGTATTGTATCCTTGATGGCCCAGTTATTCCGGTTTCGTGATAATGAACCATTGACCAACGTGCATATTTCTCTTCTCTTAACAGACTCTCTCCTACTTTACTAAGGAAAATGTTTAATCATTCAGTCTATTGTTGTTGGTCCCAACGACTTGCTTGATATGGGAAAGGCAGATGTTCATCGGTTGTAACCATGATATGGTAGTTTTAACGCGACAGTCGCCCGGCACTCGTGAACCTCAACACTCCTCATTCATTTCGTTTCTTCTATCAAGTTTGTTCTGTTGCGGGTGGCTGGCCGCTCTTTTCCTATTCTTTTTCCTTAATAATGTCTAGTTGGGAAACAACAGCCCTTCGGCTGCAGGGCAATGTGACCGCCGACTCAACGCCAATTCCATCTCATAAAAGTCTACCACCATTACCAAGGCAGAAGACCAAGGCCAGAACTGTTACGGGTGTGAAGGAAGTTTCTGAAAAAGAGGAGGATGTTAGGACGAAGGGATGGAAGCCGCTCTCGCTTTCGATGCCGATTCTATCTGCTGTAATCGCTCTTACGATCCTACTCGCCATCGCTGTTGAAACGCTAGCACAACGAAGTGCCTCTCAAGGTGGCCTCGCTTTATCTCCTACCCTCGGCAGCATGCCTGGATACGCCAAGTTTAGCTACCTCTATGCCCCGACCATGATCGCTGTGATGTACAGCATGGTATGGAGTTGGATTGACCTCGATGTCAAACGAATGCAGCCCTGGTTCGAGTTGTCAAAACATGATGGTGCTACTGCTGAGAACTCGGTCTTCCTGGACTATCAGTATGACTTCGTGGCTTTTGTACCTTTCAAAGCTGCCAAGAGAAAACATTGGCCTGTCTTTTTCGGGGGTACTGCCATGGTTATCGTCTTGTGGGCGCTGACACCCCTTCAGAGTGCCTTACTTGGCACGGCAGTCGTTAAACAGACGAATGAGATTGCCATTGCAAACCGGTCTCAACTTCTCCCAGTTAAGGAGCATGTCACAGTCCTGGATCCAAGTTTTCTTAATACGGGATACGCCATAGCCTGGCTCGGCCAACAGTTTCCTGCTTTCACGACCGCTGACTATGCGCTGCTCCCTTTCTACCCAGACACAACTCCGAGGCTTGATAATGACAGGGCAAGGATAACTGCCTCATCCAACCTGACAGCAGAAACAACAAAAATGTGGACTGAGTTAGACTGTTGGCCAGCAGGTATTGCCAGATACGGCCCTCGATCGAAGGAAGAATTCAACTTTTTCAACGGACAAGGATGCAATACGACAGCCGGCTTCGGAATCACGAGCAAACGCAGAATGTACTACATTGGTTTTCATACCAGCCCCTACGCTGACTTTCAGATTGCAAATCCGTTCTGCCCAAGGACTCCGGATTCGGTTCACCAGTTCCTGGCTGTCTGGGCAAAGCCTATTCCAGTCGACTGGGACCCTTATCCTAGCTTCAACATCTCTGCCATGTTCTGTCAACCGAAGTACTTTAAGCAAAAGGTTCTAGCGACAGTCAAGGCAGACACATATGAGCCGGTCACATCATCTATCAAGGAATTGGGACCCAAGGAGACCCTTTCGGAGAAGGAGTTTAACACGACAGCATTCGAGTTTCTCCTGGGCAATGGCATGCAACAAACAATCATTACGAAAGATTATCCCTTCAATGCCGTGGTAGAACAACACCCGCGGCTGAACCAATCTGGTTTCCAGAAACCTGTTTCCAATATGGTGGGCTTCGCTCTAGCAGGCAGAGACTTGCATGCGGACGACTATGTACACCACGACCATCTCCACACAGCCTACAACGAAGCCCATAGATATCTTTTCTCAGTTGCTGTAACGACATTATTGATGAACTCGACCGACTTCTCTAACAAAACTGCCTCGATCGATTATTTTATGACTGGTGTCATCGTCAGTCGACCTTTCGCGATAGCTGTGGAATGCTTCTTACTTGTCGTCGCCATCTTCACTGTTCTGGTTCTGTGGTTCTCCCGATCTGCGCCCTGCAACCTGCCATTGAACCCATCATCAATAGGACGTTACATCGAGTTATTTGGGAATAGTCCTGAAGTGCTGAGTGCATTCAAGCCGGTCGACTATACTGACGAGAAAGGATTGCTTGAAGAATTTAAGATGGATAGCTTCCAGATGATACCAAAGGACGGTGGGAAGAACGCGGAAGTACTACTCCATACGAGAATCAGACCAGCCGAGTCTTACGACAAGTCTGTTCAAAGAGGCTACTACGACCCTGTCAAACCGTTGGTTCTCAGAAGATGGATCGGCCTCATCTTTATCACTTGTTTGGTCGGGGCAATGGCTGGTCTCACTTATTTGAAACAGCAGGAGACTTTGCTGAACGGTCCGTTAAGAGCTATTTGGATTCTACTACTTACTAACACTTCTATAGGTCTAATTCGGCCTTCTGAAAATTTTGAAGTTTTGCAGCTTTTGGAGAACTATATACCGACCGCTTTCGCGACGCTCGTGGAGCCTTTCTGGATTTTGTTAAACCGACTACTTTGTGTTCTCCAGCCCTTCAAAGATCTGTGGGAAGGGAAAGTAAAGCCAAAGGACACAATCGACGCGACTTATACCTCGATCCCACCTCAGCTTGTCTTCTGGAGAGCCTTGAAATCTAACCATTTTGTTCTTGTGTTTGTTTGCTCCATGGCTCTACTTGCAAACCTTCTCGCCGTCGGCCTCGGTTCTCTTTTCAACGAAGATATAACGACTGCAAATTACACGATCACGATGTCTCCAAATTTCGCCCCTCGGTTCAATAACGATTCCGTTACCGATTTAACGTTCTTCTTAAACAAAGATCTTATCACAACGCATTTATACCAAGACCATTTCTATATGGCAATGGCCAACCTAACGTCCAATACGATTCTCCCGCCCTGGATGTCACAGGAGTACTACTTTCAGGGATATCAACTCGAGGACTCAAGCATGAACAGAACTGGAGACGCTTATACCGTCAATACAAGAGGCTTTGGTGTTGATGCCAACTGCACTGCTATACCAGCCCATGCATTGACAACCGAGTACGAGGAGCCGGAGTTTTGGCCCACGGAGAAGAAGAACCTGAGTCAGTGTCAAAGCGATGACCAATTCATTGCCGCAGCGGCACCAGTGATCCGAGAGGCAGGCAACAACCGATCAACGGGTGTTTCAGCTCTAGAGTACAGTTTGACCATGGACAGGACTTTCTCAATCGCTCCCTGCGCTAGAACGTTACCTTTGGCATGGGCTCGGTCCAAGGAAGCGGCATTTGTCAACAGCACAGTCGAAGCTAGTTTCATGATTTGCCGTCCGATTTTCGAAACCGCAATGTTCAACGTCACAGTCAATTCCCTGGGCAATGTCATCTCTTACCTAAGGACGAGCAATATCACATCGACGCTAGACTACGCTGAGTCGGAGCAACATGCCGACATCTTGATTCAAACTTATAACTACAGATGGAACCAAGATCCTCAGTGGCACAACCATACGCTCTCTATGAACTGGATGAACCACTTCATCATGGTCCTCAATGGTAACAGATCAACCCTCGACCCACACAGCGCTGTCCCAGATCCGGAAAAGCTGAGCCCAGTTGTGTCCAACATATATAGGCGCGCTTTCGCTATATTGTTGGGTCTCAACTCTCATATCTTCGAAAAGAGCGACAAGAGCGAGACGGTATCTGCAACCCGGCATACAAAGGAGACGCGAATATTCATGGAAGACGCATCCTTCATTATCACCATGACAATACTTGCCCTCAATACCGTCGTGGCTATCTTGTTTTACATCAGAGCCGTAGCCTTCGTCTTGCCACGCATGCCAACGACCATGGGTGCTGTCGTATCATATTTTGCACCGAGTCGTCTCGCCACACCGACCTACAGAGATGCGCCGGGTCAGTCTTCTCGTACTTTGAGTTTTGGAAGATACATCGGCATGGATGGGAAGGTGCATATCGGTATTGAGGCAGACCCTCACGTTGTGCCTATCGATCCGCTATCACTTGGGGCACATAAAGACTTTTTCAAATTTCTTAGACTGAGAAGGAAAGCTGGGGATAAACCAATTAGATCTGATACCTGGCTTTAACAGACTCACTAGGCCGGCATGAGAGTAGTTCAAATAAATGAATATGAATTAATGAATCAGATGATAGAACATAATAAGAGCTTCAACTTTTGTCACCCTCCTCTGTGCTATAACGTTGAAGAAGAAAAGAAGAAGAAAAGAAGAAAAAAGAAGAAGAAGAAGAAAGCTCGCTATTGTTCACTTGCATCCCGCACACTCATCACAGATAATGGAACGAAGAGACCAAGTTTGACAAACAGTATGTGCATGTTATTCTAAACAAAAAGAGATGTCGCCAAGCGACGAGTAGAATTTTACAGAAAAAGAAAAGTTGTTTATCCTCCATAACGCCAATCCTTCCAGATCCCATGTCTAAGTCCGGCCGGCCCTATTCCCATCATTTTATGAAATATCGAATTTAAGAGCGCTGAGCTCGGCGCATGCTCCTGTTGCCACGCTTAACAGCCATGCTGATATCAGCACCTTGTCCGGGAGTGCAGGTAACGCCAGAGGAGAGTCCTTGAGAAGGAGTCCATGTGCCGCTAGCACAGCGCTGGAAAGAAGAACCGCCAATGCAGTTCCATTCACCCTCAGTTGTGCAAGCACTGCCAGCAGGGAATCCGCCGGAGCCAGAGCCAGACCCGGAGTCGGGAGCGGAGCCGGAGTTACCGCCGTTTTTGCCTTCACCAGAGCCGGATCCTTCGCCAGAGCCAGAGCCAGATCCCTCATCGGAACCGTTGTCTGGGGTCTCGGGAGTAGCAGGGGCTTCAGGGGCTTGTGTAGCAGAAGGCTGAGATGCAGCAGGCTTGGAAACAGTGATGAAAGCACCGCCAGGGATCTCGGGGGCACCGTTGGAACCATCACCGGAGCCTGATCCGGTACCAGGGGCGGGAGTAGTAGCGGGTTGCGTAGGCTGAGCAGCAGCAGGAGTGGAAGGCTCAGCGGCGGGGGTGGAAGGCTCGGGGGCGCTTCCACCGGAACCACCACCGGAGCCAGAGCCAGAGCCAGAGCCGGGCTTCTGGCATCCAGGTCCCTTAGGGTCAGTGAGAGTGGACTTGAGTTTGCTGACAGAGCTACCGGGGTTGGGGAAAGCGAGATCGGTATCAGGAGGTGTCTCGCACTCATTGCCAATGTTGGCAACGAACATGTCAGGAAGAGAGTCCAAGTGGTCCTTAGAGCCACCTTCACCCTCGATCTTAACAGCAGCACAGTTCATGTACATCTCGCGGTTTCCAACGTGGTTGAACCAGGTCCATGCGAGCACGTAGTCACCGGCAGCCAACTCCTCGGGAATCTTGAAATCGTACTTGTCGGGGTTATCAAGGTTGGCATTCTCAGGGTAGTTGCCTGCCTGGTTCTTAGCAGGACAACCTCCCTCAATAGAATGGATAACCTTCCAGACAGAGTCCTTGGTAGGGTTCTTGTCGGTAGTAAGAGAGACTTGGCATGAACCTCCACCGTGGACGGCTGAGCCGATGAAGGAGAGCTGCTGAGTGCTGCCTGCCTTGTAGGTGTTGCTCGATCCACCGTCGTTGACTGCTCCCTTGCAGGGAAAGTTAGAGCCATCAGCCTCGAGGGGGCTGTTGTCAGGGCTTCCATAAGGTTTAGGCTCGGCCATGAGCATGTGAGCACTGGCATAAGAAGCCAGAGTGGCAATGGTGAAAGCCTTCGCGAACATTTTGAGTGATGGGATAATCTAAACGTTCCAGACGATAGATTTGTTGTTTAGGTAGTGAGATTGTCGTCAAGACAGAAATCGAGTGATATGAGTATAGGACTGAAGAGTCGTAGCTCGATTGTTGGGTATGTGAATGAAGGGTCGAATTGCACCAGGCAATACGTGAATGTCGTCGAGACAGGTGAAAGGACTAGCCTTTGGAAAGAAAGAAGAAGGAATGGAAGTGTCGTTGAGACGATCTCACTTTGAAGGACTGACTGGAGACTTTTGAAGTCGTTGGTGATGACAAGAAGGTAACACGGAGGAGGAGAGGGCGTCTTATATGGACTTCAGTCCACACAAAGGACTGGCCATGGACGTTCCCAGAGCAGACGTATAGGCAAGGGGAAATCGCAAGCAGGAGAAACACCCGCGAACGGACGCAGCCGCATGCGCCTCAGAGGCGATCATGGTGGATCAGAAGTCCATAAGGTCAGGGAAGCAATAACTTCTGGCAAACGTTCACAGCCACTTAGAATTGTTCAATGCCCTAAGTGACCTTTGTTTCGAGGCAAGCGGAGGCACTAGGGCCGGAAGACTAAGAGAAGATTTGCAGCAGGCAACCCATGATAGGTTAAAGATATTGTTTCAAGACTCATCTGGTCACCAAACGAAAGTGTGAGTGGATTGGATCCATGCAACCCCCAGAGAAAAGACGAGGTTCAAGCCCCTGACTAGCGATTCAAGTGTCTGCAAGGGACCTGTCACTGTCCTGCCTGAAAGAGACTTCAAGAGTCCGTATAGAAGGCGACAACAAGGGACCCATCACCTGTTGACGTCTCCCTTGTTCAGCTATTACAAGACCAGACCCTTGTGCCTTGCGTCGCTTGCCGAAGCGCCTCCTTGTAGTACGAGATTTTCGGTACAGCTTTGCATCACTTTTCAATGCAAACGACTCTAGCGTAGGCCGCCCATAGTGGCAAGGGAGCTTAGTCGGTGAAGTAATGATTGGGAGAAGACACTGGTGGTTGGGGCGCAAGGGACTCCAGTTGTGCGACCACCAATCGGGCCCTGCAGAACCGAGTGCTCGGGAAAGTCGTTGGCTGCGACATGGGGGATTCTGAGCAACCTTGCTTCCAACGTCATGCTATGGGGCACAGACATGACTTCTGTCCTTTTTGCTTTGATACTCTTTGCCATCTAGTCCTGAAAAATCCTTTTCATTATTTTCTTTGTGTAATAAGACCCAGAAGGATTCAGTAATATTTGAAGATCCATCAAATCATCTGTCTCAACGATCTGAGCGTATTGTCGAGTCAATGCATTGTTCCGACGGTGTTGTCGTCCCCTGCAGTAACTATCCGTCGTGCTGGGCCATCCATTACGAACAACCCAGCTCTTTGAGAGCGGGGTTCAGATGCCAATCAGGGGGGCGATGACAGGGATATAAGGCTGAGCGACATGGGTCATGCCAGGCTATAGTGTCGAAACGGATTAGTGGCTGATGCATCCAGAACCAGTCGGCTGTTCCATTCATGCCAAGATTCAAACAATCATCTCGAATGAGATGAGACCAAAAGGAATCTCATAGACTGCTGCGCACGGAAATACCGCTTGGTCCAAGTTCGCAGGATGGCTGAGGTGATATATCTGGTAGCCCATGACCATGTAAATTGATGCATCTCAAGACTAATAGCAGCGGCACGTATCCGGGCAGCGTGGACCATAATTGCCATCGTATATCGGACTTTCTGGAGGCCTGCCTTCTTGAGTAATCCCCTGAGCGATCGCCTCCATGTCAGGGGTGCACTCGTAGATCGCGAGCAGGGCAAAATCCTTTCACGTGTGGTAAGAAAGACCTCATTGGATTTGTCTCCTGATACTCCTCCCTCTTTGGGCTCCGTTTCCGTATGATGGACTATAACGGCAGGGGGCCGTCCCTTAGACTTGCGCGGTCTTGCGTAGTCTTGCGGAGAGTTTTTTCGTTTTTATTCTCTCTAGTGAAACAGACATAGTTTCACAAACTGCTTTCATAGTGACAATGAGGATTGTTCCAACCCAATCATGAGTGGAATGATTCATACAGAAGGTGTCGACACCTTGCATAAGTTGAGAATAAAGGCCTCATTGTGACTGCCCTTCTGCAAGGAGGCGTGTATCATGTTTCGCATTTTTTGGTGTTTTGTTGTTTTGGTGTTGGTGTTTGTTTGAGTGGGGTTGAATTGGCAGGAAAGGCTGGAAAGTCACTGTTGGTAGGCGCCCGGAGGGAACCGAGCTCTTTCCCTTCACAACGTGGCAAGCTGAAAGCAGGAGCCAAGGCCAATTACGGCGATTAATAGGGTGATTATTAGTGCCGGATCTATCTTCAGAGGTTCACTCAGTGCTTAGATCATTTTGAGGCCAGTGTAAGATTGGTTGCCGCTTCCGTCTCTTACAGAAGATGACCGCTAAATCCAGGAACTAGGAAGATTCGCCTCTCTATTGGATCTAACATGGCGCATCATGACACTGGCGCCAGGTACAGCTGTTTCCGGATTGGACGTAAGCAAGATGCTGAAAACGTCGAAATATTAGTCCTATTTCCCTATGCTCTAGTTTAATTGTCACCAATAGCGAGCTGTGAATAGTCGCTGTAATACCTTCACCGACCGTTTTTTCTCTCTTAGTCAGATAAGCTGATGAGTTAGGCAACTTTGGGCCTGGAATTCTCGTGACTTTGACAGCCTGCAGCCCAACCAACAGACCTGGAGAACGGCCGCCTCGAGCCAGGGGTCATCGTCTATCGGACTATCGGACGAAACACGGCGAATCTTTGGGTCGTATCATTCCCTGCAAAATAATATGGAACCAAGATCATGGTCAGGGTTCTGTGAATTTTCCAAGTTCAGATGATCTTCAGCTTGGACTCGGAGGATTCGCCAACTGTGTTTGAAAGTCCGTATCAGGGCACCGACCATATTAATTCTCCATCCAATACCCACGCAATGGCCCAGTGCTGATCTTATTCACGATCCTAAGCCTAAACACAAATGCGCAGGGCCCTTTATAGCAGCCGCGTAACCGTGTGGCGTGAAACAGTCCTCCAGTTGGCAGGATTCCACCTGTTACTCTTGATCCAAGTGCCGACACTGACATTAAATCCGCCATCCGACAGCTTCACTGCGAACTCTCAGCCACATTTCAGATAGATTGCCACTCGTCCAGTACCTCATAATTCGCCTAAGCTATCCGATTAGATAATTGTTAGTTTCGACTTGCACTGACAAGGACGTTCCTTCACTACCTGTTACTTGTAGGATCTACTATATCGTTTCGCTAACAGGCAAACACAATGCAATAAGAACCGATTAATCCTTTACCGGACCTTTGAAGAGCATGTTGAGATTGGCCAATTCTTTAATGTTCAAACTTGCTCCTTCGTCACCTTCATGGATTCCCATTATCGCAGTACACTCCACTCGCTATGCAATGGAGCTCAGACACCAGTGAGCTGTCTTACAAGGGCGTTCCAGCTCTCTGGGACGTCTTAGCCGCCGAGGAAGTGACCTGTTCCAAGGCTCTGGGACCATGAGTTGGACAGCTGCACTGCTGCGTTGTCTCTCTTTTTTAAAACAGGCCTGGGCGCTTGTAGTGAATTGGAGAATAATGATTTGTCTATTTGATGCCCATAGGGCTGTCACGCTACGAGGCCTATTCTGTCATCGGACTTGAGAACCATTCCATCGGTAGCGAGGTTTGAAGATCCTCTCACCGCCAGCATCTCAAGACTCATCATTCTGCGGCCAACTAAGTAACCGACTGCTGATACTGAGCAGGCGCTTGCAGAAACACGCGCCTATCTTGAAGTCATCATTGGCGGTTTCCTCCAGGATATCTGTTTAATCGCATCGTCAGCATTGGGTATGAATATGACATGACTTAAGTCACCTTAATCGAAAACCAAGCCGGTTCGGGTCCAATTCTTCATCTTCATCTGTCGGAACTCCTCAAAGTCCCACTCTCGCTTCTCAAGGTGCTCAGGTGAGTTGAAAACGTAGACGGTCGTGTCTCTGTACTCGCCCTTGTCGCTGCCAGTACCGTCCTTGTTCAGCAACTTGACTTTGACGTTTGCCTTGTCGTACTCGGATCCCTCAAACATGTCGAGTTTCCCAACATTGGCATCAGTGAGTCCAGTAACATAAACACCGCGGACAGTATGACCCTTTTCGGGGACAACAGCAGGGTAGTCGGCATGTCGAACCCGATGACGACAGTAACCCTCGAGAATCGCAGGAGTGAATTTGTGCATATCCTTTATGACCTGAGGAGGGTCTTTCTGGCCGTAGCAGACAGTAAAGAAGACCTCGGGGGCCATCTGTTCCAGGATGTCAGATCTAGTCGTTGTCCTCCTATGCTGTACAACTCAGATCATCCATGAACCTACCAAAGTGCCTGTCATGTTAAATTAGCTCACTATTTGCAGATTTAGAGTATCGGGATGGATCGTACCGTAGAAAAAGGCTGTATAATCACCACTCATTGTGTCGACTATGATGTATGGTTAAAGATAAGTACGTCGTGATATGCACTTCTCAATGTTACATGAATGATCATCCGGTCGATGAGTGCCTACCCTATTCTTATACGCTTGGGCGAACGTTAGGCTACATTTTGTCCATACGGGGAAAGCAATCAGTGGGGCAATCATTAACATCAATTTGTACGGATACAATCACGATGAATAATGCGAAAACAATAGAAAATATACAAGCTTCTACTCTTTGCCATATCTTTCTTGACACACAGTGTGGTGGTTTGAATAGAGAATCACTCGAAGTTGTGTAAAATGCAGCTTCTCGAATCAACCATTCGAGGTCACTTGGTTCGGTAGCATGGGTAGTTTCACATGAACAAAACTCAGGGTACAGCTGCTGATAAAAATAAATTCAATTAAAAGTCCGAAGAAACGAATTCAAAGAGCTTATCTCAAACTCAATGTAGGTACGGTAAAACAGCCAGATACTATTATCAAGTGCAGAACACGATGTAATGCCATGTGACAACTTTCCTTGAACTGATGCACTTGGACATACTTCGTCGCTGAGCAGCAGCCGATAAGATAAGTGATTAGATAAAGCACTTTCGAAGCTACGCTAGAAGCCTGCTAGACCTCGTGATTGGCTGTGGGACCAACGCTAACGCCGGTGAAACTTTAATACGGTGTTAGCGTCAGTGGAATTGGTGACCGCACCCCCCAGCTTAGTCGTTCTCGTAATTTTCAACGCGACGGCCCTTCACGTCTACGTCTACTTTCGAGCTTGCCTTATATTCACCATACCCTCTCGTTCATCAACCTCCAGAACGCCAACAAGCCGCCGCCACTTTCACTCCTCGCCAATTGCACAGACATATTGTGAAAACTCAGCAATTAATATCGTCACGACTTTTCTAATCGCCCCTTAATAAAGCCGATCGCGCCGGGCGACCATATATAACTGAAAGCTCCTTATCCCACCCAGCCTTGGAAGGAACACCACTTAAACAACCCTTTCGCGGATGGCAAATTGAATCGCGTCAAGTGGACGCCGATAATGCAGCAATGTCGGGTACCACTATAGATGATGTCGTTAAGCGACTTAGTACTGTCGATATCGGTATGGCTTCTTCAACCCCTTCATGATTGCTGTCGCATGGCCTTTTCAATGTGGATTGCTAACCATTTCTACTTTAGATGTAAGACTCAAGCTTGAAGCCGCAACTACGTTGCGCGACAGCTTGGATCACTATACCAGTGGACAAATATACCCTCCTTTCCTGAAAAGGTTGATGCCCATTTTCATGGGCATTCTAAAAGGACCATGCACTTTCCAAAGCAACTCACCCGAGCAGAAACTCCGAATGGTCATACTCGAAGTCCTGCACCGATTACCTACTCAACCCGCCCCTCCCGAACCGTTCGAGCCATACGCCGAAGAGACCGTCGATTTGTTGATGCAGCTTGTACGAACCGATAACGAAGAAAACGCAACAATATGTGTCAAAATAATATCGGACATCATGCGACACCAGCACAAGGTCTTGCAGGGCAAGGTACAGCTCTTCCTCACTCTTATACAAGAGCTCTTCGAACAGATGGAGAAGGTTGTCCGAGAGCAACTTGACAATGCCCCCCACAATGCGCCATCACAACCTGGAGCACCTTCGACACCCGGAAACTCGCAGAACTTCCAATCACCGAGACCAGGATCACCCGTCGCCTCCGTTAACGAACTTGGAGCAGACCCCCAACAACAGAACCGTCCACTGTTAAAGGGGATGCAGTCTTTCAAGGTCCTGTCCGAATGTCCGATCATCGTGGTATCGATCTTCCAGGTTTATCGAAACACAGTGCAACAGAACGTCCGGAAATTCGTTCCTCTCATCCAGAATGTATTGTGCCTTCAAGCTTCGGCTCAGCAGGAAGCGCATGCTGCTGCCGCGGCCAAAGGAACAATTCATACTGGAGTGAGTCCTGCCATCAAGAACCGAGTCGCTTTTGCCGATTTCATCACGGCACAAGTCAAGACTATGAGCTTCCTGGCATATCTTCTTCGTCAATACGCCTCACACTTGAATGACTTTCTGCCTCGTCTGCCGGACATCGTCCTTCGGCTGCTGAAAGACTGTCCTAGAGAGAAGTCTGGCACACGAAAGGAGCTAATAGTCGCGATTCGTCATATCATTAACTACAATTTCCGCAAGATCTTTATTCCCAAGATTGACGAGCTGTTAGATGAGCGCACGCTAACTGGAGATGGACTTACTGTACACGAAACCATGAGGCCCCTGGCGTACAGTATGCTTGCTGATCTCATTCATCATGTCCGAGACTCTCTGAAGCCAGAGCAGATTAGGAAGACTGTTGAGGTCTATACCAGAAATCTACAAGACAACTTCCCTGGCACAAGCTTCCAGACTATGAGCGCGAAACTTCTCCTGAATATGGCTGAATGTATTGCAAAGCTTCCTAACAAGGTTGACGCAAGGCACTATCTCATCATGATCCTCAATGCTATCGCAGATAAGTTTGCTGCCATGAATCGACAGTATCCCAATGCTGTGAAACTCTCAGCTCTCTATCGCGAACAGATGAAAGCTGGCACTCCGGAGACATATTTGGCTGATCAGGATAGCCCTCCTGACTGGGACGAGACCGACATCTTCTCCGCAGTTCCGATCAAGACTTCTAACCCGCGAGACCGAGGCGCCGACCCCGTTGTTGACAACAAATTCCTTTTCCGTAACCTGATGACCGGTCTTAAGAACACGTTCTACCAGTTGAGGACATGCAACGTCGGGTCACCTATCGATGCACAGAATGCGCCCACCCACTGGCAGGATGTATCTTATGGATTCACAGCCGAGGAGGTTAAGGTCATTATCAAGCTTTTCCGCGAGGGCGCCTACGTTTTCAGATATTACGAGATTGAGAAGCCAGCTACGGAGTCGCAATACATGTCACCAGTAGAGTACATGGCCAACTTCTACATGGTTTCGTGCAGCAAGGAGGAGAAGGACTTGCTTGAGACCTTCGCCACGGTCTTCCATGCCATCGATCCGGCCACTTTCCACGAAGTGTTTCAGCAAGAGATCCCGCGCCTTTACGACATGATTTTCGAACACACAGCGTTATTGCATATACCCCAGTTTTTCCTTGCTAGTGAGGCGACTTCTCCCAGCTTTTGTGGTATGCTCTTGCAATTCCTCATGGAGCGAATTGATCAGGTTGGGTCTGCCGATGTCAAGAAGTCGTCTATCTTGTTGAGGCTTTTCAAGCTGGCATTCATGGCAGTCACCTTGTTTGCCAACCAGAACGAGCAAGTTCTACTACCCCACGTTGTCAACATTGTCACCAAGTCTATTGAGCTGTCGACAAAGGCAGAGGAACCCATGAATTACTTCCTCCTCCTACGTTCGCTATTCCGCAGTATTGGTGGTGGTAAATTCGAGCAGCTCTACAAGCAAATTCTGCCTTTGCTTGAAATGCTCTTGGATGTACTCAATAACCTCCTGATGGCCGCCCGAAAGCCAACTGAGCGTGACTTGTACGTGGAGCTGTGTCTCACTGTCCCGGCACGACTTAGTCATTTGCTGCCGCATTTGAGCTTTCTCATGCGCCCACTTGTTGTTGCGCTTCGTGCAGGAACAGAGCTCGTTGGGCAGGGTTTAAGAACGTTGGAGCTGTGCGTTGACAATCTTACCGCTGACTACCTCGATCCCATCATGGCGCCTGTCATTGATGAGCTGATGACTGCTCTGTTTGACCATCTCAAACCTCATCCCTACAGTCACTTTCATGCTCATACCACAATGAGGATTCTTGGTAAACTTGGCGGCAGGAACAGAAAGTTCATGACCGGAGCCGTGCCGCTTGCCTATAAGGAATATGCCGACGATCCGTCTGGGTTTGATCTGAGGCTGCTTGGGTCTAAAAAGGACAGAGCTTTCCCTGCCGATATGGGCATTGACTTTGCTATCTCGAAGCTCATGGAATTCCCTAAGGCTACCAAGAACAACCACAACAAGCAATACGATGGCTACTACAAGAAGCAGGCCTTGCACTTGATCAAAGCTCAACTGAAGCTGCGCATCGGCTATGACCAGCTTCCAGACGACCTCCCTCGCCTTGTACGACTTCAAGCCGAGGACCTTGTGGCGAGAAGATACGAGATCAACTCTGCTAGTTTCGAAGTTTCTGATCGTGAGCGGTCTATTCCTAAGAAGGAGAGTGAAGATTTGGTTGTAAAGCGACTCCTCAAGGCCATTATGTTTGCTCACTCCTTCCCCGAGTTCAAGGAAGAGGCAAGTGCATTCTTGCTGAACGTCTGCAAACATTTCGCCATTATTGAAATTGGCAGAGCTCTGGTGGATTTGAAGCGAAATTTCAGTCCTTTTGACCCCAATGCCGGCGAAGGCCCTCTGCATATCGATACGCGCAATCTTTCCGATGCTATTGTCGAGTCGCTAGCATCTGATCACCCTGATGTACGCGAGGCAGGCAAGGGTGCGATTCGGGAAATGTACGACTCTACAGCAATTATCTTTGGCTCAGAAAGCGACGTTGGTAAACTCCCATTCTTTAGCCATCTGAGCAGCACGTTCTGCCACAGCTGCTACGAAGAGGAATGGTTCACCAAGACTGGTGGTAGCCTGGGAATCAATTATTTGCTCACCGAGCTTGACTTTGGCGACACGTGGATCACCTCCAAGCAAACCGAGTTCATACGTGCTCTGACCTATGTCGTCAAGGACATGCCCCAAGACCTTCCTGAAAAGACACGTTGCTTAGCACAAACGAGTCTGGAGGTTCTCCTGGAGCGTATTACCAAAGACATCACAAAGGAGGATGCACTGCCTATCGCACAGCAACAAGGTCAACCGCCAAGTGCTCAACCTAAGCAGCCCCGGCTTTCCCAAATCTGTCAACAATTCGGAAATGATCTTTATCACATGAACAAGCACGTTCGCGAGACAGCGAAGCACTCACTCGACCTAATTGCAAAGGCCGCGAAATGTGAGGTTTGGGAGTTGCTCGAATCTTGCAAGGATAAAATCCTGCAGCCCATTTTTGCCAAGCCATTGCGAGCATTGCCATTTAGCATCCAGATTGGCTACATCAACGCCATGACGTACCATATGGGCTTGAAGAATGACTGGGTTCCATTCGACGAGAATCTCAACCGTCTTCTCATGGAATCTTTGGCTCTTGCGGATGCTAGTGACGAATCTCTGGCCAATAAGCCTGCAGAGTTCCGTACACATGAGCATATTGTCAACCTTCGAGTTTCGTGTATCAAACTCCTGACAACTGCCATGACCTTTGAGGAGTTCTCGAACCAACCCACAAAGACAAAGATTCTTGGCGTCTTCTTTAAGTGTTTGTACTCGGAATCAAAGCCCACCATCACTGCTGCGAATGATGCTTTGAAGTCAGTTCTATCGGTAGATAGGCGTCTTCCCAAAGAACTTCTTCAGGGTGGTCTTCGACCAGTGCTGCAAAGCCTCTCTGATCCTAAGCGCCTCAGTACGGCGGGTCTTGACAATCTATCTAGGTTATTGAAGCTTCTCACGTCTTACTTTAAAGTCGAAATTGGTGCTCGTCTACTGGAACAGATCGACTCGATAGTCGAGCCTAGTGCTTTGCAGCAAATATCTTTTACCTTCTTCGACCAACATCCTCAAATGAAGATCATTACTGCTATTCTGAATATCTTTCACTTACTACCCGCCCCCGCTGAAGCTTTTAAAGAACGCTTGATCGATTGCTTCCTTGGGCTGGAAGAAAAGTTACGTCGGACTCAGCTTAGCCCCTTCCGCCTTCCCATCTACAGATTCATGAACAGGTATTCAAAGGAGATTTGGGCTTACCTTTTCGGCAAAGTGGAAGACCTCAAGTATGGACGACTATTGGCGCAGGTCCTCGGTCATCCTGACAGCCAGGCTCTACGAGAGGTTGCAACCGAGAACATTGATAATCTGGTCACCCGTTGCAACGAGTTGATAAGTCAAAATAACGAGGCCAAGTTCATTGCCATGGTCAATGCAATCCACATCTTTGAGTCTCTCAGCCAATTCCCTAACGCGGAGAAGTGGATGGACAAGAAGGAGCATCTTGACTGGCTTAAGAATATTGGCAAGGAACTGGAGAAGCATCTTCGTCAGCACACCCTTCCAGCTCACCTCCGACTACCGGCGTACCAAGCTGCGGAGCAACTCATGACCATTCTTGTCAAGTCACTTGAGAGGGCACCAAAAGACTTGGATCCTCTTTTCAACCTGATCGAATGCGTTACTTCTGATGAGCTTCGCAATACGCAGGAACTTTTCTCTCTTATCTACAGGAGAATTATCTGCAGTGACGCGGTCGACTTCTGGAAGACAACAGTGCTTCGCTGTCTGGACACCTACTCCGGCAAGTCTGCATCAAATAAGATGAAGTACTTCCTGTTGCATTACATTGTCAACCCGATCGTCGCTATGGATGTCATGCGCAACTGGGGTCATCTTGACCAGAACAGAAGTCCTCGACTAATGGACAGAGCTGTCATTGACGCTGTGAGCAGCAAAATCTGGAAGGTTCACCCAGAAATGACGATGGATGACCAAGCACAGCCTGGCATTGACCACACTCGTTACGAGGTCTTGCAGCTTTCTGCAATGCTGGTCAAGTACTATCACACCCCTCTTCAAGATGCCAGGAAAGACATCATTAAGTTCGGTTGGACCTTCATCCGCTTAGAGGATGTGATCAACAAACATGCCGCTTATGTGGTCATTGGTTACTTCATTGCGCACTACGAAACCCCTCCGAAGATTGTGACTCAGGTGTATCTATCACTCTTGAAGGCCAACCAGAACGAGGGCCGGGCTTTGGTAACACAAGCGTTGGAACTTATTGCGCCTATGTTGCCAAAGCGATGCGGACTTGGCCAGAATGAGCGTAACGCGCCTTGGGCAGTTGCGCCTCGTCGAATCCTTGCAGATGAAGGACAAAACGCCCAGCAGATGACCAGTATCTTTCATTTCCTCGTTCGTCACCCAGATCTTTTCTATGAAGCTCGAGATAAGTACATCAGCTTGATGATTACTTCGTTACGGAAACTTGCCACTCCACAAAATGCATCTCATGAATCCAAGAGACTTTGCCTTAATATGATGTGGCTCATCTGGACATGGGAAGAGCGACGCGTTGAAGGAAAGTCCCCTGCATCTGGCTCAAGGGCCCTCTCCCTGTCTCCCAACACGAAGAAGAGGAAGGCAGATGGAGAACAGGCGAACGCCTCCCAGGCTCCAGCGCGAGTCGAGTACCAGATCCCGCCTCTGTACCGGCTCAAGATGATCAAGTACCTAGTTGAATTTATTGCTCAGCTGAATGAGCGCTATGAACTCCCTTCAGCCAAGCCAAGGGACCAAGTCTCGTCATCGATTCCTCCAGTGCCATTGGCACTTACCGATCTTTGCAAGAAGGCCATGAAGCTGCTTTACAACTTGGTGCAGCCACAGTACTGGGGCGACCTTGATCTGGACTTATTCCCTAATGTCACACATGTGATCTTGGCAAGTGAACGAACTCAGACTATCCTTACCGCTGATCCTTCCGACAAGGAGAAGTTCGACGAGAAGTTCCTCACCAACATCATTAACACCCTTCAAGTCGTTCGTATTGTACTCAACTCCAAGTCGGACGAATGGATTCAGAAGAACATGCCATCTATTCAGAAGGTGTTAGAAAAGTGCCTCAAGTCGGAGAACCCCGAGATTCAGGACTGCCTCCATCTTTCTGACAAGAAGTTCGACGACAACCGCGAGCTGCGATCAATCATCAAGCGCATCCTGGATTCTGTGCCTGATGACACCCCCATGGAAGACGCTGACGCTGATGGCGAGACCGAGACACAGACATCAGAAATCGTCGCTTACCTGTCTCAGCTTGCGACGGAAGCAATGAATAGCAGCAATTATACTTCGGGTGTGAACATTCTTTGGTCTCTTGGCCAGCGAAAGCCCAATGTCATTGACCAGCATATTCCGTCACTGATGAAGGCACTTCAATCTAAGCATGCCAAGGAGCACGTGCAGCACTATAATGCTGTAGCAAACCAGGCTGCTGGTGTGAATAACAGGAACCAAGACCCCAACACTCCGAGCGGGGAGATGTCTGCTTATGATCTTGAAATTCAGACAAAGATCATGATCAAGGAGATACAGGTTGTTGCTCTTCAGATGGAGGTTCTGGGTGATTCTCGTCGACCTTTCCTCAGCGTCCTCGCAACTCTGGTGGAAAAGTCCATGTCTATCGAACTCTGCGAAGAGATTTTGAACATGGTTGAGGGATGGGTATTCCGTTCAGAAGGCACATGGCCAACCCTTAAGGAGAAGACGGCCGTTCTTCACAAGATGCTATCCTTCGAGCACCGACAGGACCCAACCATGCTGTCCAAGTTCCTGGACCTCGTCATTCGCATTTACGAGGACCCCAAGATCACGCGCACCGAACTCACAGTCCGTATGGAGCATGCATTCCTTATCGGTACCCGTGCAGCAGACGTTGAGATGCGCAACCGCTTCATGGCCATCTTCGACAAGAGTCTGTCTAAATCGGCTAGCGCTCGTCTATCCTACGTTCTCACCTCACAGAACTGGGATACACTCTCCGACTCGTACTGGCTTGCCCAAGCTAGTCATCTATTGCTGGGTGCCGTAGAGACAAATGCCAACATTCAGCTCTACCAGTCTGACTTTAAGACCATGCCCATTTCCCGCTTGTTGACCATGTTCACCAAGGAAATGGAGGCCCGAGAACCCACAACCATCATCGATGACAAGTTTGAGTCTTTCATGGCCACTCATCGCCGCTTTGTGATGGAACTTGGTGACACCAAGGTGAAGGATGTAATTGAACCACTGGCACAACTCCAACACGTCGACTCCCAGCTTGCCCATAACCTCTGGGTGACTCTGTTCCCAATCTACTGGTCGTCTGTTGCAAAGGATGACCGAGTTGATTTGGAACGTGGTATTGTGGCCCTCCTCACCAAGGACTACCACAGCCGTCAAATCGACAAGCGACCCAACGTGATTCAGTCAATCCTCGACGGTGCTGCCAAAACCTGGCCCGAGTGCAGGATCCCGCCACACGTGCTCAAATACGAGGCAAAGACATACGATGCCTGGTACACGGCTTTGATCCAACTGGAAAATGCCGCCATCAAACCCCAAGTCGAGTCTGCTAATGTTCGTGAAAGTAACCTCGACGCTCTTGTCGAGCTCTATGCCGCACTTCAGGAGGACGATTTGTTCTATGGTACGTGGAGGCGGCGATGCCAATTCGTTGAAACCAATGCCGCTCTGTCTTACGAGCAAAATGGCATGTGGGACAAGGCCCAGAAGCTGTACGAGAACGCTCAAATCAAGGCCAGAACAGGCGTGATACCATTCTCCCAAGCTGAGTACATGCTCTGGGAGGACCACTGGGTTCTATGTGCACAGAAACTGCAACAATGGGAGATCCTCCAAGATTTTGCCAAGCACGAGAATTTCCAGGATCTTCTTCTTGAGTGCGCTTGGCGAAATACGGACATGTGGCAGGATGAGCAACACCGGGAGGCTTTGGACAACATCATTAAGGGTGTAATGGATGCTCCAACACCCCGCAGAGCCTTCTTCCAATCCTTCATGTCACTTCTCAAGTTCCACAATGGTCAGGAACCCACCACCGATTTTGCGCGTGTCTGCGATGAAGCAATCCAGCTCTCGATTCGCAAGTGGCACCAACTGCCTGAGCGCTTGACCAACGCTCATGTTCCTCTTCTCCAGAACTTCCAACAGCTGGTCGAGCTTCACGACGCTAGTGTTATCTGCCAGAGTCTTGCCAACACCAACCAGTCTAACCTCGACGTCAAGTCTGGTGAGCTTAAGTTGCTTTTGGGCGCGTGGCGTGACCGCTTGCCCAACGTTTGGGACGATATCACTGCTTGGCAAGATCTTGTCACTTGGAGACAGCATATCTTCAGTCTCATCAACCAAACGTATCTGCAGTTGCTGCCTCAACAGGGCGCACAGAACGCGGGAGGAGCTAGTTCCTTTGCCTACCGGGGTTACCATGAGACTGCCTGGATCATCAACAGATTCGCTCATGTTGCTCGCAAGCACAACCTTCCCGAGGTTTGCATTAACCAGTTGAGCCGCATCTACACCCTTCCCAACATTGAGATCCAGGAAGCTTTCTTGAAGCTTCGCGAACAAGCCAAGTGTCACTACGAAAATCCCGAGGAGCTTTCCAGCGGTCTGGACGTAATCAACAACACGAATCTCAACTACTTCAGCCCGCCCCAGAAAGCGGAGTTCTACACTCTTAAGGGAATGTTTTTGGAGAAGCTCAAACAAAAGGATGAGGCAGATTCAGCTTATGGAACAGCGCTGTATTTCGACATCGGTGCTGCAAAGGCTTGGGCTGAATGGGGCTACTTCAACGATCGTAAATTTAAGGAAGATCCAACGGACTTGAATGCAGCACGCCAGGCACTTACCTCATACTTGCAAGCCGCAGGGAGCTACAAGAACGCTAAATCACGAAAGCTTCTTGCCCGAATCCTCTGGCTTCTTAGCTTGGATGACTCCAAGGGTACCATTGCACTGGGCTTCGATGACTTCAAGGGAGAAACACCTGTGTGGTACTGGATTACATTCATTCAACAGCTGATCACGGGTCTCGGTCACAAGGAAGCGCCTCGTGTCTTCCAGCTCCTTCTCAAGATCGCCAAATCTTATCCTCAGGCGTTGTACTTCCAGCTCCGAACCAATCGTGAGGATTTGTTGGTTATCAAGAAGAACCAGGAAGCGAGGGACAGGCAAGCCAGACAACGCGCGCAATCGACCAACTCTAACGGAAAGGCAAGCGCGTCTCCGTCCATGGCTAAGCAGGAACCTCCTAGGCCTGGGACATCATCTTCTCGTCCCGGGACTGCAAACGCAGCGGACGGCACACCGGTTAAGGCTGAGGGTGAAGCCAATGGCAACGCTGCAGGTACCCCAGCACCACCTACCAACGGACAAACTCCTGATCCCTCCAAGGCTGCACAAAAGCCAACACCTCAGCCTGGACAGCCCGGACAGCCCCAAAAGAAACCTCCGTGGGACTACACTGAAGAGGTCATGTCGGTTCTCAAGACGGCTTTCCCACTCTTGGCTCTTTCGATGGAGACAATGGTGGATCAAATCCAGAAGAACTTTAAGTGCCCTCCTGACGAGGATGCCTATCGACTGATTGTCGCCCTTCTTAACGACGCTCTGGCGTATGTTAGTCGAACACCTCCTTCTTTTGCTAAGAGCGTCAAGCTTCCGGCGGCAACCGAACTAAACATTACTCGTTTCGCCGAAACGATACTACCAAGTCACATCAAGAAGTCGTTCGAAGCAGATTTTGTCACTGTCAAGCCGACAATGTATGAGTACATCTACAAGTTGCGTCGTTGGCGAAACAAGTTTGAGGAGAAGTTGGACCACAGAGTGCCTCGCGCCTCACTTGAAAACTTCTCCCCTCATTTGAGCGAGTTCAGATACAGCAAGTTCGACGAGGTCGAAGTCCCCGGCCAATACCTGCAACATAAGGACAAGAACCAGGACTTCATTCGTATCGATCGCTTCCTACCAAACATCGATCTTGTTCGCTCTATCAGTGCGTCTTATCGCCGTATCAAGATGCGTGGACATGATGGCAGTATTCACACATGGGCCATTCAACACCCTGCAGCCAGACACTGCCGACGAGAGGAGCGTATCTTGCAGCTTTTCCGGTCGCTCAACCAGACACTGGGCCGTAAGAAGGAGAGCCGGCGTCGCGACTTGCAGTTCACGATACCGATTATGGTTCCGTTCGCACCGCACATTCGACTTGTTCAGGAAGACACGTCCTACACTACGCTGCAAGGAGTCTATGAGGATCATTGCCGTAACATGGGCATGTCCAAGGATGATCCTGTTTTGTTCACGATGGAGAAGCTCCGGGGTGCCCTCGAGAGCAAGAGCTCGGTAAGTTTTTCGAGCAAGCATAACTATTTCGCAATCACTGACAACCAACAGAACAAACCTGAGCAGGCAGCAACAGCTCGATTGGAGGTTTTCAACGCCATCCAAGAGAAATGGGTTCCATCCACAGTGGCAATCGAGTACTTCCAGAAAGTGTTCCCACAGTTTGCCGAGTTCTGGCTGTTCCGTCGCCAGTTCTCATACCAGCTTGCGGCGTTGACATTTATCACGTACATTATGTACATGCATAATCGTTATCCGCAGAAGATTAATATCTCCAGGGCCACGGGTAAGGTTTGGGGGTCTGAAATGATGTCCTACATGAGCGCCAACAAACCCTTTTTCCACAACCCAGAGCCGGTACCATTCCGACTTACACCCAACCTACAAACACTGATGGGACCACTCGCTACTGAAGGCATCTTTGCATGCTCGCTGATGGCTATCGCACGATGCTTGACGGAGCCTGAGTACGAGTTGGAGCACGCACTGACATTGCTCGTGCGTGATGAGATGCTGTTCTGGTTTACAGGCAGCCATAGAAACGGAGCAATTACAGAGAGCCAACTTAGGGATTCTGTGCAGGTCAACAGCGACTCGATTGTCAAGCGGGCACTCAGCCTGGCCCACAACCCTGTTGGCAACTTGCCCGCAAACCAGACGGTGATCGATGCTATCGCCAAGGCTGTTAACCCCATGAACTTGGCACAGTGCGATGCCTTGTGGATGCCGTATCTGTAAGGCACAGTATGACTTTATACCATATAATTCGGAGAAATGGAGGATGATGATTGCGTTGAGGGCTGGCATGGTCTTGGACTTTGAGCACGGCGTTGGGGGATATTGGGAGAGATGCTATTTTTAGGGCTGAGACAGCTGGGAAAAGTTGTACACATACATCTATGCATGGTTTACTTGGAGAGACAAGTCAGGCGAGATATCATCTAGTAATGCTTTTAGACTGCAACAGCTGAGCATTTGTATTTTCTGCTTAATTAATCACTCAATTGTTAATCTGATCAACTTTGTCATGCGCTTCCGTGATGATGATGATATATATATAGGACTTTGACAACCAGCATGGCATATAGACAAACAAGTTCCCCACAAACCTCGGCTCGGGAACGAAGCTTGTTATGCAGCATAGTCGAGATCGACAAGCAAGTCTAGGCGATTTGCGTGTCACAGCGCAGCTCATCCCAGCCCATCCCCAGCTCTAACGATAAAGGGAACGAGTAAGTGACTTAACGGTAGGGAACGGCTGAACCCCGCACGACAAATGTGTCGTTGGTCAAGTTACCGAGCCTCGGAGGTCTCAGGTTACGTCTTTATAAAGTGCAGGGCGTCATGATTTATATTCTGTTGTGTTTCACTATTCAATTTTCCTTTATATATTATTTTGAGTTTGTTGTGATTTGAAGTCATCTTACTGTATTTTCGTATAAGCAGATCAAGTCTAAAGACAAGCTTACTATACTGCAACAATGGATCTAACAAAGGTGCCACGAAAGGTCTGGGAACATCCCAATCCCAAAAGTACGGCTATGTGGGCTTTTATGCAAGAAGCAAACAGAATCCACGGACTCAATCTCAAGGTATAAATGTGATTCTTATAGAAAGGGTGGAATACTAACAAGTTGTAGACCTTTAATGACTTATACGAATGGTCCTGCTCTAAGCGCAGCGACTTCTACGCCCAACTCTGGGCCACCCAGAAATGGATCCACGAAGGTTCCTACTCATACGTAGTAGACGAGTCAATCCCCATCACCAAACTTCCCACATGGTTCCCTGGTATCCATCTCAACTATGCCGAGAATATGCTCTGGACCGCAGGCAACGCACCAGGCGAGCGCTCAACTCTCCACAAAGAAGATGACACCATCGCCATCACTGAAGTGCGCGAGGGTAATTCTTCTGTGAGGAATGTCGCATGGGGAGATTTGAGACAGAGAGTTGCGAAGACGGCGAGTGCATTGAAGCAGAGAGGTGTGAAGAAGGGAGATCGGGTGGTTATGGTTGGTGCGCATTCTGTTGAGACTTGTGTGGTGTTTTTGGCTATTACTTGGCTTGGAGGGTTGTTTAGTAGTAGTTCGACGGATATGGGCGTTGGTGGTTTGCTGCAGAGAACAGTTCAGATCGATCCCAAGGTGAGTCCCCCCCATAATGAGGGTGTGATGAAGATGCTAACTGTGAACAGTTTGTTTTCTTCGATGATGGGGCTTTGTACAATGGTAAAGTCATCGATCTTCGCGACAAGATCAAGGGCGTGGTAGAAGGACTGAAAGAGTGTCCCTCTTTCAAAGGCGGAATCATTGTTCAGCGCTTTGACACTCCTCGAGATACTTCTGCCATTCCTCAGACGCAGCGCCTTGAGGATTTCCTCGCTACAGCATCTTCAACGCCGCCACCCATTGAAAGGGTCGGCTTCCAAGACCCAATGGTAGTTTACTATTCATCCGGAACTACAGGAACACCCAAAGCCGTCGTCCACGGCGTCGGTCCTATTCTCGTATCAGTCGCCAAAGAGGGTGTTCTTCATCGCGAACTCACTCACAAAGATGTAGCACTCCAATACACGACAACAGGATGGATTATGTACCTCGCCAGTGTCACTAGACTCGCTTTCGGTGGACGGACTGTTTTCTACGATGGTTCGCCTTTTGTACCAGATCGATCTGTCTTGTTAAGAATTGTGGAGGAGCAAAAGGTCACGAACCTGGGCATTTCACCAAGATGGTTGGGTGAACTTATGAAGGAGGGCATTGTCCCTCAGAAGGAAGCCAATCTGAACAGCCTCACGGCTGTTTTGAGTACGGGGATGGTGTTGAAGGAGAATGTGTTTGAATGGTTCTATGATGGAGCTTTCCCTAACCATATCAAGTTGGCCAACTTTTCAGGAGGTACAGATATTGTAAGTCTCTCCCTGTCCTTTAGTATTTACGCAGCTAATCTCGTTTCTTAAGGCCGCCTGCTTCGTCATGGAGAATCCTCTCAGTCCCATCTACGCCGGCGGCTGTCCAGGAAAAGTCCTCGGCACTCCCATGGCCATCTACCCATCCTCAGCCGACCTAACAAAGCCAATCTCTCCAGTCCCAGACGGTGAACCAGGCGATCTAGTAGGAACAGCAGCATTCCCCAACGTCCCTCTCTATCTCTGGAACGACACTTCTCCCGCCCCAGGTGAAAAGTACACATCGGCCTACTTTGCTCGATTCCCTGGGGTATGGTCACAAGGCGACTTCGCAGCAGTTCATCCACAAACAGGCCACATTCACATCCTTGGCCGCTCTGATGGTGTTTTGAATCCAAGTGGTATTCGCTTTGGAAGTGCGGATATTTACGCTGTGCTTGAAGGCGGGTTTGCAAAGGAGGTTGCGGAGAGTCTTTGCGTAGGACAGAGACGACCACAGGATCATGATGAGAGTGTTGTCTTGTTCTTGTTGATGAAGCCTGGCGTTAAGTTTACGGCTGAGCTTGCGAAGAGCATTCGAGAGAGAATTGCGAAGGAGTTGACGAAGAGACATGTGCCCAAGTATATCTTTGAGGTACCTGATATCCCGGTAAGTCTTTCTCTCAGTAGCATATGGATGGCGGCTAACAGTTATACAGGTCACTGTCAATGGCAAAAAGGTCGAGTTGCCAGTAAAACAAATCATTTCAGGAAGCACCATCAAGCCAAGCGGAACATTATTGAACCCTCAGAGTCTGGACTATTTCTATCAGTTTCAAAAGATTGAAGAGGTCGATCAAGTTCGAGCAAAGTTGTAGAAGAGATGATCATACAGAACAAGTCAGGGTATATTATATTAGAAACGATCATGATTACAATACATCCTCCTTCTTGGGAAACTTGCCCCCATTAACACCATATCTCCAAGCCATGTATCCCAACATACCACCCACAGTCCCCAATCCCAAACCACCAACAGTTCCTCTCCAACCCCTCAAGGCATTAGCTCCTATTAACGCTCCAGTTCCAGCACCCAAGACAGTCCAGTCATCAGTTTCCACCTGTCCAGGGTTCTCTAACAACCTCCAACTTCGATCTTGCCATTCGATCTCTTCTCTCCCACGCATGCGCCCAACTGTCATGAGAGTCCCAACAGCCAAGGCAAGAACTGTGCCTGTTGATGCCGAGCGGACGAGCCGTGGGAAGAAGGTGAGAGCATCAGGTTGTTTTGGGCGGAGGAAGGGGATGACTTGGCGTGTTGTTGTTATGCCTGCTGCGATGATTGTGTTGAGAGTGATTGCTCGTGTGATTACATGTGTTGTGAGAATTGTTTTTGCAAGAGGTTGATCCTCTGCGTAAGGAGCATGTGGCCAGAATCGAGACATGTTGTAAGTGTAATTGTTTATGATGAGTTGAATGAGACTGACTATTCAATATGAGCTGACATTCAGAGCTCTATATATGCACTGTATTCTGTGCCGTGCCTCGTCATATCATCAAGCCACTTCCCCTCTTCTTGATCCAGCCCTGTGCCTAGACTAGGTACACTGTAATGTAAGATTCTCGCTCTTTTCGGTCCCGAATCCCCTTGGAGTCCGATGTTTGTTTTAGGTATATCGAATAAGAATAAGCACAACATCATTGGTTCTCCGCAAAGTCCGCAAGCGACGGCCCGGATGGTTTAGAAATGCCGGTTACTCCACTATCAAATACTATGCGAATGCGAGAATGCATTGATTACGTATTATTCCGATATCAACAGAATGGATAGTATGTATCATTCTCTATTTCAACTTGTGTCTATAATCAAAAATCCTTGTATTCTGTTCCCATCAATGCAATACTCTGTACAATGCCACAACGCCTAGCCTAGACCTATCCCAATGATGCACTTCTACTTCTTCAGTCTCTGGTATTCTCTTACTCATCGTCGGTCATTTCCATCATACTATCTTCTCTCTCCGCCGAATCATCCTCGTCCTCCAATACCGTCATCCTCCGTGATCGTCTAACTCTTCCTTTACCCTTCTCCATTCTTCCAACTGTTCTTCGACCACCGTTCACCTTGACAGCTGCATCATGCTTCTGCTGTCCCAGAGTACGCTCGAATTCTATCAAGTCCTCGGCTTCAGACTCTGCCGCACCATCCAGCAAAACCGTCTCCTCAAGTGCTTTGTTAAGTAACTCAGTCGCAATACTGTCCTGTGGGTTCACTGCCAAAGCTTCATGTAGGACTGTGACTGCCTCTTCAGGCTTGTTCTGTTCCATCAGAATAAGGCCCTTTGCGCTGAAGATAGCTGCGTCTTTGCCTCCTTGTCGCAAGACCTCGTCAAATTCAGCCAAAGCTCGGTTAAAGTGTCTTAATCTTCGGAACGAGTGACCAAGGTTCGTCCTGGCTGCTAACCATGCTGAAGGATCGCTGTCCATATCATCAGCGATCTTAAGCGCTGCTGTAAAGTACTGTGCTGCCTCCTTGGGTTTGTCTTGGTGATATTTCACTATACCCATCTCGTTCAATAGTAGAGGGTCCGTTTTACAGAGGCCGTAAGCTGTCTTGAGAAACTCCTCCGCGAGTGTCATGTTGTTAAGCGCATGGTTCTGCATTCCCAAGAATACTTGAGGCAGATGCGTACCCATGAATAGTCTCGCCGCTGTCGAATATGCTGAAATCGCCTGATCATGCTCGCCCTCTGCTGCAAATGTGTGCGCGAATCCTATCCATGCTGGTCCGAAGTGTGCATCCATCATACTCGCCTTGCTGAAATATCGTCGTGCCTCGGGAATCTTGCCAATTGAAAAGTAGTAGATACCGACCGCAAGCCACGAGCATGGCTCTTCAGGATGACTGTCTGCCAAATCATGGGCAATTAAGAATAACAAGTTCTTCTCCTTGAGCTCAAACAAACAGGCCAAGTGCACTGGATATACACTAAAGTTGTATTTGTCGTCTTGTAAAATCCCATTTGTGATGTTCAGCGCATCCCGGTAGCGACACTGCGTATAGAGAAGATCCGCTCGCGCAAGCTGTAAGTCAGGATTTGATGCCAGGTGATAATGTGTCGACAGAGAGTCGTATGCGGTCTCGAAAGCTGCAGGATTTCGGTATTTGGAAAGGCGTGTCGTGTAGAGCATCTTTGTAAAGTCGCCAGCCTGCTGTGAAGACGAGACATCCCCCGATACATGAATCGAGTCAAAGTCCAGACTCTCGAGGAACTGCCATTCCTCGTCTGGCGACAACAGATTATTGTTCATAAGCTGTTGAAACGCCTCAAAGCACTGGACATCGATCCTCACAGCATCTTTATAGCACTCCTTTGCGCGGTCAAACGCATTCTGCTTGGCATAGCAGATTCCACGGAGAAAACACATGGCAGCTTCATATCTTCTGTTTGCAGCCTCCTCTTCGGCAGCTGGGTCGCGACGCCGTGTCTGGCGCGGCTGTGTTTTGCGCTTGTTGCTCGCACCGTTGGCTATCAGATGCGTCGGGTTGCGGTCGCCGAGAACGGAGAGAGCTTCGTCGAATCGGTTTTGCTTGATCAGACAGTGGCCGGCGAGATAGCGACATGAGGGGTTTCGAGCGATGAGGTTTTGGCTGGAGAGGAATGCCTGGGCGCGAGTGTAGTTTCCTGTCGCGAAGTGGACTTGTGCTAGCCAGAATGCGTCTTGGTCGTCGTCTATTCGATCGTGTATTAGAATCTGGCGATAGTACTACTTGGAACCAAGGTTATACGAACTGGTCAATGCAAGTAGCTTGTCGCCGATAAAGATAGCCGACTCGTATTGCGCCTTGTTGAGGGCATCCTGCCGCCATTCCCTGAGGAAGCTTTCCATGGTCTTGTTCTATTCGAAGAGCATCGAGTGTTATATACAATTTCCTATTATATAATCGGCGCGGGAGTGACGTAGTGGCTTTGCGAAATGAGTGTAGATATCCGAAGCGTCGTTTGTTTGGAATAGCATCAAATTCCATCAACAAACAACATCCCACCTAACAAAGTCAACAGTCTCACCGTTACTCTCAGCTGGAGCTAAGCGCGTTAAGGGCCTCCAGGGCGTTTTTACAAGCTACAGTGGGTGTGTCTCCAGCAACGGCGGGGTAGCTTACAGCGGTCTTTTGCCTCTGGGAAAAAAGTTGGCGGGGTCTTTCGGGGCGTGGCGTATCAGAGGTCGTCAATTTGGCACTCGCCGATACAGGAGCCCGTCATACCTCATCAACTTTCAAAAAGATTCGCATACAATTTCTTAACTAACATCACTCAATTCATACCAATACTCAATTGACTCGCAAACATGGCCTCTTCTCAAACCCGATGGGCTGCTCTCGCCCGTGACACCAACGAGACTAAGATCCAACTCGCTCTTAACCTCGACGGCGGCGATTTCCCTCCGGAGACTGACTCCCGTCTTCTCAACAATGAAGATAGCCATGCTTCCCAGGCCAGCAAGTCCCAGAAGATTGCTGTCAACACTGGAATTGGTTTCCTCGACCACATGCTCCATGCTCTGGCTAAGCATGCTGGCTGGAGTCTGGCTCTGAACTGCAAGGGTGATCTTCACAGTACGTTCTTCTTCTCAACTGCGCCACCTAGGGATAGTAATGACTGACATATCTTACTCAGTTGACGACCACCACACCGCCGAAGATGTCTGCATCGCCCTTGGTTACGCCTTCGCCCAGGCCCTCGGTACACCCGCCGGTCTCGCTCGTTTCGGCTACGCCTACGCTCCTCTCGACGAGGCCCTCTCTCGCGCTGTCGTCGATCTTTCCAACCGTCCCTACAGCGTCGTTGACCTTGGCTTGAAGCGCGAGTGGCTCGGTACACTCAGCACCGAGATGGTTCCTCACTGCCTGCAGAGCTTTGCTCAGGGTGCCCGTGTTACACTCCACGTTCACTGCCTTCACGGTGACAACGACCACCACCGTGCTGAGAGTGCCTTCAAGGCTCTTGCTATCGCTGTCAAGGCTGCTACTACAAGAATACCTGGTAAGGAGGGTGAGGTGCCTAGCACCAAGGGTACTCTGAGTGCCTAAAGGATATAGGTTGGTTAGGAGTTCCGGATGAGTTTGGCTTTGGTAGATCTAGACCGCATATCGATAAGGTTACAAAATAAGATCTTTGGATGTATATGACAGCTTAAAACATAGAGAAAATAGCAGAGCGGCTAGCAATGATGATGAATGTAACAAACAAGTGTCAAGCGTAATCTGTCATGAAATTCAGGCTATATTTTTGATAATTACAGGAACTGGCAAGATACCTAAGTTCGGTAGTCACCGTTGATGGTAACATAGTCGTGGCTAAAGTCGCAAGTATAGTGCACAGCAGACTTATCACCAGTTCCAAGTCTGACCACAATCTCGAGATCCTCCATGGCAAGGATCTCAGCCGCTCGGGTCTCGTCAACCTGCTCAGGCTCACCATCAACCAGCAACTTCAGCTCAGCTGAGCCGTCAGTAGGGATGAAAGAGACGTTGGTTCGCTCAGGAGTAATCTCGGGAACGTCGTTCACAGGCTGTCCAGGAGCAGAGATAAGAGCGTAACCAGTGGCGCAAAGAACTCGGCCCCAGTTGGCGTCCTTGCCGTAGAGGGCGGTCTTCACGAGGGGTGATGTAGCGATAGATCGGCCAACCTGGCGAGCAGCCTCCTCGGAAGCACTGTCGACAACACGGATGGTCACGAACTTGGTAGCACCCTCGCCATCTCGGACGACGTACTTGGCCAAATCGACAGAGAACTCGGTGAGGAGCTTCTGGAAGGCCTCGTAGTCAGCAGACTGCTCGGAAGAAACCTCCTTACCACCAGCCGCACCGTTGGCAAGAAGAGCGACGGTGTCGTTGGTAGAAGTGTCACCATCGATAGTAATGGAGTTGAATGATCGGTCGACGGCATGTCGAAGGACGTTGGGCATGACAGAGGGAGAGATAGGAGCATCAGTAGCCAAGATAGTGAGAAGAGTAGCCATGTTGGGAGCAATCATACCCGCACCCTTGGTCATACCAGCAATGCGGTACTCAATACCTGGCGATGAGGGAAGCTCGAAGCTTCGAGACATGAGCTTGGGGAAAGTGTCAGTTGTGCAAATCGCCTTTGCGCAATCAAGCCAGTTGTTGTGAGAGTCGCCAGCCTTGCTAACAGCAGCAGGAATCTTGTCAAGAATCTTCTGAATAGGAAGCCTATATCACTGTGAGCCATTGGGCCGTCAAACAGAGCCAATTGGCGAAACAAACCTCTGACCAATAACTCCGGTACTCATAACAATAGTAGAGTCCTCATCTCCTACCCTCTTATCCGTGGCGCGAGCCATGTTGGTAGCATCTTCAAGGCCTCCGGTGCCGGTGACAGCATTCGCGTTGCCCGAATTGACGACGACGCTTCGCAGACCAGAGTTCTTCTTCTGCTGGAGCAATTTCCTGCTGTACGTCACAGGAGCAGCCTGGAACTTATTCTTTGTAAAGACACCCGCAGCAGCGCATGGTCGGTCAGACGTGACGATAGCGATGTCGGGCTTGCTTGTGTTTCCAGGCTTGACACCGGCCCAGATGCCTGAAGCGGCGAAGCCCTTGGGGTATTTCCCTGAAGTAGGAATATACTGAATCTTTGAAGGAGGGATTGGGTTGCCTCCCAAGGTGGAAGCCGAAGAATAGGCGCGGGTGAATTTCTTCATCATCTTTGCGACTGTTTATTGTTGATGCTCTCGTTAACTAAATTTTTGGCTGGGGTTGCAGTATGTACATAGAGGTGCTTAGTTGGGAGCGATAGCGGTATCGCAGCCATCACCTTGACCAGAAGGATTCAGTTGACTCATCAAGTAGGATTCTGCTACATAGATCTATCAACATAATCTTGTCTAATGGACTACAGCAGGAGATATTGAATAATATCATAATTGCAATGGAAAATCATTCTCTCTCATTGAAGCATGAGGTATGTTGTGTGGATGTTGTGAGTCCGGGTGTGTGTAAGAACGTGATATCCACTAACATCAGCTGGAATTTCACTAACAGAAGCAATAACCCCAACGGCAGTAGATCTCGTTATGAAACTCGAACTGCAATAATGGCACCTCAAACCCGGACACAGCGTTATTGGCTAGGTACTGATGGATATAGAGAAATTACGCCCATGCTTCATAAAGGGTTATGAAAACCCAGCACTTCGCTTATACAGGGTATTGACAACTAGGTTCGACGATGGCAAGGCAGACAGAGAAGCCTAACAAGGACTGGGGAAGACAGGAAACCTGACGAATTTCGTAGAAGATTGGGAGAGTTTAGTAGATGCTGTGTCAGGTGGTGGTTAAAGTGAGGTTGACCGTTGAGTTGAGTCCATTGTTTGTGTTCACCTTCGACGTATAGTTTCTCCAGGATGGTCATGAGACTCTGGGTTCGGCGTACGTACTTGGATCTATTGGACGTAGACTGAAATCAAATAGCTCAAGCCTGGTCGGAATTGCCTTCTCGTCAAATCAAAGTACGCATTTGTAGGTTTGCAAAGTGCATTGTCTTAAACAGGCCCGAACTGAAACTTTCTCAAGGCATCATCCAAGAACATTCTGCCCAGGCAACAAGGTCATCTGCAAACTTACAATCGCTAACTGTCGCACGCCGTATGACTCATAGTGCAAGGGAAATTGTTACTGGTTGTGAGAAAAATCAAACAAAGCCCGCATTCAATATGCTTTGTTGAGAGTGATTTCAGTTTAGATGGACCGGTTCAGATGCCGTGAAGGTACGGTAGGTACGTAGGATAGACCAGACCTGCCCTGGAGAATCAGACACATTTGAGAATGCCAGATGATGAACAGATATATATCCTGAGGTTGTAACTTGTTGCTAAGACCCTAGAGATCAAGAGCAACTTGTATGATATGAAGTTCAAAAAGTGATGTATTTCTTTGGTGACAGTTGCAGTGCCAGACTGCGACATGGAAGCAGTCATGGAAGTGCCTGCCTGTAATTAGCGGCTGAAGCTTGTTGCTGTGCCTGCCATTCACAGTGGGTCGCTGGTGCCTGGACGCGGCGCTTCAACTGAACTTAGAGCCCCGCCTGCCAAAATCTGCGCGCAGAGATTGCCCAGGTGCCTTAGTCATCAGCATATGGCCCGTGCGAGAGTGATCTCCCACAGCTATAAAACCCGGCTCCCCCTCCCTCTCTTTCGATTTCTTTTTTTCCTTTCTTCTTCATCCGAGTGCAAGGGCGTTATCCATCTCCGTGAAGCAATCAGCTGAGAGTGGATTTTTGCTAGTTGAAAACTATACACTGACCGCTCCTACTTGGGTTCGCCTGGGTAGGGAATTTTTGGAACCCTTCCTTTATGGAATCTTTTCTTTCATTGCTCTCATTCCTTGATGGAATGGTGTGAAGAAGGAGTTTTAGTGATTTTTGGTGATGCCTCTCGCTATTCCAGGCAAAGTTGTGTATGTATGAAGTGCTGCCATGTCCTGCATGCATTGTCGCGCTTGATGTGTTAAGTCAGAAGCGCGACCCGCGTGTATGTTGTTGATCCCATAAGGGAAGCCTTCACGATGCGCCTCGCTTTATCCATCGAACTCCTTGTCTGCCACCACGGTTTCCTTGCCTACTGTCCCTCCCTGTGACGCTGAAAGGTTGTACTGTTTGACCAGCCCTGCACTGCGCGAGAGTGCTGAGCCATCAGTAATGATGTGCGACCGACAGTAACGAACACGCCTGCAAACAAAGGATCACGAGAAGAGCAGAGTAGAACAAGCCTTATAGTGATAATACAAATAATTATATCATGCCTACGGACGTATGAAGTGCCTGGAAGTGACATGCAGTATCACACCCATGCAACTCCGTTTGCTGTGTCGCCCACGTCTGGTCTAGGCTAGCGCGGGGCATTCGACATTTCTCCATCCAAATGCCGGTCCAAAGTCATTATTTTCGAGTGACTCAAAGCCTCCATCTGAGTGTCTCTCGTAGCAAATCCCACCCAAACAACCCGATATTCGTACTATTCACCACTATTTCCGACCGAAATTACTCGAGTATTCTACGGAAAATATCACCAACAACCTACTTCACTGATTGCAGTGAATAACAACAACACGCACAATTACAGAGGCTCAAAGTGCCCCGCCCTCGAACAAGCACATTGTTGAAACCGCTACACAACCTCGAAACTGTCCTAATGTCGATCGAAGCTGAGGGCTCGGCTCCTACGCCGCAGGTCCCCGAGATTCAAGAAGTCAAGACCGAGAAGAAGGAGCAGAGCAAGCCCGAGCAGCCCCCCAAGGAGGGTCAACAACAAAAGCAGTCAGCAGCCCCCGCAGGCGAGAAGAAGCTCTCCGGAGCCGAATTGAAGAAAAAGGCCAAAGAGGAGAAGGCCGCTAGACGCGCGCAAGCCAAGACTGCACAACCTCAACAGGGTCCTTCGCAAGGCGACAAGCAATCCGGTGGTGACGGCAAGGGAGGCAAGGCAAAGCCTAAGCAAGACGGACAGAATCAGCAGCATGGCGGCGCAAAACTCCCCATTCGACCGGCAGCGACAGCCGTCGTCAAGGAGGACAAGCCCTCGATACCAGATTGCTTCAGCCATTTGTCTATGGCTCGACGGATAGACATGACTCATGCCGACAAGGACGTCCATCCTGCTGTGTTGGTTCTCGGAGAACACATGAGCGCATTTGCCATCAGTGATAGTATCACTCGACTGGAAGCGACTCTATATGCTTTCAAGAAGGTGGGTGAATTTCTCCTAGCGTAAGGTTGTGTGATTCTAACAATTCCAGGTCATTGACTCTTACACCACGCCTCCTGGCTTCACCTTTTCCCGCCATTTCACATCTCACGTTCTTAACCCTCAAATCGAGTATCTCACAGCATGTCGCCCCATGTGTTTCTCCATGGGCAATGCCATCCGATGGCTCAAGCTTCAAATCAGCAAGATCGATATCGATCTCCCCGATTCTGACGCCAAGAAGCTCCTATCAGAGTCCATCGACAACTACATTCGTGAACGCATTACTCTCGCGGACTACGTGATCGTTGAGACTGCTGCCAACATGATTGATGAAGGTGATGTAGTACTCACATACGCTCACCACCACCTGGTTGAGCGCACTCTCCTCCAAGCTCGCCAGGTTCTGAATAAGAACTTCCGTGTGATCCTAGTCGACGACCCTTATGAGCGCGTTGGCATCGATCTCGCAAAGAAGCTCTCCGTCGCCGGCATCCATGTCGCCTACGCTTCCGATCTCGGCGCTCTGCGAACGCACCTCTCCGAGGCAACTCAGGTTCTGCTCGCCGCCGAAGCCATCTTTAGCAACGGTGCGATGTACGCCCGCGCAGGCTCATGCGACATTGCCACAGCAGCAACTGACCTTGGTGTCCGCGTCGTCGCTCTTTGCGAGACCATCAACTTCACCGAGCGTGTCTCAATCGACTCGCTCACCTACAATGAGATTGACCCTGAGCATTCCACCGATGTTGGATTCCGCTTGCTCTTTGACACTACACGAGACAAGTACATCACGGTTGTTGTGACGGAACTGGGCAATTCTTCGGCTACTTCCGTGCCGGCTATCTTAAGAAAACTAGAGGAGCTGTAGGCTTTTGAATTCAAGTAAAAGAATATGGGTTACACTTTCTGATCTGATAGATGTGGCGTTATGGGTTGTCGTTTCAATCCGGAGTGTGAATGTTTTAGAGACAGTGTTTTTGAGACAATGAGACTGAATTCGTATTATGTTGTGTGTGACATTCGTGAACTTTTCGGTTATGTCGTCTCTGGTGGTTTAGTGAGACTCGTATAAAAGTCACTCCTTGAACACTATCATGTCATCACATCCTTGATGCGCTCTGGTTGTAATTGTTTCAACCCAAACGTCCAATTTCGACGCTCTACATCCCAATATCACAAATGTACAATAATTCCCTCCACCCTTCAAGCATTCCTCTCGAGGCCGAAGGTGTGTAATTCCCAGTATCTTTGCATTTCCGTTCTCATTCTCGTTTCCCTTAAGCATCAGCCTGAGCATCTCGCTCCGCCTTGCGCGCTCGCTTCTCGAGAAGGATAGCCTTTCGCTCCTTCAGTGTGTCGGTTTGTCTGTCGTCGACACCCTGGAGCCAGTATCCGAAGCTGGCGCCGCCGGCCGCGTAGACGGGGTACACCCACAGGGAGGACTTGTTGAAGAAGGGGCGCATCTCAATACCCATTTGCCAGAATCGGGCACCGAGGCCTTTAATTTCCGCTATGTTAGCATCCAATTCGTCTTTTCTTTGGCTCTCAATCGTCCGGGTTGTATTGTCGGGCGGGCGAATTGACTCAGGTTGGTGACGTACCGAAGAGGGACCAGAAGGCGATGCGGTGCATGTTGGGCAATTGACCGTCGGGTATTCGAACGTAGGGAGTGGAGAGGTTTGAGATTCGCTCGAGGTACGAGGCGTGGCCGTTGACGTCGTTCGTTACTGGGAGTGAGGTCGTGATCTTGAAGATCCGTCGGCCCAAGCTCGCTGCAATTGGAGTCTAGCTGATTGGTCACGAAATGAGTCACGTGAGCCACATCTGTCAAGCTACCCTGTAACATTCGATTGCCGACATGGTGAAATCAAATATGCATCCTTCAAAACTATTCGATGCTCCTTTCTATGATTCTCCTCATCGCTATGCTCAAGATGATTGTGTCAAAATATCTGATTCAATTGCATGCTGGATATGTGGCGCACTACATCGATATGCCGGACTGAACTAACACCTTCCTTGGAACATTCGGACAAGAGAAGTCAAGTATCAATCACAATTGAGAAAGTAAAGAAAGCATATAATAATCGAAACAGACCCGGTGTTCATTCAAGATCTACCATCTAGAGTCTATGTCTATGTTTAGTCAGCTGTCTTGGTAACAGTATTCATAACGCTGATGAAAGAAGAGACAACATCCCAAAGTGTACAAAGTCACAAAACTCCCCGCTATGTCATGATAAACACTTGTCAGTCAAGCAAGCTACTACTTGCGCCAGGATAAGGAGGTGGTGCTCCAGATGGTGGAGCTGCTATCTGAGGCGCCTGGCTGCGAGGCTCAGGAGCTGTCGTCCATTGAGCAGCCTTAGCCACAATCTTGGAGAAATACTGCTGAATGAAGGATTCACTGTGATAATTAGCATGCGTGTTATCACTGAAGTAAGGAGAAAACTTACGTGTAGTAGCTGTGATCAGAGTTATGAGGCGTCACGAGGTTGTGTGCCAGCTCATGTGCCAAAACAACCCACCACCAGGTCGCAGCCTCTGCCTTAGCCTGCGGAGTTCTTGCCTCGATCTGCGCGGCGTGTAGTTGCAAGAAGAACCGGAAGTTACAGAAGATACTGCCTCCAGTGTTGAAGGCAATGGTACCACCAGCCTCATCGTAGAAGATATGCAAGACCTTGGGTGACATGGAGTAGACGCTGCCGACCTCAATTAAGAGGCTGGCGAATACGTTGAGGTTGGTCAAGTGTTTTGACAGGAATTGGCTAGGATCTTTAATATCCTTGGAGGCAAAGACTTTCATGCCGTTCGACGCCTCAGCGATGAATGTGATGTTCTGTGCTGGTGTCTTGTCGCAGTAAGTGGCCTGCTCCTTGACTTCATTGACCTGGGGCTCTGAAAAGACACTATCAGATCCGTATGCCCGGGTTGACTTGATAGCATTGAGCAAATTCTGCTGCACCACAGCAGGACTTGTCACCCTGCCCTCATTTTGGGGTTGTTTTCCAGTGTTAGACGAGCTGCCCCCAGCTGGTTCAATCTCCTTGGGCTTGTCCAAGAACTTGTTTAGTTCCTTGCGAGAATCGTCATCATCTTGCTCAGTATCGAATCCAAGTCGACGGCTTAGGTTAGAAAACAATCCTCGACTCTTCCTGTTCTGTTGCTCTTGTGTGGGCTTTGCTTGCTCCGGTGACTCCCATGCACCTGGCATCGTTGGACCAAGGGGTTCTGGTACTCTGGTAGCTTCGCGTGCAGCTTCGGCCGCTTTAGCTTCTGCCCCCCACTGCTGCTCCTTTTCCTTGATCTGGCGTTGCTCCTCTTCCAGAGCCTTTCGTCTCTCTTCCTCGGCAATCCTGGCTTCGGCAGCCTTGGCCCGTAGAATTCGGTCAACATTGTAACCGCGATTTCTTAGGCCGTAGAGATCCAGCGTAAGGAACGGTTCAAAGAAGAGATAAGCTTGCTGACTTGGGCGGTTCAGCAACATTTGGCAAATGGCTTGTCCAACCTGATACATGTCGGGCTTAGCTTCGTCGGCCACATACAGGATCCAGCCGTTGTTGGTCCTCTTGCTTGCAGCCGAGCGTTTTTCTGTGTGAGTTTGATACTGTCCCTGCAGAGTTCTTTTCAAAGCCACCGAGCGAACGACGTCGACAGTCAAATTCTTATCCAGCCATTTTGCGTCATGTTTGATGGCGTCGCGTCGATAGTTGTTCCACTCGAACAGGAAGATCTTTGATCTCTCGACGACATGTTTGCGCAGGCTGAGAGCAAGCTTCTGTCGGTCGCTGTGAGGCCCAATCTTAATTTCCTCGTGAACGATACTGCTCAGTCTTTGTGCTCCAAGTGACAGATAGAAGGCCTCGAGGGCATCCTCTTCTGGCGCACAAATAAGCTGATCCTTGAACAACCTGTAGCTGATGATGTCGTCCAGAATCACAATTTGACTGGCAGAGGCGAGTTGATATTGCCTGATGGGCTCATCCTCTTCTTCCAAATCATCCGACTGCTTCTTAGGAGGGGCCAGTTCTTTGTACGCGAGGAGGAAGGGTGCCGATTTCATTCTTCTCCAAAGATCCTTATCTCTATGAAGCGTAGATGATGATTCAGCCAACGATTTGAGAAGATCCAAGTACTTCTCTGAACTTTGGAGTACGCCAAGAAGACGAGCTGGTTCGGTGCATGCCATATGTGCCACCTCTAGCTTGGTAGGCTCGTTCTTGGCACCACACTGGAACAAGAATGGATTCGCCTCAGGTCCAAAATCAACAAAGTCGAAGATGTCGCCGTAGGTCGTCGAGGAACCCAGGTATACCCGAGAAGGACTGACATGAGCCTGGGTACGGGTTGGCTTCTCAGTTGAACGGGAAGTTCGTGTAATGGGGACAATAGAGGCATTGCGTAGTTTGACAAGACTGTTTTCACCCAGTTCGGTGATTCGAGACGCAAAGTAACCAAAGACTGCCACAGCGTTCTGATGATCCTGTGGAGGCGAAGCCAAAAGACGGTTTACACAATCAACCATTGGAGGATCTCTTGATACCCCGAACTTGATCGCATGATCATGCAGATCTCTCCTCAGAATATTGAAACCAAGGATAGAGGCTCGAGGGTTGTAGAAACACTGTGAAGGGGGTACAAGTCGCGTGCTTCCCTGAAGAGGCATGATCGCCTTGGGGCTGCCACCGAGTTGGAATGATCCATACCCGTTGATCTGATGGTTGGCAAGGAAATATGTCATTGAAGAAACTCGAAGAGTCTCATCTTTGCCCGACATCATTTCGACAAGCTCGGGAACTGAAGGATAAGGCCTAAGCCCGAGAGTGTTGAGAAATCTAGCCTCTGCACTGCCTATCCGGTAGCTGCCAGGGGGACCAGGCCACTGGAGAACCGGCAATTGCAAAGCACGGAGGGCGTCCTTTGGCTCAAAAAGTTCCGAGACCTTGTACAGCGTTTCTGTTCCCTTGGTAGACTCCATGCCCTTAGGACCAGCCTCGGCAGGACAGAAGCGTGTCTGCTTTAGTTTGCTAAGATCCTCGCCAGGAATATCCTCACGGACCGACGCCAGATACTTAATGAGTTCGACATGACTCCATTTCTGCTGCCCTTCACTCGAGGCGTTGAGCAATCTAGTGAAGATGGTCTCCAGATCAACTGTTTTGCGGACACCAATCGTTACCAAGAATTTCTCCTTGATCTTGTCACAACCTTGAATAACAGGAAGGTCGTCAAAAAGCTTGACAATCGGGAAGAAAGATTCTGTAGGCCTCTTCATTCCCTGTTTCGTAGGAACCACCGTGCTGGCCTGTAGAAGTGAGACAATGGTTGTTCTCGCGTTAGGACTCGAGTTTTCAAAATTCTTTGACAGAACAGTCAGAACCTGGATAGCAAACTTGGGGGATCGCGTGAGGTTCTGCTCCTCAGGCCTGGATGAGTTCGTGTCAAAGAGGAATCGCAGCCAAGGCAGGATCTCCAAAGGCTCCCAACCCAAAGCGCGCAGTTCCGCTTGCTGAGAGTTTGCCGTAAGGGCATGAGGAATAGTTGTAGGTGGAATAGGCAAACTGGCAGGAATCCTGTTCGCAATGAGATGGTTCGTGATGCTTCCGAGAGCAATTATCTCGCCCTGCTCCCCATCGTCGCTCATTGTACCAACAGCAACCTCAAGTAGAGCGGCTCGGCTACCAGGATCAAGCTCGCCACTTAAACTCTTTTTACCGGCCCAACTGATGAAGTTCATCAATTGTACTTTGTTCATGGCTTTCGTCTCCAGCTCCTTCTTCACATCTGTAACAGTGATGTGGGAGATGAGACCAAAGTCTATAAGCTTCTTCACAAATGGAACACTCTTCATCTCTTCAGGCACAACGGGGATGCTGTCAACGAATTTACTCATTTCGTCCGAAGCAATGCGAACATCTGCTGTTTGCAGCACACCTCGAGTTGAATAGGTCTCGATCGAGGCCTTCTTAAAACACATCCAGAAAGCTTCCTCAATAATTTGACCTACTTGCCCGCTGGGTGTAGAGTCACCGAAAGTGAAAGTCTTGAGGATGTGAAGAGCCTCTGGCATATACTTCGCAATTACAGCTGGAGAGAACTTGGGCTCTTTGGCCATGGTCTGCCTAATGCGATAGCTCAAGTCGCTCATCTCGTTCGCAAATGCCAGTCGAGTAATGATACCCGCAGCACGAAGAATTTCGAGGTTCCATGTCCTGACCCAACGAGCGTTCAAGTCAATGGCCTCTCTCTCTACCGTAGGAATGACCGACGGCGCCGAGATGTGCAGTCCTGCACCGGTTGTTTGCATTGTAGGAAAGCCAATAAAGATGCGCCCACCAGGCTTCTTGTTAGGAAGCACAGAGGCAAACACATCGGTAGCTTTGCCGAGCGCTCCAGGAGCAGCAGCGTCTTGAGAAGCTTGGGCTTCATCGTAGGAGGAAGTTAAAATCGCAATCTTTGTTGTCTTGGGCGGTGGCTTCTTTGTAGCTCTCTCAAGTTCGGATGCGAAGTTAGCCGCAACACTAGTGCGAATGCTCGCAGAAGTCGCCCGGAGAAAGATTGTCGAGGTGGAAAGCTTGGTCACATCTTCAGAAATCGCCACCTGCGCTGCATTCTCCTCGCTCTGAGCCTTAGTTCTTATACCAGCTTGTGACGCAGATGATGTAAGTCGTGCGAAGAAGGATCTCAACGAAGGAGCTTCCGGAGCGCCATATGAATCAGTCTTGGTGGTGTTTGTTGCGGCCTGTGGTTTCCATCCAATAGCGGCCATATAGGAGGCATCGATCTTCGTACTTGTGCGATCGACGCTCGTCACTTTCATTAGCCCATCCTTTGTTCTTGCCTCCAGATCTCGAGGCAAAGGAAGTTCAGCACTGGGTGATGATTTCTTCTTAAGCGATAGGATCAGGTGGTCGTCTATCCAAAACTCAATGTGCTCAAGCGCAACAAAGGTCAAACTGGTTGCAAGAAACTGGCTAACAGATAGCAGGTTGGGTAGGGGTGTTGTATTATTTCGGTAGTCCAGGACGAATGTAGTATGATGCGTAGCTTGATCCGCCGGTATCTGGGACTTTTTGGTGAAGAGGGCATTCCCCTTCCAGTAGAATGCCATAGCCTGGTCACCAGAGCTGACAAAGGGCTCCTCGCAGTCCGCGAAGACACTGTAGAAACCAACACCGAAAGCACCGATCTTGGTCTCGTCAGGGTTACCTTCAGCAATACGCTTTAGTCTTCCCCAGTCTGTCTTGGTGAAAGGTTGTCCATCGTTCTGTACAACTAGCCGGCGCAGAGTATGGTTTGACAATGTATGCTTCAGGATCTCGGATCGGTTCGTTGTGCTTGGGAGTGGCACTTGTGTCGATGGGAGCGTTTCCCACTTGACGCTGACCGTCTTTGCCTGGGCATCGGCGGCGTTTTGAATAAGCTCTCGTAATGTTGTCCATTCTCCCGAATATCTCGCAAGAACCTTGTCGATCAGAGCGCGGGTATCGACAGTAACGGCTTCTTCGTCTTCACCGTCCCGCAAAGCGGCGGCTCGTAGCTTCGAATAATCCATCGTGTTTACGGTATTAGGTTTACTATCGCATTATCGTCGTGGAAGGAACTTTATGGTATGGGAGTTAAAGTCTCAGAAAAGAAGAATGAAACGGTAACTGTTTGGTAAAGTTAGCTATGATGCTTCGGTGTATATAAATATGCGGATCAGATTCGGAGTTTAGGACAGGCAGACAGAGCTACGTACGGCTGCGCAAAGTGGCAAACGCGAATGAATACACTCCAGCCCTGGATAAGTAGACTAAGAGGAGGAGGCCGCAACAAAAATCACACAATATGTGTGGCAAAACTTGATGATGCTGTAGAGTTTATGTAGTTTTGAAGATATGGAGGTTGTAGGTTCATATGACCTGTGACCCGTGGTGAAGGAAGCCCCCAGACAGTTGCAGATGGTCCCTGAAAGTGGTTGACGTTGTCCACTGTCGCGGAAGGAAGTGACCAATCAGAGGACACAAAGGTTTAGCTAAGGCTTTCTGGGGAAAGAAGCCTCCCATAACCGTTCTAATCTAACACTTGACGTTCGATGATTAATCGATATAACCGTTGAGTAGTGAATATTGACTTTGAGATTGTTCCTGACCTCAATAGATTCCTTCTAACTTGCAATGTACAAGTTCTGAATCTTATGCATCTGTCCTGCAATAGTCCTTGTTGCTGACGATCACCCGCTACAACACCCATCAGTACCCGCCCAGCCGCTGTCAGTTTTTAGTTTAGACCCCGAGAAGGGCCGTGCCAAGACCGGTTTATCTTCAAAATTTCTTTGAAAAGAGTCAACATTTAAATTAGTTGCCGACTTCGCAATGAGCAAACCAAGGCAATCCATGAATATTGCTTTTTAGTTCAAGAGCCACTATGACTATATCGACATATCGGCCTTGCCCAGAATGGATAGTAAACACTTGAATTATACTAGATTTTGTAGAATAGATCTTGTAGATGTTTTATTGGGTCCGGACTCGGAGGTCGACATCGTGTAAGTGATTCACTGTTCGTGATGGAGACGGCAAGTCACCACCAGGTCGATTAATATCTTTGCTTTTTTTTGTAGAGGATTGAAGATATGACTGTGACTCAACTTCTTCATCTCGAAATATAAAATATCTGTCTTTTCTCTCTTCATCATCCCTTCAATCATTCAAGCTTCACACTCTACATCACTAATCACTCTCCTCTTGCTTTGCTATATCAAGCAACAACACACATAACCAAAACACATTCACATCGACTTCTACATCATGTCAAAAGGCCGTGTTTGTCTGTAAGTATTTGATCTCTACGTCACAAATGTCGCATTAGAACACTTGCTAATCTTTCTTATAGTGCCTACTCTGGAGGTACCTCATCCCAAATTATACTCAATGGGCAGCTTGGAATACTAACTCTACAATCAAGGTCTTGATACCTCCACGATCCTAAAATGGCTCATTCTTGAAGGCTACGAGGTTGTGGTATGTTTGCTCAGACTAGCCTTTGTTTTGCCAACAGCCCTGACAACTGATAGTGTTTCCTTGCCGATGTCGGTCAAGTAGAGGACTTTGATGCCGTTGAGAAGAAGGCTCTCGCTCTTGGAGCTGAGCGCATGATCATTGAAAACCTCCAGAAGGAATTCGTCGAACAAATTGTCTTTCGAGCAATTCAGTGCAATGCCATCTATGAGGATCGATATCTTCTTGGAACTGCTCTTGCTCGACCTGTTATCGCTCGAGCTCAAGTCCGAGTTGCTGAGAAGTACAACTGCAACCTTCTGAGCCATGGTTGCACCGGTAAAGGAGTAAGTCAAACCATCGAACTAAGATGAACCACTGCTAACAAACTACAGAACGAGTATGACAACCCAATCGCGAAAATTAAAGTTGTAACTGACAAATTTCTTTAGCCAAGTTCGTTTCGAGCTCGCCTTCAAGGCTTGCAACCCCTCCATCAAGATCATCGCCCCTTGGCGACTACCCGAATTCTGCGAGAAGTTCCAAGGCCGAAAGGACCTTCTTCAATTCGCTGCCGAGAACAACATTCCTGTCTCATCCACCCCAAAGGCCCCTTGGAGCCAAGACGAGAACCTTGTCCATTGCTCGTACGAGGCTGGTATTCTCGAGGATCCTGACCATACTCCTCCTAAGGATCTTTGGACTCAGACTGTCGATCCTCTTGAGGCACCTGACAAGCCCTACGACTTCACTGTTCATTTCGAGAAGGGTCTGCCTGTCAAGGTTGCTACACCTGACCAGGAGGAGACCGACTCGGTAAAGCTCTTCAAGCTTCTCAACAAGATTGGCCACGACCACGGTGTTGGTCGAATCGACATGTAAGTCTGATCATCGCTGGTACTTAGAAGGAATTGAGCTTACAATTCTTAGTGTCGAGAACCGATTTATCGGACTCAAGAGCCGTGGCTGCTATGACACCCCTGGCTTGACCATTGCTCGTCTTGCCCACCTTGATCTCGAGGGTCTTGTCCTCGACTCAAAGGTCCGCAAACTCCGAGACCAATTTGTGACTGTCGAATGGTCTCAATGCCTCTACAACGGCGTGTACTTCTCCCCTGAGCGTGAGTGGCTCGATGAGGCCATTGTTTCTGCCCAGAAGGGCGTCAATGGCCAAGTCCGCCTCCGAGTGTACAAGGGTCACGTCTATGTCCTCGGACGATCGAGCGAGACCAGCAGCCTCTACTCGCAGGAGGATGCTTCCATGGACAGCCTCGACACCTTCTCTCCTATGGACAGCACTGGTTTCATTGCTATCCAGTCTATCCGATTGGAAAAGTATGGTGCTCAGAAGGCCAAGGATGGCCAGCCTCTCAGCCAGTCTTAGGACTGTGTAACAATACAAGTGTAACAAAATGGGTTGATTTGGCGTTGGAGCAGGAAAAGAGCTCTAAAAGCATGGATGGTTCCGCTTTAAATAGGAAATGAAAATAATTTATTGTTAATTTCGACATCAATATCGTCATGCATGGTGAATGTCCAATCTCCTCATACTATTACTCGGGTATCATATTTTTGCTGTGCTTGGAGGACCACATCTTGGCCCTCAGTCTCGGCGATGAGGTTTAGGGCTGGCACTTCGTCTGCGTCGGTCTCGAGATCTCGAGTGGCGGCGCTCTCTGCTTCCATCTCTGCGTCGTCGATCGTCTCCTTCGCGGTCTTCCCTTCGATGGCTATCGCGATGGCGTCTATGACCGTGTTCCCTGCCCCGATCTCCGTCCCTATCTCTGCGTCTCTCCCTGGGTCGATCTTCATCCTTGTCCTTGCCAGCATCTCGGTCACGACTTCGACTCCTATGTCTGCGATGGCGGCGCTCCCGATCGTGGTCGCGATCGTGACTTCGACTGCGGTGTCGCCTTCTCTCCCGTCTTTCAGAACCATCGTGACGTCTCGAGCGCTCTCGCTTTTCCTTCACAGCCTCTTCCTCAGGAGGCCCACTTGCTGGCCCGACTTTTCGTCTTTCGGGGTCAACCTCTACTGCGTTCGCACCTGAAGAGTTTCGTACAGGCGGTGGCAAGCCCAAAGCTGCTGCAATAGCATCCTCTTCAGCCTCCTTGATTTTGCGCACCTCTTCCTTTCGCGCCTTCTCACGTCGCTCCTCTTCTGTTTCTCCGTTCTCGTCGGGTACCCCATCGTCTTCGGCTTTGGCGTACCAGTTCAAGTCGCGACCCTTTTGCCATCGTCCAACAGGGGCCTTGAGACTGTGGCCAAGATAGTTTTCGCGATGTGAAGAGTTTGCGACTTCATCCCAGCTAAAGTTGACGCCACCTCGTGATCCAGATTTGCGGACACTGGAGAGTAGATCCATGGCGTGATTCGTATACCGGTATTTTGTGTTGTGGTTTTGTTTCTGCGGTATTAGAAAGCGTGCGTTGTCTTGGTGCAGTAATTAAGTGAAGTGAAGGTAGGTGGTTGTAAGCCCGTCGAAATGATGCGCCATGCTACTGGATATGCGCTAAAGCGGAACGCGACCGCTCCCTGTAACACCCCTGGGGGTAGGGAGCGGAACCCCACGTCAATTCGCAGAAGCTCTTTCAACCTCTCGATTCTCCAAACAATCATCACCAAAAACAAACATCACAAAGACAAGCATACATAGGATCAGATTTGCCAGCAAAACTTCTCAAGATGTCCAACCCCAACGATCCCCCTCTCGATGAGATCCAATGGCGCTCCCCCATGGCCATCGCGCAAATGGGCGGCCTACATAACAACACTATACTCTTCTACTTCGCCGAATCGCCATTCTTCGAGCGCACTTCGAATAACGCCGTAGTCTACAATCAAGCGATGAACGTTCCTTCGATGTATCCGGTAATTCAAACGCGCGAAGCTTTCGAAACACATCTCAACACCATGTCGGGTCTTGAATTCAGAGTCGTAGAGGAACCGGCAGAGACTGGTCCCGGAGCTGGTACAGGAGTTTGGGTAATTCGCAAGCAGACGAGGCGAAAGTCCGCATATGAAGACGACGAGATTACGGTGCATGCCTCATACTTTGTCGTGGGAGAGAACATCTACATGGCACCAACCTTGAGTGGCATCCTCGCAGCACGAATTGTAAGTTGCTTCGCGCATGTGGTTTAGGGATACTTTCTAACCTGTTGTTTAGATGACGATATCTTCATGCATTACCAATGCTGTGACAGCCGCCGAATCTGTGCGCAAATGGGGACCATCAAGGGGAAACTACTACGAGCTTCCAGCGGCCAAGACATCAACAAAGGCAAAGGTCCAGGATTCTGCTGCGGCAACACCAATGCCCGTGTCGGACGAATCCAGCAAAGCCCCAGTCGCTCCTATATCAGTTACGCAGAAGGATGATGATGCGGCATTGGCTAAATTGGCGGAAGAGTCGTTCATGATCCATATGAAATACGGCGGCGAATACATTGACGAGAACCCTATTACTGGTCGTCCAGGAGAATTCCACCTCACTACGACAGGCCGAAAACCACCACAACTTGTGAAAAAGGACAGTCCTGTGAGGAGCATTACTGCCCCAACAATCAACACCAAGGTTGAAGACAAGAAGGAAAGCAAGGAGAAGACACCTAGGTCAGCAGCTCCTAAACCCAAGCGCAAGAAGAGCAAAATGGCGAACTCGACCAGCACACCGGCCGCATCTTGAGGTCGAGGTTATCAGGGACGAAAGGGGCGTTCAATGGGGAAATAGACATCGTGATTCTTGCTGTTCTCGCTTTATACACTAGTTTGATACCCAATACAGTATGACTTTCACATGCCTATTGTCATCCAGCATATGCTTAACTGATAGTATATCCACCATCGACCGACAATGCAGTCCCTTGGATGAAGGAAGCCTTTGGGCTGGATAGGAACAAGACGGCGTCTGCTACTTCTTGCGGCGTACCTTTTCGTTTCATGACAGCAGTTTGTACAGCAGGGTCATCTTCTGGGACATCAGCTGTCATAGGCGTTCTAAGATTTTAAGTATTCGCAATGAGCTAACATGAAGAGGATCAACTTACTCAATCACTCCAGGACACACGCAGTTGACTCGAATTTGATGCTTCGCATACTGGCATACATCAGTATACTGCTCGAGAGAACAAACAACAGTCAAACTTACATCGATCGCATCGCTTCTCGTCAAGCTGATAATGGCCGCTTTTGAAGCACTATAGACCGCTACCCAATGGTCAGCATCTCATTAAACTTGAAAAGTGGACATACTTACGGGTTTCTGGCTTTCCAACAAGGCCGAGGTTACTTCCCACGTTCACAATCGACCCTCTGAATCCAGGCCGTCCATCATGAGTGACACCAAGATCTTGGGCCGACATATGGTTGAGCTCCTCGCGCGCACAAAGCCATAGTCCTCGAAAGTTGGTATGCATAACATGATCGAACTCCGCAGTAGTCACATTATGACTTGGCTTTGTAGGACCGTAGATACCTGGCCTCTCAGTTAACTGGACGTAAGAAGAGATGTAGAACATACCAGCACAGTTAACAGCATAATCAATACGGCCAAATTGAGCGATTGCAAGACCCATGTTCTTGAAAACTTGATCTGCATCGAGGTTATCCGTCTCAAAGAGGTGAACCTCTGCATTTTCGGCTACACTCTCGATAGCGTTTTTTGTTTCAGTGAGGCCGTTTCCATCCTTGTCGAACAGAGCGAGCTTGCGACATCCTTCTACGGCAAAAGAGATGGCGATTTGACGCCCAATGCCTTGGATCACATGGTTAAAAGACTGGGTACAGAGGTTGCCAGTTGTAGGTTTACTATACCGGATGAAGCACCTGTGACCAGAGCAACGCCAGGAAACAGAGTATTCGATGTTGCCATGATCGATAGCAAAAGATATAAATGGTATGTATATACTGTGTTCAATTCAAGAACCAAATACTGAATGTAATCTTTCGTGCTGAAGACAAAGTCTCCATCAGGTTATATAAACATGATGCTTGTATGATGACGTCGAGCTCTCACACCACCATAAAGTAACTTCAGCATTGTCAAATATCGACTCACGGAGTCTTGAAGAACCATCTTCTCTACCATCTTCCTTAGAGAGCTTTTTAAGTATAAGAATTGCACGCAAATTTAGAGGTAGGTCGTGAACCGAATCCAATTATCTAATTTATCATCTCTTATGCTAGAACTGGCCTAACCTTTGGTCTTTTATCAACTCCCAGGCTGTAAATGGCCCGACATTGTCTGAATATACACATCTATTGCACAACCCAGCCCTGACCGGGCACTCTCTTTTGCTTCACTGTCTTGCTAGGCAGAGCCCATCCTTGACCGCCTGTACCCTCCGCCCTCAAAGAAGGAACGACAACGCACTCTCTCATCGCCGAACCATCAGCTGCAACGAATGACTTGAGTTCCTTCATTGGCTTGCTGTAAGTGATGAGAGGTGTGCCCTTTGCCAGATTAGACAAAACACCACCCGACACATCTGTGAGGGCGTGCATTCTAGTCTTGGGTCGCTTTGTCGTGTCAACTAGCTGTGTAGCCTTTTGAAGCTGAGAGTAGACGATGTAATCGGGACACTCCCGCATGCTGATATGGGCCAGGGGTGATGTGGGATGAATGTACACCGCACGATCGCTCTCAACCTCCTCACCAGTGTGAATAGGCATCAAGGGAACGTATGGAATGTCGATAGATCGACGCGGCGCACGGTACTGCTCAGGAGGGTTCGGTGTGAGATCAGCTCGAATGGCGACCTGATCCACGAAGCCTGCTGCGACCATCTGCTTGAGCGCAGCTACCTGCTTGGGTGATGGACGATCCAGCTTATCCTGATACCTCAGGTTGGCGAAAGCAGGTATATTGTTTTTCAGTAATTCCGTGATTTGTTGACGCAGTTGCTGAACTTCCTTGAGCACCTTGTACCGAACAAAATGGTCCTCGCACCATTGCTCTGTAGGCTCGTGAGCAAATTCCGCCACAACTTGCAAAACCTTGATAGCATCGGACTTGTCGTCCATGCTGCAAAACTCGTAATGCACTGTGTTGAACTGCTTTCGAATAGCTGCCTGGCGACTCTCTGCTTGAACGTCCGCTGTTGTGCGAATTTCGTGGTCTTCCTTGGCTGCAAGTTGTGGAATGGCTTGAGCTTCAGGAAGGAAGATTTCTGCCACTGATAGACCAGCAACTAAAGCGATTGTGTAATGAATGCAATCAAGGGTGTGTCCGACCAACAGGATGCGACTGTAGCGGGGAGACAGAGGGAACATAGACATAAGCTGACCAACAGGAGTGACCTTTCCAGTATCAGAGACAGCAGTCAGGTACGTCAAAAGCTTCTCAGCCTTTGCGAGAGCCCGTCGATCCGGTGGTGTAGGGAATGGGAAGTTGACGACATGCTGTAGGTTCATGGCCTTAAGCTGGAGCACAATACCCTCAAGGGGCATTCGCAACAACTCGGGATCCATGAACTCTGGGAAGTCTCTCTCGTAAACTGCAGACGAGTATAGTCTGTAGCAATGACCAGGACCGGTACGACCAGCACGACCTGCACGTTGGTTTGCGCTGGCCTTGCTGATCCAGCCAATGCCATAGCTCTGAACACCGCTTAGACGATCGTAGTGTCGCTCCTTGGATCGTCCGCAGTCGAAAACATAACGAATACCAGGAATGGTCAAACTAGTTTCCGCAACGTTGGTAGCCAGGACAATGTTTCGTGTGCCTTCGGGCGCGGGCTCAAAGACTCGCATTTGTTCTCTTGTTGGCAGCAGAGAGTAGAGAGGCAGCACTCGCATCTTGAGAGGTGCAGCTTCTTGATCTTCCTCAATCTGGAACTCATCCTCATCCTCCCCATTCTCGTCGTCTGTGAGTATCTCGTCAAAGTCATCACCATCTTCATCACCGTTGCGATCATCCACATCTCCAAATTCGATATCCTCGACTTCCAAAGGAGCGTCATTAGCAGATATTTGTACCTTAGGTCCGCCGACAGATTTGGGACCACCGAACGCCGTCTTGAGTTGCTTGCTGAGCTGCAAGATTTCGTTACGACCAGTCAAGAACACCAGGAAGTCACCAGGCGGTAGCTTCTTGTGACCTCTGCTAATCTTTTGGAACGCCTCCTCGACATAATCGTGCCTTGTCTTTCGAGCAAAATGCATGGTCACGGGATGTTGTCGGCCCTCAACTTCGAGGACGGGTGGCGGGGTCGCGAAAAGGGTAGGATTCATGGTGAGATCCTCAATTCGCAGCGTGGCCGACATGATAATGAGCTTCAAGGGCTTATGGGTAGGATCCTCCGCCGCAAGCTCTGTTCGAAGCTTAACAATTCGGCTGAGCATACCAATGAGAATATCAGTGTTGGAGCTTCTTTCGTGAGCTTCGTCGATGACGATCGCGGAGTACTTCATAAGCTTAAAGTCCTGCGCAACCTCGCGCATCAAAACACCATCAGTCATGAACTTCATGGATGTCTTGGGGTTAACGGTGCCCTCGAAACGGATCTGGTAGGCCACCGCCTCAGACTTGTCTCCAAGTTCCTCAGCAACTCGCTTCGACATACTGACCGCAGCGACTCGACGGGGTTGCGTGATACCGATCAATCCAGGTGTAGGCCCATCAGGAGCACCATATCCTGACTCGTAAAGGAATTGCGGAATCTGAGTAGTCTTTCCGGAACCTGTAGCACCACACACAACAACGATGTTATGGTTATGGATCGCTTCCATTATCCTTTGTTCCTCCGAAACGACAGGAAGCTTGAGACGAGCTTCCTGGACCTCTGGGCTTCTAGTAACCGAAACGCTGTACACCTTTCGGTCGGTATTTTTTGTTGTTTGCAGTTCCAAGGGCAGAGGATCTTGCTCGGGTGCTCGAGGGACAAAATTGTCTGGTTTGGGGATCTCTAGGTTGGTCGTTGTGCCTTCGATCGATTGGTATCCGAGAGCCTGGTTTCGAGCCTGATGCGCCCATGCCTTGAAAGCCGATGATCTTTGCGCTTTGTTCTCAACATCCTCCATATCTTCGTCAGAGTCATCGTCTGATTCCTCCTCGGAGCCTTCGCTGGACTCTTCACTCTCGCTATCCGCTTCGTCATCGTCTTCGCCTTGTGTTTTCTTCTCGGCCTCGTCGTCGCTGAATCCATTCCACTCGTCGCTGTCGCTGCCACTGCCACTGCCACTGCCATCGCTATCGCCTGCGTCTTCAGACTCGGGTTGGGGTGCCTCAACGGGAGCGATTGAGAATTTCGACTTCACTCCACCACGCTTCTGTCGCTTTTTGATAACGGGTTTTCCTTCTTCGTCAACGTCCAATGGACGCTTGAGACCTGAACCGAGCGATGCGCTGATCGCCAGTTTCGATTCACTAGAGAACTCCTGAGGAGCGGGCGCGAGTGTAGATGTTGTCGCTTTCGCTGGTTCTGTTGCCTTGCTTTTTGTTGGGTTTGACTCGTCCTCCGATGCGTCGCTGTCGTCGTTCGAATCGTCTTCATCCATCTCCCCTTCCTTCCTCTTTTGGAAGAGAATTTTCGCCCTGTCCTCGCTACCCTCCAAACCGGCCTTCTCCTCTCTCATGGCCCTTCGTAGAGCCTCCTTCTTGGTTTCGCGACCTTGGCCCATGACACGACTGCTCGAAAACAAGCTGGTGTCGACTTGTTCCTCAGCAAGCTTGGCCATCAGCTCGCGGTTCTCGTCCTTGCGCAGCTTGCCCTCAATGTACTTTTCCAAGCGCTTGGCCTTCTTTCCGCTCATCTTCTGGCCCTCTTGACGAAGCTCTGCCTTCAGCTGAGCCCTCTTGGCCTCGCGCTCGGCCTTCGATGAAGGAAGCAGCTCATCCTGGTTGGAGTCTACTATTTCATGTTGGGCATTCTCTTTTGCTCGCTCACGAGCTAGCACCTTGTGCTTTCTTTGGCGAGGAACGTATTTCGCCATGGCTCTGAGTAAGGATATGAGATACCTTGTTCCTTTCGCAAACACAGGCTCGATAATAATTTTTGGGCAAAAGTGTCGATCTGCCGTTGAACACCGCCAGAATCTGCGTTCACTTTTGGCATAGCGCGGGGCCCGGTGGGGCGATCTAGTGTTAGTCTTTGAGTCTAGTCTTTTTTGGTGTTCCATTGCTTTCAAGACTTGAGGCGTCAAAAACGAATAGTCTGGTACTGGTCTAAGTCGACATAGAAAAATTAAGCTATGTTGTTTTATATGTTCTTGGAATTGAACTATATGGAAGGGAATAACGGAGAAATATACCTCATGAGTCAGAGTTCGATCAACTTACTGACTTGGCTACCTAGCCACATTGAATTCATGCCCATCAGGTCCGGCAAACTTCAGTTAAGCACCCTTGATATTCCTCCACTAGGTATTGACGGCCCAATAATGGGAGTAAAATCTACAACGCAGAAGTCTATTATCTTGAATGGCAATGTTGATTATTGTTGCCTGATTTGGAGGCATCACTATGAGTCAAAGACAGCGATTTCTTACCTTCCTCGGGTTCAAAGATTAATGGTGTCAAAAGCCAGCCTAAACTCTCATAAAGTGAGCCAACGATTTCGTCCGCCCAGCTCCATTTTTCTCACCACCAGACAGCGCCGACTACACATGTGCTACGTAAACCCACAAGCATCACCACAAGCTCAACACTTCCACCACCAATAACAATGACTTCAATTGATGTCAGACCAGATCAATTCCCCGCTGGGTCTCGAGAAGTCTCAGGTCAAATAAACGGCGTTACCACCGAGATTTCCTCTACAAGCTTCGCAGACAAGATCCTAATCACCATCTCTCAAGAAGGCCGTCTTTCACAATGGGTATATACCCTTGCCACTACCACATGACTTTATACTAACATGATGATCTAGATTCAAGTCCCTTTGACAGGATCTTCATCTGGAGTGGTTGAAATGAACCTACCAAGTTCGAACAAGGGTCTTCTCCCCTCAACACATCTCACGCCAACGACGCTTTTTGGAGGCGGGGGTGAGGAGCGTGAGACTCTGGGGCAACTTTATGCGGCGCAAATTGCAAGTCAAATATGTCTACGGTCACTGGAGGATCGACGAATCCTTGTTCTGGGTCTTGGTCTTGCTAAAACCGATCTCGAGCGTGAGGCTTTCTTTGATCTTTTGGAACTTGTCCAGAAGGTTCTGTGAGCTTAATGGGATTACGAACACTGTTATGTCAAAAAACATCAATTATGTTATCGCACCAAGGATTAGCCTCGGTGTGTATCATTCGACATGAAGCTTAGGGAAGAAGCGATGCGTCACCAAAGCATGTCCAGCTGAATCTATAGACATGGCATTTAGCCAATATCATGTCCACCTTATGGGTTTAACGGTCGGTCAACGCTGGGAAAACGTTCATGTATTCATTAAGATGCACCATCAACTACAAATCCTAGCGCTGATTTGTTTCCAGACAATGTCCTGAACATTGCCTGCATATCTACTGTGCGCCCAAGGCAACATCGTTACCAAGCATCCTGCTTTTAAAACATGCTTGACTCGCGAGCGTAGGACCGGCGACGACAACCCGACCTTTGTAGCCAGTGCAGCGACCAGATTGTCAGCAGTCACGATAAGGGAAAGGTGGCGGCAAATGACAGCCACTCGTATACGGCAATGATAATTCATCGTTCATCCAAATCCTTCACCTAGCGCTTTTAACAATAACTTATATGCTACTGTACAGCCATATCTCATGATGTTGGTGCCCGGTTCTTACGATCCCTGGTTGGAAGTTAGTGTCTGATTTGAAAATTCATAAAAATCGCAACTCACGTGCTGAGCCTTCTAGAAAGTTGCTGCAACTTTTTGTCGTTGTTGGCATCTTCAGCGGCCTTCTGGAGCGCGTTGTCTCGCTCCTCCTCTTGGTGCTTGACCACTTCCTCGTGGGTAGGTGGCAGTCTCTCGTTCTGCAAATCGACCTTTCGAGCATCTTCGAACCCATTGATAGCGTTCTTGAGACCCTCGGCACCGAGCATGAGGGTTCCGGCGGGCAACCTTCCACCAGAAACAGTCTTGAGTTCTGTGACCTTCTCTGACTCCTCGCGAAGCACTTGAAATACACGAGACAGTCTACCGATCGCGAGAATCTTGTTCTTGATGGCTCTACGTCGCACCTCAATAGACTCGGGATCATTGGAGAGAGCTGGTGAGGCGGGTCCAGGGGAGGTTGTAGTGGGTGTCTCCTCCTTGAGCTCCTCCTCAGAGCATGTGCTGAGAATGGCAAGGAGCATGTCGGTGATCTTCTCTCCGACGAAAGGCAGAGACCAGGTAAAGACATCCATAAAGTTGGGGAGCCAGTAAGGATGAGGAGTGCAGTTGAACTGCCGGATGTTCATAACGTTGTTCTCGTATTTGAGGACGGCAGCCTTGTTGTTGTAAACGTCGAGATAGTTGGGGGCGGAGAAGATGGTCATAACACTAGGGAAGCCCGTAGTTCGCGTCTTGCGATACATGCGGTAGCCAGCATCTTGGGCCTCGTGGGCTCGAATGATCGAGAGAAGGTTGTTCTTTTCCAAAAAGGCACAGGCGGCAGGGTAAGAGAAGAAGTATGAGCATCCTCGGACGTGGTTGTGCAAGAAATAGTCGCTGGTCTTTTCCTGGCCAAAGTCTTCAAGAGGATCAGCCCAAAGGATATCACACATAAGACCTTGAGTAGGGGGCTCGCGGAAACGGTCAACCTAGGGAATGTTAGCTCTATAAGTTCAGCAAGTAAAGTTTCATCGCGACGCACGCTCTTGAGATCGTCCAGAGTGTGCAACTCGGGACTCAATCCACCGTGAATGCAGAGGAACTGCTTGTTCATAACAGCCGCCAGAGGGAGGGCACAGAAAGATTCCATGCAGGCCTCGTAGATGGTCTCGGAGTACTTGTGCTTGCATTCAAGCTTGAAGGTAAAGTAATCGGTTAAGTGGCGACATTCGTGGTTTCCTCGCAGCAGCCAAAGCGTCTTGGGGTAGTGAATCTTGAGACACCAGAGGTAGAGAACACATTCTATGCTGAAATAACCTCGGTCGACGTAGTCACCAAGAAAGAGATATCGGGTCTCGGCGGGGTCGCCACCAACTTCGAAAAGCTTCATGAGATCGTAGTACTGTCCGTGAACATCACCACAAACGGTGATGGGAGCGTCCATCTCCAGGAGGTTGGGCTCGGCGCGCAGAAGCTCAGTTCCCTTCTTCAGAATCCAAAGAGCCTGCTCCTCGGTGAGACGACCTTCGCGGTAGAAATGCTGCTTGAGGAACTGAAGGTTGGGCTTGGATTGAGTCTCATCCTCGAAGAATTGTTCGTCGGTAGGCTTGTACATGGCAGGAGCTTGGACATCTGTGAAAATGCGAGATCCAGGTCAGTCAAAGATATTCGAGAGCCGATTTTCGAGGGTTTGGTGGCCATATTCATCCATCATGCCGCAAAGACTAGCTGAATGACAGCTGCAGGTACTGCGGGCAAATCTGCGATCAAAGCGTTGTCGATGATGATGGCGGGGTCGTGGACAGCGACAACTGGAGGGGGGTCAAACGAACCTTTGCACACACGCTCCATGGTGTTGACCTGAGTGTTGTCCTCCATGGTGTGAATAGTGAAATCGATCTCGGGGACCGGCTTCTTCTCCTGGATTGCGCGAATGGCATTGTCGACCTGGACGTTGCGTCGCTCCTCAGCAGAGGGCGCAGTGTTGGCCTCGCCTTCAGAGTCCATGGTGGGCGGCTAGGGGCGACGAGAAAGAAGAACGGACGGCGGTGAAGCTCAAGATCGATAGAGAAGATTTATGTCGAAACTTGTTATAATAGAATATGCGGTGCGATTATATGTATGTAGAGAGGACGGTTCTGGGTAGAAGCCGCGGATGGGTTTGTAGGAAGACGGTTCCTCTACCAGGATAGGGCTGATCAGAAAGAGCGGGAAGGCAGGTTGGGAGGTAAGAACTCTCAGTAGCCACTGCTAGTTGGGAGATGACGGGGTGAGCAATTCTAATGGAGGGCCAGACAGACGCCAGACCAGGCTCAAGTACCCTGGGAGGGAGCTCAAGTACCGGGGCAGGCTTTGACAAGTGGAGATGTACCAGTAAATGCGGGCAGGGTACTTTTCGGGCGTCCAGCTTTGAGGTTCTCGAATCTGACAGCTCCTCACTTTTATTCCGATGACAGGTTCTGCTTTGGCCTCGGTCCAATGAAACGATGGGAGTTTTAAGGTAGGAGTCTCAACTCGCGTGGTCATCATTCATTCACTGATCCATTGTCTCTCATTTACAGCACATTTTTACTGCGCTGCTGCGCAAAGTCGAACACCCTCCACTACAGTCCAGCTCGGGAAACCCTCCGTAATAAGGGACTAATCCCCTGAATTTGTCCTAAAAAAGATCCATCCGCCTGAAAATAGAATGGGCCTCATCAACGATACATGGATAAACTTTTAAATGGTGAAGCGGTGAAACCAGCGATATTATGGCTCTTATCGTATTCTAACCATTTGCGCATTATCAATCTTACCTTGAAGCTTCTTGTCCCCTCTTATTAATGAACTGCCAGTTCATCTAGCATGACCAATGGGATCAGTTCAGTATCAGGAATCTGACTTTTGGCGATCGTTAACGAGGATCTATTTCATTGCATTCCATACCCCACGTTCATCTGACAGGCGAATTGGTGTACGCCATGTAGCCCAGATCAGTATTCTGATACCCTTCTCGAGGTTTTTGCTGCCAAGTTCACGTTGCCAAGCTGATGCTGACGCAAATTCGACGTTCTCTCCAAATTCGTATCTGAGAGAAACCTTCAATATCTAATTCCTAAACTCCAATACTCTAATGCATGTCCTATATGAAATTTCTAAGGCAAACAGTAACCTCCATCAACAATCAAGTCATGACCAGTCGTGAAAGAAGAGGCGTCACTAGCCAGGTACAAATAAGCTCCCTTGAGCTCTCCAGTCTCGCCCTGACGTCTATGTATGATGTTAGCCAAGAGCTACCAATCCGGAATCAGCTTGTACTTACCCGGCGACTGTCTTCTCCTTGAAGACGTTCTTGACATCCTCACTGATAAAGTCTGTGATCTCGGTCTTGATGTATCCTGGAGATACGGTGTTGACGCGGGCAAAGCCTGTCCATTCGACGGCGATAGATTTGCCTGGATCAAGTCAGCTACATTGTACTGATTAGTTCCACGGATTGGAGGGGCTTACAGAAGTGGATGACGGCAGCCTTTGAAGCGTTGTACACAGCTTGTAGCTGAGGGATGTTCACAATGCTTCCGCTCATCGACGCTGTAGCAATGAAGCTACCCGCCACAAAGTTTGTCAACTTCTTTCCATCCAATGTCGTGCCCTCCTTCTTCTGTCTTCGGAAATGAGCTCCTGCACTTCTGGCGCACCACATGACGCCGTCAACGTTGACCTCCATAACACGACGGGCTCTCTCCGTAGGGCCATCAATGAAAGTGCCGTCTTCCCAGGCGATACCGCTGTTAGCCACAAAAACATCTAGACGGCCGTTGAACTCGGCAACAATGTCGTTAATGGCCTGCTCAACCGCCTCGGGAGAGATGACGTTGACTTGGAATGCTCGGCCTGGTTTTATGTAAGCTGTGTTCGATATCAAGTTGAAAAGTGGACTTACACTTGACGCCATATGTTTTCTCAATGTTCTCGGCTTCAGCTATGGCCTGCTTGTTGCTATTGTACCAGATAGCCACATTGGCCCCAGCCTCAGCGAGTGCGTGAGCGATAGCCAGACCAATACCTGCACCTGCACCAGAGACGATAGCTGTACGGCCCTTCAGAGAGAAGAGCGACATGACTCTAGAGGTATCGGGGATACCCAAGTTGTCATGGTGGAATGCGCCTGTTTTTGAATCCATGATGACTTCGATATGAGTTGAATTATGAGAATGAGAGTTGATGGTTTGACAACGATATAGATAGGTAGGCAGAAAGGTTTAAGTCATCAAGGTTGTGGTTCTGGACAGCTTGACGCTTTATATAATATCCGCCAGCCTTTACCCAAACACCAGACACCTCGGCTATCATACCAATAGATTACATAGCTATCCTCACATTTGCGACATTTACTGTATCAACGAACCAAACATGTCTGTTGGCCCTGGTCCCTTCCAGTCGGGTGGAACCCCAAGTTGACAACATAATGCCTAGTATCTTGAGTTCGCAAGGCACAACAGACTTGTCTCCACCAACTGGCGCGCCTATCAAGATGCGTTGTTCCAAGATTTAGCCGTCTTGTCAGACTTGAAATCTGGTCTGTGTATAACGGTTTGACTTCGTGGAGAAATGCCTCTGGCAGGGTCCGGGTGTTTACATGGTGCAGTGCTTCGGCCCCGTTGCTGTCCACTCAGCTCCGGCTAATTCGGGCCCCAAGTCTCTCCGAGCCGAGTTCATCAAGCGCCGAACCCCCCCGGGGATGGGTTTGAATTCATCGCGGGGTAAATATGCCCCGCCATTTCTCAATGACATCCATGGTCAGTGACTTGGGCTGGCGACTATGGCGGTTAAGTATATGCAGGTGTTGCAAAAGTCTAGTGCTGTACATCTCCTTGGATCATAGCTTTCAGGATGTCACAACACGAGTACGAGAGTTTAAACAGGATATCTTTTTTATATCTGAGTCTTATGCAACTCCAAGACACCAGTGTATTTACCAAATAGTATTCACTATTCGTCGTCGTCGTCGTTGTCTCTCTGAGAGACTTCTCGGACGTTTCACAGTAGCCGTCCTGTCAAGGTCCGGCTTATTTAAAGTATCCACGATGACCGTCGTCGTCGCCGCCACCGTCGTCTCGAGATCCGGCTTCTCAGAGGATTCAGGATGACTGTTGTCTTGAGGTTTGGCGTTCTTGGAAGACTTAGGATGGCGGACGTATCGGCGTTTCTTTTTGTCATTGACGCCATGGGCAGCGTTGTTGACACTTGCAACTTGGTTAAGGTTGTGCCTGATAACTCGCTCGTGGTCAAAGTTTGTCTCGCGATAACGAGAAATGAAGTCATCACGGGGTACTATACAGAGTCAGAGACCAGTGGTTTCTCTGGGCTTATGAGAACAACTTACTGTAGGCTCCGCATATGCGGCGGTTACCCTTAAACGCACTTCGTCCATGCATCACTCGCCAGTTGTCGAAAACTGAACAATAGGGTTAGTACTGATTCTCAACGAAAACATCATTTTATAGTACTTACTGACGATGGTGCCGGGTGTCAACTTGAACCAAAACTCGCTACTTTCTCGGCGTATGATCTCATTCCACTTCCGAGCTGCATCGTACCAAACCTCTGCGTGCGCGGGATGCACAACCCCACGATCATCGTTGTTCCAACGAATGCGGCGCAGCTTATTGGCGGCATTCATTTCGATGACTGGATAGACGCCATTCGGCGCAATAGCAATTCCCTCGTTTCCGCTAGCATGCCAAGGAATCTGGGCTCTTTGTAGGACACCGAACGCTTCCGGGAATTCACGTTTCAACTTGATAGCAGCCTGGAAACCATCCACAAGCAGAGACTCGCCACCTAGAGGCTCGTCTGGGTTGTGATCGGGAGGAGCGTCGTGCGAGAGACAGTGGAAGGCTTGTAGGCCAGCAGGCTCGGTAAAGTAAGTAGTGTCTGTATGAGCTGGAAGAGCTATGTTCGTGTACGCAGTGTCAGCCAGGGCAAGATCAGGAACAAAGTCGTAGAATCCTCCGTAGTGGGTATTGCGAATTGGGCCGATTTTCTCTAAAAACTCTTTTGTTGCTTCAGGAGTCGGTTCGGTGTTTTCGACGAGACAGAAGCCATGAATCCACTATGTTTGTAAGATTCCAAGTAATATATTGTGCACGTGTCGGAGTCGAGATTAACTCACGATCTTTCTGGTCAGCTCAGCCATGATATTGTCAGCTCCCAGTCTGTAGTCAACTTTCGGGGGGTTCTCTGCGATCTCGCTGCCCCAAAATCTGTGATGACTTGGCAATTTGTCAGTGACCGAAGACAACAGGTATACCATAGTCCAGAACCTACTCTTCTACTCTCAACTGCCTGCTGTATCCTTTAGTGAACCAGCAGTCGAGCCATTCCCAGGGATGAATGCTCTTGTGTTCGTCCTCCCCTAGCATATATCAGCTGTGTGAACAAAACAAATCTCCATCAACAGGGTTATGCATACACAAGACTTCGAGATGTGTCTCATGATGCTCAAACGATCGAGGCTTGATATCTTGCGGCAGCTGTCTAGCGGTTAGCTACTGTACGTCCGTCCGTCCAACAGCCGTTAAGTTTTGACTAACCGTGAAAGTATCGAAATTTCTTTGCCTTGTACTCTGATTGACGCATTCGCTGCATTGGCAGTTGTCGCTAAACGTATAAGCGCTCCTGGCTCATCACATCGAGCGATTAAGCGCGATTGCTAACTTACCGCAACCACAAACTAGGACTACACCACCAGAGAGAAAGGCCAAGGGTCAGCAACCAAGATCTGAGAAGCGCGATTCAACGGAACATGGGACTCACACCCTGTGTTGCTCGGGAGTAGAGTCCAGGGCATCAGTCTGTTTTTCAATCTCGATATGGTTTGGAGCTGATGAGCGAGCTTTTAGAGTGAATGAGACTGAATTCCATCTTGCGAATGTTGTATTTGGTGCTGAAGGTGAGGTTAGACCAAAAGCATTCTGCTGTTGCATGCATCTGGCGGCTAAGGAAGCACGTCGACTCGACAGTCCAGAACTAGTGATAAGAGTATGAGAAGCTGAATAGGACACTGATTATTTTGGGGGCGATAATTACACTGAGCAACGAGCAAGCCGACTAAGCATTGTGAGTGATGAATTCACTTCAAAAGTAACAAAAGTTCAATCCAAGATTTTGTTAAAGACACCGTAAGTCAGGTACATAGAATAGATGCTTGAAGTTGAATGGGTCATGGCTTGAATTCACTCTATACCTCGGCAAATGGTCGGCCGAGAATCGCATGACGATAAATGGAAGGAATCCCCCGGTGAGTCCCCGTTCTTGCCAATTGACAAAGAAAAGGGCGTTTGACTAAAGGCACTTGGAAGGTGCCCAACGCACGTGCATAATTTTAGTCAGGGGTAATATCTCAATTGGAGGATTGAGAGTAAAGTAACACATAATCAGTTCCTTTCTCTATTGATCAATTATTTTTATGGCGAGTCTGTTCTTGGTGCTCGAGACTGAACAAAGAAGATAAACTGCCAAGTTCATTTATTACTGGGATAACCATGTCCAGACTGTGGGGCATACATTAAGCTTGGATCACTGGACGCTACTCCTTCCCCATAGCTCCAACTCTCCAAGCTCTCTTTCGTGATGCTAATTTTGTACTTTCTTTGACTTCTCAATACTACGCAAACAGTTGAGGTAGTATCAAGTGATATGCTGCATTCCATTAACCAGTGTCAATCGAACGCAAGGTATTCAACTCATCATCAATTCAACGGCCAAACTGTGACTGCCATGTCGTGTCGAGACCACTATCTTCGGCTCTCTATTCCTTGAATGGATGTATCCCCAAAGGTAGAAGCCCAATATCTCGACCCAAGGCATCTTCCATAATCTGTTTCGTTTCGACTCAATCAAGTCTTGGCCTCGACCTCGAAACCAACATCGCGGCCAAGTGGCTGTCTCGCCTTCCAATAGCGCGTCTCTCCCCCACTTGTATAAGCGCTGACCTTTTTAACCTGCATTCTGCGTCTCTTTGATCCTCCATGTTTCGACCTCGCTACCGAAGCTTTGGGTTCCTCCAGGGGTCTTGTCGCGCCCGCGGTTAGGATGCCTTCATGATTGGCGTCGCCAGGCGATCGGACCCCCTTGCTCTCGAGGCTGACTTGGTTGTTGCTTACAGGTAAAACATAGCAGAACCAACACTCAAGAAAAGATCCATGTAGGGCAGGACTAACAATGGAAACTCTTGGTGCAGGCATGGTATTGGTATAGTTCTTTCACCTCTCGCTCATTCCTTTTATCATTAAGAACCGCTGCACGGCGTCTGCACGAAGCGCCTCGCCTTCATTTCTACCTGTTGTTCTCCCCTCTCTTTCTATTCAGTACAGGCTACTGTCATTATTTCCAGTCTTCCATGTAGACTTGTCATGGCTTTCTCTGTACAGCCTCACGAGGGACATCTCCTCAGGATCTTCCTTGTGTTGGTTTCGTTTCTACTTACTCCAGTGAGCCCTGCTGCTGTCGAGTCCAATATCAGAGTCTTCTCCATTGAGGAACCGGACAGTCCCCGAGAAGTCTCGCCATCTTTTATGGAATTTCCATCACAACACCAAGAGCGAGATGGATCATGCCCCATATCTGGAGATCATTGGTGTGGTAACGAACTGCCCGGGGACTTCTGTTGTTCTTCCGATTCCGTTTGCAAGGTCCTTGCTGCAAACACAACCACTCTATGCTGCCCAAAGAATTCGAAAGGAGAATGCGAGGTCATCTTGCCTATAACCTGCCAAATCGAAAGGCAAAATCCTTTGACAAACCCATCAGCGGAGGTCAAGTCATTAGCACTTAATCAAGAACTAAAACGATGCGGAACCAAAAGCGGGAGCAAGAGATGCTGTCCCTTTGGATATAGTTGCAGAGGCGACAAGGAGTGCGTCCTTGACAAAGACCAGGACGAGAGTTACGCCTTCCTTCTACCTGTACCCAAGTATTCAACATCATCTCCAGTAACATCATCTCCGGCAGCAACATCCACGGCTGCATCCTCAGTCACATCTGATATTCTTGCAGTTGAAACATCAGAAGCCCCCGATAGGATCGCGCAACCACCAGTAGCTAGTGCCACAGACCCCAGCAACGAGTCAGCTACCCCAGACGATGAAGAAGAAGAGGAGAAGAAGAGTGGTGGCATTGGTCCAACAGGGATAGTGACTGCGAGCACTGTTGCTGGCGTCTGCTGCCTTGCAGGAATAGGAATATTTGTATGGATGAAGTGGTTCCGGAAGAAGAGAACCGACGACACTCCCAACATGTCACTTGCGCGAGAGTCATGGGGCTATTTCTCCCACAGAAGCTCTCCATCAACTCGCCATCTTCATCTCGCTCGTGGTCCTGATGACAAGTTCATCGTCACGCCTACCACAGCTGGGTTCACACCCTCTTTCCCACCACTTGACCCGATAGTGGAAGAGAATAACAGCCCTGTAGAGCTTCCTGCCACTCCAGTGTCGCTCTGCATGTGGTCCGGTATCGAGGATGCATCTGTGGAGGAGCCAAAGTTGGCATATGTTGTCCCAGCAGCAAAACAACAGACTTGAGATATCTGAGACGGGCTTAAAACTTTATGATTGTTATGAAACGAAACATGCGAAACGCTTTTCTTGTTGTATATATTTCTTCTTTGGCAATGGTAATGCCCACGTTTGATCATGATTATGAGGCAGTTATAGTGGGCGGAAGATAGTCGCTGGCGTTGATGAGCGTAGACCTTCTTTGCGAATTCTAATGCAATATTCCATTTGATCATTGATTATTGGGTTTTTGAATCACTGTGAAATACGGTTAGATAATCATCTTTAAGAAGTGCTTTGAAGATCGATGAATGTTCTGTAAATTTCTGGGGTCCGTGAATAGAAAGCTTTATAGTTGCCAAGGCTTATGATACAGGCACAGTACAGTGCTTGGTATGAAACAGAAGCAATTAACACTGTCTGATAGGCAATCAATTTGATGATGATGTTGGTTGAATTTCAACAAATAATTCCAACGGCATCTTCTCACTGTCTATTGCCACTTGATTTGTCAAGTTTTTTGATCGATTCACTGCAGAAGCACTATAATATAGACTTGCGATTACCCCTTTGCTCTTATACTGGTCTTCAGGCCAATCCACTAAACTCCTTCCCTTGCTTTGCCCTAACATTTGTCTGTCGCATTTTCTCTCAACTCTGTCCTGTTCCTCCATATCCATCCTCTCTTGTCCAACTTGGGCCATGGCTTGCCTTTTGATCGGCGCCAACAAACTCCTGTAACCTGATCACGGGTCCCAAGTTTTTCCCAGTCGCGAGGCTAAGACTCTTCGAGCTGCGACATTTTGACTACGAATTAGCTCGAATCTTTCCGTTACAGCAATGACGCCTGAACATCCTGATTTCGACGTCTTCTACGACTCTCAGGCAACTCATCAACATCTCTTCACGCGACAGAATCCCTGGGATCGCATCACCCAACCGAGTGTCCTTATATCCTGCCTTATCATTGTCGTCACCCTTTCGTACAACTTATATGCTTCCACGACTACCGTTCAAGAGTCAATACGCTTGCTGGGGACAAGTCTCTGGGACGCCTTGGTATTTGTTGTCCCCGAGAGGCTCTTGGATGCTATAGATACGCCCGAAACTTCGACCAATTCCACAACCTCGCAGCCGATGTTGCGCGCCGAACGAAGCCGACATGCCGTCAAGAGCGACAAGATGCGAAGGGTCCTCGGACTGGATCGCTCTGGTGGTGTTATGTCCTCGGTGCTTCAGGTTAGAAGCCGCGCCCTCTCTTTGACAGGTAGTGTTCTGGGATTGAAGGGCGAGTCGTCTAGTCCACCTGGCCTTGGCAACATGGACAATTCATGCTACCAAAACAGCATTCTTCAGGGACTCTCATCTCTTAAGCCACTTCCCGAGTACCTTTCTTCCTACCTCGAGGCTTCCGACGATAGCGGTGATCACGATGTTGCGCAGACGTTACGAACATTAATTACCGACCTCAACGATGGATCAAATTACGGAAGAACATTATGGACCCCTGGCGTACTCAAATCGATGAGCACCTGGACACAACAGGACGCTCAGGAATACTATTCTAAAATACTGGACGACATTGATAAAAGTGTTGCTAGGGCTGTCAAGAGCACTCAACCTCAGCATCCCGGTCTTGCGGCCAAGATAGAAAAGGACGATGCGACTCCGAGCGAGCACAGCGACGACAGTGGTTATCAGAGTATAATCAATTCGCCTGAAATCAACTTGCCCCACAACCCGCTGGAGGGTATGCTGGCGCAGAGAGTGGCCTGCGTGCAGTGTGGACATTCTGATGGACTATCCATGATCCCTTTCACATGCTTGACGCTAAGCCTGGGTTTGAACAAGAACCAACATGACTTGTATGAACGGTTGGATGCGTATAGTAAAGTTGAAGCGATCGAAAATGTTGAGTGCACCAAGTGCACTCTACTCAAGACTCGGCAACAATTATCAGCAATGTCAAAGAAGATGCAGGATAGCGGGGCATCCAACGAGAAGCTCGCAGAGCATCTGAATCAGCGACTGGAAGCAGTCGAATTGGCCTTGGAAGAGGATGACTTCGACGACAAGACACTGACAGAGAAGTGTAAGATTTCGGCTCAGAACAAAGTCAGCTCAACCAAGACCAAGCAAATTGTCATCTCTCGACCACCAAAGAGTTTGGCGATCCATATGCAACGATCGGTGTTTGATCCCTCTACCTTCAATATGATGAAGAACTCGGCGCCAGTCGATTTTCCTATGACACTGGATCTTGCTCCTTGGTGCTTGGGCAGTACCGGCTCCAACCCGTCGGATGAAAACTCGAAGTTGGAGGAAGAATGGGTTACTGACCCTCGAAAGTCAATGGTGGCCGGCGATCAGGGTTCTAGTAAACTCGCAGGCCCTATTTATGAGCTTCGCGCTGTAGTGACACACTATGGCCGACACGAGAACGGCCACTATATCTGCTATCGCAAGTTCCCACGACAAAGCCCTCCCACCAAGGTGGTTGAGGATGATGAACCCGATAGCAAGGCAGACGCCAAGACGGAACCCCGTACGGACGAAAAAGAAACAGACGAGCCTGAAATGGATTGGTGGCGGTTGAGCGATCACAATGTTTCGCAGGTCAGCGAAGACGCGGTTTTGAACCTTTCCCCTGGAGTATTCATGCTCTTCTACGATTGCGTAGACCCTAGCATGGTCATGAACGACGAAGACGATGTCAGTATGCAAGACGCCGTCGACGTCACGGATGTAGATGCCGCAAATGGGGTGGTCGATGCAACGGAAGATATCACCCCAGTTGTCCAGGGGCTCGAAAGTCAAAAGGCTAATGGGAAACCAAAGGAGCTATCTGAAAATGAAGAAGGTGCCACGTCATTCATGGTAGATGAACAGTCTGTTGAAACGATAACGCGCGGCTCAGATCTGATTGCTAACGCACCTTCACTGGTTCCCGTTGAGCCTTGAAGGATTCACCAAAGGGGGGAGATGGGGCAGTGCTAACTTAGGCTGCCATCATCAACATCAATAATGGAAGCGAAGTGCTCACAGAGATATTGGGAGCGTTCACGGATAGGGATTGTATTCAAAGGCATAGCGACGGCGTTGAAAATATTCATATTGTTGGAAATATGATTTTACTAAAGCATTGGACTTGCAGGTACATGGTAGAACAGAGTGGCTCAACAGGAAAGACTGTATTGAGAGCACATGCAATGTCAGGATTAATACCAACATAGCGTTTTGCTAAACGATAGAACCCGATTGTTATCCCCGGTTGTGAATTCAGCCCGAATTGAGGCTTTTAACCGAAATTGTTGTTTATCGCTTACGATGAGTGGCATCGATACTGGTCGTTTCAGTTAGGGAAGTCTCGCGAGAGCTATTAATATTTACGCTCCCGGCAATGACCGGCCGAGAAAGACAGAGTCGAGAAGCGCCCATCCCCACTGCAGTGGAACTGAGTGCCGAAAGGTCCTCGGGGCAGGTCACTAGCAGAGAGAATAGATTAAACTGTTGGTTGATCGACCTCCTGAACAGGTGGGATAAACTTCACTCCGCGGTTATATCGGCAACTAGCCAGGGGAAACGGCAAAGGCATATGCGTCTAAGAGATCTAGTAAGTTTCCAATTGCCTATCATGAGGGGGTTTCACTGTCTGAGCGAGGTCATCGTAGGTTTGTTCTCAATTAAGGAGTAAACCTTCCAGGATGAAGTGCCGAACTATTAATACGTAGAGTAATTTGGCATAATTCCGGTCCCTATGGTTATCCTAATATGCAAGAGTTTGAGAGCTCGTATATCGATGCTAGTCATTGAGACTAGTCTAGGCTTATTAACAGCTGTGATTGTTCCTCGGCCAAGACCGCTGAAAATACAAGCGAAGGAATTGACAGCTGCCATGTGGATTGTTTCTTGATCCTCTGCTGGCCCCGTTGCAGAGAGATTCTAGACCATTAGAGGTCTTCTCGTATTTGAGGAGCCCGCTTGTAATGCCAAGCTTCCTACTAAGCAATGCTTAGTTGCGTCAACGAACGAGCTTCATTGGTTAGTCCGTATGTAGAAACACCCGGACAGGGTCTTTGACATCCCTGCTACACTGACGGTCCCAGTTGCTGATCGCCATGGCCTTCAGTTGCCTTGTGGGACGACGACGGCCCTGCGCCTCCTTGAGAAAGCTTCAATTCTCATCTGATGATAGGTATCGCCGTAAACACGGGCTTAACAGCTCCCGTTTAGATGGTTCAGGCCCCAGGGCTGTCTTCGCCAAGCGATCCGTTAATTCAAGCATTTGACGGTACTGTTCTCCCAATCAAGCTGCTTCGATCTGCTCCATAGCTAAGATATAGATTGACAATGAGGCTTGGCAGGTACGGTGCTTAATCGGGCGTGACCGTTTGTGTTTGTATTTTTGTGAAGCTCGGCCTCTTTGACCCGTTGATGACAGGGCTTGACTCGTAGAATATGACTTTGGTTCTGGCGATGGGCAGTTGATCGGCACAGTTGAGCCGAATGTTGGTTGGTTTAGGACAGGACAAGGTCCATTTCGAGGCTGAGCTCGACCTTGACGAGAGAAAAGAACGTAGGTGGATCCGTATTTGTCTTTGTTAATAAGAAGTCTCGGTACCCGACCAGTGTCAGAGAAGACGATCGTTTGAATTGTTGTTTGTTTTCATAGTTGCTTGTCGTTTCTTTTGTGTCTCATATCTGTGATAGCCAACAAAGCGCAGGAACCACTCACACGAAGCTTCCCGTTTTCCTAAGACATTATTGACGCAGGCGCGACTCACTAACTTACTTATAACCGCTTTCGATCCTGCGGAAAGAGGCACCTCGACCACCCACTTTCCCATTCCGTTCCATTGAGTTTGTCTTGTGAGACATCCAATCCACCCCATCGACTTTTCGATCCAGCCTCTTCTTTCAGCATCTTCCTTCCTTTTAGACTCTTTTTCCCTCCCTTCAATCGGATTTTTTTCTCATCCTCTCTTCCCCTCCAGCTCACTCAACTCTATTTGGAGAATACGTCACTTCGCAGACGAGAGTTGGGTCTAGTCCGAGGTGGCTTGAAGCTATCCACGCGCCCTTGTTGTGTCTTAAATAGTCTACACAACGCTCCGCAAGCCACCGCTTTATTGTTCTTACTCCTCGACAACCCGTGAAGACGACGATATTCCCAATCTGAGACAACTGCAACAATGGCGGGATCAAGCGATTTGGAGGCCAACAGGGTCTCGCCTCGGTACGAGGGCGTTGACGACACCACCACAGAAAAGCCTGTCAATCAGGGAACAGGCTCAAGACTACACCCCTCAGTATACATCTTGTACGTGAATCCGAGAATTGTAGTTTCGCGATTCGACAAAGACATGTCTAACATTACTCTTGTATAGGACATGGATCTTCTTCTCCAACGTTACTATTCTATTCAATAAGTGGCTCATTGACACTGCTGGATTCCGTAAGTTCTCTGCTATCTCTGGTCTCTACAATACAAGTATACTAACCAAGCCTCGCAGGATATCGTAAGTATTCAGATCACAAACATGTGTGGTGTGCAGTTCAAGTCACAAACTAACAAATTACTAGCCATCATTCTCACCACATGGCATCTTGTCTTTGCAACTATAGCGACTCAGATCCTTGCTCGAACAACCTCCCTTCTCGATTCTCGTCATGCCATTCCTCTTTCTCGACGACTCTACGTACGGACCATCCTTCCTATCGGCGTTCTTTACTCGGCCTCGCTCGTTTTCTCCAACATCGTCTACCTCTATCTGTCGGTTTCTTTCATCCAGATGCTCAAGTCCACCGGTCCAGTGTTCACTCTTATCGCATCATGGGTATGGGGCGTTGCTCAACCTGACAGCAAGACATTTGGCAACGTGATGATTATTGTAGTTGGTGTTGCTATCGCCAGCTTTGGAGAAATTGAATTCTCTGTGGCGGGTTTCATCTTCCAGATGTGTGGTACCATCGCCGAAGCTGTCCGCGTCGTCATGATTCAAGTCATGCTGAGTGCAGAGGGTCTTCGAATGGATCCCCTCGTCGGTCTTTACTACTATGCACCCGTCTGCACCCTCATGAATTTCGTCGTTGTCGCCTTCAGTGAGGGTCCTCGATTCAAATGGGAAGATGCAGCGAGTGCAGGCTATGGCATGCTCTTTGCCAACGCTTGTCTTGCATTCGCCCTGAACATCATCAGCGTTGTCCTTGTAAGTCTACACAAAGATTCTTATTTACTTCCCATACTAATTGCTATCCAGATCGGTAAGACCTCAGGACTTGTCATGACTCTTAGTGGTATTCTGAAAAGCATCCTCCTTGTGGCTGCTTCCGTTGTCATCTGGGGCACCCACATCAGTCTTCTCCAGACGCTCGGATACTCGATTGCTCTCATGGGTCTCGTTCTGTACTCCATTGGTTACGAACAGCTACTCAACACGTGGGAGGAGATAGTTGCTTGGGGTACAGGTTCGCTCAACCGTGAGGGCGAGATGTCTCCTACGTTACGCAAGGCAATCATGGTTGGTTGCTTGGGTTTCATCACTGTTATCATTGCCGGAGCCTTGTGGCATTACCATGGACTCTCTGGCACACAAGTGGCGCGAGCGACATCATCGTTGCTAAGCCATTAATGGGTTAACGATTTCTTTTGCTTTGGATACGATACCTCTATAGACTTTTGTTAATGATCAAATTTTTGAAATTAAACCAGATACCATCGTAGTTGTGTGAATAGAATAGAATACTAGCGAGTCCTGATGTTTGCTCTAGGCTGCAAAGGGTATCTAAGTGAAATTCCGTGATATGCAACGTCATCTGCCAGTCTCACAGTCCCCAGTTAATTGTTGCTCGAAAATGCCAATATTATACAGAATAAAGAGCCGGTCCCACAGCATCAGCGACGGTCCCTGCTACGATCCCGTCGCTCCCGCCTAGGAGACAAGCTTCGGTCCCGTCTGTTTCTCCTATCTCTGGATCTGTCCCTCTCTCGGTCTCTATCACGGTCTCTATCACGGTCTCTATCGCGATCACGACGGTCCCTATCTCGTTCGCGTTCTCGAGAACGTTCTCGATCTCCGCCTCTGCGATCTCTGTCCCTCTCTCTATCGCGATCTCTATTGTCTCTGTCCCGCTCGCGATAGCTGTCTCCACCTCTCAACTTATCACGGTCCCTATCTCTGTCTCTATCTCCTCTGTCCCGTTCACGATCCCGATCCTTAGGTACTTCGCGCTGACGGCTACGACTCCTAGTTCGACTAGCTCTGCGCTCCTCGCGGCCTCCAGGCATGTACCTATCAATGTCGTCGTTGACTCGACGGCGGCGCAAGTCAGGGGAAATCTCGCCACTACTCTTTTTGTCGTCGAGTCCAGGGATTGGTAGGCCTTTGTTTCTGGCGTCCTTCTGAGCCGCCAAATATGCCTTAGCCTCCTTCTCCCGCTTCTTGACCTCTTCCTGTTTCCACTCTTCAAGCTCATCCTGAGCCTTGCTAGAACTAGGTCGCGCAGCAGATGCTGTGGTTCGAGAAGGACTTCGGCGGTCAGATGGTTTCTCCTTTTCCTTCTCGCGTTCCTTCTCGGGGGCTTTGTCGGGTTCCTTTTCTCGTGGCTTTTCCTGGGCACGATCGTCCCGAGCCCTTTCTCGGCTTCGTCGTCGTGGGGGAGATCTTTCGTTCCTCTCACGATCTCGGGGGCGGTCTCTATCCCGATCTCTTTCTCGTGGATCGTAGTGATCAGCTCCACCAAGCCGGTTATCGCGAGTACGACTTCGGTCACGTCGAGTGCGAGAGCGGGTTCTATCCCGTCTATCAGTGCGCAGGCGCGAGCGTGAGCGATCTCTTCTGTCTCGGCTTCGGTCCCTTCTGTCTGTCCTGACTCTCGATCTACTTCTCTCACGTCGATCAGCCACTCTAGGTCGGGAACGACTGCGTTCGCGTCTCCGAGATCTGCTTCGCTCGTAGTGATCGTATTTGGGACGAGAGCGGCTTCTAACCGCACGTTCGTCTCTACCGGTACCAGTCCGTGAGCGTGCTCTATCCTGTCTGACTCGGGAGCGGCTTCGATCACGTCTATCTCGAACACGAGACCCACTATGGCCTCTGCGTGGAGAGTTTGAGCGTCGGTCACGACGGTTGTCTCGCTCCCGTGGGCGTTCACGATCTCCTTCACGATCCAGCGCCCGTGAAGTACTTCGGCCTGGCTTGTTTTCATCCACACTAGGCTTCTTTGCTTGGGAGGGTGCTTCAGAGCCAGCTCGTTCCGCCTTGACACCTGCATCGCTTGCCTTGCGGCCCTCGGCAACCGAGGAACGTTCTCGTCGAATAGGATTGATGGCCGATACGGGCCCCGTCTTTCGTGGTGGTGGCGCCAAAGCAGCGTCGACCTCCAACTCCTGCTTTTGAGATGGTTTAGAGCTTTCGCGGAGCAAGTCGGCTAACGCCTCCTGTTCCAGTCGTTCGTGTTCCTCCTTGGAGAGCTTCTCCTTCAACTCTGCAGAAACAGCCAGCTTCTCCTTGTGGCGGTCATCCCTGTGTCGGTCGTCATCACGATGGCGATCTCGGTTTCTATCTCGATCGTGACCTCTGCTCCGGTCTCGTGTGTTGCGGCTACGATCCCTGTCCCGATCACGGTCACGATCCTTGTGTCGCTTCTCCCTTTCGATATCTCGAAGTCTCTCACGTTCCTCGCGTTCTTGCTCACGTTTTCTACGACGCTCATCTCGCTCTTCCTGGCGTTTGAGCTCGGCTTTCTCACGTTCTCGCTCCTCCTTCTTTCGTTCCTCCTTCAAAATTCGTCGCTTTTCCTCCTCAATTGCAGCTTCTTTCTGTCGCAGCTCTTCTCGCACACGTTCGCGTTCTGCTCGTCGAGCCTCTCCTTCGGCCTCGTACTCTTCATCGGTTTTGGCTCCTTGCAACCTTTCCGCCTCGGCTGCTTCCTCGCCAATTTCTGCCCGGCGTGTTTCGCGGATGCGCTCTTCTATAGCACCGACGTCGATTAACTGACCGATGACATCTTCAGCCTTTTGGTAGACCCCAGATCTCTCTAGGGCGCCATCAATAAGGGCCGCAGCCTTTCGGCGGTCGAGTGTAAGGAGTTGCTGCGGGTTGCGTTCGATCTCCTGTTCGGCCACTTCGAGAATCGACTTTGTGACTTGAGCCTCGTAATCCTGAGTTTTTGTTAGCACGGGTATGCACACACATTCTCTGTGTAGCATACACTAGCTTCGAATTTATCCCAAACTTGCTTTCGAATAGAATCGTAGGCGCCCTCCTTCTTGAAGCTATGCGCAAGTGATTCTATCGCCGCTCTCGTCGCTGAAGGCAATGGGAGGTCCGAGGCCTTGAATTTGCGTGGCGCTGGAGCGGAGGTTTTATCGACATCCATCGCAGAATCGTCAACACCTGGTGCGGTCATAATAGCGGTTGTGTGCAGCTGGGCGCAATAATTATACTTAAAAAGGAGGTTTGAAGATGCGCGGAAGAAGAGCGCTGTAGCTACTTGTTGTAATCAGCGCATAGCGCGCACGTTTCGGCAACGTAGCAATTAGGCTCGGAATTATAATGCCTAAACTTCAACAAGGACTTTCCAAGTCGACATGATCGAAGACTGTTTGATTGAAATCTGGGGTTCTTTGTCCGACGTGACGGGTAAAACGCCAGGTCACGTGCGAGCCTTAATCTAATCTCTAAGCTGGGGAACTTACCCTGTAAATGAGATGGAAAGCCGAATTTGTCATTTGAGGTATTCATGTTAAATTGATTCATTACTTCATCATTAGTATTTTTTGTTCTTTATACGAAAACACAAACAAGATCACTAACGGTCACGATGTTCGGTCCCAGATTGTTTAACTCGTTAATGTGACTTCTCACCATAAAAGTATCCGCCCGTTTGCACGAAAGTTTAGAAGTCAAACACATTTTGGAAACAAAGCAGATTCGTATTTTGGAGCAGGGCCTTCGGTTTGTTTGAAGGAACAAAACAGAGAAAACTAGCGCTCTTTCATCATCCAACAAGGAAAAAAGACAAGCAACAAAGCAATGCCCAATCGCCACTGATATCATAACACCCAACCAAAAATCCAATACAATCCATGAACAACTCCTTAGTATCTGGTAGTACACTTCGCAGTCGTAGTAGCCTTAGATGGTTGCTGCTCCACAGATGATGTGCCTCCTTCGCAAATAGTTGGACCGGGCACCTCATACTGGACCTTGCTTGAATAGACATTAACAAGAATACCAGGATCCTCAGCATCATAAAGCTCAGTACCAAGGTATCCAGAAGGAGAGTCAGATCCCTCGCTGGTGATCTTCAGGTTGAAACATTGAGGGTAGTTCTGGGCGCCACCCTTCTCAAGAGCATTGTGCAGAGCAATGATCTCATGGCGAAGGACATAATTGCCAGGAGCGATGTTCTCGGGAATTCGGACGTTCCATCGATCTCCGTTGTCTTGAAGTACACTGTCCGCGTACTTGCCTGGCGTACCCTGTTCGAGTAGACCAAGGCCGTCGATCTTGAAGAACTCGAGCTCAGTCTTGTCAACTTGCTCACAAGGACCGTTGCAGTTGGCAAGGTAGTTCAGGATAGGACCATAGTGGTTATCAGGCCAGCCTGACCAGCGAAGAGTGAGTGTGTCACCAGCAGCAAGTTCAATGTGGCCCTTGGCTGGGGTTGCATCTCTGTGGCAGATGATATCCGGATCACCGTACTTGTCAGGAGAAACAAAGCCGTTGTCCTTTTGCTCAATGGTCCAGCCAGCAACGACGGGAGGGTTTTGCATAAATGGGAAGTCGGTGCTGCCATATCCCTGGTAGGATACGCCGTTGACAATGATCTCATCAACATGGCCATGAGCAGAGACATTGATTGCAGGAATGAGAAGAGCAAGCCAGAAGGCGGCTTTGGAAGGGATGATGCTTGAGAAATTCATAATGAAGATAAGGACAGTAGATGAATCAATTGAATGAGTGTGAGAGTCCGAACAAAAGAGTGTCTTTGGACTGTTTGAAGGAAATGCTCTGCTTCTTCCAACAATCCCTTTTGAGGGCGATCACGAGCTTTTATACCTATAAGACCATCGATCGAAAGCGCCTTCTTGAAACTTCACTTTATGAGTCCTCGACCATCCTGTAATTCCCCCACACGCGCGATAACACAACCTTGATTCAACGCACAGATAGTTTTCTCCGACATACTGTAGTTATCCTGCTCATAGACGAATCAACACCCGATGAATGTATCGGTTGCATCATGATTGGTCTCCTGTTCGGCTGTCAACTTCCATCCCCTGATCTGTGCAACTCTCTCTGACAAGAAACATGTAGCCAAGAAACAGCCACAGTAGGGTGCCAGTAGTTGGTCAGAGAGTCAGAGAGAAACGCCGTAAAATGACTGCTTGAATCAGGGGGAGAGCTTAATCCCAGGCGTCAATCATCAACTTAGACGAATAGGATGCTGTTCCTGCCTGCATATAAACGGGATAAACGTGATGGGGGCTTGCAGCCGTTGTTTCAACAAGGATCATTCCGACTGTGCATATTCATTGGGAGGACTGAGTCGTTGAAATGCAATGAGCCGCACGCCACTCCGAAGCTGAGACGGGCAGATATGTGACCCGGATACCGAGGGCTTTCATAATCAAGAAAAGCAAGTTCACTCATTTCAAGTTCATCACACATTGGCGCCGAGTTGCATAGTAGGAACTCACTGGCTGGCCAAATGTTCATTGATAATTGTTGGATATTCAGAGTTGTGATAAGTCGTTAAATCCGAGCTACTAAGAAAACAAACCCCCTTTTTCTTTCTTTCACCATTTCATTTTCAGAAGAATGGAGGTGGATATCATGCCGTCTCTTCGTCAAGCTCGTAGGGGAGAGATACATCCCAACCGCAACGCCGTGCCAGGAAAATGCACCGCAGTACATGCAGCCTCAATACTGGTAACTGAGCTGTCTTAAAACTCGCCCTCGCCGCCACGGCCTACCACGCTCGCAGTCCAGAGACCAACGAGACCCCACCAGTTGACCTTCCAGCCCCTCCACAGTCCCTGGCGACCCTGACCCTTGTAGACTGTTGCAGCAACACCCTTAGTCTTGGCCTTGCTCTTCTTTGCTGCAGCTGCCGGGACGGGGGCCTCATGAGTTCCCTCGTCGTTTACGATGTGGAACATGGTACCGAAAGTGCCTTCATAACGTCCAGGAGGAACAATAGTGGTGAATTCCTGGTCGGGACTCAAAGCTTGGATGTACTCCTGGCTTGTTAGAACCGAGAGTTGTCCACGTCGGAGGACAGTCTCAATGGGCAGCTTGAGGAAAATCGCAGATGAGGAAGCGAGGAATTTGGAGATAGAGAAAGCCATAGGTGAGACCTGGCTGTCGATCATGAACTGAGTTCGGAGAACAAGAGGTGTTGAGAGGGTGATGAGAGGGTGAATCAAGGAGTGAAGGATGGTTGGGACTACCAGCATCGAGTTGCAGAGGTAGGATGGTAGGTTTCTGAGGGTAGCCAGCGTCCTGCGCTGGCCGTTTGTGCTCGGAGTGACGATGAGTCTATCTATGGTCAGCTTTACGTTCGCTCCACAAATCTTCGAATAACTTACCTGGTTCGCACCAAATCCAATGGTGACAGAACAAGTCCTGTAACCACAGCAGCTGTCGCGGCAACAAAAAGAGATGCCCAAGGATAAGGCGAAGCGATATCGATCACACGATCAATATCTTCTCTAACACCCATGTCTGGGACATTAAAGATTGCACTGAGGAAGCTTCGACTCCAGTTTTCCAGCAGTGACTGCAGCACCGTATACAGAAATGTGGCATTTGATCCCTTCCACACTCCCCAAGCACCTTCTTTTGTCCATAGCTGACCGATTACTTCGAGAATCGAGTCTGGTCGTCGAAGCTGAAGGAAATGTTCTGGAATAACCGGCTTCTTCACGGGTGACGGAGCCCTCCGAGAGCTTGATCCCCATGGAGAATCGTGGGGGTTCGAGGGGATATTCGAGGAGAAGTAATCAGGCTCTTCGCCCTCAGAGTCGGAGTCTTTAAACTATGTCGTCATGATTTAGCGGTGTAACTCGTGGAGAGCTCGAAATACACTCACATCATACATGGAGCTTCTGGGAGGAGTGACAAGCTTCTTAGGGGTCACTGGCACCTCGGGAAGTCCATACACAGCATTTTCATCCTGGTTTCGAACTTGCAACAAGGTCTTTGCTACCTCGAATGGCTGGGCCATGAGGACCGAGCTGTATTTCCATATCAGCTCGTCGATAAGGTCCTTAACATTCTGGACCATCGACGGCGAGGTATCGCCTAGGTAATCATTGTATTCAAGGTCGGAGAGAATATCGCGTGCCTTAGAGGCATATCGTTCACCGGCGGCAGTCACATGTCGTCCATCTGGGAATGGGTTCGGGCTAGGGCTCGACTTGTTGACGGTCTCAGCGGGTTCTCCAATTGAGGGAGGGATATAGTACGGCCTCAGAGGATTGACACCTTCTCTTTGAGTCGACATGATTGAGTCGAGCAGCACGACGACATCTGTCTATAACAGAAATAATTATAGAGAGACGCAGTGCACTGGGTGAAGCTTCGAATCTTGGGCACCAGAGAAAATGATCATCCAATACCTCCACTTTACACTTAATGCGACCCACTCACCCCACCATCGGCCACCCGGAGTTAGTCTTCGGACTCCGGCCAATGAATTTCCCGGCCGAAAGCGCCGCCGCCCTCTGCTATCCGAAGCTACTCACTTTTTTTCGGCGCTGCTTAATATCATCTTGGACGTGAGAGGACGAGACGGGGCTATAAGCGTCGGTCCATTGAGAAAAATTGGCGCATTTAGAGCCATTCCCAGCGTCACTACTTCGACCGGAGAACTAACAACTTCGAATCTACCCTGTAACTTTCATACTTTTTAATTATTCCAATTAATTATCGACTTGTATCTCGGCCGATACCCCGAAATCCCCGGAATCATGTCGGCGTCACGATCTTTTGCGACTTGCTTGGCCAAGCTCCCAGCTGCGGCATCCCGAGCAGCACAGCCCATGCGAATTAGCCAAAATGTTCTATTACAGACTTCTCGAAGTCAATCCGCTATGATCTCTCGAGCTGTCCGATTTTCGCCCGTTTCTCAGAGAGCTTTCACTACGTCAACGCAAAGACGGCATGGACATATCGACCCTCCGAAGGCGGGTGAGGAGTATGTGCCAATGAGAAGCCTAAACTCAAATAGTATAATATTAACAGGATTTAGACTTTACGTTACATTCGTTGAGAAAGATGGCACAGAGAACAAGTTTGCTGTCTCCGAGGGCGACAACCTTCTCGATATCGCTCAAGCGAACGACCTAGAGATGGAGGGCGCATGCGGAGGATCTTGCGCCTGCTCGACATGCCATGTTATCGTTGCCGACGACGAGTACTTCGATAAGATGCCCGAGCCCGAGGATGACGAGAACGATATGTTGGATTTGGCATTTGGTCTTACCGAGACGAGTCGACTGGGTTGCCAAGTGAAGATGACCAAGGAGCTGGACGGTCTAGTGGTGAAGCTGCCCTCCATGACGAGGAACCTGCAAGCAAGCGATTTCAGCAGCTAAAAGAAAATAACGACATAAGACATATATTCTGTTTTGATATGAGACTAGATGAGGAAACCTGTACTTGTAAGACTACGTATTGTACGGATACTTTTTGGGAAGAAATGGAACCAGGCGATGGCGAGGACCAGGTGCATCATACAGGGTATCTTTGTTACGACTTTAGTTGCGAGGCCGGAAGAGCACGGCCTGATGATTCCACTACTCCTCTTAAAAAGAAAGAAAGAACACACAGAAATGTTATTACGCCTCCTCGATTCCACCCTTTTTCAATTTGCCGCCTCCAGAAGCAATCAACTCCAAGAATCCCTTCTTACTCATCTCGTTGACCTTTTCCTCTCGCTTCTTCATACCGATAACACCCTCCTTTCTTGTACCCTTCTCAGCCTCAACGGCCTTGACCTGCGCGGCGCGGACAGCGTTGAAAAGCTTGACAACACCGCGCTGCGCAACCTTGCGTAGTCTTCTCTCGGTTTCCATGATCTCAGATGTAGATGTCTCCAGCTCTCCGGTATTTTCATTTGTGGATGCGATAAGAACGTCCTTTACTCGACCCTTCTCGAATGCGCGCCTCTTCTGGTCACGGAGCTGCTTTCTAGCCTTAGATTCTAGCGCACTGTCGACAGCCGCCTTGGAAGCTTCGTGGGCGGCGGCACTTCGGGCAAGAACGGGATCTGCTCGCCTGGATGTTGATAGCTTGGTGGAGAGAATCTTGGAGAGCGATGTAGCGAAAGCATTGGGATCGTTTCGCTTGGACTTCTTGCGCTTGTTGGTGTTGTCGCCATCCATATCATCGTCTGAATCGTCTTCTGATCCCTCGTCATCGTCATCGTCTTCCTCCTCCTCGGACTCGACTTCTGGCTCGTCGGACTTGGGCTTTTGCGCCTTGATTGTTTTTGTCATCTTGGCAGTCTTCTTCAGGGCAGGGCGTTCCTCGTCGGAGCTGGACTCTTCATTGTCGGAAGCGCCGACATTGTCGACTTGAACGTTGTGAATATCGTCGTCGGAATCGAGCAGGTTGACAGCATCAAACTCCTGCTCCTCCTCGGGTTCAGAGTCGTCGCTGTTGTATGCTCGGAGTTGCTTTCTCTTTTGCTTTTTTGAGGGCTTCTGTAAGCGACCCTCGAATTGTCTCTTTTTCTTGTTTCCGGGTCCAGCCATTTTGTGAATTGGTTGTGTTGATGAAACTGGGATGTGCAATGCTTTCGATTGGAAGCGTCGCAGATCTGGACTGGTCGTCAAACTTTTGAGAATTTTGCCGGGGAAATTTTCTGGCGATTGGACAGTGGGTCTGGGCGGTGAGTTAAGCTTCGGGGTGGTGCAGCGTGGGGCCGGCAGTGGTGGGGCCGTAGCATATCACTCCAAAGCCGGGCCTTCATAAGATCAAAGACGGGTCGGCTTACACAGAGAACGACGACGAATACGACGGCAGCGGGTACCTCAAGTTGTATATCATATCTGATCGGTAGAACGTATTATTTATTAAACAGCAAAACGAAGCGCCCATCTAAATAGCTAAATCGCCCACTTCTCAAAAGTACATCTAACCTCCACCTAGAAGAACTTGTTGATCTTATCCCAGAATGATGGGGCAACAACCTCCTCGACAATAACTTCAGGTTGATCCGGCGCCTGGACGGTCGCCTTCCATGTCTCCTTTCCATCGATGTAAAGGGTGTAGTAGAGCGAGCTCCTGTTGTCCTCAAGCTTGTCAATTGAGAAGGAGCCAAACTTGGACATGCCGCCAGGAATATAGCTTCAAAATTGTTAGTCATCTGTACTAGTTATACAAGATCTGAGATAGACTTACTTCATCATAACATCCTCATCGTCTGTCTGTCTGTATGTGCCGATCGGCGAGGCAAACTGGTTGAGAGGGCTGGTAGAGAACTCATGAGCTGCAGCAGTCTGGGGCCATCGTGAGCCAACAGGAGGTGGGAACCTAGTAGCGGCAAACTCATGACGATCACCAGAGAGAATAACAACGCTGGTTCCTCGAGCACCAGAATCCCACATAGCTTCAAGAATCTGCTTTCTCTCAACAAGGAAACCACCCCAGGTATCCTTGACATTAACAGGCCAGTTCTTAGTGAAGGGAACAGAAGAAGCAATGAACTTCCATCGAACTCCCTTAGGCATGGGGCGTGCGAGCCAAGCCAACAAGTCGGCCAACTGCTCCTTGCCCAGCATGGTCTTGTCGGTCGAATTGAATGGTGCATTGTTGCTGGAGCGGTAGCTACGGGTGTCCATCATGAAAAAGCTGGCTGGTCCCTGAGTGAACTCGAACCATGTGGCATTGCGTCGCAGGTTGAGAGGACCCGCAGCTTGGGACACGGGAGGGTTGATGTTGGCCTGGTAGATGTGCCAAGGGTCAACGGCCGCGCTGTAGACACCGGTAGTGCTTGAAGACCAGTCATTGGAAATCTCGTGATCGTCGAGGACATGGAGCCAGCTGAGGTTCTGAGCAACAGGAGCCCAATCAGGTGAAGCATAAACCTGGCGATACTGCATACGGTATTCCTCAGCTGTCTTTCCGAAGCGCTCGGGAACGTCAACGTAGATGAAGTCACCGAGGAACAGCATGAACTGGGCGTCCAGTGAAGGCAAGAGGTTGGCAAGATTTCTCAAGCCGGGAATAGCCAAGGCATGGTCCAGCGGGTTGTAAGGGAATCGAGGAAGAATGCAAGAGGTGGAGAGGAAAGTGAAAAGACCGTCCTTAGTATCAGGCATATCTCCCGCCTTGGGAGCGGCGCGGAACTCGCCCGTGTGGTTGTTAGAAGTTCTCCACTGATAGGTCAGTTGCTTGGCCGGGTCCAGAGGCACGGTAAGAGTTGTGGTGAAATCGGTGATGTTGTCAGTGGAAGTGATGAGGCCACCAGTGAGCCACATCTTAGGGTCATAAGGCTCGGTATCCTTGACGTGATACTCAAATGTGATAGGCATTTGCAGCTGGTCAGGCTCGCGAATAACGAATCTAGCCTCTGATGGCGAAACATATCCGAGTCGGACAAAAGATAGGTCGTCAGCAGGATAATACCATCGAGCACGGTACAGAGCATCAGCTGTCAAGCCGATGAGAAGAGCGTTAATGAGGAAGGTCAAGAGACTCGCAATAGGACGCGCAGCACTAGGAGCTCCCAGAGTGAGGATGTTGAAAATGCTGGGGACTTTTTCACCAATAACGACCTCCTCCTTAACGTCAACTACATCGGTGACGATCTCAGGCTCAGGCACGACTGCGACGCCATCGGCAGTGAGCAAAGGGGTTTCATCTGTGATAGCAGACTCTTGGACAGTGACGTCAATCTCATCCTTCAGTACGCCAACTTCTGGCTTGGTGAAGAAGGTTGCAACATAAGACGGGACATAGACAGCGAATAGAGCAAAGGCGACAAAGCCAAAATGTGCCTGTTGTTAACGTTAGACTGAGGATCATATTAACGTTCCATATCCTGTGCTTACAGGGAACTATAGCTGACGTTAGTATGATCCGATCTCATTTCAGCAAATAGGAAGTACGCACAAGTCTGAAGAATACTAAAGCGCTTATCCTCAAAGCAACTGAGGATAGCTGTGCGATTCTCGTTTGAGCCGCCATGTTGATGATGATGTCTTAGATGAGAAGAAAACAATAAGGAGGTAATGCGCGATAGCGCGGATGAAACGGTCCGTGTAAGGCAATTGGCCCTACCTCAGGTAATTGGTCAAAGGGTTAAGGAGAGTCGAGAACTATAGGAGAGTTAAAACTTCATGTCAAGCGAACATTCAACGCGACATGAGAATAGATGATGCGTATGTATTAGAAAAGATCAACCGCGTTTTATCTGGAACTATTTGATGAAAGGACTGACAGGGGAGTGAGGTCATGATCCATGATTCTGTAATCTGGTAATCCAACATCTTGACGCGTATTGGTTCAAAGGGGGTGAACTAAATGGATCTACCGAACTGTGGCTGTGACTGTGGCTTGACAGCTCCAAATACCTGATGGTTCTAAAAAAGGACCTAGCTCAGGAGGGGTCTTCCAGGGGGTCGGTGCCAGCAAAATTCCGCGCCGACTCTGGAAGCTCAATCGTGGCCCGTTCAGTTACTGGCAGTACATGTCCACTTTAGCGACAGCTTGTCCTGAACAGCAGCAGCACGCGACAACCTCTCATACAACAGCGCAACAATGAGACTACCAACACTTGTCGCTGGGCTTTTCGCCTGTCTTGCCACCAATGTCGCTGCTACCGCTTTGACTTACAAGCTCGATGCTCATGAGAAGGCCTGCTTCCATACAACCACGAAAAAGCAGGGCGAGAAGATCGCATTCTATTTTGCCGTGAGCCTCCTTCAATGAAAGCATACACACCGAACGACGAACTTAACATTATTTTAGGTCCAATCTGGTGGTTCTTTCGATGTCGATTACGTTGTTGAGGGTCCCAATGGCAAGATTATCATGGATGGTGAAAAGGAGCGACAGGGCGACTTCGTCTTCTCCGCCAATGTCGTCGGCGACTACTCATTCTGCTTCAACAACGAGATGAGTACCTTTGCCGAGAAGTACGTCGACTTCGAGATTGCTGTCGAGAACGAATCCCGCGCCCAGCTCCCCTCCAAGCAGGGAACCACCCCCGAACAGACCACAGCCCTTGAGGAGTCCATCTTCAAGGTCTCTGGCCAGCTCTCCACCATCCACCGAAACCAAAAGTACTTCCGAACCCGCGAGAACCGAAATTTTGCCACTGTCAGCAGCACTGAAGGACGAATTATCAACTTCAGCATGATCCAGATTGGTCTTATCATCTGCATGGGTGCTCTGCAAGTGTTTGTTGTTCGATTCTTTTTCCAGGTAAGGGATATTGGACTTGACATTGATCTTTCAAAACTAACTGGACAATCAGGGTGCGCGCAAGGGTTACGTCTAAAGAATTCGCTTTATCATATACAATGCTGGACACGGGTGTTACGAGGCGTGGGAACAAAAAGGAGAGGGACATTGGAAGTGTTATACATAATCAATGGAAGCAGAGCGCTTGGCCTGGCTGGAAAGCCTGGCATTTGATTTTGACGTAAATGTTTGAGATACTGAAATGAAAGCTGTCATGATGCGCTCGATACTTGGCTAAGACAGATATTGTTTATGCAGTGATAAATGTCTTGTACTAAAACTGAACGACTCAAGACTGTCAATTATTTCGCAAGTTTGCATAATCAATTCACATCAAGTTCCTGGGGTGGTTGGTATTATGATTGTCCTTTTGAAAGGACGGACGGATGTCAGTAGTAGTTGACCAATAAGCTATGACGTGGAATGGAGCATTGACGACTCTAAAGTCACAGCTCGACTAAGATGAACGGGAGAAACTTCCGAGTTGTAACAGACTGGTATTTTCAAGAATACGATTTATGGATTGGACCTATGCTACTTTATTCATCTCTGAAGAAACACAGAGAATACAAGCCAAATGTGCTACATAGTACTCATACCTTATAGCAGTATCCATCGTTCACGTGGTTTGCGATTGTCTGCCTAATATGTGTGGTCTTAGGTTTGGTTGAACAGAGGCAATTTAAGTTATCAGACAACAGCTATTTAATTCTCATGCAATAATTATTTAAACACAGCTTGGAAACCTGGAAATTGGAACTTGAATAGCCATATCAAAGCAGCAAGTGTTTAAAGCGCCATCAAAACTTGGCGCTATCGGTTGCTCCAGATATCCCGCGCTAAACCTGTTGGGGACAATCGCCTCTTGAAATTCTAATAAACCTTGGAGCCTCGCGACCTGACCAACTCCAACAACACCATTTTCACAACCACAGAAAAATGACATCGATCGTCGGGTCGCTACAGGCTTCGCTGCCTAAGCCCAAATACACGGGCGAGGAGGAGGAAGCTCCCGCGCGAGCGCAACAACGCGGTGTTCGAATTGTTGGCCCCGGACAGCTTGACGAAACGCAGGTCGTTCTCAAACGATCTGGCCCCCCAGCATATGGCCAGCGCGCAGGATGGCGACCACGATCGCAGGAGGACTTTGGAGATGGAGGCGCTTTCCCCGAGATTCCGATTGCTCAGTATCCGCTAGAGATGGGAAAGAAGGGCGCCAACTCTAGCAACGCGTTGGCGGTTCAGGTTGATTCTGAAGGCAAGGTCAAATACGATGCCATCGCGCGACAAGGCCACACCGAGAACCGAATTATCCACACATCGTTCAAAGATCTTATCCCACTTCGACAACGCGCCGATGCGGGCGAGATCGATCTTGCGCGACCCGATAAGGAATCTGTTGAGGCAACAACAGAGAGGACGAAGAACGCACTGGCCGCCTTGGTCAGTGGTGCGGTAGCAGCCCAGAAACCGAAGAACGTCAATATTGGACAGCGCAAAGACCCTACTTTCGTTCGATACACACCAGCAAACCAGATGGGAGATAACTCAAAGAAGCAAGACCGTATCATGAAGATTGTCGAGCGACAACGTGACCCCATGGAACCCCCGAAATTTAAGCACAAGAAGATCCCCCGAGGACCCCCTTCGCCGCCTCCGCCAGTCATGCACTCACCACCCCGAAAACTCACAGCTGAAGACCAAGAGAACTGGAGGATTCCTCCCCCAGTCTCGAACTGGAAGAACCCCAAGGGTTTTACAGTGCCGTTGGACAAGCGTTTGGCTGCAGATGGACGTGGTATGCAGGATGTGGCCATTAGTGATAAGCATGCTCAGTTCGCTGAAGCTGTAAAGATGGCTGAGCGTCATGCTCGTGAAGAGGTTCAACAACGTGCTATGATGCAGCAACGTCTAGCGGAGAAGGAGAAGGCAGATAAAGAGGAGACCCTTCGACAGTTGGCTCAGAAAGCTCGTGCAGAGCGATCAGCTGGTGGTCGTGGGCGCAGAGATTCTCGTGGTTCTCAGGATTCAAGGGATTCACGAGACTCCAGATCACGATCGCGATCACGAAGTTACAGTTATTCCGAGTCAGACCGCTCCGATAGTGAAGACGAGGGAGTCAAAGAGCGTATGAAGGCTCGTCAGGAGAAGCAAAGAGAGGAGGAGCGAAAGCTGCGACAGAACCGTATGGGTGCTGAGCGACGAGCTCAGGTTATGGCCCGTGAACAAGGCCGAGACATTTCGGAAAAGATTGCTCTGGGCGTAGCTAAGCCTACACAATCAAAGGAGACGATGTACGACTCGCGATTATTCAACCAAACGAGTGGATTCGACAGCGGCATCAACGAGGACAACCCCTACGACAAGCCTCTCTTCGCAGCACAAGATGCAGTGAACAGCATCTACCGACCGAAGATTGACGCGGATGATGACGATGAAGAGACGGGTGACCGGGAGATGGCCAAGATCCAGAAGAGCAGTCGATTCGGCTCGGCTCTTGGCAAGGGAACTTTCAAGGGTGCCGCCGAAGTAGAGGTAAGCTCATCATTCTATGCATCTTCATCTACTCATCCACTAACACATTCTACTCAGGCACGCGAAGGTCCCGTTCAGTTCGAGAAGGCCGTTGAAGATCCTTTTAATGTTGACAAGTTCTTGTCAGAGGTAGACCAGGGCTCATCTAAGCGCGGTTATGGCTTGCAGGAAGAAGACAGCAGACAGTCCAAACGACCACGAGTTGACCCCGACGATGATGAGTAAATAGGAAATTGCATGGGAAAGGTGTGTTGTTTGGTTTATACAGTTAGACTCAGGCGTCTGTTTGCAGCTCGTGTGCTTCAAAAAGGCATATTCACAATACCAAGGCGCCACATAGAGCACAGCCTCCATGTAGCGCATTAATCACATTCGAAAGCTTCATTACCGCGACCAAGACTTATGTGCTAAGACTGATATTGGGGGACATGCATGCTATACGTGGAAACTCTACATCTCATCTCCCTCCGCATTTCGGAAATTTGACCGATTTGGGCCTGTTTTGCGGGGTACGTACAACAAATCATCAACTCTAAGAGTTAGAGCTATGGTGTTGACCAGGTTCAAGAGGTCATCTGTCTCTGTCAAGTTAGATTTTCCCCTGACATTCGCTGATCTTTGACCCGAGCCCGAGGGTCAGGGTCGTGGTTTTGACCCGAATCATTTGCTAAAGTTCAGGTCTTAGCCTGAAAAGAAGCGATCGACAGCGGTCCCCATGGGGAAAACACCATCATTTTGGGCCTTGGCCAAGCTATCCTTACCTTCTCATGGTAGCTATCGTCCCCCACAGGGGTAATTGGGGGCCTGTCGTGGGGTCATGAGGACGATTGTAGTATTTATAAAGACAAGATGAGGTCGCATTGATTGACGGAATTGTCAAGTGGCAGCTTCGACAACTCTACTCCTTTGACACTCTCTTGTCGCCGTCATGAAGTTCCGCAAGCTCTCAGCAGCTTTCCTTATCTCGCTGCTCCATGCACCTCAACTGGTAGCCGCGGCTCTTAACGCAACCGAGACCGATACCCAGCTCGTCATTTCCAATGACCGTCTCTACGCCGCTGTCCAAAAGAAAGGTGGTGCTATCGTAAAGCTCACACTCGACGGAACAAATCTCCTCGGCAGCCCATCTGGCTCTACCGGAATCGGACCCTACCTTGATTGCTACTGCACACCAAAGGGTTTCTGGACTCCCGGTTCTGTAAAGCCCAGTTACAAGCTCTTCAAAGGCAAAGATGCCAAGGGCAAGGACTATGGCGGCATTGTCATGTCAGACACATACACCGAGACAGGCCAGGTTTTGGAGCAGTATTGGTTCTTGAGAGATGGAGAGACTGGTCTGCATACATTTAGTCGAGTTGCGTACCATAACGAGGAGCAGCCATTCCTTCGAAACCTCCAGGAACTTCGAACGCTTTTCCGACCGAATAATGATATGTGGACTCATCTCTTGACCAACAAGAAGCAGTATGCACCTCTTCCTGGTAAAGAGGCCAAGGAGAAGCAGGTTGTGGTTCAGGATGCGACTTGGTATATGGGAAATACACCAGATGATCCCTATGTCAAGCAGGAGGCCGATTACTTTACGAAGTATACGTTCCAGGATAATTGGCGTGATCTCGATGCATATGGGCTGTAAGTTGTTGTATCTGGGTCTTGCAAAGTGACTGGCTAACAGGTTAAAGGTTCGCGGATGGCTCCAAGACTGAAGACGGAGATGCCTACGGTGCCTGGCTTGTTATGAACACCAAGGACACTTACTTTGGAGGTCCTCTACACTCTGATTTGGTTGTCGATGGTATTCTGTACAACTACATCAGCTCCAACCACCATGGAGACCAAACAGTATGTCGATTGTGATATCTTTTCACCAACATTTTGCTGACTATCCTAGCCTAACATCACTAACGGATTTGACCGCACCTTTGGCCCTGTAAGTACTATGATGATAGTAACGGTACTATAACTAACATTATACAGCAATACTTCCACTTCAACAAATTCCCTAAAGAGACCGATATCCTCGAAGCTCAAGCCGACGCTGCTCAATATGCTGACCCCGAATGGAACGCCGACTTTTACGATTCCATCGCTAAGCACGTCCCTAACTACGTTCCTACCAAGGGCCGTGGAAAGTTTGAGGTCAAGGTTGATCTTCCCAAGGGATCCAAGAATGCCATTGCCGTTCTCGCACAGAGCGGCGTTGATTTCCAGGATAACGTTTTCGATACCAAAGCCTACCAGTATTGGGCTAATCTCGATGAGAGTGGTCGAGCAACGATTCCTCGAGTCAAGGCTGGAACATACCGTCTTACTGTTTACGCTGATAACATCTTTGGACAATATACTCAGGATAAGATCAAGGTCAAGGCTGGCAAGACTGAGAAGAAGAACATCCGCTGGAAGGAAGAGTCAGCTGGTAAGGAAGTTTGGAGAATTGGTACTCCTGACAAGACCTCCGGTGAATACCGTCATGGTTTCGAACTCGATACATCTAAGCCGCTGCAGCCGGAACAATACCGCATCTACTGGGCCAATTGGGACTTTGTCAAGGACTTCCCTGACGGCGTTAACTTCAAGGTTGGTGAGAGCGATGTTGGCAAGGATATCAACTACGTCCACTGGAGTGTCTTTGGAGGAAGGGGTAACTATCCTCGTCCTGAGGAGTATGTTGGCAATGGCGATGTCAACAACTGGACTATTACTTTCGATCTGAAGGAGTCGCAGTTCAAGCACAAGAAGCATGCTACATTCACGGTACAGCTTGCTGGTGCGAAGACTGCCGCTGGAAACACCGACGTTTATAATGCTTCTGAGCCTCACTCGAATCTCAAGTATACTGTCAACATCAATGGCAAGGATCTTGAGCCATGGGTCATTCCGTAAGTTGAGCCCTATTCCTGCAAGAGTACCATATATACTAACAGCTGGAAGATACTACCAGAGCAGCTCTTGTGCTGTGCGCTCTTCTGTGAGCTGCTACAACATTGCTCACAAGTTTGAGTTTGATGCCAAATTGTTGAAGAAGGGCGAGAATGAGATTATTCTGAGTTTGCCCTTCAATGGAACCAACTACGAGCCTGCTATACTGCCCAACTCTGTGTATGTGCAGTACGATGCGCTCAGGCTAGAGATTGATTAGAGTCGTCAAGTAGATACCATTAATTGAAGCTGATTTTAGCCTAATAAACACAATAACTGCTCTTCTCGAGAATATTGAGGAATTGCACGCTGGAAGTTCCGACGTCATACGATAAGGCTGAGAAATAGAAAATATCCGATCGTGGTTCCTGCACGATCGGAGGCTTTCTTGAGGTTTCATGCTGCGATGTCGCTCAATTAGGTCCGAAGGATCGTGGAGGTGGAGTTTTATGTGAGTAAACATCAGCTGATGGAGAACCAACAGCATATTATATTCAAGAGTACTGGACTTCGGAGGTTTCTAATATTTCGGTAGTTGAGAAAATGATATAAGACGACAAAGGCCTGCAACTTCTTAAGCATCAACAACTACAGCTTACCTGAGACCCCAACGACAATTCATTGATTCAATTCAACATAATCATGGCTTCAGGAGCCTTCTTCAATCCGAGGGTCCTCCTCTTGGCGACACCACTTGTCTCATCAAGTATCACCCTCTGGTTCGCCCGCGACCAGAGTTTCTTCCTTTCTCTCTTCACCAAAGCGCCCATCGAGCGCAAGAAAGCCAACGAGATCATCCCGGGCTATATCACCAACTTCTACGGCTCCGGTCCCTGGGCGGTCCTAACATTCGTCGGTCTCACATTCACCACTTCGCTCAGAAACATTTGGTATGAACGCGCTCTCCTAGAATCTCGCGCATCGCTGTTCTGGTACGGCTGGTCTGCTGCTCTTGCGCTGGGTCACCTGGCGTATGTCCCTGCTGTGGCGTGGAAGCTTAGGGCCCTGTGGGAAGATAATTGTGAGGTTGAGGGGACGGATAATGTTGGGATGTTGGAGAGATGGTTGACTGTTAATAATGTGAGGATGTTTACTACGGATCTTGGCGCTTGGGTTTGTGCTGTTGTGGCTATTTCAAAGACGTTGACCGTTTAAGGGAGGCGTCTTTGATAGGGTAGGTTGAGTATAAGACGGCCATCGGGTATGCCGTTACTGTATATATGCTTTATGCAAGGCTCATATTGTAGTCATTAACAAATAGGCACAATCAACTTTCCTTTGTCTGTTAACCTTTTAAGCCATTCCCTGATGTATAGTTCTATCATATATGCATTTGAGATAAACGGATTTCGGCACAGGACAACCTTTGTTTATCAGGATTTAGGACTATTCTCGGCTGGACGGCAAGTCTCATATGAATAGTTAGGTAGCAACTTACCGTCTGTCTTTAGCGTCCTGTGGCTGTTAGTGGTGAATCAAGCCATTCCAGCCTTTATCAGGAATTCAAGGACAATACATAGCCCCCTTCTTATAGACCATTAAATAGTTCAACGCTCGAGTTTATCCTCAAAAAAGGAAAGAAAAAAACTTTTACCATTATTCCAAAAGTGACGCGTTATCAAGCCGTATTCCCGGATATCGAACCATGATAGTGTTAGCTTCTGATATTTGGTGGTTAAGAGACTATAGATTACGCGTCTTTATCTATCAATAGCCATCCTCCCTTGACACATGCAAAAACAAACCTGGCAATTACCGCATTTTAGTCTCGTATTCTCTCTCTGGAAATGCCCTAGACTTTGACTTTTGACTTTCGGGAGTTATTTTTGTGGCTTTGTTGGTGGTGTTACCCCTGAACACCAGACGCAGTCAGCATCATTATCACCAAATTCAGTAGCACTTTTAAGACGCAGCCACTACTGCCTCTGAGGTTGAATCGGGGAGTCGGCATGTGGAGAAGGTAAATTCCATTGATTTAGGTAACTTGCACAAGCCGAGTCTAAGAATCACTGTCGGGCAGCTGGCAGTGGCAGTGGAAGGGCAGACAGACGCAATGCAATACCAATACAATACAATACACTTCCCAAAGGAAGGGAAGCAAGCTCCCTCTTTAATGTTCCATCCAAAATTCCAATTCCTTTCCCTCGCTCCTTCCTTGTGATAAAAAAAGAACATTGACTTGCCTTGCCTTGCACTTCGCTCTCCATTCGAGACATTTCATCAACATCCACATTCCATCAACTCGCCCCATCAATCTCTTGATTCTTCTTCCATTACACTTGATATTATCAACATCAACTTCCCCAATTTCTTGACTCTTACCAAAAGATTCATTCAGACACAACTCAACCAAACGTCATCATGTCGGGATCCTCAGAAGGGTTCAAAGCCGGAGCAGATGCGACCGCCTATGATGAGATCTTGCCTGTTCGTACAGGCCAAGAGGTTCGACATGCTTCATCGAAAATGCCCTGGTGGAATCCCCGATACTGGAGAAAGAGTATCTGGGCTGGCGTCATCCTAAGCTTCACTGTTGTGGTGATCATCATCATTGCTGTTTCGGTCATGAAAGTGAAAGAGAATAGATATCCCGATTACTCGCCGCTGTCATATAGCTTGGCAGATACATGTAAGTCCACCACCCACTCCTCAATAACCTCTACTAACAATATCTTAGATGGAGGAGAGAACTTCTTTGATCAGTTCAACTACTTTACAGGATACGACCCCACCCAAGGCTTTGTTCATTACGTCCCACGAGAGCAGGCGCAGTCTCTTAACTTGACATCTGCTACCACTGACTCTGCCTTTCTCAGAGTCGACACTTCTGTTGGTCCCAACGATCAGCCAAATGCATCAACCGGTCGTTTCTCTGTTCGAGTCGAGTCCAAAAAGACATACGACAGCGGCCTCTTCATCTTCGACATCAAACACACTCCTTACGGCTGTGGTACCTGGCCTGCTCTCTGGCTTACAGACGCTTCCAACTGGCCCGAGAACGGAGAAATCGATGTCATGGAAGCAACCAACAAGGCAGACACTGGAAACCAGATGACGTTGCACACTACTAAGGGTTGCTCCATGGACGTGAAACGCAAGAACACTGGTGAGGTTGTGAGGACGGATTGCAACCATGAAAAGAACGACAATGATGGATGCGGTGTCAAGTCAGACGATGATGGATTCGGTACCGGCTTCAACAAGAACGGAGGTGGTGTTATGGCCGTGGAGTGGCGAAAGGAAGGTATTCGCATGTGGCAGTTTGCCAGAAAGTCCATTCCATCAGACATCAAATCCAACAAGCCAGCTCCTAGTACCTGGGGCACTGCGGTAGCCGACTTCCCCAACACGGACTGTAACATCGGTTCTCACTTCAAAAACCAGAGTATCATTGCCAACATCGACCTGTGTGGCTCTCTGGTGTATCATGTTTGGGATAGCTCGGGATGTAAGTCTGGCTGGTTCGTTTGATCAGACTTGTACTGACTTATTCACAGGCGCTGGCAACTGCACGGATCTCGTTGCCAATAATCCTGAAGCATTCAAGAATGCCTACTGGGAGTTTGGTTCTTTCCAAGTGTACCAAGCAAAGTAAGCCAGGATATGGCGAGACATAACTAATATGTGGTTTTATGAGTTGAAGCATGGCGTTTACGGAGACAAAGGGTTCCTTTCATTCTGCACTTTCGAGATAGGTATCTGTAAAACATGAATTCTGTTGTTATGAATACACTGTCGACTCTTGTGTTTTACACGAGTGGCTCTTCTATGAAACACGGGTATCAACACACCTTTCTGCGTATGTGCCATACCCTGATCTCCACATCTATCCATGTGATGTCCTGCATATATAGCGACCAAGAATCCAAATGAGCAGAGAGCCCGTCTCCAAACGCCTTTATAATGCTCTTGAAACATAATAACCGCAAAACTCCCCAAGCCGCAGAAATTCCACACATATCTGTACATCTCTTACAAGCCAATCATCATCTCCATTTTTGTTCTTCGTCGGTTCGTTGTATTTAGTCATCCTTGGGAGGCGATCGCATGTAAGCATCAATAGCCGCACTGAAAGCCGCAAAGGCCAAGCAGCCACCAGCAGCCGCTTGAGGACCAGCATTCTTGGCTAGAATACCACCCGTCAAGCATCCCGCTGCGACACTGTTGGTAAGGTCGTTCTTCGCACGCAGACCCTCGATACCGCATTCAACACCAGCGTATATCGATCCGACCTTGCCGAAGTTCTTGGCCATGGACCATGATCGTTGACCCATGTCCTTGAATCCGATCTTGAGTTGTTGCTTTAGAGGGAGAGATGTGATTGTGCTTTGCGGGGCGCCGGGAGCGGCTGTGTGGTATGGTGTATCGTAGGACATCTAAAAGCGCAAACCAGATTAGCTTATTGTCAAGTAAAGTTGAGATTCGAGATCAGGACGTACAGAAGCCATAAACATTCCGAACACACCACCCATACCGAAACCCATCACTCCAGACATGACAGACTTTCCGAAACAAGACTCCATCGCAGCTTGAACCTATATTTCTCAGATTAGCCCCGCCACCCATCATTTTCCTTGTTTGCGCATTTGGAACGTACAGCTTTGACGTTGGGATCTTGGGGTCCGCCGATCCCGGGGGGTGCGGCTGCGCCGCCGACTGGAGGTGTGGTTCCTGGGAAGTTCATGGTTGTGGTTGTTGAGGATAAGGGTAGGTAGGACGTTATCGCGGGTTTAGCTGCGGGACGATGGACTTTGAGATTTCCTGGGGAAATATTTGGGAGGGATTGTTTCTGCCGATATTGACCGCCTCCGGAGGCGATCGGCTCGGCCCCACTCCTCCGACTTTCGGCGGCTCCGGTTCCTACCTACAATAAGGTGTAGGCAGGAGGGTGTCAGAAGAAATGTCCCAAGGTTTAGGCTACAGAAATAAAGTAGCCTAAATGCTAGCCTAAGCTGGCATAAGGTGATCAAATTATTTCGTCTTATATGCTCTTGGAGGCCAATTCTTATGACACCCTGAGGGTAGGTACGTTCATTCAATACGTTTGTCTCAATTTCAAATATCTACCAGACTGTCATCAAGAGCTGCGCATCTTCCTTGCCCGGTCTGTCACTCTAATTATACATTCCTAATTGTCAAGCTTCGGCAATCAACCTGCCGTCCACAGGTCTTAAACGCTAAGAAAAGAAAAATCATCACTCGTTCTGGTCGTCAATCGTGTCCCTGGCTCATGCTCATCTAATCGTCGTCTGACCCGATGTTTCTCATCTGAGTGGACCCTTTGTCGTCTCCAACCTGCTTCTTCAATCCTGTTGACGGGTTTGAGGCTGAGATTGTTCGCCTTGCTGCTGTCGAACTGGCGCATCGGGAAGTTTGCGGCGCTTCGTGGTATCGGGGACCTGCATGTAGCCTTGATCTTGGGAGAAGCTGCGCTTATCAAGTCTTCGAGTCATCTCATAGGCGTAAGGATCATGGACTGGTCGCTCGAACTCGTAGGGAAGCATTTCGCGAATGGATGGAAGCCTTCCGTTCCACTGGCTCTGAGGCCCCTGGGGTGTCTGTTGGTGGTTGGCAGTCGGATGGGGTCGTGAAGATACATATCCTGGTGCTCGTGGCTGTGATCCCTGGGCACTGGTGCTTCCTGAAGGCACGGGAAGTGTCTGTTCAGGCTTTTCGACCTGGTCGGGGTCACGTTCCAGACGCCAATAGGGATTTTCCACACGCTCAGAGCCAAGGCGATCGAAGTACCCGTAACTGGGTCTCGAAGTGCGCTCAACTTCAGGTGCTGGAAGCCCATCAACTTCCTTGCCAGTGGCCGGCTGGTACCAAGCGGATGCAGAGCCCGGGATTGCAACACGCGCAGATCTGGGGAAAGGGTAGGAATCAGACTTGGGCAAAGCGGTGTGAGCAGATGGGATATGTCCTCCAGAAGGCCGTTGTTGAGCTGCATCGGCTGGTGTACCTGCGACAGAATAGGTTCCAATATCATCCAGTGACTTTGGCATGTTGAAAAACGGTCGTGAATGTTTGACTTCGTTCTCTTCATCTTCCTCGTCCCAGGGCAGGCGTCCCTTGCGTGATCGCCGAGCCTTCGGCTTCGGCTCGTTCTTCAACATTTTCATCTCGGCGATTTGAGGATCCATGGGCCCGGAAGTTGAAGTTGAAGCTGAAGCTGACGTAGAGCTATCAGCAGGGCTCGAGGGACGAGGGCGTCCATGGTCTTTGTAATATTCTGAGATCTTGTCAATATTGAAAGATTAGAAGGGAACCCGGCTAGACTGACTTGCATCACGCAAATACTTGTCGACGAATTCTTGGGCTTTCGGGGACTTGTGACCAGGTCTGTTGTTCTGGTAGTAATGCTCATCTAACGTAAGGAAGGAATCAGCATACTGCAATAATAGGATAACGTCAACGACTTACAAAGCATAGTGTGCGTGTATTCCCGGCGGCGTTTATCGCCTGCCAACTCGTTCATCCATTCTGCAAGCTGTGCCCAATTAAGGCTGTTGGGGTCAGGGTACGCAGCAACCGGTGACCGTGGGACAATGACTTCCCAAAAGAGACGTTCCTCTTCCTTAGACCAGGTCTTACCACCCATGGTGAGTCGGAGCGTAGGAGATAGCGAGCGTAGAAGGCAGCGAGCGTAGGGCGAAGGCGGCGATACAGAGACAAAAAGCCGCAAGTATATATAGGAAGTGATGATGGCTGTATAGAATTGTGATGTGAGGAGAGAAATAAACTTTCAGAATGGAAGGGAAGATAACGAGAATGCTTTATAGACAGCATAGGATAGCAGATGAGTGATTCAGTCCCGGTTGTGCTGTCATATCGAGCCATGATTAAACTCAGGGACAGTCACCTGGCCCTACTGAGTGGGAGACAATAGAGTGGTCTCTGGCTGTGATTCAATGCAAACGAAGCAGACGGGACGAACTGTTTGAATCTAGGAACCCAGAACATATTTGTAGGCAGCGATCTAGCATATGACAATGCCGTCGATATTGTCTATTCAGTTTTGCCTAGGGCCCTACTCTTCGAATATGCTTCGAGGTTCAGGGGCATGTACACCACGTGCAATCAAAAACGACACTAGGGGTCTCTCGAATCTCGAGAACTGTTATTGTCAGTCATTGTTGATTCTTGTGTTTGTCATTGAGGGGTAGGCAGTTACTCACAATGCTCTTTTTCTCGAGGGGTATCACTCCATCCTTCACCCAGAAGCCCCACCCGCCTGTCATATTGGCGAGCATCATATCCGTCGTCAGTCTATCACCGACGAACGCAACATGCGCGGGGTCTGTTACTCCAGTCTCTGGATGTTTCTTGAAGTACTCCATGATCTCCTGGCCACACCCTGGCTTCTTCACTGAATGCGATAGTACAGTGATGCCAGTGTTTTCCTCAACTTCAGCAGCGAGTTTCAAGTTCTTATCCCATGAAGTTGCGCCCGCGGTATTCGAGACCACCAGCAGTTTGCGACCAGGATATGCTAGTCTTAGCTTTTCGAAGTGATTCTATTCACAAGTTTAGTAGGCAGCTACCATCAAAATGATGAAGGTCAAATAATAGCCACCTTGTAAGATTCGTACACTTCAATACTATCGGGATAAGCAAAACAATCGTCTTTGTCCAGTACGACAGCCTTGATCTCTACTTTTCTGCCATCTTTTTGAAGGCCCTTTTCTAAGGGGATTGGTAAATCATTGAAGGTGGAGACTGTGTGATGGGGCAAGCATAGACTCGGCTTGAAGATGAGCCTCGTTATATTTAACGAAGCCGAAAGATTAAGATTCAACATGTTTTCGCTGCGTTTGATAGTCGTATAATTGAGAATGAAACAATTGAATGTCGTTGAGGAAGTTGAGCTCGCGCCACATTCAGGGGTGCCACAAGCGCCACACCAATTTAGCAGGCGCGTTACTACGCGAACGGGACCTTCCTTGTCACTTTATTTATTTCCCATTCCAGTACAACGTCAACATACAAAGAAAGTGACTTTTCGAGGTCTGTAGGCAATCTTGTCATCTTCCAAGATTCCATTATGCCTCGAAGAAAGGCTGCCGCAGAGCCTGACTCTCAAGGAATTCCTACAAGATCCCTGCGAAAGAGAAACCATCAGGAGCTCGAAGTCATCGAAGAAAGTGACCAGGAAACGACAAGCCCCGTAAAGCGACAACGTAGTATAGATCACGAGTCTCCTTCAATCGCTACCGGAACGAATGGTCACATAGAAAGCTTCACTTCGAATGGTAGTGAAGATCATACAGCCAGCGAGTCTGAATCATTATCGAAAGTCGACATAGACCAAACCCCTAAACCTGCTCCTAAGCGACGAGGTCGACCACCGAAGAATGCGACCAAAGCGACCAATGGCGACTCTCCTACGCCTAAAGCGAGTCGTACCGCTCTTTTCGAGACGCCTACCAAGAAAACACCTTTCGGACTGAACGGCGCAACACCCGGAGGAGCAGATCGATCTGCCAAGCGGAAAAGCACAAGAGCTTTGATCGAGCACGTTGTTGGCGATGACCTCACGGACGAGGAAGAATACGACGATTTTACGCAGCAAATCTACGAATCTAGTGAAGACGAAGAGGCTGCGGAAGGTGATATTGCCATTTCAGCAGAAGCATCAGGTGTAGACGAAGTTGCGACACCCTCAAAGTCGACACCTCGGCGAAAACCTCAACGAAAGAAGCCAGAAAGATCTCCGACTCCTCCCCGCGACCTACCTCCTCATGAACTATATTTTGCGCATAATAAGCCTGGACGACCGAAGACATCTAATAACACGCTTGGATCATTGGTTCTGCTTACACACGACGAATATTTTACGATTGTGAGAGAAACGAAGGATCACCATGAGCCTGATATCGAATTTCTGGAGAACTTACACGCCGAGTCATTCCCTCAGTGGGCCTTTGAGATGTCGCAAGGGTTTAATCTGTGTCTATATGGGTACGGCTCAAAGCGACGATTGATGCAGAAGCTTGCAGGCCACCTTCACTCTCGGTGTAGAAAGGACCAGGGGGACAAGATTGTTATAATCAATGGTTACGCTCCAAACACCACTATACGTGAGATATTGAGTACTGTTGGCGCCGCTGTCGATCCAGCTCACCGCATTCCTCTAACTCAACCCGCCGTTATGGTCCCGGCCATTCTTTCTCATCTCAATACCACATCTTCGACGATCACACTTATTGTCAACTCAATTGATGCGGCACCTCTTCGAAAACCCGCATCTCAAACTGCCCTGGCGCAACTCGCGGCGCATCCTCGTATACAATTGGCATGTTCAGCTGATACACCAGACTTTGCGCTACTCTGGGATATCGGTGTGCGATCGGCCTTTAACATGGGGTTCCACGACTGCACAACCTTTGCCCCGTATACCGCAGAGCTGGATGTTGTGGATGAAGTACACGAACTTCTTGGGCGGAACGCTCACCGAGTCAATGGCAGAGAAGGTGTGGCGTTTGTTCTACGCAGTTTGCCCGAGAACGCGAAAAATCTGTTCCGACTTTTGGTTGGTGAAGTACTCATCGCTATTGAAGAAGAGGGCGATGGCGGTGATGAGCCAACTGGCGTGGAGTACCGAATGGTGTATAACAAGGCAGTGGAGGAGTTCATTTGCAGTTCTGAAATGGCCTTCCGAACACTGCTAAAAGAGTACGTCTACCATACCCCACGTTGCAAGAAAGTTACTAACAGCAAATAGATTCCATGACCATCAGATAATTACGAGTATGAAGGACGCTCTTGGAACTGAGCTATTGAGCTTGCCATTTAGGAAGGACGAGCTGGAAGCTATTCTAGAAGACCTCACGTCATGATATACCTCTCACTGTAATATATAGAATCGGGAGTATGCATGGGAGCATCGGCGCTGGTTTTGGAGAAAACATTGAGCAAAGTTTTGCATCATGACATTGGTAGGGGTATTAAATATAACATGCAGGGAGCTCATTACCCTGGGATTTAGACCACATCTTCAAGCCTTTCGTGAACATTCATTCATCTCTATGCAGCCGTCCGCCCTCACTTGATGTCTATACCACCCATCCTCGCAAAAGAATCACCGGAACGCCGTCCCACCAGGTACTTTTCTATTAGACACCCAGGCTCTTGACACATGTCCACAACACCACTGGCACAATGACGTTGTCATTTCCGCCGGTAAGAACTGCTTCTGTCAGACTCGCCATCGAAGCGCACATGACGGCGTTTCGAGTACCAGCAACAACTCCAGGCTGGTCGCCTGCAACTGGCCAGCCGCCGATTCTCAACCAGAAACTGGCGGCACCGAGTCCCAGGACAACAGCTATCGCAAATGCGAGACTGCCCTCAAGACTCTTCCCGCCGCCCCAGAACCATTTCCGGCGTCCATATCGACGACCGATCAATGAAGCTGCTGCATCTCCAAGTCCCACACAAATAACGCCAGAGACAAGACTGACATCGCGAGCTGGCACTTCCCAGCCAGATAGATAACCAGATCCTGTGCGTGATACCGAAGCGAGGCCCAGCCAAAGAGGAATGGCGCATCCGATAAGAAGGAAGATGTGTGAAATAACGACAGGCCCACGGAAATCCCTACCGTCAACATAGGGCGCTAGGAATGAAGCAATGGGCTTCGATAACGGAGGAAGCTGACTCGCTCTGAGGAGATCCAAGATCAAGAAGACCGCCAGAATTAAGGAGAGAGCCAGAGCTGCGTATGTAGGATCGACAAATGTCGCGGGCAAAAACATGCCAACCATCATAAAGTGAAACACCTTTCGCCGCGTGTCCACCTCATAGATATCCTTGAGTCGGAAAACGACAATCAGACCCATAATCAGGATGCCCAACCAGTAGACACTCAAAAGAAGCCGAGTATTCGCTTCACCAAAATCGTTATGGCGCACATGTTGCACCCAGCCGGACTGACATTGTTTGTCTTCCGTAGGATCCAGCCTTGGAGGCAGGCAAATCCATCGCTCCAAGTTGTAACTTCCGACTTGGTATCTGAACCAAGACCAATCACCCAAAAGATAACCCAGGGCCCAGCCAATGGGCTCGTTACCGTCTAGCGCAACCCTTTCGATATAGGTGCGAACGCCTCCTAAAATGACCAATATTATGCTGGCATAGACATATCCTGCATATAGCCACTTTCTCATCGTTGCTTGCTCCTGCGTCAACTTAAAGAAGGGGCGAACAGACATGGAAGTAGCTCGTTTTCTACGTCCCGAGGGAGTATGTGTTGCATTCCGCTTGTTTCCTGAATCAAGGTGTGGTAAGGTATGTCTCCGAGCAAATGCCCAATTCCCGGAACCATCTGCAGCTGTTGGGGAAGATTGCAAGCTATCTACGCCTGCTGGAGCGGGAAAGCTGGGTCCGAATGTCTGTACTCTTGCTGGTTTCTTGAATAAAGGAGGGCCTGCCTCGTCTTCGGAAGAACCAGCTGTGTCGTAAACCGCATCTTCGTGCTCAGCTCTTAGCAATTCATTCCTGAGGCGACGAAGAGAGAAGAGCTGCCGAAGGTTCTTCCAGAAGGGCGGCCGCTGGCTGATAGAGGCTCTACGGAACCGCCATTTTGGCACTCTAGCTAACGCAATTCCCCAACGAATAATCGGACCACAAAACACAAGAAGAGACAGACCACCACCCCATAGAAGAGCCTTGAGAATGATAATTTGAGGTGAAGAAGCCAGTAGGAGAACGTTGATGAGAGCAATTGATAGTAGTTGAAGCTCGGCTGTCAACAGACTTGTGGTGGTGAGATAATGCAGTACCACACATAGACTTTGATGGAGGGGGTACAATAGCACTGCTGTTTCTCCTGATATGAAAGCTTCTGGGTATTGGTTTTCAAAGTTTTCGCGCGTCTTTGGGCTCCAGACCAATGGTATGCAGGTGATGCCCCATGCTAGTACATCGTAGGTAGCATAGGGGTCGACTTTTGGAATTACGCTCTGCGGAATAGAAGCGAGACTCAGAACAAGGTTCGGAAGTATCGCGGCGGGATTGTTCGAAGAAATGAGGAGTGACACGAAGAGAGTAATCGCCGAAGGATATAATATCGGAGCGGGGTCGAAATGTGCTGGTAGTTCGAGGGGTATTGGGTGTGATGGCGACCTCTTACGATAGGCCCATGCCACGACCCGAATGGGATACAGAACGAGAAGCCCAGCGTACAGAAGACCGAGCAGTATAATATCTGATATTATGAGTCAATTGAATAAACAATGCAAAAATTGTACGCACCTTTTCCCCAAATCTTCAACAGCTGTAACACCTGTGAATTTGAAGCTACCATAAGGCCCAAAGATAGAACAATGCCCGCCTCGGTTGCGCGTCTTACAACCACCCTTCTTCGCCTCTTGAGAGCTTCGATTAGGCGCTGGGTTTCTGGTGTCTCAGCAGGAACTGGCTTTTTCTCGAGGATGCGGGCGGTACGGTCGTCCGGAAGTGGTGGTGACGGAAGAGGTGACGAAGACCCAGACAGAGGTTCATTGATGCCTCTTAATCCCTTGTGCAAGTTTGACCTTGGCGCTGGTAATCCCCTCAAATAGTGTTCATCGTCGGCTTCGGAACCGCTGTCGCTCGTCTGCGGAGAGTCCTTGAGAAAGGGTGGCCATGTTGTTGGCGATGTCTCGTGGTTGGCATCGTCACTGGTCTTGGCAGCTTGCGCTTGGCGGTTCCGTAGAGAAAATCGATCCTGAAGATGCGGAAGGTCTATACTCTGGTGATGATACGGGTGAGGAGTTCGCGACCGAGCTTGAATAGTATCTTGTTCTTCGGGGTCGAGGGCGTTGAAAGGGTTGGGGTTGAGATGCTCTGTCATGACGAGGGTGTTGAAGGTGCCGCAATAGCAATCATCGAATATGGATGGGGTTTGCGCATGCGCCTAGGACACTTTTGAAAGAGAGAAGATCGCAAACACTTTGGCAGAATTGGAGTGGTAATGAGAGTATCAAGGTTCGGAATAAAGACAATTTCCGTCTGTGGCTTTGATTCCACGTCGACGATTTTGTTGACAGAAGATCGAGCATCTGTCTTCGGTACTGCCACATGTGAAAGTGGCCTTGTGCATCAGCCGTTTCGTCAGCTAACTAAACAATCTTCCAATCACCGAGGAGTTTCCAAGGCACGGCCACTCACGAGCCACGGTGATCAATAGTGGACAGTGGCTCAACATGGTGTAAGGCAAGAGCTGACTTTAAGATAACCTTCAATTTACCCGATACCAAGACAGAAACGGATGGGAGTCAAGTACAGATCTGGAAATGAAGCGTTTCCTAAGAGGGTACAAAGAAATCAATTTATCAATTTATGATTATCCTGTGTCGCGCGTGTCTTGGAGTAATTCCACTCCCTTCAGAGTATACTATTACAACATTCCATCTCTATCAGAGGACAATACCGTCAAATAGTTCCTGCCCTTGAAAGGCACAGGAACTCAACAAAATACACTTTCCGCATTTAGAGCCCGTCAGGAACGGAAAGCGCCATGAAACACAATATCACGTGCCCAGCCTGGAGCCTTCCACGAATATTCTCAAAATGTCTCATTAAATGGAATACGACAGCGGGCACGACAATACCATACGATTCTTCTCACTACTATACAAGTGATCACGAAAAAAGACGACGCTCCTCTGTCATAAATCCCATCGCCAGGTCTCACGAATACATCAGCTAGGGCTCTAAATTTAGACGTGGCGTCCATCAACCCTCAGCCAGTGGCAGGCGCCAAATTTGCTCCGCCCCTCCCCAGAAACTCCAGCATACGGATAAGTTGCATATTCTACATATCCATATACGACAACGCGAGATCTTATGCGCAGTTACGAATGTGACATATGGGTCTGGTCTAGTCATGCTGGATGCTCCAATATCACATGAAGGTCATTCGCTACACTTCTTACCCTGTGGTTCGAGATCAATCGCGAGTGTGTGCGTGTTTTGTTATCTGTTGCATGGTCAGCGCTACAAAAACGACCAGACGCCAAGGGCGCCGAGCATCGATGTTGTCAATAGCCCATTGGCCCAACCATTGAATTCAAACCTAAAACTCGGTCAACTTCAGCTGTCTCACGACAATCTGCATATTGGCTGTCTGGCAGCAGCTTGTCTCTGATAACATGTGCTGGTTGGCCATGAATTGTGCTAAGCGTTGAGTACTGAGATGGCATGTCTCACCACCAGAGAACTGTCTCAATTACAGGTGAGCGAACTGGATCGTGAAAAAGAACTTCGAAACCCTACAATCCTTGATTCACCAGAGAGGGGTTGAAGTTTCAAGATTTGAAGTTGGGTGTGGTGTTCAGGTCAGCGATTCGATTCATCCTGACAAAAGAGGTCGTGTATGACCCAAAGATGATCCATCATTGCACCAACCATACTATTTCTAAGACACATTCACTAATAGTAGTACGGTCAGTACATACGCATTGCAGAATCGAGGCCGACAGTTCATCTTGGTCACATCCAGCGGTTGAGGCAGTAAAACACTATAACGACCCATCCAAGTCTAACCAAGGCACGCTTAATGGGAATACTAGTAATTAACGAACAACAAAAAAACTCTTGGTGGAGGGCCGTGAGATCCGGTTGCATACATCATATTCGCTTGGCATATTACCAAATCCGCTTCGCCTTAAGACGGACACGCCGCGCGGAGCCAAGGACTGTGCACGTATCCATACTCGATCTCGCGTGTAGAGCACCAAAAATAAGAATCAACCGAGATTTCTTTCGTATTATTGCTGAGCATAATAGGACGATCAACCCAGATTGAGAGTCTCCGGTCTCCGGTCCCCAAGGAGTCTTCATGCTGTCGATCCGGTATGAACAATCAAGCACGTTCATCAAAGGCCAAGATGCGTCACTGCGTTGCATATCAATGACAATTATGAACAACCATTACACATATCAAACAAGGGTCTTATTACTGTAAAGCAGAAAAAAAGCTTTACTTGATCGAGGGTTGAGATTTGTATCAACCCTGCTGGGCAGGCCTTATTCGAATAGGCCTTGATGCTTGCATGCTGAAACCAAGGGTGGCATGGCCAGATCATTCTTGTTGACAATGCGACCACCTCCATTGCGACGCAAGATCAACTCAATGGAAGGGTTGGATAAGGGAAGACGAGAAGGCAACCTTCAAGTCAGGGACAGGGTTCAGGGGTTGAGCTGAGTGGGTCAAACATGGAATGACGACTGGGATCTTGCGGGCAGAAGAGGGCACATCTTTTGGGACCAATGGCTTGGGTCTGAACGTTGACCCGCTCGTTGATGCCGATGCTCATCTTTTTCTGTCGATTTTCTCGTATTCTGATGGCACGGAGGCGATTGTCTCTCCCCCTTCTGGTTCTGACATCAATTGGACTGATGATGGGGCTCGGGAGCTTTTTAAAGAATACGAAGCAACAACGCGATACTCGTACGTATGGGATGGGCACACAAAAGGCCTTGACAACAGCTCCGTCCGTTTGCCGTTACATCCACAGTGACATCACAAAGGTGGTGACTAGCGTCACGTTGGAGAGGCGCGGCGCCGTCTACACGACGGCAAGATGGACAGGAACCAGGGGGTAGTGATCTAAGCTCCCAGCACGCTTTAGCGGTCCTATTGACAAAAAGAGCCATGCAATGAGGTTGGATTAGATCGCATGTGCAGTGTGCAGCAAGCACCTACCATGCCACATATGTATTGAAGATCGAAATTGTTACAGCCAAGTTCATAATAACTCTGGCAAACGCGGTCACAGCTTTAGGCTGAACGAAGGCTGAAACATCTCTCCAGGTTCTACGGCAATATGAATTGCGAGCCTCAGCGGCTTCGCCCTCGTTGTCAGGTGTGCTTTACACAACTGCAATGTGCATCAGGTCCGTCAGAAACAGACCTTCTTAAGGGCCAGGAAACGCCTCATGTCTGGGGCTGGAGCTTATTGACGAGAACCAGAGGGCTAGACTGGTCCTGACGAACACTTGAGCCGCCCTTTCGCGCCTAAACCCCACCAAAGCCCATCTCTTCCAGGCTCCGCGGGCCTGTTTGACTGCTGCTCACAGCTCTACCGGTCGGGTTTCCAAGGGACGGGCGTGCACTCCGGCTGAACCTGGCAGGACGACAACCGCTAGACAAGGACTAGCTTTTCGTCTAGTTTCGGGGTGGCGGTCGTCAAAAACTGCAAGCGGCTCCCTCCCAGGCCGAAAAAAGAAACACACCATATGCTTAGTGGACAGTGAATTTGTCCAGATTTGCGACGACCTTTTTCTTTTCCCTTGCCACTGTCGACAAAAATAAGGGCACAGCAATAAAAACCAACTAGCTTACTTGGATTGCTGTATTGTATGCAACTCAGCCTCCTCACACCAAGACTAGCGTAGTTCTCGGGGCTTTTAGCTGACCAGATCCCCCATCATCAACGATCCACGTTGACATTGAAAGAACAAGCTGCATTTTAACACAAAACTCTCCTCTTTTTTTGTTTCTTGGGTTGGGGCTTGATTGCAGATTGCCTTGACTTAACTTGACGGACTCAGCTCGTGTAACACCCAGTCCCAGTCACTCCACCACCTCCACTGCCTCCACTCCCCCAGCGCCTCCATCTAACCATCTATTATTGTCAATCTCTCCGTCCCTTGGGTTTCTCTCGTCCGCACATCACCAGTTTTGTATCCATTCGACAACTGGAACTGTGTTGACTCCTCCCTCGGACGCTAGAGCCACCTCCTCAGACTCCTCTTCAGCTTGGCACACGACACCTTTCATCATCGATAAAGAGATTCGCTCCTCTCATCAGCTGTCGTCTGCAGCTCTTGAACCCTAGCTTGTTTACTGCACTGTCCTCTGGGTCCCTTACTGCACCTCGTCAACACCAACACCTCCTTACAGCCAGTCGTTTCTCGTGTCTTCCCCAAAAAGCAAACGCAAACCCAAATAGCTGCTTTGGATCCGCATATTTTTGGACTATTTTCAGCCGCTAAACGTCCTCTGCATATTCGTCTCCAGTCTTCGCCTCGCTTGATATCGTTCTGGTCAACCTGAGTTCTATACAAAACTCAACCTCCTCCCATCCTCCAAGCCTTTTTGTTCAATCGTACATCATGGCATCTAGCGACATCAAGCACGACTACAGCATGGAGGCAGGATTGTTGAACACTGACCGAGAAGAGAGAATCATGTCGTCAAAGGAAGCACTACTCCAGGATTCGGAATCTGCCCAGACCGCCCCCAGGACTACCAGAAGGATATCGCCAGCTGGCAAGGCTTTGATTGCTTTGGCTGCTTGCTGTCTGTTGGGAGCCGGTGTGGCATCTATTGGTGGCGCTACTCGCTTCTGCCCTGGACATCTTCGCCATGGAGATTTTATCGGAAAGCATGGCATGAACGCTCACCACTCAAACCTGTCCGAGACTGTGGCCAAGATGGTTCGACGACAAAACACCCCAGGAGCTAGCGACACAGCGGAGCCTGCTACTGATCCAACAAATGGTACCGCTGATGAGGCTTCCGATGAACCAGGACCTACAGCTCCCACGGCTCCTACTGCCCCTACTGCTCCTACCGCACCAACAGCTCCCACAGCTCCTACAGCTCCCTCAAACACCGCAGCGGCACCCTCAGCAACTAATGAGGAGCCCACGGATGATGCAAGCGAGCCTGTAGAGCAGCCTTCAGCTACCCAGGATGAGCCATCTGAGCAGCCCAGCAACCCTGCCACCAACGATCCATCACCAACTCAACCTTCGGCTACCCAACAGCCATCCTCTACGAGTGAGCCCTCCTCACCCTCGCGTCCCGCGAACTCTGAACCTGACGAACCGACCTCTAACCCGGATACAGACCGACCTTCTGCCACTGCCCAACCTACCAGGGAGGACTCTGCCACTGATGACACCCCCTCTGCCACGGAATCAGACGAGGAGCCTACCCAGCCTGCTTCCAACACGGCTCCTACCCAGCAGACCACTCGCCGTACCACGGCGACCCAGCCCAGGTCAACTGAGGAGTCCGACCCCGAATCAACCGCCGATTCCGCCTCCGGTACGTCCGACTCGGAAGAGGAACCTTCCGAGACTGCTCCTTCTTCTCGTGCTTCAACATCCAATCCTGCTTCTCCAAGTGCTCCAACCTCCACTGCTGCCAGTACGTCTACTCGAAGAACCTCTTTGCCTGACCCTTCTTCTTTTTCTGATTCGCCGTCCGAAACGGCATCTTCGGGTGAGACAAATCAATCCACCGTTTTTGATGATGCCTCTGCTGCCGAAACTGCCACCGCCCCCTCATCCACTGCCGCCGGTGCGTCTACCATTGCCGACACTGCCACCGTTCCCCAATCCACTGTCGCCGATGACTCCACCATTGTCGACACTTCCACCGTCCCCTCATCCACTACCAACCGTGCGAGCAGTGTCGTTTCTGATTCGACCTCGGAACCAGCTTCCAGGTCAACTCAGAGATCGACTACAGCTTCGCAGGCTTCAGAGGAGAGAGAGACGATCACCGGTATGTGGGAAAGACCAGCATCAATGGTACCATCTACGGGACGTTGATGCGGGTCTAACTCCCCAAGCCTATTGTGATATTATTGCGTTGTGCCATTTCTCCAGCAACTGATGCCCTGATTCCGTGACCTTCGCAAGTGCGCCAAAACCTGCGACATGTTTTCACCTTGATTGCATTCATACATCGATCTCATGACACTTTGCAAACACACACTTTTTGAGCAAATGTGCTAACTTGGCCACAGATGAGCAGGAAACCGAGACTCAGACAGACGAGGCTACACAGACTGATGAGGAGGAAACCGCAACTGAGACAGAGTCTGCACGAAGCACTGTCACTGGCTCTGGTACTCGCCGAACATCAAGCGCTGTGCCCAAGACCTTCACCTCCACCCTCGAGGATGGCGGTGTTACCACCCTGACCTCGACCTCTTGGGTCGAAGTCGTCCCTTCAGCCGAAGCTACCGGCAGCAGCGACCCTGACCTCCAGAACGCCGCTCCTCGATCTGTTGGCTCAGTTCTTGGTGCCGTCGCTGGTATGATCTTTGGTGGTGTCATTCTTCTGTAAGCTGGAAACAGCCCTGCTTACCAACTTTGCGCATTGCGCGAGGATCACCACGCAGATATAGTGGTGGATGAACTTGATTGTTCAATCATGGGCGGAAGCTCATGTAATACTGGTTCATCTTTATGAATTTTACGGTCCTTTTCTTCATGGGTACAAAATTAGGATAATAGACTGGAGCAGCATCAAACACTTGGGTACATGGGGGAGCGGTTGTCGTCAAAACAGGAGCATCCACATATGGCTGCATCTTGGACGAGATTTGGATTATTAATTGGCACTTAGAATATTTGCCGACGGGGATCGTATTTAAAATGCATAGTACATGAGCGAATACAAGGCATTTGCATTTTCTCTACTTAGTTGTTCGGTCCAGGTTCAATTTTGCGTGATGTTATTATTAATAAGTGCTTGAACATTTATACAGAGTATCACAAGTGATGGAATGATTGCATGTCACTGATTCTCGTTTTTTTCTGTCAAGACTACCAGATGGTAAGGATCAAAATCGGTTGATTGTTAATATTTAAGGGTATAATTGATAAAACGCCAACAACTCCCGTGAAAGTACCTGCAATGCGACTTTCTGTATCTACATTCTTAGCCAGGACCAATCCTGGGCATATCGTGATGCTCGCTTAGTTTCGATAAGTATGTATTGAGTTCTTCGACACGTTCTTTATGCGTCTTGAGAAGTTCGGGTCGGGCATCAGATGATTCGGCGAGTTTGAGTAACTGGTGAATATGTTAGCTTAGGCACTCCTTAAACTTCGGGATGTTATGCGCTTACCCTCTTTCTCTTGATCTCCTCGTGTCGCTTCTGAGCTTCAGTTTTCTGCACTTCGGGCTTCTCTTCATCGTCCTCGTGGCGAGGCTCATCTTCTTCTTCCTCCTGCTTGTCCTTTTTCTTCTTTCTCTTCTCTTCGTCCTTGCTTCCGGTACTGAGGTTCTTCTCTAGATCGGTCTTGTCGCGCTTCTTCTTTTTCTTGTTGACCTTGGCGCCCTTGAGTTTTAGGGCGCCGCCGCCACCGACAACAGCATAGTCGTCGGACCCCATATTGTTGTGATGTTAGGAAGAAGTCGATAAAGGTTGATCATGGACTACTGTCGTTGAAGTAAATTGGGTGACTAAGGAATTCGTGGCGGTGCTGGTGGCTGGGCCCCACTCGAAACAAGCAAGGGGCTGGGGCTAGTCCCGCTGCTCTGTCTGAACCATACGCGGAAAGGAATAGGAAGCACTTGCATAGACAAAGCAAAGCTTCCTTGTGATGAGTTGGGGAAGGTCTTCTCCTATCTTGGTCCTTTTCTTTGTCTGGTCCCCTCCAAATGCCCACTTGGCTTAAACAACACAAACAAACATCCCCCTTTTTGGTGCTGAATGGAAAAGACTTTATGAGCAATCAATACTGTCGTTGACGAATACGACTCTTCTTCTTAATTGTACTTTTATACCCCATCTTTAATCTCGACCGCTTCAAGCGACGTCTTCTTCTACCGCTGCCGACGACATTGACCATCATACGTCACAAACCTTCTATTGCGATATTGCTCCAGTGACGATCCGCTGAAAAAACCCACTCGAAACCTTCGCGACTTTAAACCGTTATGCGCCGTTGCTGTTAGCATTTCAAAGTATCGAATTGAAACATCCGTGGATCCTCACACCTTGGGGCAAGATCAGTTGTCTGGTTATTGAATAAGAGGGGGAAGCACAACCACACGACAAATCGCAATGGCGCATTCTTATGGTCAGCCGGGTAGAGACTCGCTCGAGCTTGCGTCTTTGGCAAGCTCGAGCCAACTCAACGAGGAAGGAGCGACAGAGATCTCATCTCGGCCTAGTATATCGTCGTCTCGAAGGCTGTCTCTCGAACTTGATGATCCATTGAACAGCGCCAATCCTGCGAACCCTGCTGGTAGGATGCAGCGATCTTATTCCACAACCTCGGCATTTGAATATTCTGGCAATATGTTTCCTTTGAGCTCGACCGCAGGTGCTGATGGCTATGCCCCCATCGGGGCGTCAAGTTCTAGAATGCGGCCAACCGGTGGCTTGTCAGGAGGTTCTTTGGAAAAGAGCAAGAACCTGACATATCTCAATGGGTTGTCATTAATTGTCGGATTGATCATTGGCTCTGGCATTTTCTCATCGCCTGGTTCAGTGAGCGGTAAAGTTGGCTCGCCGGGCGCTGCGATACTCGTCTGGATCATTGCTGGTATCCTTGCATGGACAGGTGCCGCGTCGTACGCTGAGCTTGGTGGAGCAATGCCACTCAATGGAGGCGCTCAAGTGTATTTGGCAAAGACGTTTCATGAAGTTTTCGGTTTCTTGTTCACATGGGTGGCTATGTTGGTTCTCAAGCCTGGTAGTGCCGCCATCATTGCCATCATCATGGGTGAATACTTCGTTCGAGCATTCATCGGCCCAGATGCCGAATACGTGAGTCCCTGGATAAACAAGGGCGTGGCGCTCGTTGGACTTTTGGTCGTTACGTTCATGAACTGTGTTTCTACAAAGCTGGGAACGCGTGTGAACGATGCACTCATGTTCATGAAGTTTATCGCTTTGCTGGGGATAACAATCACGGGAATTGTGGTTATCGTAACTGGAAAGACTCTCAAGGGCAAGTCAGAAGTTGACTGGAAGCCATCTGCACTGTTCGACAACACATCGACCGACATGTCCGCTTGGGCACTGGCGCTTTACGCTGGTCTCTGGGCATATGATGGATGGGACAACGTAAGTGATATAATATCCACCTTGATTATGACTTACGAGTGCTAACACAACTTAGACCAACTACGTGGTTGCCGAGTTTCAAAATCCCACTCGAGACCTGCCTCGCGTCATTCATACAGCAATGCCCTTAGTTATTCTCTGTTATGTCCTGGCCAACGTTGCTTACTTTCTTGTTCTGCCACTTGAGAGTATGGATGGTGCCAACACAGTTGCTGTCATGTTTGGCAATCACGTTTTTGGCTCGGTGGGCTCGCTTGTTCTTGCACTCATCGTCAGTGTCAGTTGTTTTGGCGCTCTCAACTCCTCAACCTTTACTTCCAGCCGTCTCGCCTACGCCGCTGGCAAAGAGGGTTACATTCCGTCAGTCTTTGGTACCATTGGTGTCGGCGCTAGTGCACATGAGCATGAGCTCAACACCTTGCGTACACGAAGCTGGTTCACTCGTAAGATGAGGAAAATGTTTGGCGATGAGGACGCAGGGCTGTTTTACACACCTGTGTATGCCCTCATTCTCAACGCAGTTCTCACGACTGGTTACATTATTGTTGGCGAGTTCAGCACCCTTGTCACGTTTTATGGTGTTGCCGGCTATGCCTTTTACTTTCTTACTGTGCTTGGTGTGATTGTTTTGCGCGTTAAGGAGCCTGAACTCACTCGCCCTTACAAGACGTGGATTACTACTCCCATCATCTTCTGCTGCGTGAGTCTCTTCCTCCTCTCACGCGCCATCTTTGCACAGCCCTTCCAGACCCTTGCTGTCATATTCTTCGTGGTGGCTGGTGTGCCGGTTTATTTCTGGCGTATCAGGGGACGGGATGAGCAAGTCTTGAGAAGAAGAGGACAACCCGACGATGACAAGAAGTGGTACCAGTTTTGGAAATGATTATGATTTGTGAGATGCATGACAAAAGAACAGGGATTTGAGGAAATGACAGCAGGTACATGTCATGATGGTAAAAAAAAAAACAGGGTATGGGGTTACAGCGAGATGAAATTCGGTGATGGCTTGTATAATGAGGCATAACAAAACAGCGACTATGCATATGTATCAATAACTAGCAAACAAAGTAAAACAAGACACAGAGGAGCGGAACATTTGCTTCTCATGAAACTGTTTCGATATGCTCAGGTATAGACTTTCAATAAGTTGTCAGTGATAAGTGTTGTAAGAGGAACAATGAAGATGCAAAGTAACTGACCAATGCACAAATGTTCTTTTCCGGATTATAAGGAAGCACTGCTGTTATTGGACGGCTGCATTTTCACGATGTGCTACTTGCAGGCCTCGACTCCATGTGATGTTGAGCTGGACGGCAAGGTTGTTGTTATGCTGATAACGAACATTGACGCCAACTACTGTTATATCTAAAAGGTAATTAGACTATAGTCTGAGAGCATTGAGTGTTGCACCAAATAAGCAAGGAACTCAAAGCAAAGTTGGTTAATACTCTAATGATATCTAACACTCCTTCAAACAAATTGAAGGATTCAATTCAGCCAGAAAAAGAAATCAAAAGATAAAGCTAAGAAAAGGTTAAGAAGCGGGATTGTGTTATCGCATTCATAAAGCATGGTCACCAAGAAGAGAGAGAGAAGGTTTAACTTTAACAAATTGTATTATCTGCAACGCTGATTACTTTTGACCCGCGTCTATAATGCAGTTGGTTCAAAACTAAATCATCATCATGTACATATCATTTCTTCCTTTACGAATACATTTATTTCTTCTCACGCTGGCCGTAAGACTTGGTGGCGTAGTCACCCTGGTAGACGATGAGGTCATCTGGGTTGTAGTCGTGGCGGCCAGAGAGGTAAGAGTCGATGATGGCCTTGGTACCGTTGGCGTATCGGATCTGAGCATCCAGAGAAGTACCGGACATGTGAGGAACCATGGCGTTACCGCCACCCCAGTTGTTCTTGGCGGTTCGCAGAGGGTGGTCCTTGGGGGCGGGCTGGTGGTCCCAGACATCACCACCGTAACCGGCGAGGTGACCAGACTTGAGAGCAGCAGCGACGTCCTCCTTGACAACGATGGCACCACGAGCGGTGTTGATGAGGTAGGAACCCTTCTTCATCTTGGAGATGAGGTCCTTGTTGAACATACCCTTGGTCTTCTCGTGGAGAGGGCAGTTGATGGTGACAATGTCACACTGGGCGAGCATCTCCTCGAGGGTGTCGACGCGGCGGCAGCCAATCTCCTTCTCCTTCTCGGCAGAGAGAGGCTGGTAGTCGAAGTAGAGAAGCTCCTTGCAGTCGAAGGGCTTGAGGCGGCGGAGGACACGCTCACCAATGCGGCCGACAGCGACGGTACCGACAACCTTGCCCTCAAGGTCGAACTCCTGCTTAGCAGCGTGGGCGACGTTCCAGTCACCACCCTCGATCTGCTCGTGGGCAGGGACGAAGTTGCGGACGAGGACGAGGATGGTCATGAGAACGTGCTCAGCAACGGAGACGACGTTGGAACCAGTGACCTCAGCGACGGTGATACCACCGTTGGTCTTGTTGGCAGCGTTGAGGTCGACGTGGTCAGAGCCGATACCAGCAGTAACAGCGAGCTTGAGCTTCTTGGCCTTGGCGAGACGCTCAGCGGTCAGGTAACCGGGGTGGAAGGGAGTGGTGATGATGATCTCAGCATCCTCGAGCTCCTCGTCGAACTTGGAACCCTCACGGTCCTTGTCGGAGGTGGTGATAAGAGTGTGGCCGGCATCCTCGAGCCACTTGCGGATACCGAGCTCGTTCTCAGTAGTTCCGAGAAGGAGGGGTTGCTATGAACCATGTTAGTCGCTGTAAACCAAGAAGATGCGAATTGCGAGGTGATTGAGGGGTAATGATGCAGGATGGAGACATTGGGTGTAAGTTGGGTTGCATTGTTGCTCAGGCGCCTGCAGCGTAAACCACAGGAGAGGCACAAAGCGAGACAGTGTCACCCAAGCTTAACTCCTTGATGCCATTGCAGATGTTGCCCAGACATTGCCCCGCATCATTGGGCTGATAGTGGCTGGTTGTCATGTAGTGAGACCATTTCCCCGCGTTTGAGATCGACAAGCGTGGAGAGATGGTGTGTGGGGAGATGTTTGTGGTTGCCGGTAGATTGAAGGCATTATCAACGACCATTGAAGGTAATGATCGAAGAGTGAAGAAGAATCGAACTGTTGAAGAAGAAAGATGGAAGAACATACATCCTTGGCGTGCTGGCCACCGTCGTAGAGAACTGCAAGAACCTTGACCTGTTGAATTGTTAGATGAGGCTCAAGAGGATATTGGAGAAAGTGGGCTGGAGGGGAAAGCTTACCATTTTGGCGGTTGTGAAAAGGGTTGTTTGTTTTGTTGGAAAGGTGAGAAGAAGGAAGAAAGAAAATGTTGTTGATGATGATGAGAGTGAGGAGGAAAGAAAGTAGGATATCGAGGGTCCAACGCCAGATATTTATGCTCTGTGATGGAACGCCATGGCTATGTATCTTGTCACCAAGTAATGATGGATGCTCTCCACCACAGGACGACACAGAAACAGCCAAGGATCCACGTCTCACACGCTGCAGTGCAATGAATGGATTGCTGCATCCTCGCCATTAACGGAACGGGAACCGTGCCACGGTCAAGGGCGGCCGAGCACTCGCTCACACTCTCAATCAATCAGACACAGCGAATCTCCATCGATCCCGCGAACCCCGAGCGCGCCGGCATCTACGCCTGCCTCTACGTAGTAAGAGGGGGGGTCAGGCTCCTGGGCCCATGGCATGTGTGTACGGTACGGAACAGTATGGAGTCTGGCGTCAAAGTCTGGAAGCTTTCTCCATCTGCATCTCCGTAGAATTAGATGGAGGAGGCGACAACAAGCGCCGAGAGTGGCAGCCGATGGGAGACCGGACTCTGAATAGCGAACCCCATGAGATACATGTCGTACAGTAATGAATTGGTAGGAATGAGAAGTATCTCGACCACGGCGACCGGCCGATAACCCGCTAGATGCCGTCCCAAGATACAGACGCGGCGTTCAAAGGGAGCGGGGGAGGGGGAGCGCGTGCAAGTGCGACCACATACTCTCGAGGAGACTTACCGGAAGAGGAAAGTATGGGCAACTGTTCCTCTTCCATGATGGAGGGCATATCTCGGTATTCGGAGTTCTGGTTCTGTTTGGTGATTGGGGAGAGCTCTTGAGGATAAAAGTGGAGGGACAGGAGCTATAGCCATGAACCAATCAAGCGGGGCGATCTTACCTGAGGCCCTGTCGAGGTGGGGTATCGCGACTACCACTTTCGGTACGATTTGAAGCGGGGTTGTGGTCTCGGGTCCAACCTCCTGCCTCGTTCCCTCTCTAAGATTCACGGGCAGTTTCAACTGTACGGCACGGCAGGTACGGTGCACTTTCCCGTCCTTTGGAATATTCCACCGTCATGAATCAGCTTCTCTGGACCCTTCAGATCCATCTATCTCCAATTGAAGGAACATTCTAATCGATTTCCGTTGGAGAAAGGAAGGAGCTAGGTAAACAATGTCCGTCTGCTGACAACCGACCTAAAGACAAGGGATCGTGTAAGTGGGGGACCACGATCATGATGGAGGGATGATGCCGTAACAGCTACTCTACTACGCTGCTACTCACACTAACACATACGTAACTGCTCGGGCTCCAATTTACCGGAGAAAAAGATAGCACTCGCCAATAGTGGAATTGGAGGTTATCAATGGCATAGACTTGACATGGAAAACTGCCCGGTATCGATGATGGTCTGTGTTGGGCAGAACCACAGATGGACCGACTACCCACTGAGGCTCTGATATCATCCACGTATCCGTTGTCCGTAGATTGCCTCAATCCCTTGGGTAGCTGCACTCATACAGTAGCAATCAATAGTCCAGTCTTTTACCCTGTAAGTGTAGTGTTGGCCAACACCGAGTATACTCCCGTGGCCTCAAATCTGCATGCCGTCCTCTAATCCCGCAAACAATCTCCTTGTTACATCTCATGTAGTCATATGCCTCAAAATCATCAAATGCTATGCAATTCTATTCTATTCTATTCTTGTCCAGTTTGTTGTCCGTCGCTATTCGGCATCCCGCCATACGGCCGTAGCGCCCCGTTCTCCGGTCCGGATGCGGGGGTTGAAGCTGGGCTTTGTTTCGCACTTTCATCTCCGGAGATGCATCTGACTTCAGAACTGTGAATAACGCCACATGGTGGCAAGCCAAGCTTCTGGATTCACTCTATTTCATGTTCGTGTGCATGACCTAGACTTGTCTTGGATCTCATCTCATGAGCTTGCCTCTTAGCAGATTTCCCCGCATTCTCAAATGGGTTTTTGAATGCATAGCGAGTAAGTTTGTTATTTAGAATTTGAGCGATAATTCGATCAAGTCTCGTCACTTAGGGTGATTTAGAACGACACTCTATTACTGGTAAATCTTAAGTATGCATAACCGTTACTAACAGCTCATGATTCTATCATTAAATCTCAAAAATACCCTATACCTCCGGACAACCGGCATCCTTCAAGGTTCTTTGACCTCATCCCTGGTCGTGTGTTCATTCACTTTACAAAAAAAAAAGTCCCACAACGCCGCGACATCTCCGACCTGTCAAGTAAGAGCAACAGGACTTTTAGTCTAGTGTGAGGCTGCTCTGTTGCCCCTGGCGTTAGTGCTAGTCTTCCCCCGCCGGAGCCTGAAGCCGACGTCGGGAATACCGTCTCCGTAACTCGGCGTCTACAATGGACTCGGACGACGAAGGGCTTACGAGAGATATCCGAAACTCAATGCTCTTCGGCATCGTCTCACGATCCATGCCAAGTTGGATCTTGAAAACTTCAACTTCAGAAAGCGTTGGGTCGTCGACTGACCTGAGAGACTTGTGTGAATGAAACAATAATATTTTGTCTGAGTGTTCAGTCCGCAGAGGCGGTTCCATCTATTCATGCTTGCAATGTCAAGCTCCTATATCCCAAACTCATTTGTTAAGATCCGTAAAGCGCCATCCCAAGCATCGTCCATATCCATGGACAAGCCGTCGAAACCCTTACCCTACCGAGTCGCTATGAAGAAAATAGAATCACCCTAAAGCATGCTTTTCTCAATCCAACTATCTTACAGGAGTAATCCAGGCACAAAGAAAGGCATTCCTGGTGTATGCTCATCGTCATAATCGTCGTCGACATCAGTCTCGCCATCCTCCCACTCAGGTCCGGAATAGTCCCCTGCCTCGTCCTCATCGTCTTCCTCGCCTTCCATAAAGCCAGTAAAAAAGTTGTAATGTTCGTACTCATCGCTATCAAACTCTGAGTTGTCTTCGGAATCGTCCATGTGATCTTCGATCTCTTCGCTCACAGAGCTGTATCCGAGATTCTCATGGTCCTCATCGTCCAGCACCCCGATAGTGGCATGGAGTATGTCTGACATCGACGGTTCTGTGTAGACGATGTCAAGAGCTTCCAGGACCTTTCGACCTTCATCTCTCAAGACCTCATTCCTTGGAATCGCTTGCTCCACAATTTCCTTGAGGTTCTTGCCATCTTCCGTTTCTACATCGGTTCTCAAACCAGCTGAAATTAGCCGGTTTGTGAAAGTCCAGTTCAGTCTGGGTATGGGAGGAAGTTTCCGTCCATGGCAAAGAATGCCAGTGCGAGGCTCCCAGTTGAAAAGTGATGACCAGCATTTAGAATGCAGCTTTTCTGGCTTGTCTTGCATCGCATCTGGATATTTTGCAAGGATCTGGCATGCTTGTGGTTGATAGTGATTTGTTATGGCATACATAAAAGCACCATCTGGCATGGATGTTGTCGGCATGTGAATATCCGCGCCTCCGTTCACCAGAATCGGTGTCGTCCGCCAGCAGGAGCCTGACTTGAAGCTGTAATATAAGGGAGGCTCACCCTTGAACAGCTCGTTGGGGTCTTGACCTCGGTCAAGAAGTACTTGAATCAAACTCGATGGCTCATCAGCCATCGGCGAAGGCTTCTCTAAGCAGCGGAAGATCAGGCCTTTGTAAAGCTCCTTCGGTATCTCTACCGACTTCATCAGGTCCGCCGCCCTTGTCCAGAGTTGCATGCTGAGCGCTGTCTTCAAGAGATCGACCAAGAACCCCTCTGAAGGCTTTGCCATGCCATACTTGGCGTAATCGATGTGTAAAATGAACTCTGTCTTTCCATCATCGTATGAGTCATAGACAGATGCTTGAAGGATTTGTTCTAGGTCGCCTTCCTCTGGCCGACCACCGTTCTCAAGAATCGCCTGAGCGATGTTCAGATTCCCATGCATGATAGCTTGAGCAAATGGACGGGCCTCGCCATTGGCCTTCTCATTGGGGTCGGCGCCGTACTCAACCAGCAAGTTAGCCAAAGCGACGTGTTGACTGTCCCATTCGCGGTTGAAGTAGGGCTCACAGTGACGTGAGCAGATAACGGCCAATGGTATGATCTCTTTCGTCGCCGTCGACGCCTTCAACGTTGCACCTGCATCCAGCAGCATCTTTGCAGAATCGTATAGTCCAAGGATAGCAGAGCCTTCGCTTGTCTCGCCAACTCGTATAAGCGCAGTCATTCCATCGTTATCCTGTGCATTAACGTCGGCTCCCCCTTCGAGCAACGCTTGTATGGCGTCAGTATTGCAGCTTGCACTCGCTACCATCAGTGGTGTCATTCCCAGAATAGCTTCCTTCGCATCAACATCGAAACCCTTGGCGACGAACTTCCTAATAATTTCAGCCTCTGATGTGTTGCTAACGGGCTTCGGAGGAGGCCCAAGAGGATCAAAAAAGTCTTCTGGTTGGAATCGACGAGACCCAAGGATTAGGTGAAGAATACTAAAACGATGCGCTGACAAAGTCTTAACATCTGCACCCAAGTCAATGAGTTTGGCGGCGTCATCAAAGCGACGCGAGAAGCACGCCATCATGAGTGGAGTCAGCCGCGTCTCTATCAACCTTCTGTCGAGGTCGGCGCCATGCTCCAGGAGGTACGGAACTATTGTGTCCCAGTGACCATACCATATTGCCTGAAATAGTGGCGTACCCATGAAAGGGCCCTCCACGTTGATGTCTTTTTGATATTTCTCGGTCAAAAGTAACTTGAGCAAATCCAACATGTTCTCTTTCGCGGCGTGATGCAAGGCTGTTAGCTTGAACCGGCCTGAGTCCTCAGTAGCCTCCTCCTCATCGTCATCATCTCGCCAGAAGCCGTTGGGATCCAGCTCAAAGTCAATCCCTTGATATATAACTGTCGAAGCTCCGCGTTCGAGAAGAAATTTTGCTGCATCGTGATGTCCATGGCATATAGCGACATGCAGAGGCGTCCAGTTTCCTCCATGTAGATCCTCAAGTTCTCCTTCTTCGACGGCTTGGGACTCGCTGAAGGCTTCGATAGGTAAATGGGGACGACACAAGCACACACCCCAAGAAGGTGCATCGACGGAAGCGCCCGCGTCAAGGAGTATCTCCATCATGTCAATCCGTCCTTTGCTTGCAGCCACATGTATAGCCTCCCATCTACAGTCGCTAAAGATGCCGTCGTCGCAACCACTCTCGAAGCAAGCGCACGTATCGTGTAAAACATATGAGGCATCTAAATCGACAGATTGATCGTCGTCTTGGACTCTCCACATAGGGTCGTCGTAGTAACTCGAATGGTAGTTATACCATTTGTGCTCTGGGGCGATACGCGGTTTGGGTCTGTGAGTGTAGGCTAGGCGTGACGGACTGACACCAGCTTTGAGGGCAAGGCGCAGGACTCTGACATCTCCGTTATCGACGGCCCAGTGCAGGGCGCCGGGTCTATCGGATAGAACTTCGCGTTTCCATAAGATCGGGCTTGCGATATCGTACCAATGTCGGTTCGTGCGCGAGAGAGCAGCTATATCGTGTTTCTTGTGTAAGAACGAGGCGATGGTATGTAGGACTTCGTTAGGAAGCCCGTCGAGCGAAGGCATAATGGGCGATTGGGCGACAGGACGAAAAGGAATACCGGCGGACGTTAAAGAAAAGGACATGGATAAAGACCATGAACCAGAAAAAAAAAGTTGACGCAGTGAGGGGGACAGCTTCTGTAGGTAAAGTGTAGTGGAGGTCAAGGTCTTAATTTGTCGATTTTGGTAAATGGTGGAGTTCTGTCTTGCAGCCGATGAGTCTAGCTCTGGGGCTCTGACCAATGATACTGTTTCTGTCAGCCTTGCTCCGCATTTTAATGACGAGCTTCGGGGGATAGGTCCACTATGAGCAGATCCCAAAACTGCCCGGGCGTCAGGGCCCGGCTACTGGGTAAGAAAAAATAACTAGCAACGCCATGAAACATCCACTTCCATTCGTGGAGACGTTTGAACTTACATGTAGGATTCAAAATTGAATTATTATGACCCTGAAGCTGACGCCGTGTAGGCATGGTAATCATGTATACTTAACAAGTGGCACTCTGCAGGTTTTGTGTTACATGACTTCTATTCTTTATGACTCGCTTTCAATTTTCCATTTCACTATCGGTGCAACCTCAACAGCAGTTACTGGTCATAGATCTTGGATTCACTTCTATATAGCGTTAAAAGCAAAGAGACGGAACGTTGAAACGCTGAAAGCACTTGGCATTGTTTTGTGAAACAAATTCAGGCCTCGTATAAACAACTTTGGGCAGAAGGGAAATGATGATCACTGATATAGGTTAAGCGAGATGATATTGGATGACATATACACTTACATCAAACACTCATCAAAATGTTAGGAGTGACGAAGTATGTATCATTCAAAATTCGCAATAATAAAAATAGCCAATGACGGAAGGAGTACTGATGGAAAGCTGGTGTCTCATCCGGTACTTTTGTGCAGGTTTACTGGCTTGCCGGACCAGTCTGGACCAACAACTCCTTTTTTCCATTTCGTTGTATTGTTTGCACATAAACTGACTGATGATACAAGAAAGGTAAAACAAGCCCGTGGTTGCCTCATTCTGCCTTGCACTTTTGTGTTGGGAGTCGACCAACACCCACCCTAGAAGGAGGGGCTTTGCGCCTTCGAATCAGGCTCGGTCCTTTAAGATTGAGATAACAGTATAAAGGAACCGCCTGGGACTGTATGAGGAGTCAGCTCTGAGTTATCCAACAGTTCATATCGTCATCAATTCCAATTCTTTCACTCGACCAGTTCGTCAACTCATCAGGAAGCAGCAACTCACAAGATGGTCGGCGTCGGAAAGCCACGACTGGACAAGTACGGAAAGATACTCTCTCGTCTTTTCGAGAACCTCGCTCTCTTTCACATTCTCAAACGAGCAGATGGCCCTCCTCTCATCGCTGCACATGCTCCCGCCACTATTCAAGATGCCCGACGCAGGTTCCTGAAGAACTTGAGTTACATCTGTGATTACAGAAAGGGAGGCGATACTACGACATCTATGGCACTTGAGCAAACAAACCAGAATTGTGTGTTCTGGATTGCAGCGAACTCGACGCCCAATGATAAAGTTATTATGTTTCTTGAGGAAGTTCTGGAAATGCTTAAGAATGAGCCAAAGGGAACCGAGACAGAACAGAAAGCTTTAGGGGTCAGACTCGCGAAGAAGTGTGCTGACTTTGCCGCTCCACGGCTGAAGAAGGAGAGCAAGCTTCTCCATCGGGCTGTAAGATACTGTGAAAAGTACCTACAGGCAGACACAGCCGTTGCTCAGAAACCTGGTAACTTGCACCAAATACGCAAACGGAGATACGACTAACAAGATTGCAGGAGTAAAAGCACTGCTGGAATGGCTGCCTCAGTTCTCCTCTTCTACAGACGCTGATACTCTGACCCTATGTCAAACAGCCTATGATGCTCGTCATGATCCTCAAATGGCGACTCTGAGAGTTCTGAGCCAGGAGTTAAGTGTTGCACCATCAGAGACAGCAAAAGCATTTCAGGCAGTTAGGCACTTCATTGGTCGTCTAGCTGAGCGTGTACGCAACGCAGCCAGCCTAGTTCAAGACACCCTCCCGTTAGGCCCGTTACTCAACTCATACGAAATAAGACGAGTAGAGGTTCCTATCGCAGCGAAAGTGCCACCTCCAGATGGTCACACGAACTTGAACTCGATACTCAAAAGAATGTTGCCAGCCAATGACCCTCGTCTCGAAGAGATGCAGAGCTATATCGCCAGGCTGAATGGCCCAATGAATCTCGAGGAGGCTATCAAGGACATGTACGCCGAGGAATCGGGTCAGTCGTGCGTGCATGCCGAGGTCCAGATGCTGGAGGAATTTCACAGAAACAAGCGCAGTTTCATGGGAAATGATCGATATATCGCCTGTAGCAAGCTTGCCTGCCTCTGTTGCAAGTTCTACTTCCGACATCACCCTGGGAACTTCCTGGAGCCAGAATCGCACCAGAAGGCTTATCTGAACTGGAGACCCGTGGACCTACCTGGTGGTTGGAACAATGAACACTGGCTTGATCAGCGCAAGGTACTGGCGATGCTCGCTAAAGAATTGGGTGATGCCGTGCAGACGCAAATTTCCAGTCAACAGCAGCCGAACCCGTGGCAGCCGGACTCTGTTACGAACATTACAGTGAGTGCGGCAGCATTTGACCTTTCCGAGTCTCAGGAGGTGGTTGTTGAGAACAATTCTAGCGAGAGTGAGTGACTGCATCTTATGTCCAACATATTGGCGACTGACACTTATAGATTCGGCGTCGCTGGAACATTTAGGTGAAAGTGACTTCAGTAACGGATACTTCAGTGACGGGTATGCCACTGAAGTAAGTGAAGGATATGAGCATATCGACAGACATGAGAAGGATGACAAACAGGAGGACGGTGACGAGAATAGTGACGATGAGTCTGATGGTGGAGCCATCTTGGACAGTTGATATCCATGAATGTTTGGAATTATGGAAACTGTGAAGTGTATATCATACTCCGTCAACAGCAAGATGTCATGACTGGCTTTAGTAGCATAGAATGAATGTGATATGAGTTTAACACACAAAAAAGACCTGATAAAAATTACTTCCTAACTCTCTTCTCCCCACCATGCTTCTCCCTCTCATGTCTGCTCAAGTTGCACTTTCGAGTGAACCGCTCCCCACAGAATCGACATTGAGCAATCTTCCGCGAACGATGGGTTAGGAAGTGCCGGCGCATATCCTTCTGACAAGAATCCCGAAAGGTGCATAGGGGCCAAGAACAGAAAACAGGCTTTGTATGAGTCCGAATATGATTGCTGACATTCAAAGTTAGTAACACACGATAAGTCTACCCGGTAGGGTTTATACTCACTTTCTCTTGCGGTTTTCCTCAAAAGACTTATTACAGCCAGGCCAATCGCAGAGGAACATTTCATTCTTCTTACACTCGTTATTTCTCAAACGGTAAGACGTGATCTCTGTGAACAAATTCTTGCTGTCTGTCTCGGAACTAGAATTATCGGTAGACTTATCGGAAGGGAATGGGTCGAAATCTGAAGAAGTAACATCGAACGAGTGTGCTGGTATTCCCTCGTTTCCTCCTACTCCATATGGTATGCCAAGAATGGCATCGTTCGTCTGGTCGCATGCAGGACCTACGCTCTATAGAGCGGCTGCGGTATCTGATAGACCAGCGAGCGATGTCTGTCCTTGAGGCATCTCGTACGGAACAGCAAGAAGATCGAGAGAGGATACAGGAGAACTCGAGAAAGCAAATTGGGTCGAATTAAAATCGTTGAGATGCGAATCCATCCCGATCATCGGCACATAGAAGTCGACCTCATCGAGAGATTGAGACACAGGCCCAAACACACCGTCTTGGTTCATGGAGCCAAGAGGAGCGGCGTCTTCAGACCAAGAGCTTACATGAGGCCAATGATCCACATCCTCTTGGGATGTCACCGGAGACAAAGAAAAGCCGCCGAAGTCAGCTCCTGGGACTAGAGACGGGTCGATGCAACGTCAGTATAAGCGGTTCGGTGGAGTAACCCCAAGTATAATGACTCGAGCCTGACACTTACCATTGAATGAATAGTCCGAGTCTACGAAACTCTGTTCCGTAGACTCGTCCTGAATCTGGGGTTGCGATTGATGGTCGCTCATGAACTTGTGTATAGAATTGGGTAAATTGAGAGGAAAATGGTTTGACAGTGGTAATCTGGACAGAAGAATAGAGCTGACTTTATATTTTGCAATTGTATTTCTAGACACCAACTGTTTCACCCTCCCATTGTGCAAATGCAATTGACAATGACACTTCAACATGCATTTTCGCAACCTCTTGGCGCGGTAAGTTCCAATGAATTGCCCTGATGCCCCTCAAAAGTCCCCAATTGGCGAATGGTTGCCTATGTCTGTTGGTTGAAAGTGTAAAAAAGTCCACTAGGGGATTCCGACCACTTTCTTGGCCAGACACTATTGGTCAGTGAGGAGGGATGGTTGCATGCAGACTCGGGGCTACGGGAAGTTTGGCTTGGGTTTGTCTCTTGGACCAAAGAGAGATACAGATGATGAACTTGGAGACAACTCAATTGATGAATGTGGTGTGCTTCGGCTATCTCAGGTGAAAGTGACCTGACTGCTTATTGGAGATGAGGCTGATCAGAGAGACTTGTACCTGGCGAACTGGAATAAGTCTGCAGCCAACACCTGCCAATCCATGGCCCTAATAGACTAAATTGAAACTCTCAGCTCCCAATACCACATGCAAGAAACTGCTCAACTGCTAGGCACCTACTGTTCCAACCTACACCGACTCTACTTTATTGCCTTATCTCATAGACCCACGAACGTTGCAATAACTCAACGATGTCATCAAGCCACAATTTGGGGTAACCAAAGTATAACAAGTGGAATATCCAACAAAAGAATGGAGAAAATATCGTCAACTTGACCAGGTCTAGACTGTTGATATGCCCCCACAGCAGAACCACGCCGTTGAAAGCAAGTCCCTAGACTAAGAAGAATGGAGAATATGGTTATCAGGAATAGAAGTGATCTAACCTGAAGCCCCTCTGAAATCATGAGAGGTCTGGACTAGTCGGCATCATATGATCATGATGGTGTTGATGTCCCGCATGAGCCGCCGAGTAGTTAGGTAACGTTATGCTTCAATTTAGCTGCGTAATAGTGCATAGAGTCGTCGAGGCTGAGACTGAGCCTGTACCCTAAATCCGGTTCTTTATCTCATGTTGATGAATGCTGTAGATCATCGTGTAGTGAAGTGTGAACCACATTTATGATATAGTGGATAAGACGACAATACGATGATCATCACAGTGACCCTCATAAAAGACCCTGGTGATATCATGTCTTAAAACATGAAACCGCCATATTCGTACGGCTCTGTTGAGATGGTAGATGAAAACGTCATGGGCGTTGAAAACGAGGGAGAGCCTCAACCCCTGCGGCTGCAATGCCACGCGATAAGCTTGTATAACCCAGTAAAGCTTAAAGACCGCCTTTTGAAGTGACACGAGGCTGAGTGTGTGATTATTCACTCCTGTTGATCCTCTCACTTGTCAAACAAAGACATCCGTATCCTATTCCTTGGCATCGGTCTCGCCTGTGCATGTTTGTCAACCGTAGTTCAGCAGATCCACAGATTTGGGTTTTCATCGGCGAGAATTGACATGTATCATGACATGTGACGACAGAATGGATATTCTGTTTTGCAGTAGCTGAAGCAAGGCAGAAAAAGGAGGCTAATTATGGATATCGGATCTTCAATTGCTAGGATCCCCAGATTTGCGATGTTTCGAAACGGGTATCATAATTTCTTGACGTCAGGAATAATGGATCTATTATGCCGATATTCATTGGAGGGATACGGTCTGTTTGGGACAGATAGAGTAGAGATCAGATGAAACTCGTAGACAGATGAAGCATCTCGTAGATATCATGATGGAAACAGACACAAATCAGCTCATGATTTCTTGTTAGCGGTATCGGCCGGACAAAACATCCATCCAATGACGAAATACTCACGGCAAGACCCTCGTATTGAGCCAAGCCCTCCAGGGCCCCGACTCGGCCGTGCAGCAGTCCACAGGGGACTCCCCGCACCGGCGATCCCTCTAGCCATTCGCTAAGCTCGCCTGAGTCCACTGTAGCGGGCCTCTAGTCTCTCGGTTCACAGAAGACCCACTTCACGATGCTAGCCAGCCACCTTGATCGGCCGGGCCAAGAGCCAAGACGGAAACTTCATCGTTACATCGACCGACACAGCTGAGGGCGATCTTTTGAGGTGGCATTTAAGACCCGATACGACCCCCGTGTCTTTTGTTTCTTGGTTCTTTTGTATTATCAACTTCAAGACTCTATCACAGTCTACAAGAAACATCCTCGACCCTTTATATCTACTCTATTCCTCCCTTGAATAATATTTTGCCTCTTCTATCTGCCCTGCATCCGAACCTTCCACAAACCATGCTCACATCAACCTTCATCCTCAGCCTCATCGGCCTTGCAGCGGCCTCACCGGTCAAGCCTCACATCGTCACAAACCCTTCATATCCATCACGCTCGACATCAAAGGGCTTCAAGCTTGTCGTCAACGTCACAGATCCCTCTTTGGATTTTGATCCTCCCATCCAAAACTTCGAGCTTACCGGCATCCACACCGGAGCCGGCCTCGCCCTCCTTGGAATCAGCGAGAAGGACGGCCGTATCTTCTACCAGAACGGAACCAAGGAGGAGCGTCAAAACGGCGAGGCTACTGTTATCAGCGATGGTGGCACTCCCTTGACTCCCAACGGCATTGGCCTCGTTGCCGATAAGAAGAACAAGAACATCTACGGTGCTACTCTTAACTTCGAGGCCGGCACTGCTGGTGTTCAATTGAACCAGCCCGAGGACCCCTACACCTACTTGTTGCCCGAGACCTTTGTTGCTTGCAACAAGAGCATCGAGTACTACCGAGGCAAGAAGTTTGTTGTCATTGAGCAAGCACGCATCACCATCGACAAGAACAAGAAGATCCAGCGCAACATCCCCAAGGGTTGTGCGCCCATCCGCCTTGTGCCCCAGTGCGATGAGCTTGAGTCTCTCCCCAAGGGATCGTACTCCAGCCACAAGTACGCTCTCGACTCCAAGTGCTACGAGGACGTCTCCAAGATTAAGTGGTCGAAGTACAGCCCTTAAGTTGTGACACTATTAATTAATGGAAGGAACATGATGGAGTTAATAACGATGGGTAATGATTGCGTTTTGGATAGCATCTATAATTAGCATTGGCATTAATAGCTTTAATATTGTACAACAATTATCTGTATGTCTTAAATTCTTTCCATGCATGCATCGTGAATATTCCGTATCGACAAATCCAGCGGTGAAGCAAAATGTGGGTAGGACAAACTGCGTGCACTACGAGATGGATACTCCGAACAAGAACAAAGACCGTGAAACAAGTGACAAACTGCTGCCAACGTTATTTTCCCCGGCAATCGCGGACGACAAAACGAGCAGTGGAGTGAGCGGGTGGGAGTGGATTTGGTCTCCGTAGAAAAGTCAGCCAGCCATCAGATGCTGCCAGGCGCAGGCACATAAACTCAAACTCCACCAAATCCATTGTTGGTTTTGTTAGTGGCACTTGGACAAAAAGATTTGGGCTTGCCGTACAAAAGCGGATGGCTTGAGTCAGTTTGTTTTGCCACATGTGGATGACGAGCTTCTCGATTTGTCCTGGCTTGTTTGCGGCTAACGGTTGACTGACTTAGGTGTACGAGACGGAGAACCTGAGGACGTGAAAGCAGTTATCTCTTAGGCCAATATATCACGGAATACTCTGCAACCTCAAGGTCAGATCAACATGTGTACTCAAGTCCGGAGGGGGGTTAAAATTGTAGTGAAGCGCAAATGCCCTGTACATGCAGACCACAAAAACCAGGGACTTGGAGGAGGCCAAATGAAAGAATTAGTGCACTTTTATTAGATTATATTCTCGAAGAAATTGGCCTGTTCGTTTTATCGATCGCTTAACCAGTCTTGGTCTCGATGTAACTCACCTACTGTATTAAAGCCATGGCGGGCAGAAAACCCTGAAATATTCCAAGCAATGATACTGGACCCCAGACAGGAAGGTTAAGCATCAACTTTTGCATTTGTCCCCATAGTAGATAATCTCTGTGTTTAGCAAAAAGTGAGTTGCAGACACAAGAACGCGAACTTGGTCAAAGAAACCCAGAGGTTATACCGAAGCCGAGAGAACCGGATGTTGAACTGGAAGGTTCCCATACTCAGAACTCAAAAACAAGTCTAAGGATCTATTCAGTCAGATCTGAAGTGAAGGAGTTCCGGCGAAAGTCTATGGGCTTTGACATTTTGTATGGTTGATAGAAATGTCTCCTTCAGCGAATAATAGGCTATGGAGCACGACCCCAAGGACGGGCAGTCTATACACAATAACACTGGTCCAACAAAATCCTAGAAGAATAAAGCATACCTAAGTTTCAGTTGGAAGAAACTGCCTTCGTCAGATCCACAAGACTCAGTTTGATCCGAAGCTTGACTGAAAGCAAGACTACATGTCGTATTCTTGGACATAAAAGCAAAATACAAGATGGATGAGTAGACAGTACCACTATGAGTGATTAGATTTTCGGTCTGGATGACTCTAAGAAATAAAATATTATTTCCAGCCAGACAAGGAAAGGACTTGATATCTCCAGAAATCGAAAAGCGAGCATCTCGAGTCCATTAAGAATGAGTTTAAACCCTGATATCAACACGAACACCACATAAGGTTATGACTCTTCTCGCACAGAAATAAGTTTTAAAAATCTTCAAGCTTTCTACAGAGCAGGTATATAAATATATTGTCCGCCTTATCCTTTTTGTCTCCCCATCTATCCATTTGCATCTCAACGTGCTTCAAAAACATGTATCCTACCTACACTATGTTCCCCAACACACTCACAATCATGTCAGGCTTTTTCCAAAAGCTCTGGCCAGGAGCTGGACTTTCCGCTCCAAATAACGCTGGGATAGAGATGCTCTGTATTACGGCTCAAAAGGCAGAAGAGAATGCTCGGAAGATCCTAGACAAGTTTGTACTTACTGCTACTATTACTTTGATCACTGCTAACTGTTGGATATAGGCTTGAAGGGAAAGGAGAGAGGTCTTCTCAGAGAGCCCCGGAATTTATTTCCTTCTAGCTTGGCCGCTCACTCAAATAGTGAAGTTTGGCTGCTTGATGGTACACTTCGAGACACGATGAAGGAATCGCAGAAGAAAGCTGGACTTGTTATGACTTGAGTATACTTACTTGACCGAATTCTTCTGTGTCGGACCAAACACGTATCTGCCTCACGATCGAATCGTCGCACGGTTTCAACATTGGATCTTTTGTCTTATACCCCTAATTGGTTCGAATCAACGCTCCCACTAAGAAGACAGCGTACTGCTATATCGGTATGGTCTATTCGAACTCAAAATTTCGGTTGCCATCGAAAGGCCGACAAATTATCCGGCTGGAGACTCGAGCGTACCGTCCCCTTTAAGCAGTAACTGCTGAGCACATTGGCCCCTCACATGGTCACGAACAAAACACAACTGCATAATCGCCTAAGTAGGTGTCAGAAGAATTATCCTCTAAGAATTAGGCTGTGGAGATAAAGTAGCCTAATTACTAGCCTAAGTTTGCATAAGATGATCAAATTCTTTCGTCTCTTATGCTTCCAGAGGCCGATTTCTCTGACACCCTGACGCCGCCCAATACCTCGCCTTGGAAGGGAAGCTCAATCATGGCTGAGGTCACATGTAATGTCACTGCCGCATGCTTGGCATCCAATGTGTTATTGCTTTGTCTTTTCCCTAACATACTGAGAGAGACAAGAGATATCGCAACCTAGATACAAATTGAATCAAGATTCTGAACAACAGTCTGTCGCTCCTTCTTGTGCATTAGAAATGATTTGGGGATGATGGGCTTGGATGTCTAAACTTACATGCTTTACTGGAAAGGAATCCGTCCATACTATGTGTGAAAGGCAGAAGTCGTACTGTTGTATAGCTGACAGGCATGGTGTGACCTCTATCCAATCGAAAGTTCGACTCGCACTCGTCTCTGACATGAAGGCGACTAAACCCCTTCTTAATTGACTCGCTGGTCGCGCAGTCGCTTGAGGCTAGCGAAGGTACCAGACATACTATCAGCACGGTTGCCAGCAAGCTCGATCGGCATTAGAAGGGGTGCTTCGTCTCCAGGTTTGATGTTGGGCTCGTGGTCAGTGCCCCTTTTCGCGAAGTTGACAAGACGACGGCGAGCAGTAGCGATGATACAATCCTCATTGTACCTTTCAATACGATCTTGTACGCAGCGGTCGTATCGTGAGATAGCAAGATCGAAACATTCGTGAATGTTCATGTCGAGCTTGACAAGCGATGGCTTAACAGGTTTCCCTTTGGAGTCTCTCCACACAAAGTCCAGCCAGTTCTGCCACTGGGGGACAAAGACTCCGAGGAAGACATCGGCTCCCTCCGAACGCCATCTAGGTTGAGGTCCTGGAAAGGCCTTGTTGGGAGGATGGTCGCATATCAAGGTACCAACCTTGACAGAGGTCTCGGCGGAGACATTGCCCACAACTTGAGGATTGTCGTTATCCGGGTGGGTAGTGTTCCATCGTCGGAAGACCATACGCCAGAATCTGCGCCAGTCGGAGAACTCAGGCATCAGTTCTGCATCGCGATGCTCGACTTGGGTTTCGAGACGAGCAAGGTCGATGAACATGGATAGTTCTCGGGTGGTCAGCATCTCCTCGCTGTTGATGATTTCACCCAGAGGACGTGAAACAATGGAGGGCGTGCGGATGAGAAGGCTGGCCATAGCCACTTCCATCTCCTGGACCGGGTTATTCTGGGCCATGATGAAAGGCGTCTAAAAGAAGAAAGAGTTAACGATCAGCATTACGTACCTACCTATATAAACAAGCGAAGATCGTTTATGGGAGTGGATGAACCTACCGATAATGATGGCTAAGGTTGACGAGAGACAGGTTTGAAAGAGGCAAGCTTCCTGAAATTTATCAGTACGGAAATCTGGAGGAAGGACTGTTTGCTCGCACCTGCCCACGATCACCGTAATTTATTTGGGTGGGGACTGTGCTACTGGCAACAAACCGCTTCAAACATCTTTACATCCATATGACGGGCAGTGACAGTGACAGTGACAGTGACAGTGGCAGTAGCAGTAGCAGTAGCAGTAGCAGTAGCAGTAGCAGTAGCAGTAGCAGTAGCAGTAGCCGTGCCGAGAAGTGCCATTTCCATAACTGGACCTATTGCCTAAGAGACGAAATAATTTGGTCGCTTTATGATAGTCTAGACCAGCACTTAGGCTACTTTATTATAGTGGCCTCAGTCTTAGAAGACAATTCGTCTGTTACCTGCCTAAGTATTTATGGATAAGAGAAGTGGAGGAGAGAGTCAACATATGAGTGTACCAAAAACCTGCCTGCTGTCATGCACTGATGTGATTCATAGCAGAGTGATTGCTGCCTACCCGCCTCAGACATCAATACCTATGTGACTTCCACCTAACTCTTCCTGCCTCACTTCTCCCCTCCGTCAACATACCAAAGCCTCTCCGAGCAAACACTCAAGCGGTGCTATGTCTACAAACGCCGGCATGGGCACAAATAATGACAATGAAGAAGTTCCTAGGGAGGAGAGCCGTCAATGTTCTCCGAACTTCCAACAGCAAGCTGTCCCTTTACTCTTATATTCTGCCCATCCTTTTCCTTACTGGCCTTGGCCATACATACCACCCAGCGGATTTTATCATCCTCATCAAGCTGGGTATCATGCCGTCCCTCAAGCTGGTTATCTTCACCCTCAGCAGTCCAGCTTTGGATCGCCTCAACCTTCTCTTCTAGCCACACCACAAGTCAGGCCTCATGCCCAGCAAGACACTCCATCAGATTGGCCTCAATCTTGCCAAGGCCCTGCCTTCAACAATGACATCGCGACTACCAAAGACCATGACGAGTCTCCGCTCCCACTGAAACGCTCCAGATCTAATTCCATGCGACCTGAGTCGTACCCCGAGAAGGTTGTTGACCTCGTTTCACCTCAGTCTAACCTCGATGTATCTTTCAAAGATGTTGACAAAGACGAGGAGGTTGTGGAGGAGCGACCTCCAAAGAAGGTCATCACCAAAGATCTTCTAACGCGCGGCGAGAAGATGAGACTCTTGGACCTTATCAAACAGTACCAAGAGGTAGAGCGAGTATGTGGCTACTCCAACTCAGCCGAAGAAACATATACGGGCTTCTTCGAGAGGGTATTTCGAAGAGACTGGAATACCAAATGGAAAAGCGTCAATCCTCTAGTTTTTCGACCTCTGCGCAGCTCTGATGCGCATCTGAAAATTGGCTCTTACGAGAGGGATGCACCATCCAGCCAGTCGGAAGATGGCCGTAGAAGGTCCAAGGCGCTCAAGCAAACCATTCCGGTCTTCCTCGCTTTGATTCTCGAGGGTGGTGAAATTGATTGGAAATACCACGACAAGGACGGAAATCGCCTGAGAGCCCGCGAGGTGACGCTGCATGACGGTCTCAGTAATCTGCAAGCCAAAAAGAACACCTTGGATCACCAAGACTGCCAAGAGAGGAAACACATCTATAAACACAACGTTGATCAGATTGTTCAAGCCGCAAGACGAAGAATATTCAAATGGGCGGCAGCCGGGAGTGATGCTCAGCTTGGCGTCGATAAGGAAGACAGGGCGAAGTTGGAGAAACTTGAACTTCCCTCGGAACGTTACATTGCTCTATGTAAAGAAGTCTTCGTCCTACGCGATTATTTTATCCAGCAACATGAATGAGGACTGGGAATAGTCTCATGCGCCATTTGTTTGGCATGCTTTCGCGCCTCGTGTCATTCGGTAACGGTAACTCTCTACTATGGTTGGTGTTGTATATGTGACTAAAATCTTTTAGACACTCAGCGTTGTTAACATGACTTGGGAGTTTGATGTTCGACTAGTCAAGATGTTGCGAGAAAAGAACAGTGGTGAGAAAATGGGAGTAGGAGTATTGATGCCATTTGATACACTGGCGTAAAATGTATATATTGAGAGTAGTGTAGGCGAGCGACATATGCAGAGTTCTGACCAGTGGATTACACTACTATTTCAATGCAACCTTTATTCACTTAGTAACGTATACAATGAGTTAAGAACCGGAATACCGAGACATCATTGGCTGGTGAACTATCGTGCTGCACACTATCCGGATGAGTGGCATGAACATCAGGACGATTCAATACATCCAGAAGATGACATCTCAAACGTGTTTCAAATCAACGAATGATCAGGAACACCTATTGATAAGCCTTCAAGGATTAATTCGATAGTTTATGACGATCGTATTCCAAGACACTTGCTTATCCTGGCCCGTGATATTGGTCACGTCGCACCTCTTATCTTATCGCACTGACCGGGTGACCTCCGTTCGGTCCCCGAGATCGTCATTGTACTACTTGGGTCAACCTCGTCAATAGGCAACCGAGCTTCCACCATCTTTACTCTCTCACCGACTTCGCTTCTGAACCTTTGACAGCTCTTCCCGTATCACACTACAGCTCGCGCATAGCTTCATCGCCCGAAATGACTCAGGTTACGCCTGCAATGCTGAGCGCTCGCGCTTCGTCGCTCTCCCTGCGTCAACAAGCGCTGTCATCGTCGGCCATGCTCAACAATAACAATGCGCCTGCTCCTCGATCGGACGAAAACAAGCAGAGCTCCAAGAGCTTCATTCTGTCTGACATGAAGGGTCGTGACACAAGAGACAACCGCGTTTGCGCATCTTGTATCGCAAAGCTTGCGCCTGAAGAGGTCGGTCAAGTCAATTGGCACTTGGAGGCTGGCCAGGCTTGTCGCTTGTGTCAGGTTGAGAAGCTTGAGCCTGAGGCTTTCACCAAGCCTTTCTGCGACTTTCTTCAAGAGAACCCTACTATTTTCCACACCGTCGAGTACTTTGAGAAAAAGCTGAAGGAACTTGGTTATGAGCACGTAAGTAAACAACAGCCTCGGGTATGATAAGATAAGACTAACCATGATAAGCTCTCTCCGCGCGACAGTTGGGCGGGTAAGATCCAACCAGGTGGAAAGTACTGGGTTACACGCAATGGCAGCTCTCTCATCGCTTTCAAGGTTGGAAAGGCTTACCAGCCCGGCAATGGTGTTGCTATGATTGGTGGCCACATTGACGCCCTCACCGCCAAGCTCAAGCCTGTCAGCACAAAGCCCGTCAAGGCTGGATTTGTTCAGCTAGGCGTTGCGCCCTACGCTGGCGCTCTCAACGCGACATGGTGGGACCGCGATCTCAGCATTGGTGGCAGAGTTGTTGTCCGGGATGAGGAGTCCGGAAAGACCTGCACCAAGCTCGTCAAGCTGGACTGGCCTATTGCCAGAATTCCCACCCTTGCACCCCACTTCGGAGTTGGCATGATGGGAGAGAACAACAAGGAGACTCAGGCTGTTCCTATCATTGGTCTTGAGAGTTCTCAGAGTGCTTCCGCCAAAGTTCTGGGACCCGCCGGTTCCTTCGTCAACACTCAACCCCCACGACTGGTTGAGCTTATTGCCAAGGAGCTCAAGATTCAATCTTACAGCTCTATTATTAACTGGGAGCTTGAGCTTTACGATTCTCAGCCTGCTCAGACCGGTGGTATGGATAGGGAGTTTATCTTTGCTGGCCGTATTGACGACAAGCTCTGCTCCTGGTCCGCCCTCACTGCCCTCCTTGCCTCCAACGACAGCAGCGAGGACGGTGGTATTAAGCTTGTTGCTCTCTTTGACGATGAGGAAATTGGCTCCCTGCTTCGCCAGGGTGCTCGGGGTAACTTCCTCCCCTCGGTCGTCGAGCGTACCGTCGAGGCCCTCAACCCCGACAAATACGGACCAGAAGTGAAGGGAAGAACTTATTCCTCATCATTCTTTTGCTCAAGCGACGTGACTCATTCCGGATCACCGAATTTCCTCGAGAAGTATCTCGCGGAGCATGTTCCCGAGCTCAATGTTGGTGTTGTTATCGCCAACGACTCAAACGGCCACATGACCACAGACAGCATTTCAACCGCAATTATGCAGCGAGCAGGCGAACTAGGCGGCTGCCGAACTCAGACTTTCCAAATTCGAAACGACAGTCGCAGCGGTGGTACTATTGGACCTGCGCTGTCCAGTATGATGGGTGTCCGGGCCGCGGACGTTGGCCTGCCCCAACTCAGCATGCACTCTATCCGTGCCACCACTGGTTCTCTGGACCCTGGTCTGGGCGTCAAGTTCTTCAAGAGTTTCCTTGATAACTGGGAGAAGATTGATGCGGAGTGGCATTAGATATGAGTGGTAGGGAGGGCGTTTGGACTTAGGACATTTTGTTTGCGATACCTGCCTATTGGCATAATGTGGTATAGATTAGATTACATACGAGATAGATGAGATAAGAAGAATGGATCATTGAAACTTATACCTCACATTCAAGAGTCGACCATCGTATTGACTCACTTGGCTCATCATAGCTTTCTTCCACTCGCAGCAAGCACAGTTTAATTCGACAAAAAGTCCCAACTTATCAACTTTGGGCACAGTCAGATTATCTGTTTTGGTACCTTCTTTCATTAGATATGTAAGTCGTGCTTCTTTTGAAATTTTCAAGAGCGACAACACAACCATCAAACCGCAGATTTCGACGGAGAGGTGCAATGTTCAGAAGAAAGTTCAACAAGATCGACTTCAAGGCTGAAGACAGGACACGACCAGAGGCTGTAAAGTTGTAGTCATTCATAACATAGAATGGGTGGCACAGAGACAAGAAACGACTAAATCTTGAGGGACTCGAAAGGAGGACAGGTGCGGAAAGCTACATGGCCCTGCGGAACAAGAACGGTATGTCAGGAAGGAAAAAGAACCAACAGTCATTCAGATGAATTAATCTCCCACGGGCTGTGAAATAGATACAAGGGCAGGCAGATCTTTACAAATTGTAGCCTAAGCATATGGCAAGAAGTTGAGAAATTACAAAAAGATGAGGCGCAGCTGAACAGGGAGAAAGGGGTTTTAGGTTCGGATAGAAGAATTCTTAGGTTATTAGGTAGGATCCCGCTCGGCCACGCCTCATCTTAAGGATACATGTTTAATCTTGGTATTTAAACCCCAGCTGGGACGACGTCAAATGAGATGAGTCTATGCTTTGACCTGCCTGGAGGTGTCAACTTTAAATCATAAACCCCAGCTGCGAGAGATTCGATTATACCATGAAACCTAAAACTCATCTAAACTTTTCGAGGTTCTTTTATTCCTTTCGTCTCTTAGTGATACATTAACAATAATCTGTATGTCCTTATAGCCCCTGAAACAGGCTGAGGTTCACCCATCGGGTTGAGATCTAGATCTGATCCAGGCTCCAAGCCAAGTCTGGCGGCCTCAACAATCCAGTTCCGGGCAGTGGTGATAATAAGCTGCTCATTGAAGGTGCGACTACGGGTCACTTCGATAGCGTCATGTCGAATTAACGACTGGGCTTTCGCCACTGCCAGGTTGACCGAGGGGTCGAAATCGAGGAACTCGGCGGTGGTAAGTAGAGACTTGCCGTCCCTGTAATCGAACGTGATCTTGTCGTCCCCTTTGCCCACAGTCTTGGTGACTGACACGAAGGCCTTTGCGCCCTTCTTCCGCGCGGCTTTTTGCTTTTTGGGAGACGGAGTTTTGTCGTCGTCGTCGTCGTCCCGCTTGCGCTTGGCTGCCCCAGAAGCAGGGAGGTCTTGGCTCCAGACACTAACTGGAATGCGACTGTGCTCCTTTGTCTTCTTGGTTGGAGACTCGGGTATCTCATTTGTGCCATGCGAGGTACTCCAACTGTCGAACAACTTGATGGCGAACCGCCGGCGGTGCTCTGGCGTGATTCGCAAGTCGGACGCTGCATCTGGTATCTGATCGATCACCTTCAACCAAAGGCGGAGGTGGTCGCTCAGAGCTCATCTCTCCGTATGGCGTAAGCTGGAGAAGTCATAGATAGGTGTGCCAGGCTCCCGAGATTTGACGACATGGGAATCGCTCAAGAAGTCATCCGTCGAAGTGCCAGAGGTAGGAGCAAAGCGCTCGGTCGACTCGGAAGTGCTTGGAGAAGACGCCATAGGGAGAACGGGAAGAGGAGGAAGGAGAGAATATGAGAGGAAGAGTGTTGGTTGCTGATAGATGGTCAGTACGATAATCAAGAACAGGGTGTCAAATAGCAACTTACTTGACGATCAAGGTGGGAGACAGAGGAGAAGGGAGAGAGGAGCAGAACGTGGTGGAACTATAGGACTTCAACGTCACAATAAAAGATTAGTAACCTGTTTGATATCTGGTGTCAAGCTGTGCTTACCATATGGAAGCAAATATGCTTTCGGTATATCAGTTAGTCTTGAAAGTGCGGCGAAGAAAGGAAGTTTTAAGGCAAAGAAGAGCGCAGGAGAAGAAGGGGGAGGGGAAAGAAGTGTTGTAAAGTGGGGACAATGGGTGCAATAAAGAAAAGTGTGCACCGAAGAGAGGGTGATGAAGTGTAAGATGAACAGAGGAAGCGCAGAAGGTAAATAAGAGCGTAAGAGAAGAAGGGGAGGAGAGCAGAATGGGGATGCTGCCTCGTTGTCTTGATTCGCCTCATAGCCTTCAGTGGTGATTTCTGCGGTGACAGGCTCGGGTTGAACGTGCTGCCTGGCTAGGATCTTGTCGACATTCATATTACTGCGATTGAAGACGGTCTACATGTAGGAAGCTTCTATGTAGAACGTGAATTCGCGGATGTGACGAGTTTGGAGCTGGCAGTCGGCCCTCCCAATTTCATGCTTGGCCAGGCGCTCCATGCCGCATGATGGCTCCCAATCATGGTCTCGGGTCAGGGCCCACGACGTTCCGAACAGAAATTAGGTTCGTTGCCGGTACTTCACGTTGAACGAAAGAGCCTCGCACAACACGGCAGTAGCCTCCTCCGCAATATACACCATGATAGTGACGAGACTTCGGGCATGGTCAGGGTCAGGGGACCCGATGTCTACGATCCAATCTTCTCCGAGACTTGCGACGTAGTCCGGAGTCCATGGGATGAGATCGAAAAAGTTGATTTCAGCAGCTTCATAGTCCTCGCCGATCCAGTCTGAAATATCGAGGATTGAGTCCATTGTGAGAATGAAGAGTGGGAGGTAACCGCCTGTGGTCTTGTGTTAGTTGAATATCTCGGGGAATTATGCCCCAGAGTATCATAAGAATATCATAAGAGACGAAATATTCTGATAACTTTAGGTTATTTTAGACCAGCACTTAGGTTACTTTATTATGGTAGCCTAAGCCTTAGATGACAGTAATTCTGTTACTCACCTGCCATGCTCTTAGCTGCTGTCAACGCACAGAACTAAAACCCTAAGACTTACAGTATCTAGCCTCTAGAAAATAAAACAATGACAGAATGCTGAAGATGAGAATGCTGGAGACGTGAATGCTGGAGATGTGAATGGTTGGGGGAGGAGGATGATCGGGGGCAGAGATCTGGTTTTCTCCCCCTTGAATGCCTTTCTGGCTCAAGCAATTTTCACAATCTAGAGAAAGTAGAGAAAACTTTGGTTTCAAGATGATTTTCCCCTGAAAGCTCAGCTGAAGTTGAATTTGGGTCAAGTCCCAATGGGAATGAAAAGTCATGGTTTGCTTTTATTGAGGACTTATCTTAAGTTGTAATTATACGAACGGTTCAAGCATATTACAAAGATCCATATTCTGATCATTCTCCAATATCTGATTGTTCTTGGCCAGATGCTTAAAATGGGGGAGGACTGTTCAAAGCAGCTCTCTTAGTGCTGTCGTACTGCAACTTGAAAACGATCCCTTGAAGAACAGCCCCTCCAGCCATCGTTCCAGTCATAACAGCCGCACCGACAGCAGAGATCTCAGGATTCTGCTTGAAGAAGAACGCAGTGAAGTACGCAATACCAGCCAAGGCATTCAACCCGGAGGTAATGAACCCCGTCGCGTTTGCGCCTTCATCGTAATCTTTCCACGAAGATCCAGCTTTAGCTTCTTCAATACCAACAGCAATGGAAAGACCGAGGTTGGCGAGAACTGTCAAGAGATCGAAGACCAATACCACCTTTTCGAAAGCTGCTTTGCTGGGGATGAAAAAGGCCACTGTGTGGTAGACTCCTCGGAAGCAGGATATTCCGCTGATCTAAAGCCTCAGTTAGCATCGGAACTGACTGTACTTTGGGAATAAATACTTACTGCATTTCGATATTCAGCGCCGGGCATATCCAACTGATCCGGTATAGCCATCAAACAACCGATCATATCAACTACAATACCGAAAATGTCGAAAAATGAGGAAGGCCCCGTTTTCAACTCATCAAGAGCTCCATCTAATCCCTGAGTAGCCATCTTGTAGAACAGCTTGATCAAGCCAACAGCAGCTGAAGTCAAGGTAATGCCAACGACGACTTCTGCACGGAAAATACTCCAATCGTTGATGATGTTTTGATCAACATCTCCACCTTCGATGAGGCTCTTCATCAGATTGCCATCCATCTTGTCAAAAGTAGGTGGTGCCTTTCCGGTGATCAGCTTCGCAAAGATAGTTGTAGGAATAGCAATAACGAGGGAAATAGCATCGAATAGGGTCAATGTATGGCCCTTCGTGATTTTCTTGTACAGCCAAGTGAAAATAGGAATGTTAATAGCGGCATTGCCCAAGTCAGAGATCTTTGCAAACAGTGTTTTGACAAGTTGGAGGATCTTTATGATGATACCCTTGACGGCTTGGATGCCAGCGATTAATAGGCTTTTGGATACCTTGATGATGTCTTGACCATCGATGGCACCGTCTTTGTGGAAAAGAGCTGTTATGTCCTGACCGACCTTGCTCATTGAGGCTTCTAATTTGTTGATCTCTGGTACGACTGAAGACTCCCAGAAAGTCGTGGCTTCGTTATCTGTTTTCTTATCGCCTGTGGTTCTGATTAGTCTCCTTATCAAGAAAAGAAGAGAATGCTCGAGTGACCTTTGTAGTCCACAGTGGTATTTGTACCAGCACCTCCATTCTTCAATCTCTCCGAAGCCCAAGTTGTTGAAGTTGAAGACTGCGCTTCTGCAACCTTTTTATCCTTGGGATCATTATCACCACCAAGCTTTTTGTCCAATTTGATGCTTTCGCCAAATTGTTCAACTGTCTTTTCAAGATCTGTGAAAAATCCATCGACCTTGGCTGAGATGTCATCCATCTTGATTGCAGCGTATCCCAGACCAGCGGTTATGGTGCTCGAGATGGTATCCTTGGTAGTCAAGATATCGTCCCAGCTGAAGATGAAGCCGATAAAGTCGACTAGTTTCTCCCATCCCACCTTGACCTTTTCCCAGATCTGAAATATCGTTAGTGCTGATACGACTATGCTGGAAACTGTTCGCTTACCCATGTGGCTGCCTCGCAGATCTTCTCGACGCAATCAAGCACGAATTCCTTGATTTCTCCCGCAATCTTACATACAAACTTCCAAATAGTACCAGCAGTTTCAATGAACCATTCCGTAACTTCCTCGAATTTCTCTTTTAACCAGAAAAACCCGTCCATTAGTGCATCACCAAAGCTATCCGACGAGGATTGAGCTTTTACCACGAGATTCGTGGTTGCCGATGTTGTCGATATCGTTGTAGATGACTGGGACTGCATATTGCCATAGGCTGCTGTAACAGTTTGAAGACAACTGTGAGCACCCTTCATTAGATCTTGATTCTGCTTGACATCGCCATCAAACAGGTCTCCACCTGATTGAGTTTTCAAACTCTGGAATTGGCCGACAGACTTGATTTCTTGGAGCTTCTGGCTTAAAAGCTTCATGGGTTTGGATGAGGCGTCGTATTCTTCTCTGGAAAGCAGTAGAGCCTCGCCGCTCTCAGACCGGGCTTGATCAATAACCAACTTTTGTGAACCAAGGCTCTCAGTCGGAATAATGAAGTCGAGACTGCCAGACTGGTCGCAATCAAGCCATGTTGGAATGGTGGTGAGAAGAGTGTTTCTTCCGTTCAGGAGGATACTGATTGAAGATGATGCTGACAAACGAAGACTTCCATTGGAAAGATTGTTTCCTTGGTTGTCTTTGGCCTTGATCGTGATGGTGTAACTTTTCAATGGCGTTGGCTCACTGGGAGATGGCTTATAAAAGGGTGTCTTTCTCCAGAGCCCAACATCAAGTGATTGTTCAATCAACATGAGATTTCCAGATCGGTCATTTGAAACAACCGCCTGTCGGACAACATTTCCAGTTTGAGCGTGAGGTGCAGTAATCACAGCTGAAAACGCGCTAGACATACCGGCGGGTAAAAGAAGAGAGGAAACCGCCGAACTCTGCACGCTGGTAGCTTTGGTGCGAATGTAACCAAGTTCATCTTTGTTGTTTCTGAACCAAATGGATACGTCGTTGTTATCTTGCGACACCTCGAGCTGTCTGATGCTCTTGAACATCGACTCGGTGAATATAAGCTTTCCGGGCTTGTCCTTCTCGGTGGCTTCAATAGTAGTCAGATATCTAATACCATCCGGGGCAGCAATCAAGAGACAGCTATGACCATTGCTGCTATTTAGAATTGATGCAATGCACCGCGCACCTATCCAACGTCAGTAGGGGAAGCAATCGTTAGCTAAGGGATGAACACATACCGTTAGGACAGCTAACATTAGTTGTAAAAGTGTACATAGCACCGTCAGTAGCATTCGGGTCTGGCCTTAAGTATCGGGCATAGATCTTTGTGATGCCCTTGACGACATAAAGAACGTAGAGCCCCTGTCCGTACACGCTAGAAGCGGGTGCAATATCCAAGATCTCGGCAGCGGGCTCTGGAGTATCAAGTTGTTGGGTAGCAAACCAGCCTTTGAACTTGGCCTGAACATGGATGTGAGATATATCTTTGCCCCAGGAACTAGTTTGGTCTAGCTCATTGTGTATGAGGAATATGTCTGGAAACTTGGTGTTTGGGTTGGTTCCAGAGATTGGGGCCTGGACCAAGTCAACAAAAATAAAGGGTACGAAAGGGAAGGGAGATCATACCATCAAGATCTTGAAGATTGCGCCGAAACGAGTGTTACCAGTGATAACCGTTAGCGCCTCACCATCAGGTCGTAGTCGCTCGGGGTTGAAAGGTCTGACCAAGTGAAGGAGCGACTTCGTATTGTCTCCAATCTCTTCGTACGCAACAGCTAGATAAAGCTTCAACTCCCACGACTGCTCAACATGGAATGTTTGAACATGAGCATTTTCAGGTAAACCGATGAGTTGGTGGACATCAAATAGCTGTGAATGACCTTGTGTATCACGACGCACTAATCTTGTAAGACAACCAATATCTTGTAGTTGAGGAGGTAGGTACTTACAGATTTGGAGACGGGGTGCTGAGATATCATTGCTTAGACAGAATACCATAGGCATACGGTTCTCATCGAGGACAGTGACATGATGGCTTCCTGAGGGGATAGGAACTGTCGACACATAGTTGGTCATGAGCTCTGAGTCGATAGTGACGGTAGCCATGTTGAGTGATCAAAGAAGAAAGGATAGAACTGTTGGCAATGCAATTTGATCTTTGAATCTTTAGTGGGCTGGCATGCGACAGATCTAGGTAGCGAGCTTCGAAGAAATATAGACATCTATGAGTTTACCATCGAGGGTAGGAGCAGTACCTCCTAGATCAACATGTTTTACGCAAAAAGTGACTATCAGTTGGCCGGTTTGGAGCATTTTCGTAAACTTGCATGCTTGCGCCCGTTGAAGGATGCCAATGTCTCAAGCCATGCACGGCACGGCACGGCAATGTCTTACGGTTCACAGACATATTTCCGATGCATGATCTGTGAGAGTCTACGGGACGGCGCGCACCCGAGCCCCGCTGGTCCAGATTAAGCATAGGCTGAGTGAAGTGGCTAAGCTGAAATGCAATCCAGCCTGGCGAAGGTGAGACTGTTGCTATAAGAAACGGAAAGGACGAAGTGAAAGAACGGACTTATGCATGAGAAACCAGCATCGCAAGGCATTCATCGCCATGGAGGTGAATCACCAAGGTTTTGGCTGAGCTGAAATGCATACCCCTCATTACTCAACACGGCTTATATACGAAGGCTGAACAAGAACAATGTCTTCTGATAAGTATATCACACTTTTCTGCGTGACATGGCCTCGTGCGATTGGCGACGGTGTATCTCCGACCAGCGCCAAACTGTGAGACATGTCGATCTATAAATCACTGCATATGCAATGTCTATGTAGGGAACAATGATAGCCAAAGACTGAACACCATCCTCAATGGTCCATCGAGTTCATGTGAGCAAGTTGTTGAGACATTGATGACTGAAATTCTCTTTTCGATTTTCTCTGCAACGTATCGAGATGCAACGCAACTGGCAAAGTTTCTATCAGAAGTCACTTTGTATTGCTACAACTTAGGACTCACCTGGATATTGATTCAAGCTCCCGGGAGGTTCTGAACTGCATATATGGAGCTATATCCGTGTTATCAGAATTCTTGGAACTTCAAAGCCTCATCTATCGAACATCTATCACCTCGTTACACATTATATTAGTCTTGAAGGCTTCTTCTTACCGCATTTGTCGAAATGGGCGACCGAATTTGGAAAATCAAGGTCATATACGCTCATCTTCATTCAGTGACTTGTACTAACTGGCCTTCTTTTCAGATCGATCCCTACGATCAAGTCATTGCTCTAACACAGCACATGATCAATGAAGGCATTAGCAATCTCTACACAAAGCTGGAACGTGGCCAAGAGGTTGAAGGAGCTGTCAAGCCCAAACCCGGAAACGTTTATGCAGACCAGAACAACTGGGCCAAGAATGTCATCTTTGGTGAGCCATGTGTCATTGTACAGCCTGACTACTCCAATGTCCGAAACGTCAGGTTTCGCATCGCTATGAAGACGGGCAAGATACAGCTTTACAGCTGGAAGATGAATGAAGAGACGGGTGAGCCCGTCATACAGAAGCTACTCATGGACATTGACGATTGGCATGTAACTATCCCAATCGATGTTGGTATGTATCAAGCTACTTTGCTGATAATTTGACATGTTACTGACCGTCAGGCTTCGTGGCATTGGACACAAAGACGAAGCGAGGCAAGGCAGTGGCCGATCGCAGTGCAGCCAAAGGTAAACCTAACCATTCCATCATGGAACTACTCCTCGACCTGAAGAGCATGGCATTGGAGAATGCAACCTGGGAGTTTGGTGATTGGGGAGAGGATGATTATCTCTATGATGCAGATGAGAACCCGACGCGACCCCCTGGGTGGAAACTTGACTCGCCTCGGGAGTTTAATCAGTTGAATCCTGACTTTCAAACTACTATGAGCTTTTGCTTGCAGAAGATCTCAAACAATCTGATGCAATCTAACTTGACTTCTATGGGCTTTGCTGTCATAGCACCGGATAGTAAGTCTATTCTCTCATACGTCGCTACAGATTGTGCTGATGCTTTCGATTAGTCAACGCCCGGGCAACGTTTGAAGTCAACAACGCCCGATACATGACCTACCCATGGACAAACCCAGACACCAACATTGGCGTTCCAGCAGGTCTCGACGGCGACAGCCGATTGAACTACCTTCTTTACCTTGAGACGGTGGGATCACACACGCCACCTCTCGACTCTCAAGCGAATGCGGTTCTGAACACACGCATGGGCAACTGGACTGAAGGCCGGAAGCCAGGAACAGACTCACACTCCAAGTTTGGCACCTTCGTGCTGTCACGAGCCAACTTTATGGAGTCTTTCTTGCTTCCAAAGCTGTCCTCAATCAACCGAATCATGTCTATGGATATATCCGAGGTCAGGTGTTGGGCAGAAGACCATTTCTTCACCTACAAATGGTCAGTCGGTGCTACCTTCAGTGTCGGACTTGGCAAGCCTGAAGATGACAAGACTGTCTATGCTTTGAACCGCATAAACTACACGATGAACAACGACTGGCAGCAAGACGCCAAGGACTTCCTCAACAATTACACTGGAGATCCAGGGAGTGGATCCCAAGTCTGGAGATACCAAGACATTGAATGGGGCAATTCTGCCAAGCACCAGTACACACACAAGGGGTCTGTTGAAGTCTGGATGAGCGGGGACAGTACGTTAAGAAACCCCTTCCAAACTAGTATATCGAAGCAAACTGACATTTGGCCCAGCCATTACTTTTACCAGAGCCTACACAACCGCTGGATCGAACACTATAGTTTATGAAGGAGGCCAATGGACCAAGTTTGAGTATAAAATAGACCCATCCGTTGTTGATCCCAATATCTACGGAAAGTAAGTGCTTACATTCACTAAATGCCTTGTTGGATACTGAAAGCTGACTGCTCTTTTCCAGGCTCATTGCCGAAACCAAGTGGGCTATCAAATTCCAGATGGCAGAAACTACCGACGGTGGTATGCAGTTTGAAATTGACGTTACCCGACCTACAACAGAGTTCAAGGGAAATTACAATGACTCCAACAGCCTGAAAGCTCTGAAGAGTAATCTCGAGAGTCGCTACAAGACTGCAGGCGATAACTTTGAGTGGTATATTAACTCCATTCGTAACTGTCTCCAAGGACAAGAGAGGTTTACACTTCCGGCCTCTGGTGTCTACTTCTTCAGTAGTCCTGTTATGAATGCACAGGGTGACCTTGTCTGTGGCCTAGAGTACAATGGGTAAGCTATTCTTTTCGAGGCCCGGCTTTTGTGTCTAATCGTTTATCTAGGAACCCAACGCTTGGGGGAACTATCAACAACGGCACTACCACTGTGCGCGACGAGATCCCAAGGGGAGACTTTGTCAATATGCCGGGTGAAGCGAAGTTTAGTGCTGGAGATAGTCAAACCAGTAAACGAGAGAAGGACGAAAAGTGATGTATGTCTTAGAGATCTAAGTTACTTTAGAAGGTTTAAGTTAGGTTATATTTTAAATAATATTGTAACTAAGTTAATATATATTTAAGGATAAAAGAAGTATACTACTACTTAAAAATAATTTAAACTAACTATTAGCTACTAGCTAAGCTAGAAATAAAACGAAAATAACCTATATTAAAAAAATTCTTTTTATTTAACTATATATTACACATTAATCAACTAGAGTTATTTTCTTTTAGCTCGTTTTCCTTCTTAAATTAAAACTAAGTTATTTTTGTTTAATACTTTTGAGGAAGTTGGTAAAGAGGATAATGTCTAGGGGAGAAGGATGATTGGAAGCAGCAGAGGAGAGAAATAATAGAAAGAAGGCAAAAGAACCGAGGGAGGGGAGAAGAAAGAACATTCAAATTTGTGCGCAGGAATATAAGGCAACTGAAGCTAGCTACCATCTGACAGTGGCAGTTTCTGAGATGCCGCCCTGTCGTGAGGGGGCGCCCCTTTTCGGATGTGGAACGAATGTATGGTGGAAGCCTCGTTCTCGAATACTGCTCATTGAACCCATTTGGTGGCTCTTCAAGTTGATATCAGTTCCAAGCAGGTCTAATTACCCCTGAGATGAACAAAAGAAACAGATCTTAGGGGAGTATCCTACGCTGACATCGATCGGTGGCCATTGTTCGTCTACTTCGGGACCACGGTTCGATATTGAATGGGCACACGCCTATCGAGTTTTGATGCTAGCTATGAAACGTCCAGCACGGGGAGGAAAGGAGTGTTGGAAAGCCGTGACCTTGGAATTTGCACAATGATCGCTGCCGTGCTACTAGACATTGTTCACTCCCCTGGGTCACCTTGCAACACGGGCATCATCTAAGAATATACTCAAGTTAGGATTTTATTAGTCCACAAGAACCTAAAACCCATCCTAAAATTAGATTATTTATTTTTCTTTTAGTCCTAAACATATACTAAAGTATCCCCACCGACGGCCCTGCTGCTATCGCTCCCATAGATTTGACTATTAGAAAAGACGCTTGATCTTCGTCTTTTCGACTTCTTCGGCTTCTCATACAGGACTTGATCAACTTCATTGTTGCTGTGCTGCGCTTCTGTCCTGCCCTTTTCGAGAAATCTCTTGGTCTTTGGTGCAAGAGAAAGATCCTGGAGCATGTTCACCTGATCGATGTGACGTCCTGACCATGTGTATGGCAGCCAAGGAAGGGCATCGTCGCCTTCGGCCAGACTATATCCCTGTCGGAAGCGCTCGAAAAGTTGCGGGTCCATATACTTGAGTGCCAAAAGGATTTGTATCTGGAAGGCAGTGTCATTGCCGGCATTGTGGATGATATTGTGACCGCCGTGGTGCCTGTCTTTATATAGCTGGATCCGCGCGTCCATGTACCGAATGCCGAGACGGTTCATGACTCGGTTGCAGGCAGGACCCTTCCCGTCGAAGGCCTCAAGAACCAAGTGGTGTTTCTGGACGTCGTAGAACCGAACGTTGGGCAGTGAGACCTAATCAAGACCGAATCGTTCTAGGGTACATATTTCCAGCTGCGGAGCCCAGGTCAGGAACACGATGTTTCTGGGGATGTTCTCGTCCTTCTCCCGCTTGGTCAGATTTCGTGGTTTCATGACCTGTGCCAGTCGCATGTTCATGATTCTTGGAATGTCCTCGGTCGAGATGTACTTCGATTTTCCGTACGCGAAGTTGTACGGCTCAGTCTCGTGCCATGGTTCGCAGTTGCGGCCGAAATGACCACGGAACTCATTGATGATGTAGTGAGACGACATCATGGTTTTGAATATATATATATATATATATATAGAAAGCACGGTCCCAGGGCGGTGTTTTTAATTTAGTAAAGTCGCGAGTGTCCAAGGTAGTCCAGCCAATTTCTGTGATTGGTCTATAGGTGTAGGTGTCACTACGGCGAGGATAATTCTGGGGGTAGGTACCCATGGCAAACCAGCAAAGATCCCCGAAATCAATCGAGACAATGATGGGATCATCACTTGGGAGTGAGTAGGAACCACTTGCCTCGTCGTATGAAGGAAGCAGGTTGGAGATTGTTTGCTCACTCGTGGAGCGAACCAAGAACCTGGGAACGTCCACTGCTCCCATCTGTGCTGGTAGCTTTCGTACAAAGGTTCGCGTTGCGCGTTCTTGGGGACATTCTTCATCAAACTAAGCTGCTCTCTCCAGGGAGGCACAGGATCCTCGGAGGGAGAGGGCGAGGCTTTTGTTCTTTCTCCCCAACAAGACGGCGAAGTTCATCTCGATCTCCGCTTGCTGCGTATTCCAGTGAATGGAGAATATCTTGCAGTTCCGTAACTACTCCCGCCTATGAGTAACAGCAGGGGTTGTAACTGTAAGAAGATTGACTTCATGACAGGATTGTGGAAAGTTGCTCATCAGCTTTCCATCTTGTCTTGTAGAGAGAACAGAGGTCGCAGAGTTCGATTACTGTTGGTATGGCAATCCTGATTTCGCTCTCTTCGAGCAAGGTTATGGAGTCTGGCATCTTGTATCTTGGCCCATCTAGGATTCACTGACGAGACGGAGGTCGGCAACAGATGCTGAGAGCTGCTCAAGGGGGTTTCCTGTTTCCTGGAGGTTCTTTTTCTCTTTTATTTTCTTTCCATTTCTTTCTTTCTGGACTATTTCGTCGTGCGTAGCCAACCTCCTTGTAAAGGCTGTAAGCCCATCCTTGAAAAAATGTGTGATAATGAGGAGCTCGATGGTCGTGCATAACCCAAGAATAGACTGTTCCACTCCGAGTCTGATACCCGGACAGTTTGTGTCTTCTGAGTTTCGGCGACATTGCTTTCGGAAATCGAGCTTGATGACTCCCAGTCCAAGTGACTCGAAGCCTGATTTCTGTTAGACGGAGGAAATCAAATACGACAATGAAATTACAACGCTCCAAACCTGTGGCAAATACTTCGGTGAAACAGGGGTGTTGCGAAGGGCTCGAGAAAGGTTTCTCTCTGAGTGGGCGTTGCATCATGATTACCACGCACTGCTTCCCTCGTTGTTTCTCGAACTGGACAAGTAATGGGTGTATCCATTGACATTCGGGCGGGAATCGGCGGCCGAGAGCTACTAGGAATAGATCCAGGTCGGCTAAAGACCGAGGCACACTGAAGTATTTTGCAATCTGCACAAGTTCGAGCTTCCCAGACGCAGATCGGAACTCTCGATCAAGAATTGTTGCCTCCGACCATGAATCTCGCTCCTGTTTGTCAACAGGGTCTAGAGCTATGCTCTGTAGCTCGTCCGGGAGTCCATTACTGGTGTCAACAGAAGGAAATTCAGATTGACCATTACTACTTTTGTGTGATTCTTGAAGGTTTGGGGAGGGACCGGACCGTGTCAGGCTACTGTCGCCAAATGCAGATGGGAGTGTCCAATACGGCTGAGTAAGAGGTGAAGGTGAATGAGAGGGGACTGAAGTCTTCTGGAGGTATGGGTCAACAAAACTGGTACATGAAGGGGAACTAACAAATGCCACATACTCGTAGTTATCCCTCAGTCTGGTGATGTTCTGGGGGTTCCCAACGTCCAAGGAAGCAGTGGTTGGTGGATTGGTAGGGGCATAGTTGACAGGGCCATTGGGTGTGTGTTGACTTTCATAAAGGCTAGGAGGGTCAATGAGATTGTGCGTTGGTGTCCCAACAAAAGATGCAGTGCGATCCACCTTGGGGTTTGACATCCAGTCTTTTTGCATCCTGGGCTCTCAGTACAAAGGTATCGCCAAAGTTCAGCCGCGGATAGGGAGATGGGGGAAGGGGGGCGAATCGGTTGAGAAGGGGTATCCCGTGGTATAGATCTCCGCGTCCGAGTGGCCATCTCGAAGGGAAAGCTGGCAAGCTCTTTGGGTAAGTGGGGTAGCGATACTGTAGAGGCGGTTTCGACGTGAGACTTCAGGGGGACACTCATTGCCGCTGCCCTCGTAGGGCAGAATGCCTCCTGGTACACTTGTCGGTCGCATGACCCGTGTCGTCTTTCGGTCGTACTTGAGATGCGGCATTCTCTACTGAGGTCAGAGCATTCTGGTTGATAGTATAGTGGACATACACTGAGCTCACGCAATCGTGGAGCCTCTTGGTCGGGAAAAGACAGACGTGCGAACGATGAAGAGCTGTCAGTCGTGTTAGTTATTGATACTTGGTGTCTGTGGGCGGCTGTCTACCTCAAAGAACAACGCATTGGCATGCTAATAGTTCGACAAATCTCGAGTGGTCGATCTCCTGGCCCTGATTCTTGTTTCCCCCGTAGCAGTGTGTTTCTGGAGAACTTGTAAGAAAAGAGGATCGAAGAGTTGGAAACAGGAACAAGTTGAAAGTGGTTGAAGACGGCGCATTGACTAGCCCATGCCTTTCTTTTCAGGCTGTCGGCCTGTGTCATCGGCGCGAGCTCCTTCCCGTCATCTACCTACCTCAGTCAGCGCGAACAGATCCAGGCAGGTACTTGCCCGACATAAAATGCGGTTTCCCCGGCACCTCCATTCCACAATCTCCATCACACTCCCACTCACATCATACACATTTTGGAACATCAACATCCTCTACTGTCGAGTACGCATAGATCTTCAGATCGCTTCACTTTCCCATTTTCATAATTCCCATCATGTCGTCCACCACTATCACAGAGCAAATGTTGAACGGCATCGCAGACACTGTTACATGAGATGAAAAGATGTCTTGCTCAACATCTCGAAGTGATTGAGCAGCGTTTCAACAATGCTGAGTCCGTCCTGAAGAAGATCGAAGACCAGAATGCGTCCATTGACAAACGCCTACTGAATCCGGAAACCCGCGTCGCAAAAGTCGAAGAAGAACTAGCTGAACATACCGCACTCTTCCAGAAAGTTCATCTTCAACTCGTAACCCTTGCAAGCAGGGCGAGTGCGAACGAAGAAACAGCCTATGCACTGTTATAGAGGTTCTTATTACCACCCGGGTTTTGAGACCAAGATCAGGAGCACAACGGAATTTTCGCAATCGATTGCATACCACGGAAGTGGCGTAGACACGATCATGACTGGGATACCGCATTACTGGCCACCCTATACAGAATGTTGTGGCATCCATAGATACTGTTCCGTCTCCTGAGCCCCATTCCCATCAGATCCTCCCCCGCCAACTGCAAAAAGAGTTCGGTTGTCTCATTCTGACCAGTGATAAGATCTTTAGGCTGAGGGCGCGCCTCGCCTGTAGTCTGTTCATTGCTTGGAGTTTCAATGAACACATTCTGGAATTGCCTGGTAATGCAATCTCTCGCAAGGTGCCCAGCCTCGTTGCACTAGACGCACTTATGTTAGCTCAGCAATGACTATTGAAGAGCTCTAAGTACTCACCCAACCACAGACTTCAGTGCCACGACGTCGTCTGGGCTGTACTCTTCGACGTTTGTTGCCGCTCTTGTGTTTGCTCCTGAGTTGTGTTAGCAAAAGTGCTGAAAATCGGGTAGGCAACAAAAGAAATGTCGTCTAAGGCTTAGGCCACTAACATAAAGTAGCTTAAGTCCTAGTCTAAGCCGTTATAAAGTGACTAAACTATTTCATCTCTTATGCTTTAGGCCGCCAATTCGCCCGATACCTTGACGAAAGAGTAATATAAACGAGTGAACATACATGTTGTATGGTAAACGTTAAGTGATGTGTATTGGTCAAGGATTTTGAGAAATTGTGATGTGTGTAAGAAGGAAAGAGATAGTTTTGCACTTGGGTATGGAAGAAGTAAGGCCAATACGCAGCCCTGGTAGGAGATGGAGAAGGATTCTGGGTTCTCCATGCTGAAATTTCTGCCGATGGTATCTGGGCTGTCATCTTTGTTGTTGTTGTCAATGGAGAGGAGTGAGTGTGAGAAAGGAGGGAATATGAAGTTAAGGGTAAGAGAGGAACCTAGTGAGAGAGAAAAAGAGGGGTATAAGGGAACAATAGGAAGAAAGATAGAAAATACGTTGCTATAGCACTTCTAGGCAGTGACTGACAGCTGGCTGGCACTGGCAAGCAGCTAGTGATCTTAATTATGACAGGAGTATCTCCTAACAAAGGGGCTAGGTCGAATAAACATGACTGAATCCAGGTTGAGGAGCAAGTCTTCTATAACGAAAGGGAAGGGGATTTCTTGAATGACCGTTGTGTTAGACTCATAAATGTCAGCCTTACATGTTGTTGGGCAGGCATCAGAAAAGATGATCTAGTTCCAGCTTCTCATGACCGTCGGTGGACCTTGTGGCATCCCTTGCTTCAGCACTGATTGAAAGTTAGTACCACCACAATTATCTTGTCTATCGGCATGCATGATACTTACGAGAACTGATGAGCTTCATGCAGGAAGTTCACTGACGGGATCGATATATAGAGAAGGCAAATTTGTAACAAGGGGACATCCGTTGTAATCCGCAATAGATATTCAGTTCTTCCCAAGTGCTTTCTCCTTGTATATATTCGTGGAGTTAAGAGAGAGTGCAAGACGAGGGTGAGCTGCCATCCGTCTCTTGATGTGTTTATAACTGTATATAACTTGATGAAAGTCGATGACGAGCGATGAAAGTTGATATGACTGTCGTGAGACAGCACTATTTATACACGTTCTTAAGATGTTTGCCATGTTGAGTCATCTACAATCAGATATTCCAATCTCAATGGCAAGAAGCAAAGCCACGCCGATTTCATATCTTCTATATTTGTTATTATATAATGCCGATGCAATCAAAAGCAAACGCCATATCAATGATTAATATACATAAAGCAACCTCTCTTTGCTCCAAGCAACCCACCACATCCCTTTTCCATCTCTTACTCCTCATAACTACTTCGCGTTTATCGTAACATGTAAGAAAGGTCTGGAAGACCTTGAAGAATATTTGCGACGATTTCGTCGTCCTTTGGAGAGTCTGTGATTGTTTGTGGTCGGGGAGGAACAGGTAGTGACATTGGTCGTGGTTTCTTAGGTGTGGAGTTGCCCTTTAGTATGTCGAGGGGTGTTGTTAATGTTTCTAGCGATTGGCTTGCCATGTTGTCCTTCTCTGGACTGACTGGTTTGTTGGAATCATCAATCAGTCCTAGACCCCAAGAGTCCCATGTGTTTACTTTGTTCGCTTCGATAGGGGAATTCGTCTGGGTGGGTGTCAGGTTTGCAGAGGCAAAACCATTCAGGGGTGAATGGGGTGTGCCCAAATCGATTGTTGTTGATCGCGTGTGGCCAGGAATTGAATCCTTCCTAGTAGATGTGAGCAGATCGATTGTCGTGGACCTGGCGTGACTTGAGGCCTTGATATTTGACAGTGGCGATTTGACATTGTTGGCGGGCCATCGGAAATTGTTGGGCGCAAACCCTGGCGATGGCACAGCCAAAGTATCCATGGAAGGTCGGCCGTTGCTTTGTGCTTTCACATCAGGCTCATCCTTGAAAGAATCAACCATAGGCGACTGTCCTGCAATCAAAGATTTGCTAGTACCATCTTTGTCGTTGGCTTCGTTGTCGTCAACAATCGCATTCATCGAAGCAAACTCGCCATTTGTTTCCACTGTAGGTGAGGAAACCATGTCTCCCCAATCATCATCATCGTCATCATCACTCCATCCTGCATTTGTTGGAGGCTGCGCTAAGGGGGATGTTGGCGCTTGTGAGATTGATACTGGTCGGTTTGTTGACAAGAGCGCGGTGGAGTGAATGGGAGACTGAGGCTCCGAGATTGTTGGGGATGCAGGGAAGGGTAGTGGTTGAGTTATAGTTGCAGGCCGGTTTGTAGGTTTAAGTGGTGTTGGCTTGATAGGTGAAGGGGGTTCTTCGGTGATTTGGGGTTTTGGGGGAGATTCCAGGGGAGGTGGCCTTGTCTTCGAAACAGGAGATGTCTTGGTAGCTTCGACAGGAGATGATTCAGCAGTTGAAGCTGGTTCAGGCTCACTGATATTCGAAGTGCGAGGTGCAGATGGAGGTGCAGCAGTAGGCGAGGGAAGCGGTGCACTGCCCCATCCAAACGTTGCCGCCGTAGGAGATGCGACTGTACCCTTGGAAGCCACCGAGGTCTGTCTCGAATGGTTCTTGCGTGCCAAAAGCTCAGAAATTGAGAACTCGGTAGACGGAGCCGCTGAATCCCAATTGAAGATCTTGGCACCCGCAGCACCACCTCGTCGACCAAGAACCACACGTCCTGTAATAGAGTCCTCTTCCATCCATCGTCTCACGATTCTTATGGATTGTTCACGAACAGTTGAATTACCCCATCCAATCCGTACGTAGTTTTCATCATCTCCCAGGTTATGTTTTCGCATCGAACCAGGCCTTGACATAAGATACCAAGCTTTTCGCTCAGAGATGCAAGTAAAGCAGTCGTCAATAATGACATCAGGGACTGGTTCTGGTGCTGGGAAGGCGATGTCGACCGATGGGAAGAGATCGCCGAGTTTGGTCATGTCAATCTCAAAGGGTTCCGAAGGTGGTTTTGGTGGTGGTATTGCTGGTTCCGCGGGTGTTTCTTTTGTGGTTGGCGTTTCCGACACACGCAGCTGTTCCTTAGTAGCTTCTGGTTCCGATTCTTGGGTACCGTTCTGGGCAGCATCTTGAGTAGGAGATTCAAAGTCCGACCACGAGTCCGATTCTGCTTGGACGCCTTCCTTAGGCAACGCCTTCGTCTCTTCTTCCGTCGTTTCCTTTTCGTCTTCCGAGGGGCTTTCAGGGGTAACCTCAGCTCTCGTCTCCGACTCTGGCTCTGGTTCGGGTTTTAATTCCACCTTGACCTCTGGTTCAAATACCTTGGGTTCGGGCTCCTCTTCTGGTTTTAAATCAACTGCCATCTCCGAATCAGGATCATTCTCCGCCTGCAAATCTTCCACGGTCTCCTCGAACCCATTGGTTCTCGGCTCAGACGTAACATCGCCAACAGACGCATTTTCCGAAACCTTGCGCATAGACGGGTCAACAGGCGAAGTACTATGGCTTCTCTTGTGAATATCATCGAACATTTCCACCAATTCAGAAACCTTATTAGAGGGTTGTCGTGAAGGAGCTGCTCTCGTCTCATGCTGTAGAGCAGGCCTTGGTGCTCCATCCGGTGAGCCCGGTCGTCCTCCATCGTCGCTCGGCAAAGGACTGACGCTCCTGTTAGAAGGAGCCGGTTCATGTTGTTGCCATATATCTGCCGCATTCTCCTTAAGTGAGCGCAGAGATGGCGACCTCGTCGCAACCCTCCCCATGATCGGCCGTAGTCCATCACTAAGACTAATCGCAGAATCTCCATTATCCTCCTTCTTCGAACGTGCTATGTCAAGCATTGACGGTCGTCGACCCCATGGATCCGGCGAAGGCGACGGTAACCTTGAACCAGAAGGACTACCCCCTATAGGCCGCAAGCCAGGACTTCTTCCCCAGCGCGGACTACCATCTTTACCCGCCTCAGCCCAACCGCCCCAAGCATCATCGTCTTCGTTCCATGGTGTAAGAGCAGGAGAAGCGCGTTGCGAGCTAACCGAGTGGTCCGTAGTGAAATGCGCAGTCGGCGGCGGCGCGGGAAGATCTATCGTCGGGGGTGCATCGTTGGTCCAAGGAGAACCCCATGGATCCTCCATGCTGGGCGAGCGCACATGTCGCGCTGCCAATAACGGGAATAGATGTTGAGGGAATTAGAATGAGCGAGGAATATTATTGTGATCGGTTTATCATTGCGCGTGGTAGGAGGAATGTATTAGGATAGCTCGAGAGCTTAAATCGAGGCGCAACAGGCGAGGTGCGTAATCGTCACAGGCAGAAGTATAGTTCAGCGATTGAGCGCCACCAATCGGTTGTAGAATGAGACAAGTTGGTTCGTGGCTTGGTTAGATGCGTCGTCAAGCTTAGCAGTATGCCGAACTAATTGATAAGGTGTTAATGTTTTGAATGTGAAGCATGGGAGGTTCCAGAAACACGTCTCCTTCTATTCGTGGAGCCCTGGATGGAAATAAATCTTCAGGGGCGCGTTCCCCCAGGTCGGTCTTTAACACGCTGTAGACTAGGTAATTTGGACCCGCCCACTCCGTCATCGCGGGACTTGTAAAATGACATTCATCCGCCCTCTATTTAAGCCTCAAAATAGCCAGCCAGTCACGATGGTATTTTACCAGTTTGCATTAATATCTATAAATTGGCTGTTATTCTCTTCAAGAAAAGCATGAGGGTATTTACTCCGAGTCTGTCCCATAGTATGTCAGATACCATGACTTTCCCCATTGCACGCCAAATGGTACATCAACCTCCTTTTCCTTCTCAATGAATATCATGAAGCAATCCCATGCAGAACCGTACACTCCGACGCTAATATTCACCCAAAAAATAATCATGCTGTTGAGTCTCTTCCAATATTCATGAGGTAATCTCATGTCCACTCTTCAACGCCCACTCTTTGGAGCGTCCTTTGCCTGTTTTCTCTGCCACCAGCTCGACTGTGTTCTTTACCTCAGCACGAGACACATCGTCCCGAAATTGGTGGTAAAGGAAGTCAATGATTCCAACCTTGGAAAGAGCTTTGTTGTCCAAAATAGCTCTCTTCACGTCATCTAAAAGCTCGGACTTGACAAGCTTAGTAGATGCACCACTAATACCGCTTGCGCCTGTCAATGCAGCAAATGCATTCGAGGGTGTAGGCGGGGGAGGCATCTTCGTTGTGGTTTCGGATGCCTGAGTCGTCTTGGCGGGTCGGCCCACCGTCTTCTTGATTTCTGGCTCCCAGTATTCCGTTGAGAATGGATCAATACCCCAGGTTTGCTGAAGGCCATCTGAAATAGGTCAGTTTCCGGTTCCATATCCTCAAGAGCAATTCAGACTTACCGTGCATAAACTCCATCCTGTGTTCGTGGATAACTTGGTTTGCTGCACCATTCCCATCATCAAAACAGATCCCAGTACTGTTTGGCTCCAAAGTGTTGGCAAAGATTCGTCGAGAAAGCCCAGCATCTTCTGAATCATCAAGAAATTCGTCCATGTCGTCCTCGTCGTCCATTTCCTCTTCATCGTCATCGACGTCAAGATCCTCGCCTTCTTCTTCCTCCTGCCATTCAGCTTCCGAATCATAGTCGTAGTCGAGTGGCAGTCGTCTTCCTGTAGGGTGGCGAGCCAACTGGCTCATGTTGAGTTTTCCAAGAGCAAATGGCTTGAAAGTGTTTGTTCCGTAGTAAGGAGGGCGCACGTCTTGTGAGAATGAAATGACCTTCATAGGTACCTTGGAAAGCTTTTGGCGCGTGTCCCGCATGATCTTAGCAACATGCTCGGGGCCTGCGTTTTCCGCCTTCTCTGTCTCCCTGAAAACCTGCTCCATAATGTGCCTAACTGGATGATGGAGCATACCCCGAGGGGAAGATTTGCTAGGTAAAGCGAATAGGCGGACCGGGTCAAAGCGAGAAGCTTTCAATTCCTCCTCTCTTTGTCCACCGATACATTCGTCCAGTATCTTCGACTTGGCCTCTCGTGTTTCAGTGTCCATCTGGGGTCCAACATGTGCAACTCGCGTATGGTCCTTGATGAAGAATGGCTGGAAGAGCTTCTCATACTCGGTTTTCGAAGACTTGAGGGAATCTTTGGCGGGGCTTGGTTTCCCAGGAGTGCTGCTCTTAGGTTGAATAGTGTCGGCAGCCTTCTTAGGAGTGCTTGGAACCTTGAAGAAAGCGCCTAGAGTTGGTTGCTGACGAGCCTTCTTCTCTTTCTCTTCCTCCTTTCGCCGTTTTTCTTCGTCCTTTCGCTTCTTCTCTTCGTCCAGCTGTCGTTTCTTTTCTTCACGTTCCTTAGCCTTGGCTGCCTTTTCTGCGTCTGCCTTGGCTTTTTCCACTTGTCGAATAGCAGCCTTCTTTTCACGTTCTTCCCGAGCTTTCTCCTTCTCTGCCTTGAGCCGGGCAGCCTCTTTTTCTTTTTCAGCCTTTTCCTTTTCTTTCTCGGCCTTGATCCGGGCTGCTTCTTGGTCCTTCTCGGCCTTCTCAGCTGGTGTCAACTTCTTTCGTTTTGCTAGGGTTGTCGTTGATTTGGATGCCGAGGCGATTGTGGTCTGTGTTGCCTGCTTTTTAGCCGGAGTTTGAGGTGAAGGAGATGCACGTGGTGGTGTAGCGGTGCCGGGGTCGCTAAGTTCCGATGAAGCTGGTGATGCAGCTCTGCCTCCATTTGTAGGGGCTGCTGTTAATTAGTATTTATTCATTTTCAGTCATTGCGTCTCAACTCACTCTCTTCTCCATTGATCTGATCAAAGACCGGGGGTGGTAGTTTCACATCTTCGGAAATTTCCATTTCATCGTGACTTCTCTTCCGGCCAGTAGCCTCAGATTCCTGAATGTTCGGTGAAAGTTCGAAGAGCGGCATTGTGCATGTGTTAAAGAGCTAAAGAGCTCAACTACGTATCGCCAGAGGCGTAGTCAAAGGTATTAATCGGTATGCGGTTCGTATCAGTTTTGGTGTAGGTGTAGGTGCTTGTTGAGGATCGTGAGGAGACGGAAAATCATGAGATGAGGTGTCGATGAAAAGAATTAGGAATAGATGCACGAATGATCATTTGACAGAAAATCCCTTCCCCGCCTTCAAGCCTGCGAGTGTTGCCTAGGATGTGAACGAGGAAAGTGCTTCTTTTGGTAGGTGCAAAGTGTTTGCAGTGGCATAAAGTGACGAGGTTCCAGGCAAGCACGCCTAACAGGAGGTTAAAGTGGGAAGTCGCGAATGAGCACGCGTCAATCGCGCATTCAGTTAAAGTGAACGCGGGTTTCGCGTTTCCCCAAGCAGTTGGCACGAGAACTGATGGGGAGACAGGGAAGTAGCGGCTAAGCCTCGGGTGGCACCAACTTTTCAAGGGTCTGTGGCTGGTGCCCCTCATCGCAGTAAAAAATAGAAGGGACCCAGGTGGGTAACAGAAGAATTGTCCTCCAAGGTTTAGGCGTCTATAATAAAGTAACCTAACTACTGGTTTAAGCTAGCATAAGATGATCAAATTATTTCGTCTCTTATGTTTCTAGGGGCCAATCCTTCTGACACCCTGAGGGGACCCCCAATCCCATGACCCGCCCTTGATGCTAGTGCCTGGCACTTTGACGATCTTCATGTCATGCTATTTGTTCATTTGCCATTGCGACATCATTGACAAACATGGGAATCCCCAGTGATATCATAAGGGGCGGACCTTGTAACAGCAACCGAGAGCAATCGATTGGCGCACTGGAGGGGGCCCTGACCTGAAATAACACAGCCTGCAGACATCCCAGCTGGAGTAACGTCACTTATGGCACGTATAGTGAAGCTTTTTTTAACGGATGGTATACGAGAGGGAACCGATGATCGATGGATCCATTGAAAACTTTACTGCAATACTACACTGTTGAAGTTTATCGAAAGGCAATCAGGCAGTTCACAAAGGCAATAGGACAAAGTCATTGATTGATCTTGAAGCCCCTTGTTCTCAGCAGAGATCAAGGGGTGGTATCTCATTAAGCATACTTTTATCTTGGATCCTGGCTACAGAGGCAGAGGTATCTTTTTGAAACATTATATCCGTCAACGACAGTGGAGTCCCCGCTCCAATTGCACACTTCCATCCAAGGGTGACCGATAATAGCGAGAGATTGAAAAAGGAAATTTCGTCGGGTATGTGATGAAGACCCTGAAAACGATAGGTGGTGGTGGAAATCAAACGGTAATAAAACAATGCTGGAACGCCGACCAATGCAAGCCACCTCATGGTGCGAAGTGTGCTGTAACGAATGATGGATAAAGGAAAGCTCCCATGGCAAATCATGTTATAATATAGTGATTCGTGGCCATTGGTGGGAGTGTGTGTCGCGTGAAATCATGTTTAATCAGGGTTGGCAATGAAAAGGCGGCCGGAGCTAAGGGTTGACGTTCGCTCGTCAACGCTTCCTCGTCTTTTCAGCTCATCGGCTGTCTTGACACTCTTCTCTCGTGTAAGCGCCGAGTGCATGAGCGAGTTAGAAGCCAGTCTGGGAGCGTTGCTCAGCTCCCCCACGTTATCGGCGCGCTCTCCACTGCTGCCACTCGCCATGCTGCGAGCCTTGCCGCTGGCGGCGTCGTCGGCAACGTCTTCAGGTGTAGCTTCCACCAAGCTGCCGGTGCGCTCCGGTGTGTCTCCAGGACTCCACCTTCGGCTGTGCTGGCTGCCCATGCCTCCGGAGGAACGATAGGCAAGGTTTCGGCGGCTGCTGGTTGTGCTGCTTCGTCCGCTGCTCCCCGTTCTACGGTGATGAGGGCGGTTTCCGCTGGGCACGTTCTCATCCTCACTGCTTTCAGCCTCAACTTCGGTGGCGCTCAGCCGCATCGGCACACCGCCGACACCGACGTGGTTCTCGCCCGGAGCGTAGCCAACCACAGGAGTCTTTCCATGATGTCTAATCTTGGGGATCTTGGCGGCCACCTTATTTGTGGTACTGAGGCCGGTACTGGTTCTGCCACCAGCGCCACCCGATGCACTGCGAGTGCCACCAACTACCTCGAGGGTTGCTCGCATTTTTGCAGCACGTTGTTGGGCTAGTAGTCGAGGGTCCTCGTATTGTGAGCGGTCACACCATACGGTGCCCTTTTGCTTGCGCAGCAGAGCGACATAGCTGGAGGGCTGATTGCTGGTTCCGCCGGAACGGCTGGATGTAGAGCGACGAAGCTCAGATTGTGAGGAAGAGCGGTAGGCGGCAGGGGGAGGAATGCTCGAAGCAGTGCTGAAAGTATTCACAGAAGGCGAGCGCCGGCTCTGAGAGAAATTGGGGCCCGGTTGGGCGAGGTGAGAAGTCTGGAATTGCATGGGATAGGCGTGAGAAGAAGATGTTCGTGTTCGTGAGTGTCCGTAACCAACGGTTTGGTCGATGGGCCCTCTCATGGCCTGTGGTTCCAACATGGCCAAAGGCGACGTCGAGGGGGGGACGTCGAGAGTTTTATGTATTTGCTGATCGCGGGTAGTGGCGTCTGTCCGAGAGTAGGGAGAGAGTAGACCCCGTCGGGCGCGGCTGGGCGGGTTATAGTTGAATGAGAGGGAGCCGAAAAAAGTGAGACTGAGCTGAGTAGCGCGCCAGAAGAGCGGGGCCCTAGACGGAGGATGGAGGGTGACGAAAGCAGTGAATGGATGATTATGCTCGCGTATCGTGAATGAGAAGAGTACTGTATTATACCAAGTGAGGATAGAGATTTGGTGTTTTTGTTATTGTATGTAGGTAGGTATGGTATGTGGTGAAGAGAAGAGCAGGGCGGGTTTGGAAAATGGATGGTGGGCAGAGGCGCCGACATCCTAAAGAAGGATTTCGATCGCAGTGCAGCAACCCGCAGAAGCGACCCGACAGCAACAGCCAGAGCAGCAACAGCGGGCAGCCAAGCAGTCCAACGTTGCATGGGGCCAGCCTATGGAGGGGAACGGAGGGCACCTTGTTGAAGTGGGTTTAGTGGTTAGTGGGTTTCTAGAGCTAGTGGTGGTCGCCTGCAGGTGGATCACCGCTAGCAGGCGGACACTTTCCATGGAGTGGAACTAAACAGGACAGGACCAGGACGGCCAAGCCAGGCCCCAAGGAGTGCGAAGTGAGACTCGGCGGCTGTCCTGTCCAGTCCTTGAGGGCATGTACCTTCTATGATGTCGAGGTGTAGATCGTTAAGTTCTTGGCCTCCGAGACCAGCGGTCTTGGCCATCTTGCAAAGGGACATTGCCTTCTGGATTGGGACTTGACATTAATTAATTGGGGGTTCACTTCATTAGGTTTGACTACAAAGGATCTGTGATCTGTCTGAATGTCTTTGAATGCAGTAATAAGCGGAGCGTGTAAGATACAGTAAGTTCATCTGTAGATGAAGTCAAGGTGGAACATTCATGGGGCGTTATCTCGGCCGAGGGACAACAAAGTGAGGTGAGGTAGGTTCTGTGCTTTGCTTTACTGCTTCACACTTGTTACATCCGTTTCGATACCGAGGACTCCCTTTGTTATGGATGTCATGTTCATTATGCTGATTTACTTGATTTTCAACTTACTATCTACCCATTGCCTTGGTCTGCAACAGATTTGTTGGCATGTTATTAAGAATGCTGGTCCTTAATTCGAATGCAGCACAGATCACAGATCAGAGGCAATAAATTAACAAATCAACCTCTTACAAGACAACAGGCAGCCTCCCACACTCTCCAGTTTCAACTCCAAAGTGCTAGAACAAAGTCAGCCCTGGCGTCCCCCAAACGTGGGCCCAGCTGAAGGCACACCACCGAAGAAGAGCCTTGCGCGCTGTCCAATTAGAGGCTGAAAACCGACGTGATGTCATGGTCTTGCATGCAACTCCAAGTGGGCTGGCCTCGCCGGGCTGTTAGCACTAGAGACTATGACTATCCCCATACTGTAGGGCCACAGCCGCTTTTGAAAGTGATGCGATTATTCCTGAGGCGTTTTTGTTTAAACTGTCATTGTCAGATAAGCGATACTTAGAGCGCGGTCGAGCCGGTGAAAGGATGCAACAATACAGTAAGTACAGTAGCAGTCACCGGCGACGGCATTTACCTTGATGACTCCTAATAAAAGTTAGCGGCTTGGATGGGGGGCAATCAATTCCTTTGTGCGAAGAAAAGTCGACTCACAATTTCTCGCCAAGCCGAGTCAATTGTCGTCTCAAACTGCACTATTGGAATTACTCACTCGACCCGAATCCTGCAATATGATTTGTAGCGAGCTGACAATGCGTCAAGTAACAATGCCTCGCCTCTCCTCAGTAGGCGAGAGAATTCTGCATCGCGCTGACAAGACCGATAGTAAGGGTGATGTGAGCAAAAGGCGAGGACATGGTACTGTACATGGGAGTCCCCTACTTGCAGCGCTGCAAGCATGAGCCGCGCCAAGGACTGCCCTTTCACTCCAGGGCCAGGGTCAGGTCTATCCATCCATATTCAGGACTCCCCCAAGCGCTATGGTCACTGGTTGCGCTCCTCTGAGATTCAGATGCAGTGGAGGTGGGGGTTTCTTGAAGTTCCTTTCACTTTGCGTTGCGGGTGATACAGTAGCACCACGGGCAATCCTTGAAGCGATAAAGACGGGACGGCACAGAGCAGAGCCCGGTCTAGAGCGTTCAACTTCCAATTGTATCCGCCGCAACCGGTTGGTTTGAAGCTCCTTGTGTTCTGACTGGTCAACTCAATAATTGTCTCGCCTTAGAAAATCTGTATCCAAAGGAACCAACAGCGATACTCCCTGCGAAGCATGTGGCCCCCTCTCCCCGCGTTAATATGGAGGATCTCAGGAATTCGATAGCAACGAGCAACAACAATGAAAAGCTTTCGGCTTTGCTCTGGTAACACAAATGACCCAGAGAATGCACTCACAAGGGTAGCACGCGGAAAGCCTACG